GGGTACCTCGTCGACAAAATCGAGCAAATCAGCAAAACGGCAAATGATCCCGCGACAAGAGCAAAATATTTCAAGGAGGTCGATTCGATGTTGGAAGACTGCACGTCTTACTCTTCCCTCCGCCGCGAAACGTTGAGATGGGAAGTTCCGATTGCGGAAGCACAACACCCCGAAGTTGCATCTTCTATGGACATCGAATTACACGAATCATACAAAGCTTTACGAAAGCTTTTGAGAAAGGCTGAGTATAAGGGATCGACCCGAAAAGAAGCATTGAAACATATGACGAAAGCCGCTGACGCTGGTATCCCCATTACGGACGATATCAATACCCTTTCCGCAAAGAGCATGAATTATGTCAATTTGCTGGATAACACAGTCAAGGGATGGAAGTTTGTGAAGACGGAGAATGGTCGCTGCGGTATAGTATCCAGGAAGGCAGAAGTAGGGGATGACGTGTGTATCATCGACGGGGGGGACGTCCCATTTCTTATCAGGAAGAGCCAGAGAAATTCTAGCTCATATCGGCTGATTGGACAATGCTATATCGTGGACATAATGGATGGACAGGCGTTAGAGGAAGAAGGTGCAATTTCTCGGATGTTATACTTGCATTAGGAGGAGAAAGTTTAGAGGTTTTCGTTAGGTCTCGTTGAATATCGAATTTTAGAATTTCTATCGGCCATAAAGTATTCTAAAGATGAAGCTGAATTGTGCGAATGTTCATTGCGCAACTAAATACTACATGCGGCAGCGTTTACACTAAAAAAGCAATATTCACTTTATATTGTAACCAGGAAAAAGGGAAACATCTTTACCCGCTACTGTCTACCTTCAGAAATTCAACATACAAGTCCGGGCGATAGCTTCAGGTACCTGTAACATGAGCGAAGAATAGGTGGACGATTTCCTTCGGCTGCGATATCACTCTGTAATTGGTCCCTTAAAATTTGCAAGGCTGCATCAAGGCTGGAAGTTGCCACGCAGAGCACCTAAATGGAGGATCTCGTCATGTACCGGTGGAACGATATCCAAAACAATACAAATACAAATCTAAAGGAATAAAGGAATCATTGGATGAGCCCAGTATCGCCACCATGTGTTCCATACGGAATCCTCAGCGGGATTTAGCATCAACAAAGCCGATATCGGGGACCAGATCCGGCAATTTGATGGCGCGGATGTTTTGTTCCTATGCAGAACCTCTCAGAACGGCGTGATACTAATTAAAGAATGCTATTTATGAGGATTCTCTTACCATGAATGTTGTCAATGGGATACTTGCAGGGCAGATGAGGCCGTTGGGTGTAATCATTGCAGCGGATTTCGCCATACGCCAATCATGAGTACATTACTGCATTACGAAGAGCCCATATTTAGTTACACACAAGGGCAAGGGAAGAATTAAACTCGTGGTACTTCATGGATTCGCAAGAATGCCGGATATTGGTTCGCAGCTTAGTGTTCGACTTTTGGATTTCTGTTGTAATTCTGGTGTTTGTCCGATTATTTTCTACCAATACGATGCCGACACCACTCGTGATCACCAAATAGATTTGTAAAGAAAGCCGATAGATAAGTTGTGCATGAATGCCATTGGATAATGACTTGTACCTTACGGTCAGTGGAAGTGTCTGGATGCTCCAACGCGCTGTTTTACGGGAATGAAGATGCCCAGCTTACGTCCCGCTTCCAGTCCACCTGCGCCCTTAGGCAATTACTCCACCATGTGTCTCATCCCTTACAGCGCCCGCAGTAACGCGCTCATCGCTGCCTTGCCCGCCGTAGACATGCGCACCATGCTAAACATATCCGACACCGTGCCCACATACCACCACTCTCAGGAGATCGGGTACTATCACAGTGGCACGCAGCCACCATCGGCGCCGCCGTATGGCCGCAGGCGCAAGTTACCGTTGCTACGTTTGATGGTGAGGGGCACGGCGAAGTGTTGCGCGTCAGAACTGTCGAAGGCGCCCATCGCGACCCACTCCTGGACGGTAGACGCCGAAGCGCGGACCATGTTTGAGTTCACACCGTGAGAAGGTCCACACGGTTGGACTGCTGGGTAAGGGCCAGCCAGCCACATTTGAACAGCAAGCTACGTGCTTCTCAATGTTGCTGGTAAATTCTCTGAATCTATTATCGTGTTCTAGGCAGCCTGTCCACGATCGGACTACACATCTCTAAAAATTTACCTAACCCTTTCAGGGCATCACACTAGAGAAGGGAAACTCCTATTACACGTCTCTGAGCAGCACAGCATTCAGAACGTAGCGGAAGTTACCGGCCCCTTGCAGCTCAACGTCCTTGCCACCTCCGCCCGGTTTCACGGAGTCACCGGCAGCTATGGACTCGAGATGCACGCTATCTTTCTCTAGCGTTACATTACGATTGTGAGCTTAAACCACGATCGGCAACCCTGCTGTGGATCTCCCCAACTGCCGCCCCACATGAGGGAGTCGGATTCCCTTGTGCCGGAATCACGCCACCGTTATGCAAGGCTGAGTACCCCGGCGGCTCTTAGAATTTGTGGTAGAGCAGGCAGTTCCAGCCAGTCTACCATTGCAAGTCCGCCCAAAGATGCCCTATGTTCAGCTTACCCTCATTGCCGGGTTTAAAAGTTTACTCCTGAGCTCTCCCACCATACTCGCAATCTCTCGTCACCAAAACATCCGTGTACGAGAGATATTCATCGCCTTTGAGAGGGCGCAGAACAGTAGCTCTCTACAATACAGTATCTTTTCCAACGTAAGACCCTGTCGATCTTCAGATCTGCGGTCCAGAGGGGCTGGGACAATGACCACGACGAGCACTTTGAGTACTAAGCATCCTTCAACCTGGTAATGCTGTTAGGAGCGAGTTGTACGGTACCACGTAGATGGCAGGGTGTGAATACTCATCAGAATTTGTACCACGGGACATTGCACGACAAACGGTTATGTTATGGTGTTACAGCCCGTCTCTGCAACTGAGCTCGAGTGACCAATCTTTATTGAAAAGGCAAAAGACTCTACTTGTTACGCCGTTATCGGTGACGGTGCAGGCGGATTTCAGTCCATTTGGACCTGTTGGACTCAGGCTGACCAGCGACGTTGGCAGCGTGGGCAAGCACCCAGATTTACCGCCACAATGTCTATCATCCGGTAGATCTCTCTTGCTATACCTCTATGTTGTCTGCCAAACCGATCCGAGTATCCATCACGCACAGCCTGGTCGTAATCTCGCTGCAGCACTGGAAAGCGGCAGTAAGAGTATTCCCGGTGGTCTGGATACTACACGGCCAGTTGCATCTTACATACCCTCGCATCAACCTAGTTATGTTCCCAGCCCGGAATTTCTATGTCGCTGCTGATGGCTATGGATGTTATATCGAGAGTGGAATTGATGGCTCGAGATGGATGCGTTGCATCGTGTCGGATAAGACGAGTAGATGGAGATGGCGTAGCCTGTTATTCTGCAGTCAAACGAAGAGGAAAAAAGTGCGGCAAGTGATGCGAACTATGACACTTTAACAATTTAGTAGCCCCAAAAATTGGATATGTGTGGAGTAGACCATTGCATTTCGGTTCTCTACATCAATGCAGCATATGCAAATAATTGAACGTACAGGAGGTCAGGACCATTTGACATTTTGGCGAAGAGTTTTGCAAATCAATATTCAACGATCAGTTCGTCACGTAGAACAACAGTTCATGGCGTTGAGATTCAATGTGGGACAAAGTGCCTTGCCGGAGATGTCCCAGAATGTTGGAAGCGGCAGGAGATCCCGGGCTGACGACGACGAGCGGGATATTTTCAGTACAAGCCGAGCAAGAACCGCACTAACCACTCCTTGGGGAAAACCAATCCTCCGATGCTGACGGACGCAAACGGCAGATGTACCGCACTGTATAATGGAAGCGCATAGGCGCTTCTTTTGCCTTCCGCTTTCGCGCTCGTTTACAAAGAGTCCTTCTACTACCATACCCCTTCTGTGACAAATACTCCATAACCCAATGCAAAGCAATAGGCAACAGATAGTAAATGGCACATACATACAGTCGCGCGCAACTACAAGAGCGGCGAATGCTCGGCGCTGCCCCTTCGACGCTAGCGTTAGCGTTAGGATAGAAGCTTAGCTCTAAAGCATAGATCTTATAGGTGCCCCACCAAACGGGGTCCTATTCGTAACACCGGTCGGGCTAGCGCCGAGTAGCGTACCGCTGGACCACACTTCACCGCTGCGTGTCCAGCAGAAAAAAAACAGTCCTCTTCATATCAGTGTACGGTGTTTCTGCAATAGCTAATCAGCAAAGAATACACATGCTTTAGAGATTGGAGTTTATCCACAAAAGCTAAGCTTGGTGGCTCGTTTGAACAGGCTCGATGGTAGAATAGGGTGCATGGTCTGTGGAGTGTCTCAGCCCGCGGTGCGCCACAACCATTTGCTGACGAATATGGGCATACACCGCCGAGCACGATGTACGTACGCAAAGCCACTATTTCGCAGTATGTCTCAAGCTCGTTCATACCAATTCAGCACAGCGACTGACTCTCTCAGAAATCGTCGATGGCAACGTGGGATGCATGGTCGGTGAGATGTCTCAGCCAGGAAAACGCCACAAAGATTTGCTGACGAAAACTTCCAGAATGTGCTCATGTACTACAGTACGTATGCACAGCCACTTGTTGTGGGTTGGTTACGCATTCATCCATCTACACCGTCAGAGTAGCCCACTACGGCAAAGGGCTGCCCCCTTGCTAACTGGATCTAGTAATTCGCTGCCGTCACGATGCTCCTATGCTTGTGGAATCTTCCGAACAGAGTGCAGTCCAGACGCAGTTCTCATGGTCTTCCTGTGAGACACGACAGTGGAAATGCGTATATAAGAAGTGAGAGTCAATCCAAGTTACAGCCATCATCACCATCACTCTCTTTCGGTCTCTCACTCTAATACACTCGCTCTTCACAACTTTTCGAATCTTTTCGAACAACACTCACTCAACCAACCAACAAAATGAAGGTCTCTGTCAACGCCATCCTCGCCGCCTCGGCCGTCTTCATGGGCGCTCTTGCCGCTCCTACTGGTGCTCAGGCTGGCCAGACCTCTAACCAGGTCGGCCAGACCTCCTCCAACCAGGCCTCCTCCAACCAAGCCGGCCAGACCACCTCCAACAAGGTGGCCACGTCCTCCACCCAGTCGACCTCCTCGACCTCGGCCAGCGACGTCCTGAGCAGCTGCGCCAGCCAGATCAAGGTCTACACTGCCAACATCAACTCGACCTGCTCCGCTCTTCCGGACTCGCCTTCCTCCACCGAGAAGACGGCTGCCATCGCCGCGATCAAGACTGAGCTCAACGACATCGTCGACATCATCACCTCGACCACCACCAAGGTCGGCAAGTGCAGCAAGACCAACGTCCAGAAGCAGCCCCTCATCAACCACTCCGAGGAGATTCTCTTCGAGGTCTTCGGCACCCTCCAGGGCGCCGTCAACAAGATCGGCTCCAACACCCTCAAGTCTCTCGGCAACGCTGTTACCAGCGTCGACAACGGTCTTTCTTCTCTCCTGGTCAACGTCGAGGAGGTCCACTCCGGCGTCGTCAAGGCTGCTTGGGGCGCCTGCAACAACATCATCTCCACCCACTTCTCCGCCGTCGCTCAGCCCATTCTCGCTGTTGGCACCACCCTCAGCAGCGAGTGCAGCTGCACCCACTAAGCGCGCACCGCGCTGCACCCTCTCCTCGCTACTCGCTGGATTTGGACAGTAGCGAGCGGCTTCGCGCCCCTGACAGACCTGCAGAGCCCACGGTTTAGCGACCGTGGTGTTTGGACCAAAAAAAAGCGTTGATGGCACCTTCACTTTGCTATCACACATTCTCTTAATCGTATAGACTTTTCCTTTTTAGACTTTTGCATAGATAATAGATTAGGCCTGATCACACAAACATTTGCTCCAAAGTGACAATGCTTATTCTTCTGCTGACGACGCTCATGCAAATTAAATAGTAACTACGCCTGAAAATTCAGGATAATCGCACCCGGATGTGCATGGCACCAGGAGCGCCAGGAGCCTGAAAGCCCATCCATACAAAAGTCCTCGTATGATCCCTGCTTTCTTTAATCTCTCGATCTCAGAGGCGCGTCGCCTGTAGTGACAGGCCCATTGTGAGGTTTCACCCAGTACATGAAACGAAAGTAATTCGCAAAAGCAAACCCGGTATATGTGACCGGGACATATCTCGCCCCACGGTGAATCCACCAAAGCGCCGTCTTGGCCGCCCATTGCGCAGAAACAAGGGCTGGTCCCATCTTCGACGCGAAGGCAGCGGGGACAATGTGGCGGTAGACGAAAGAATCATCCTCATAGTAGGCACGGGCGTGCGGAACAAACGCTCGCTTCGAATCCGTGTAACTCCGCATATCGTCCGTCCAGGACCCATGGAACTCCGCCTCGCTGCCCACGTACCACACCTCAGGCAAGATCTTGGCGCTCGACTGCCGGTGCACGCGCTTGAACAGCTCGACCATCGCAACGGCCGCCTTGCAGTTGGCGTCCATCGCGCTATCCGCGTCTTTCGTTCCGTGCGCGAGGATCAGGACGTCGGTCTCGGCCAGGATCGGGGCGAGGGCCGCGTAGTTGTCGTACGTCCAGTCGACGCCGAACTGGAGGGGCTTGATGCACTTGACGCGGTCCAGCGCCAGCTGCTCGGTGAGAGCTTGCCCGAGGGCCCCTCCAGAGCCGGTCATCGCCACGCGCCGGTTGCGGAGCGTGACGGCGGTGCCGAAGACCCAGTCGAACACGCGCACCATGGAGCCGAAGTAGTTCTGCGGATCGACGTGGTGCAGCGCGTGGTACTCGGGTCCGACGAAGAGGAAGTGCGGGTCCTTGGGGACGCGGGTGTAGGGGATGTGGTTGGAGTCGTGGCCTTCGTTCCACGCGACGACGATGGAGCGGACGGTTTGGATGGCCAGGACTAGTATTAATCCTTGTTTCGAGGTCATGCGCGGGTCGGACACCAGGAGTCGGCTGAACAGCCAGCTGAGGGTGCTTCCGACGATTTGGCAAATCAGCTCGAGTGATAGGTGGTAAAGGACGTTGCGGACGCTGTAGGCCTTGTTGAACTTGAGGTTGCGGTCGAAGTAGACGTGGTGGTACCGATGGATCCGTGCGATGTACCGGAGCGTATGGGAGGAAGACCGCTCCGAGTTATGGGCGATCCAGTGCACGAAATCGTAGAGAACTGATCCGACGAAGAAATGGGTTATCCCGAAGAGGATATTGTGGATCAGCCGCGACAGGCTGAAAAGTGGAATGGGAACGACAGTCGAGATAGAAGGCATGATAGGGTAAATAAATGAGAGATTCTTAAGAAGGATTGAATTAAGATGTGAGCTTGCAACCCGCTGATTAAAGAATGCTGAAAAGGTCGGAGTTAATGCATAGTTAGTGAGCGCCACAGGTAGTGGTAATATAGCCCTCGCCAGCAAGCTACGCTAAAAATAACATGAGAAATAAAACAAAAGAGATGCATCAGGCGTGGTAGCAGTTCGGAGCAAGCCGCTGGTCATGGACAAGCAATGGCAAGAAACGGCATAAGCTGCGGCGCGGCAGCAGCCACACTGCCTCGCGAACACGAACAATGGCTACATTCGGTGCTCGGGAATGCAAACAAGCTCAGAAAGTGGAGGTTGACTGAGCCTTCGTGAGATTGGGTTCCTACCTGCTCCAAGGCGTAGTTCTCAAAGGCGTCTAAGTAGGTGTGGCGCAGTAACTTTGGTTGGCACGAGCTCAGCGATCGCGAATACGAAAAAGGCACCATCCGGGATACGCCGGATAGGTTCCCGCGTATCGAAAGGGAGTCAGCTGAGTGAAGACGGATGTGTCTACTGCGTGGAAATGTTTCAATATGAGGTTCTACTTGGTAAGGTTAAGCTTACAAAAGTGCATGAATACAATTGTGTTCACTTAGTTCTTTCGCCTACGGATACGAGGGACAGTTGACCAAGAGGCTCGGTAGTGAGATCATTCTTGGTTTAGCATGTAAGGCTATTACCGATAGCCGCTTTCGAAGTTTCAGATCTGCGAATAATTATCCCATGTCGGCTGAAAAAAAGGGGCGCCTTTGGGTAGACAGCTCTACCAGGCGTTAGGTTCAGCAGGCCTGAAACCACCTTTGATAACCACGGTGCCACTTCGACCATTTTTTTCTCGTATGCACGGCATCATATATTTTTTGTGCCGCAAGGCATTCTTGTAGGCGTTCTTGTGAATGTATTGGGGGCACTGTTGGACGTGCGTTGCGGCAGTGTCGGAGAAACTGTTTACTGATCGCTCCTCTGAAACTAGTCGCTGGCAAGGCACATTTCGGTAAAACAAGCTTTTGTTTCGGCATTTTCACGCGACAGATCTGCACACCAATGCCCTACTTGACCAATGAGTAGCTCTGTTCCACCTACTAATAGTTGAAAAGGCCCGTATACTTCCGGTCGTGCTGAGTCGCGATGCGCGAGCAGTTGTGGTTCAGAAACATATAAGGCAGTATCATTTGATCAAAAAAATACAAAGACTACGATCCACTCAATTCCTTCCGTGCGTTGCTCAGCGCTACATGATTAGATTAGAGTTGCAACCTACTTCCACGTGCGAAGCTTATTCTTAATCTCTACGGTCACCCTTAAAATTCCAATATTTCCCCTTACCGTGCTACAGTCGAGTCTGATTTATAAGGTTACATCTGGCGGAAAATCTTGGGCTGTTTTTCGATGGGTCAAGATCCTCGGCTATAGTGATGCAGCTCGTACAACCTGGCAAGGTACCATCATGTTGGACATATGGAGACTGCTTTAAGTGTTTCACAGGCTCCACCAGCTCCGGCTCGGAAATTTCAGTCCGCTTGCGGAGACGGCCGCTTCTCCTTGGGTGGAGACGATGGATCCTCATTCGATCGAATGAATTATCTTAGAAAAATGCTATAGCTGGTATCATCGGAGGCTGTCTTGGGAACATTTCCAAATGGTGGAAACGTTACCAGGCAGCGACACGCCCATGCAGGCTCTTTTCTACAGTCCCCTCTCGCAGCGGATGGCTAGCGTAGATTTTTTTTGGTCATGTTATGGGTAGTTGAAGCCATCGTCGAGACGTGAATGGTTTGCCTGTGATGCGTTCTTCACGTGTGTATTGATGCTTATGGCACTACAGTAGCGGCCCTATTAATCAAGAAAAAGTTGTGAATGTCAACTCGACAACGTTAGGAAAATAGGAGGTTAAGGCAGAGGGATTGTGCCCAATAATAACAATGACATGAGTAATGATATGAGTGAACTTGTCAATCACTGAATCCTGAACTCCTTGACATCAGTGCCTTTCGCTGCTTGGATCCATTCCCCATTCATGAGGTCCGGTACGAAAGTATCTCCAATGAACGCAAACGTGTCTTCCCGCCTACGCAACACGAATGGGTCCAAGTTTCCCTTGAAGAAGCAAATCAAGTCCCCCTCTTTGGTATCGCCTGGAGCGATGGCTGCGTATCCTCTCCCTGTGACTACCCAGGACCTCTCCATTCCAACCGCCTTGACTCGGAAACTAAAATCATCCCGAGGTCCATTGCTGCTGCTATGGTCTTGGCCAGAGATCCATGTCTGGTAAGCGTCGCCGCAAGTCGCCCTCAATACACCGTCATGATCACGATAGTCCCCCCGACAAAGCGTTTTGCAGAACGCTTCAAAGCGCTCTTCCGGGCTTGCATAGGCTTTCATCTTTTCCAAGGCAATCTCTTTCCACTCTTCGCACGTTGACTTCCACGCAGCTTCATCCCCTTGGAGCGGCGCCGGGTGCGCACTTTGGACCTCATCCACCTGAATCCCTTTCAACGCAAGAGTCTTCAGGTCAGCCGAGAACCGAACGACGTCGGAACCCAGCGCGGCTGGCTCCATCGTCCACGGAAACCTCTCCGCCTCGGCGTTGAGCCACTCGTAACCCAGCGTGGCCGGCGTCGTGTAAAGCATATGCCACCGCTCCTGCGCAGGGACGTTCGCTGCCTTGCGCACGAGGCGCCACTGCTCGGTCTTTGGTGCTGTCCAATCCCTCGTCCACGACGGCATGACGCCACCTCCTTCAGCTGATGCACCGCCCATGTAGTGCAGCGCATGCAGCGGGTTCTCGGGCGAGCAGATCAGGTAGGCGCAGAGCTCTGTCTGGATTTCTTCGAAAGGGCGGGAGTAGTCGACCTGGACGAATTTGCGGTCGGCCTCGGTGGCCAGCCCCAGCAGCGCGTAGACGCGGTCCTCGAACTTGGTGCACTCGAGCGTCTCGGTCATGGGCATGGCGTGCAGCAGCGGCCAACCGCCTGCGGCCAGGACGCCCTTCAGCGCATCCCACTCGTGCAGGCAGCGCTTGAGCTTGCACTGCACGAAGGCGTCGCCGCGGTTGTTGCCCAGGTTGTCGAAGATCAGGTCGGTGCTGAGCTTGACGATGCGCGTGAAGTCGGTCGTCTTGTTGCCGCACTGCGCTACTGGTTGTTGGGAGAGGAGGGCCTCTTGCAGAATCCAGAGGCGCCGGAACCAGGGGCGGCCGAAGAAGTGCTGGAGGGCGGGCATGGGGAGGTCTTTTGGCTTGATTTCCTTATCGGACGAGGCGTTGCACAGATAGTCCACCACGGCCTTGTCTTCATCTGAGGCCTCGCCAAGCCAGATCCAGGTGCGCGTCGCCTTCCGGAAGATGTCACCCATCATGCGGACTTGACTGCTCTTGTCTGAAGTCTCGTCTTGGCAGATGCAGAGCGCATCTACCCAGAGCGTGATGGTTGCGGACTCATTCCGGAGGTAGTTGAGCGCGACGTGAAGGTTTTCCGTAATATTTATGTTCTGCTCATTGACTTGGGCTGTTTTGCCTTTCTCCTCCGAGCCCCAGACATAGGAGAGGGCTTCATAGCTTGGAGGGTTGTCGAGCTCGATCGCATCCAGGGTACAGATTAGAGGCTGCCCGAAAACTCCAGGCTGCAGCCGAACCAAGCGTACCTGCTTCTCCCCAAGCGGTTGGTACACTTTGCCGTACGTTTGAACGTACATGTTGATCCTCTCCCAGGCGAGCGGATGTCGGTACAGTGAAGGCGATTATTAGATGATTGGCGCTAGCGCTGGAGGCCAATGCACAATTTTTCTGAGAAGTGGCACGGCGAGAATCCGGAGCTGAAGATCACAAAACTTAGCCGCCGAGAAAAATAGCCCCGCAGCTGAATCTCACCTGCATGATAAGCAGTAGATTGGCTGCCTTTTGGCCCCCAACAACTCGGCCCAGGCAACGCGCTGACCCTACATGCCATAAATTCATCAAGGCTGCAACGCATAACAACGGCCTGTATATGATCACTTTTTGACACGTGATAATAGCATCGAGGTCGACGTTTCTGTATAACATCAGCAGCGTCTACAATCCCCAGTGTTTCAGCTAAGCGCTCTCGTGTGGGGAATGCATCATTCTTCCATCCAATCCGACTCGCAGACGCCTGATCATCCTTGACTCTGCCTTCGGGATGCTTACCATTCCAGGGATAATTTGCATGCAGCTTGACGAGCTCCACCGACAGCTCACAGCATGTTGCAATTTTTCAAACGCAGCTTTCCCTCCCGCTTCGAATTCGTCTTCTGTTTTATCTAGGCCTTCACGCCACCTTGTATGACTGTCGCAACAGCTTCACCAAGGCGCACATGACAGTCTGCCAGCATGGCAGCGGCTTCGGCCCTCTCGGAACTCTTGGAGCTCTTATTGCCTGAGCAGAAAGCTTTAGGCGTTCTTGCACTCTTTGCATGTGCGGTTTATTTCCTCTTTCGTGCGCCGCATCACCAAAGCCCTAAGAATCCCATACCTCTAGGAGTAAAACATGACGTTAGAAAAGCAAAAACCCTAGATTCTCAGAGAGTGAAGGCAATCTACAATATCTTATGTTCCAGGGACCAGGAAGGCCGTAAAACCAAGGGAAAACGCGAGTACTCTATTGGAATCATCACAGCGCTCAAAGAGGAGTTCAGAGCAACGATTGCCATGCTAGATGAAGAACATGACGCACCGTCAGATTTTCAAAAACCACCCGAAGACTCCAACGATTACGTCTGGGGACGCATTGCACAACACAACGTCGTTATCGTTTCCTTTCCATCGGGAATTTACGGGACTAGTATTGCCGCTCGCGTTGCGACCCTATTGGTATCGGCGTTCCCTTCAATTCGGCTGGGTTTCATGGTCGGAATTGGTGGTGGAGTTCCCTCCCCCAACCACGACATCCGCCTTGGTGATATCGTGGTAAGCCAACCAGGACAGGGAACAGCAGGCGGTGTAGTTCAATACGACCTGGGTAAAGAGGAAGAGGGAAAATTCCGCTGCACAGGCTCTCTAAACAAGCCGCCCTCTGCGCTTCTGAGCGCCCTGACTTCTTTCCGGGCGCGACCACGGATATTTGAATTGTGCGAAACGATCCACCATGCGTCTATGGCTATCTACCAGGCTTTTGAGTTTGATGAGGCCACGCCTACCTATGCGTATCAAGGATCGGAGAATGATCGGCTGTTTCAAGCTGTCAGCGGCTTGACGTTTTTACCCTGGAAGTCATCTCGACCAATTGTGCGACGGAAGCGACCACGGCCAGAAGCACCAACGATTCACTACGGATTAGTTGCCTCTGGGAACAGAGTCATGAAGAACGGCAGGGAAAGAGACAAGATTCTCGCCACCTTAAAGCGAGAGACCAATGGCGGTGAATGTCTATGCTTTGAGATGGAGGCTGCCGGTCTCATGGACAACTTTCCTTGTTTGGTAATCAGGGGAATTAGCGACTACGCCGACTCTCATAAGGGCCATTCATGGCATGGATATGCTGCTATGACGGCAGCTGCATTCGCGAGAGAGCTACTTCATATACTGAAGCCCCCTGAAGTCGAATCATCTGCAAAGGCCAGGGACGTTATGTTTGAAGTACGCCAAGGTCAGTTATATTCCAAACAAGAAAATAGCTACTCCATTTTTTCCGCATCTCCTGACTAGATAACAGACGTGCAAGAGATAAAAGCCGATGTTTCCACTCTCTCGAACGTAGCTACGGTGCAAAAAATCCAAGGGTGGCTTGCTCCATCAGACCACGCAAAGAACTTCGAAGATGCTCAAGAGGCCTGTTACAGTAAGACTAATGCGTGGCTTTTCGAGCACAGCACTTACCACTCTTGGCTTTCGGGTAAACTTGACTGTATATGGCTACATGGGCCATCGGGGTGTGGGAAGACAGTTCTGTCGTCCACAATGATAGATGCGCTGATGAGGAATGGGCCATGCTTATACTTCTTCTTCGACTTTCGTGACGAAAAGAAGCAAACCCTTAGGGAACTTCTACTGTCACTCATCTGCCAGCTTTATTCTACATCTAATGGACCCAGAGAGGTGCTGCATCGACTTTACTCATCAAGAGACTGGAACCAAACAAAGCCATCAACGACTACCCTCATCGAAGTTTTTGACAACATGTTGCATCATTCAGGTCACGTAAAACTTGTTTTGGACGCACTCGATGAATCGAAAAAGGGAAGAGACCGCGAGGAACTCTTGCAGTGGCTCCACAGGCAGATCCGGGGCACAATGTCGAAAAGCTCCAAATTCAGGATCATCATGACGAGTCGAAGCGAACAGCAAGACATCATTGGAGCACTCGGCCCGCTAGTCTCAGAAAAGGCTCAATTGTCCATTGAAGAAAACGCTTTCAAGGTCAGGGATGACATTCGCAAATATATCGAACGGCGAATTGCGAAGGATCGCATGTTTGCACGATGGCGAAACGAGGCCGATGGCTATCCAGGTGAACCAAGGTTCCGACTGGAAGAAGAATCTTGTGCCGAAAACGAAGTAGAGTCCGAGAAACTCCATGCATACGAGGACTCAAATTTTGATGCTCTCGCGAATGAATCCGAATGGGATCCTATCCTGAGAAAAGCGAGAGACGTACTTGTCGATAAAGCTGGTACGATGTAAGCTCTACCATATCCTCAAGATTGTTAACAGAATGATATCTGACATATTGAACTCACAGGTTTCGCTGGGCTTCTCTACAGCTTGATAGCCTCGGTTCACTCGGAACCTCTGCAAAGATGGAAGAGGCCCTTGCGGATCTACCAGAAGGGCTCAACGATATCTATGCCCGGAGCTTGAGGGAGATACCCAAAAGGCATAGAGATGATGCAATCCGTATCCTACAGATGACACTCGCTTCAAAGCGCGCATTGGCTGTTGAGGATATGTTGGTATTTACGAGTGTTGACTTGGAGGCTACCCCTGGTCATTCAATCAACGATTCCAAGAAGATGAAAGATTTGGCTCCGTTCTCCAGCATACTGTCCGTCCTTATAAAGATAAGAACGAGACGTGTGACTGTTCACGAAAGGAAATGCCTTGAGATTGCACATTCTTCCGTTATGGACTACCTCTACTCACAAACACTAGAACCGTGCTTGGATGTCACCTTCTCTGACATTTCAAGCAGGATATCTGTCCTCCGTATCTGCCTTGCCTGTCTGATGACGATCAAGGATTTGCCTGGACAATATTATCCTCCATTAAGCTATGCGTGGGAGGAGTGGATCACTCATGCAAGAATTCAAGAAGTGGAGAAAGAAGCCTATGAAGATATTCTGAGGTATTTGCTCCATAGCGGCACAGTGAAGTATCACAAAATCGGGAACTTTACTTCTACAGGCCCTCCACTCTATCTAGCCTCCAGGCTGGGATTGTCAAGCACCGTAAAACGACTTCTGGAGCACGGAATCAGCCCGAACGAACCAGGAGGGAATACAAGAACATTGGCCGCCATCCGCACCAACTCGTACTACAAGAAAAAGCTCATTGAGTCCCAGGTGGACCCAGAAGAGCTTGTTGGACAAGTCAATGTCAACGCTAAAGGAGCAAGGTTTGAATATGCTTTGCACGCTGCGTGTCTTGCCAGAAGCTCTAAGATCGTGGAACTACTGCTCGAGAATGGGGCAGACGTAAACGCCCAAAATGATGATCACGAGACTCCGTTATATGTGGCGTGCGGCATGGGCCCATTGGATACTGTGAGGGTACTGCTGGACTACGGAGCCGATACCAACGCAAAGGGAGGAGAATATGGTACTCCATTGCGTCGAGCATGCCTTCTGGGTGATGTGACTGGTTTTCCTAGCCCTTCTCCTTCGTGGAGCGTTGAGATGTTCAATGGCATTGTGAAGATGCTACTTGATCATGGAGCAGACCCTAATGACTGTGAATCACGCTTTGGGAGTCCTCTAGTGTATGCAGCCTCCAAAAGGGCTCCGTGCATTGTTCAGACCTTACTCGAAAGGGGGGCTGATGTTGATTATCGGCAGTATGGGAAGTATACTGCCTTGGAGAGGGCTATCGTGAACGAGAATTTTGGGGTCGTCCAAGTGCTGATCGAGAATGGCGCGACCTTTGATCTCCTTAGTTTGGAACACCAAATGTATCTTTTAGAAGCCAAGGACCGAGGCTTTCGCACCACTGGAGACGAGCCCAAGAGCCAATGCTGTACTCCAATTGTAGTGGAGCGGCTGGAGGAGTTGGAACGTCAGCGCGTGAAGGGAGAGTTGCGCACAAGGAGGCCGAAAGATGAATCCAGATTTAGAAGGCGATAAGTAGTATCACTGTAGGAGAATTTCTCCTGCTGCTAACGTGGCAGACGGGCGATGTAGACATTCTCGTCTCCCCCGAGACAGGTAAATACAAATTAGTCCGTCAAGTTGCATGATTGGCTGCATTACTGAGCATCAATCGCGCTCAGCTTACGTAATTCCACGCTACAACACTCGCGTGACTCAGTAAGCGGCTATAGGCTGGTAGTGCATCACCACCTTTACATCCAAGCCCAACACAACCCATAGCTCATCAAGCCATGGCCAAACTTACAGATTTACCACGGGAGCTCCGCCAAAAGATCCTCCTCGCGGCCGTGCAGCAAGAAGACCGGCTAGTCGGCAGCACATGGCCGCAAACCATCACCACGCTCCTGCGCGTGTGCAAGACTCTCCGACGGGACATGCCATGGGTGCTCAACACATGGTCTCCACAGCGCTGGCTGCAGCGCCCCTCCGACCTCACAACACTCCCCACCTCCCTGACGATCGACGGCGTCGCCTGCGGCCCGTTCGCGGCAAAACCCATGCACACCCTGCGCATCAGCATCTTCCACGACGCATTGCCGGCCAACATCCGCAAAGCCGACTGGGCCATGAGCCGCGCCGAAGTCCTGCATCCAGAACTCATCGACGCCTGGAATGCCTTCGTCCCGCAGCTGCCCGTGGACGAGGGCATCCGCCCCACCGTCCTCCTCGACGTCACGCCCGCGCCGGGCTGGATGCGCGCGGGGGGCCACGTGTGCGAGCTGAACGCATTGCTGCTAGACGACCGCACGGCGCGCATCTTCATGAGCTGGCAGGTCGACGGCATCGCGGATCTCGTGCTGCGCGTGCACCGGCACTACGCGGGGAACGTGGACGTCAAGCTGACCGGCGCGCTGGCCGTGAAGAGCTCGCAGTTCGTGGCGGGGGTGGTCCATCGGTTGCTGTGGAACAACGGCATCCGCGTCCATTTCGTCGGCGAGTACGTCGACCCGGCGCGCGCGGGGCTGGGGATGATCAGGCATGCTGTGCAGCGCCTGGCGCCGAAGAAAAAGACGGCCGAGGTAGAGGACTGGGCGAGGGCGGTGAGGTTGGCGCCGCTGAGGAAGGTGGAGTGGTCGAAGAAGTCGGTTAAGTTGTTTGATAGGGCTTGTGATGGAGGGAGTGTGGAGGCGGTGACGGATGATTTAAGGGAAGTGGCGGAGCTGATGGTTGATGAAAGGAGGACCCGTTTGGAGATGCCGCCGTTCGGGAATGCACATCGTGCTATGGTACACAGCGTGGCGCAGGATATGGGCCTGTTGACGGCGTCGGAAGGGGAGGGCGAGAATCGATATGTCGTTATCACCAAGAAGTCTCTTTGAAATTAGCAGGTGCTGACATATTACGATCAAAATGAGCCCTGGGATGAATTACTCATTATGGAAAACGCGTATGCAAATTAATAGAGGCGTCTTCAAGGTCATGTTCGAAGTGACCATATGGTTAGTCTGAGCCAGGATCTATGTAGAGATGGTAATACACTTGGCATGTTGGAGAGTCGATCTTGACTATCAAGTCCCAAGGACAGCACGTGCAATCATGCAAGCGAAAGCTGCATCTATTCCCCAGGCTTGTTACTCGTCCGGTTTCGCAGTCAAGCCCAGGCTGGACAACATGGCTGAGCCCTTCAGCCTCAGCATTTTCAATACCTGTTTACTTTCTGTCAAAGTACTTTCAAGGTTATACCGGCTAGAGCTGTTGCAGCTTCAATTTCCTGAGACGCTGTATCGTGTGATGTTCCCAGAGGATACGGTATGGATCCATTTCGAATGGCGGAGACGGATAGCACGAGACCATCCATAACGACTGAAGCATTGAATTCCGTGGTAAAGTCATTCGAGGTGATAAGGTGATAGCCCTGGTATATACTATTAGAGTTTTCTGGAGTACCAAAAGACCGGTGGATGCTACCAAGTCATCCATCCCCCGATATCATTCCCAAATGCCTGGCAATTAATTACATGCAGCGCATTAAGAATGCATATACCGCGTCTGCTTGAGCGCAGGCACTGGCGTAGCTATCAATGTATAATTAGGCAAACGTGACTTGCGCAAAATCCGCGGCTGAGAAGTGCACAGAGAATCAGGGTAGAAAGTCCCGATCTCGGAACCAACTCTCCACGATCCCATTAAACTGCTCCGCCCCCTGCTGATGCAACCAATGCCCCTCCTCCAGCACGCTCACCCGATCCCCCACCCCGGCCTCATCCAACCCAATCGCCTTCTCCATATCAACCTTATACTCCGCCGCCACAACCGCCAGCCTCGGCACCCGCTCCTCCCCCGTCCTCGCCCCAAACCCCTCCTTCAAATACCCCTCCGCATCCTCCCACCTCCCCAGCGTCCCGTCATACCCATTCAGCTCCAGCCCCGTCTGCACCACGGCATCCACATCCGCGCCCCACGTCCGCAACTTATGCCACGTCTTCTCCCACTCGGGCGTGCGCTCGTCGTACACGCCCGCCACCGCCTCGAACCACGCCGTAATCGTCTGCAGCGCGTGCGCCGTGTCGTTCCGTATATCTGCATTCAGCGATGCCGTGTCGTTCGCCGTCAGGTAGTACGCGGAATCGACCAGCACCGCGCCGCGCACCTGCGCTGGATGCTCGATGGCCAGGATGGCTGCGACGAGGCCGCCGAGCGAGTGCCCCATGACGAGCGCGGGCTGCGTGAAGTTGAGGTGGGACAGCAGGGCGGAGGCGTCGGCGGCGAAGGCGGTGGGCGAGTAGAGCGAGGGAAAAGCGGTGGGGGACGGGTAGGCGGGGGAGCGCCCGTGGCCGCGTAGGTCGAGGGCGAGGACTTGGAAGCCCAGCGTGAGGAGGAACGGGATTTGGAAGGACCAGTCGAGCAGGTCGCAGCCCCAGCCGTGGAGGAGGAGGATGGGGGCGGCGGTGGGGGGCCCCTCGAGGGTGTAGAAGAGGGAGGTGCCGTTGGCGAGGAAGTGGGCGCCGCTCATGGCTGCGGTTTTGTTTTTTTTTATTTTTTTTTCCTTTGTACTTGCTAGAGTACAGATCCAGCTCAACGCAGAATTGTTTGAGTGAAGAGTTGATGTGTTTCAATCCGAGGGCTACGTCTATATACTAACGGTCTTGGCACGCAGTGGAGCTCGCATCCTTTGGAGGAGGAATTGTTCAACCTAGTATAAATGATGCAATTTCTTTAATCAGCAGATTACCACTTCAGCGGAATGTGAACCGCGCTGATAAATCTTTGCAATGGGAACTCGAGAGGTGAGTGCACGCAGGCTTACAAATGCGTGCGTGGTCGGGCGTCTGATTGGTCATTGCCATCCTGGTCGCCAGAAGGATTGTCGTGTTGGTCCGCGAGATTTTGTCCACATGAAAATGGATTTGGTTGGTGGAAATGGGGTGCGAAACTTCAACTTAATGTCGACAGTTGAGGCTGCATATGTTTAATGGAAGATTCTTTCAATGTTGCGGAGTAGGATGCATATCTTGAGGCTTTGGTAGTGCTTAATAATGCATGCAAAGGGCTTAAACAGCATTAGCAAGATTCCATGCTAGGTGGTTTGGATACTAGTGTATTGGCTTTATCGTAATTTGCTTTCACTTTAAACCATAGGCAGATGAGGTGGTTATGATGCCAAGAGCTGTGAGGAACAGGGCGTCGGAAGGCGCCACGAACCCGGCGGCAGCTCATTCTTCATACCGAACTCGTGGATTGCATCTATCGATCATGCAAATTAATACTTTAGCATTAGCTATACGTGCTTTTACTCGGATTGCACTTAGTTTCATCGCCATTATGATCCGTCGAAGTATCTCTCAGCATCACGTGGGACGCGTGCTGCTTACGTTAAATTCCTACAGGACTACCCCACTTTCTGCCTGCAGAACACTATGTCGTGTCACAATCGTGCTAAGTCTCCAATTTGCTCTCATATTTGATCACATTCCAGCGTTGCACCAGTCCCAACGACCGAAGCTCGGCTAGAATCACACCAGGCAGAAGGAGAACGCCATCGAGAGCAACAACCAGACACTGGCAGGGTAGAAAGGTTATTCATTACGTCAAATAAATCATTCAGTACTCTCACGCAACATCTTCATCTATCTCGCCCCGGTGCAACATTGTTCTAATCCCGGCTCCAACAACCTCGATGAAGCGGTCTTCGTCTATCGAGACGTCCAGGTCATGCCAGTCACCCTTCTCGTCACTAAAGTTTGCGTGTGCACTAAAGTAGCGATGCCTCCTCAGCTTTGCCAGATTCCTGAAGCCTTTGTAATTCAAGTTGTGCGGTAGGATCTCCACTACGCTGGAGCCTTCCGGAAGAAACATCGAATGCGTCAAGCCCGCTCCGTGGACACCGACAAGGATGTCCGTCTCTCGGATAATCTGCAGCTGCTTGGAAAACGGGATAGCTGCAAAATCAATTGACTGTATGTGGACGTTGGGAAAGTGTGCTTGTAGATTTTCAAGATGATGTGGGGTGTCGCGGAGGGCTCTGGTCTCACGACGGTCGATAAAAGTGAGTGTCAGGCTCGATGTAACCTCTCGGGAATATGAGGAAGATTTCATGAGGTTGTCGTAGCCGTACTGCGAGAGAACGCGCCGTGAGAAAATGTCGAGTAGCGGGGAATGTGTGCAAGCGCCAGCATGCCAGTCACCACGCCAGAGCGGGTTGCTGCCTCCTGCGAGGGGAATGATGACGTTGTCGAGGCATGCCGGTTCGGAGCCAAAGGGCAGCTCCTTGAGGCGCACGATTGGAAGCGGGGCGAACAGCCTCCAGAGGTCGAAGTATGGTCCGTCAGGGTGGTTATCAAGTATGACAATCTGCGTTGACGGTATATCTGCTGCGGAAATGAGCGACTCGGATGTCGGTAGCTTCGATGGATCGAGAGGCGTAATGCGTAGCGCGTCGATGGTGAGATAGAGGGAGAATATCTCCAGCAGCGAATGCCAGAGGTTTCCGTCGCCCTCCCGTTTTAGGAGAATAGTGTACTTCGGGGAGGATGATTCCGTGCAGAGAGGCTCTGGGGATTTCTTTGTGGTTGTGGAGAAGTACTGGGAGTAGATGTGGTACGGCCCGGTGTTGTACATGTATTTGGGAAATGATTGTGTGTCCAACACCGCTGCAGAACCATCCGCACTGGAGCTATCCCACGTCGTGCAGTCGAGCTTGAAGGTAGTCGACTGCTGTGTATGCAGCATCGATACTCCCTTGGCCAGGCAAAAGATGTCCCTGCGTTCCTCCGTGATGGTCGTGCCAAAGCACTCGAGTGAGGAATCGGACGATATGGGGTTGCAGTACGACTGGCGCCCGTCGCGCAAGTTGGTGAGGTATGCCGTGCTGTACTTGCTTTCGCACCATTCTGGATCCGTGGCTTGAACTTCATACTCTGCTGGGAGCGGTAGCTCCTGAGCTGGGTCTGATTGTTCGATCGGGCAAGACTTTGAGGTAATGATCGGCGAGGCGTAAGGATGGTCGGTGGATCGGTTGCGCGATAGGTAGAGGTAGGCTAGTAGAGTGGAAGTGATGGCAAATACAACCAAAACTCTGCGCCGCCAGCCAGCGGGCACAATCATTGCGTAATTCATAACGAGTGGACTATCTACAAACACAAGCTCTTCAGAAGCGAAGCGTGACAGGGAGTATATCTGGGGCGAGTCTCCTTCCACTCCTTTTCCTTGGCATAACCAAACTCTTCATGGACGGCGGAGCTCGCTAGATTTTGCAAGTGTGATACACGGCGCCACCCAGCGTGCGCGTCTTGGGATCCTGTGGAGGTCTGAGCTTCCTGATTGAGCGCGTGAATACGAGATTCTCCGAGGGAAAACCACTTTTGGTGTTTGGAGACATCTGACGAGCGACGTCGGCAAGCGGCACTCGAACCGAATTCACATTAGCTACAATTGAAGCTTTTTAGTGGAGGATTCAAAGGGGCTGTGCAAAGCACCCTATTGGTGGGTGCGTCGGTGCGCGTAGTTGCGGGCTTGTTTCGGTGCACGAGTGGGTCTGCGACCTAGTACTACACGGGACGCCAAGTCTGACCAGCCAATCAGAGCCCAGACAATTGGCCAAGCTCGCGGTATTCTTAGAATAAGCCTACCATGGTATAAGCCACATGGATAGGACGATGGGACGGTGTCATTGATAATTACCCAACAGCTACTACACACCGCTTCAGGTTTGCGGCTCTTTGACAGAATTGTTTCTACACTCCTCGATTCGAGCGTCTATTCCGTCCTATGGAGACTGCGCTTCGAGCGTTCTGGAGCTCGTATTCGGCTTCTGTCCGAGGATGTCCTGAAAGAAAGCATACCACTCCAATGCAATCCGCAGTCAATTTTCATATGGAGTTTCTTTTTTAAGTTTCTTGCCGAGACATCGATGGAAGAGAGCGGAGGATATCTTGGAGGTGGTTTTCAGCTGCGATAGCTTTTGAGTTTAACGGCCGAATACCCTTAACATGCAGCAAGTCCACCTGCATACTAGGAAAACTCAAACGACAGGTCTCGCTTGGAATTCCCACACATGAAATTCTGTAATGTGAGTGACTTGAGCACTGCTAACTTCTTGATTTGAGCGAGTTGATTTTGTGTGTATACGTGGGTTGTGTAATACATAATAGGGGTGAATTGCGAGGCACTTATCTGATGGAAAAAAAATTTACAGAGGCAAGCACATTACCGCCGTCGGCCCTATCCGGCTCGGCCCCAGAAGCTCCGTCGCGAACTGCCACGGGTCGCACCACGGTCGTAGGTCCACCAATAACGCCGGCCAAGCGTCAGAATTAGAACACCCGAAGGTGAAGGATGGTTTGATGATCGTGTTCGGCGTGGTGCAGGTGCAGGTGCCGGTGCAGGTGCCGGTCAAGGTGCCGGTGCAGGTGCCGAGACTGGAGAGGGAGGTGGGGCCGACGCCGAATGGCAGTTAGGCTCTGAAGGTGACGTGTAGGGTGCATATTGTGTAGTAGTCGCTGGAAGGGCCTCGGGTAAAGTCAAAGATGAACTTGAAGGGCGGAGTGGCAGGTAGCGGCCATCGGTTGAGACGTCTAGCGTTGCGGAGCCCGCGGGTTGCGCGGGCTCCTTTAAGACGGTGAAATGGGTGGAGTTGCTAGAGTCGTGGTGGTCGCCTCGGACCGGGAACTTTCCCTCATCACGAGGTCGTTGCGGCTGAGGGAGGAGTTATTGTCCCTGCAGTAGTGGCTCCACACTTCTCTACAGTGAGCTATTATGAGCTTCAGGATGTATATCCTATCCGCACTTGTCTAGCATGGCGCACAGCAAAGCAGCCCGGTCGGAAAAAAAATTGCGTCCAAGCCCTCGCGCCAACACTACCAATCCCGGAATGATCTCCAAACAGACTCGACCGTGCATTTCAGGAACAAGCCTCTTCATCCAAATAGCCCGGCACTGCTGGTGATGTCGAATCTGCCATCATTGTCGGGGCAGGCCTCGCAACATTTTGGGCAGGCTTGATTGAGTGATCAAGGCCCAACGCTTGCGCTTACAATGGAGCAATATACCCTGATGGATTGCAAGTGTTGATTAAGCGTTATTCACCGCTAGTACCTTCTATAATAATCTTAGCGTTATCACTATTTTACATCCCGTGGTGGGTTAAGACTGAAAGCCCTTCAGCTATGCACGTGCCATCATAGGCCCACTTCTGCAGACGGTGTCGCTATTTTAGTAGACATCCCGCTTCTAAGCGGTTCTAAACGGTTGTAAGCGGTTCAATGTGCGATCTTTATGTCAAAGGCGATTCTGAAGAGGTGGATAGGGAGCTCAGTCAAAAAGACAGTAACGATGGGGACGGTCAGCCAAGCTCGGGTTCAGATGGAAGATCTCATGACTGAAATAGCTGCCTTGCCTAAGCCGAAGTGAGAGACTCTGGCCATTGATGGGTACCACGGCAACGAAGTAGAGGGGCATTGGTGGTCCGCGCAAGGTGATTCTTATCAGCCTCAACTCGTGGATTACGTCTGAATATCGTCAAAGATGTTATCCTTGCCCTCATACTCCGTATTTCGGTTGGTGGCTAACACTGCGTTGAGATTATTATGATCTGTCAAAGTATCTCTCAATATCACGTGAGACGCATGCTGCTTAGTCTTACAGTCCCCTCTTCCAGCCGATAGCCACCGTAGATTTATTTTTTTGCTTATGTCATGGATAAAATTCCACATTCTCGTCCGGACGATAGCTTCAGCTACCCATATATGTTATTTTCAAAGGCAGAGCTGGGGAATAGTTACGCTATGTTCCGAAGCCCTGCTATATTTTGCGCTAGTCATTGGCTGCGAGAAGGGGCTGTACGTTGGATTAAATTGGGCATACTACCCCACTTTCTTGTCTGGAAGATACTGAGTCGCCCTACGGCCGTTATCGACGTAAGCAACTCTTCGACTACACATCGTACGTTTTTCTCACCGCACCCTTGCCACAATGCTACCACGGAGGATCTTCCAGCGAGGGTATCACCCAGGTCACACTCAAAGGCGACATTCACAATCGAACACGTATTGCTCGGCGACGTACCTTTCAAGGCATTTTCCTACGTCTGGGTCATGACTCACGTTCTTCCGAGCTGCCTTTAGTATCTGACTGTAAGGAATTTTCAGAATATATCCCATTGACAAGAAGCCTACATGAGGTGTTGGCCGATCTGCCTCATGTTCTAGGAGAAGGATGCATTTGGATTGACCAGATCCGCATCAATCGGGAGGATAGAAACGAGCGTGCGAAAGACGTAGTGGTTATGAGGGAGATTCATAAAATGGCAGAGATGGTCGTCGTTTGGCTCGGCCCTTGGCGTCCGAGTATGGAGCCCCTCTCAGCATATATACAAGACAGTCGACTCAGAATCGCTAGTGCAGGTTGGAATCTCAATTCCTTGATTAGACCTCTGTGCAATTCCATGCATCCATAGTTTATGAGAGCTTGGGTAGTGCAAGAGAGTACGTTTAGACACGACGTACAGGGTGTCATAGGCCAGTAAATATTCGATTGGGTGCTCATAAACGGACTTGCCCTGGTCACTGATGGGTTCCTCTCCGAGTAGGATTGCTTCTTATTAAATCCCTGGTTCTGCGAATATGCTGCCGAACGATTATGTGAGAGGGCTATGGACGATCGAAATATGATCCACTCCCACGGACAGGGAAGTATGCCAAAGCCTATTTAATATACTGTTAATCGGTCTTGCTACATTCAATCCAAGACATAATCAGCAAGATTTTCTAATACGAAGGAGACTTGACATATCCAAAGTCCGACACATGTTGTGCAATAGATGCCCCTGTATGTATTGCAAAATGTAAACTATAAAGTGTGGTTTCAGCCCAGCTCTGCAATCGTGTGCGACCCAGTCCGATGACTACAAACAAAAAAATAAACATTTGGAGAAACAGACAGCCAGAAGAATAGATTATAAAAACGCATTGGCTACTGCTGTCTTCTCTGCTTTGAAGCTCTCCCAACGGAGATTGAGGGCTAACCCGCCTGTTTGCCGGACCAATAAGCAGTTTACCTTGAGCGGAACTATCGACGGTAAAAATCGTGCTTCGGCAATCCGCATCAAAAGAGCCTGTCAGCTTGCAACCCCTTATTGCCACTCTAATACGGAAACACATGCCTACTTCGTTTTTTCAGCCAGATGCGGCCCTGCACTCAGCTGCACGTTCGCCTCCAATGTTCCACTCTCCAATTCAAAAGGAAGTTCACGCCGAGCTGGACCCCACTTTTGGTACTGCTCCCGCATTCCGGTTTGAACGAGTGGGGCTTTTAAATGCGGGGGCTCAACAAATGAAATGAACGACAACATCAGCAACAACAATAATAACAACACCGCGGAATGGCATCTGAGGGTAGCCCTGACACAGCAAAGAGAAAAAGGACGAGTAGCGCGTATGATTGAACCTCTCTATCCTGGTTACTTAAGTTGATTTTGCTGGTCAACAGCTGCGAGGCATGCCGCAAAAGCAAAATCAAATGCTCAGGCATTGCTCCTTGCTTCTCGTGTGAGCGACGTTCAATACCGTGTGTATTTTGTGAAGAGAACAGAAGGGTCGTGATATCGAAAGCGTAAATTCCCTGCTTGTGCAGCACTGAGAAACACTTTGGCTGACCGTACCAGTTATCTCCGCTCTCTCGAGCGCCAGGCCGAACAGGCGGATGAGGCCGAACGACCTCTGTATCGCAAAAGATGCCATGACTCAGCTTTCAGCGATTCCAACGAGAATGCTGGTGTGGATTACCTGAGGATCCAAAGAAGATTGATCACGGCTGACACCAACAGCGACAGCGTCATGGGAGGAACAACCACCGCCGACACCATTAAGCCCACGAAGGGCTGAACAGCTCGCAGACAACCAGGAAGATTCGACAAGCACCAGTCCATTTTCCGCCCACCCATCATTTATACCGGACATCTACCAGGACAAGAAATGGCGTAGGCACTTCTATCATTTTGCCTTAATTGGTTCGTTACTAATCTGCCCAGTCTATATTGGCAATGTCTCAAACCTATCTTTCATGCTACGAGCGACTACATTGCTCAAAGGATTTGCTGATGAGACCATACTGGAAGACATTCCATTCACCCTGGACGGCGACACATATTCCATGCGATGGAGCCGCTCGACAGCTGACGGCCCGCCCGACGTCCGCGGCATCCCCCCGCTTGACTACACCATGTATCTCCTGAATACCGTCAAGTTTCACCTGGGTCAAGTTCTCCGCCTCTTCGACGAAGAAGAGTGCGCAGCGCAGATCGAGCAGTTCTACCAAGACCCGCGCAAGAAGATCGAGGAATCACGGTTGTGGTACATCCAATTGCTTCTCATCCTTGCGTTTGGCAAAGCTCTCGTGTCGCCTGGCCCGAAGAGCCATAGCCCGGCCGGGTTTGAATTCTTTGCACGCGCAATGTCCATCATGCCGGATGCGCCTGACGTACGTGCCGACCGGGTTTTGGCCGTTGAAGTACTTGCACTCGTCGCCCTGTATCTCTACTGCGGAGACATGAAAGAGTCAGCTTACGCGTATGTGAGTATGCGGCACGTCTCGCCAATGTCTTTATACTGTATTGACACCGTGTCGGAATGCAATAGATAGGACAGTCTGTGCGTGTTGCACTTTTAGCCGGGTTGCATACACGGCTGCCAACCGAGAAACTCGGAAGCAAGATTTCGGGCCGCTACCATGATCTTTGGTGGACCGTGTATATTCTTGACCGCCATCTGTCTTCAACAATCGGCTGTCCGACAACGGTGCACGACGACGATATATCGGCGCCATGGCCGGCTCTGAATTCATCATCCCAAAAGGATACTATATTCAGTCTCCATGTGCAAGTGTCCCGCCTTGCCTCAAAGGTTTTACGGAGTAAGTGAGAGGTTTGCACCGGATTAAGGCTGTTGCAACGTTGACTGTATCTGATAGCCGTCTACATCCCAGAGACAAGCATGAGCAGATCGTTCTTCGAGCAGACAAAATCAGCATTGAGGTCATTGGGCCAACTTGCTCGGGAGCTTGAGGATACCACGGGCCGCAGACTAAGAAGTGCAGTGGATATTGACTTGACGGCCGTCACGCACATCACACTTTCCTATCACCAGGTAAGGATTGCGAGTTCTGTGTCGCAAGTAATTACTAAGTTTGGGCCGCCTAGTGCGCTATCTTGACCACACGTCCCGTCCTGCTATCTCTACTCAAGGAGAGAATAAACAAGCACTCGGAGCAGCACGATTCAGGCCAGGTGCCCTCCCACTACAAGCCTCTTATCCAGACGTGCGCAAACTCTGCCGTCAAGGTCATTGAGCTACTGACAGTGCAACTCGAGAATCATATGCTCCGTAAGTAAACTCATCTCAGGTCCGAGTTTCTCGGCATTACCAACACATCTATTCCAGAGACATTCCTTCCATTCCATTTGGAATTTGTGTTTTCTGCATGTATCGTCGTTTTGATCGTGCAAGCACTCCTTCCACGGATGATTCCCGACCGAGGCCTGAAAGAAAGGGCCGACGCCATCCTCGAAGAAATGGCCACCCGAGGAAACCGACCTGCTCGATTCCGTCAAGTTGAACTCAAGCGCCTCCAAGATCTGCTATGCAAGCTGGGTGACGGCACTCCACCTACGACCTTTGCCGATCCTACCTCTCAAACGGTCCTCTCCCCGCAGCTGCCTCAGGCTGCTTCAATGGCCCTCGAGGATATGTCCATCGAGCCCTTCGAGATCTGCGAACATCCGAATCGTGACATGCACCAAGGAGGTAGTTCGGATGACATGAGCGGCCGTGGTGGTGGGTTCCTTACCAGCTACGGTCTTTCCTCCGACGCGATACTTTCCATTGCGGACCAAGTCAGACTCAACGACCTTTTTCTTGAGCCGAGCAGCCTCGATGAGTCGTGGCTACCTTGAGCGTGAGATTAGTGGCTATGAATAGTTTTGAGAAAGGTGGACACTACGATCAGCTTGCTTGTATTTCGGCGTATTTTCTCAATACAACTAAGTGCACATGATGTTGGAAGAAATTTGCTTTTGGATGAACCAGTGCAAGGACATAACAGATGCAAGGAACATTAATGCTAGAGTACAAGCAGATGACGTGGAAGATGTGTAAAAGGGTTCGATACACACTTCAAAAAAAAAAAAAAACAAGCCCAGACTAATTGACAGGCTTCCTCAATCAAGGTCACGATGCATTTTTCAGTTGGTGACAGGTTAATTATCCCTTGAAACTCGTTTATTATCAATATGATCTCTTCATATTATCTATGGGTCCCGTTGCTACCACAGTTGAACGTATGTGCCAAACCGACGCCACACAGACATCTTGTAGTACTCCTCCAGCATGGATATTTCCTCGAAACTTAAACCTCTCCGACCAGTGGAACAGTCCGCGAATTTGGGATCTCGCCACTGTGTCCGCATTACGACTTTGTACACCAAAGTGAACACAACAATCAACAAGATCCCAATCATGTACTGAAAAAAATTTCCGACATCAAAGCTTCTGCCGTCCTAGACAATGCTGGCTGAGCACCGCTTCTCCTAGAAGAGGAACAGGGGTTGAGCTTACTACTGGTGCTATCCCGGCCGCGAAACAGGCTGCTAAGAGCAGCAAGCAGTTCGCCATAAGCCAAAGGGGAGCAAGAGGCCAGCGGGTGGAGTGCCACGAAAAGGGCTCTTGGAAGAGTTGGTCGTTCTGCGCTTCAGTAGCGGCTCGGAATCGGAAAGAGGTGAAGGAAACGATGATCCAGCATGTGAAGAACGAAGAACTCGTGATGGCGACGAGCCAGTTGAGAACGACGGTACCTCCTGCTGTGCGCCAAGTCAGCCATCTCCCACACGTTGTCATGGGTGGGTACGTTACAGCTGAGTCCCAGGAAAGTCAGCATTGCCGCAACCGCGAGGGTGATAAGTAACGCCGGGAACGGCCGTCCCCTTTTGTCGACCTTCGCCATGGCCTCGGGTATGAGTTTCTGGTGTGACATGGATCGAAGTACGCGGGATGCAAGATAAACGGCCTCGGCAGAGATCGCCAGCACCCCGATGATCATTCCGGCGTTGAGGATGTCCGGAATGACGACGATTCCCACATCTAATTGACTGATGATGTAAGGGGAAGTGGCGGCACCGGATCCTCCAAGAAGTCGGTCGTTGTCGGATCGCACGAGTAACGAGACTAGTATGATGGACGTCATGTAGATTCCAAATACCCGGTATGGGACCAACGTTGTCGCGTGGCCCATGCTCATACGCGGTAGCTTTGCTTCGCCGCCCATGATGCCGATGAAGATTTGGTCGCCAACGGCCCAGACGGCGAGCAGAGCGCAGTCTGCAAAGCCCTTTGACGCATTCAGCTTTGTTGATATCGTTCAGACTAAGTCACATACCTGGAAGCCGTTCTTATATGCAGGCAACTCGGTCCAAGCACCGGCGTCATGTACGTAGCCGTTCGGTCCGGCGCCGCAGAGAATCGCAACAGAGGTGACGATGATCAGTAGGAAGAGAATGATCTTGATCACTGATGTGACATATTCGAACCATGCGAATACCGTGTTTGGCATCAGAAAGATTGCGGTGCAAGCAACGAGAAATATAGTCACTGTGGCTCATACCGTCAGTTCCTCAGAAGGCTATAGGGGTAAAGCTGTGGGGCTTACGAAGCGCGGCCTGGGGTATACCACCCTGTCCCCAGTAGTCGACGAGAATGGTAAAGAACACGGCCTCCGAGGCCACGATGGCGGTCCAGCCTGTCATCTGATTCAGCCATATATTCAACCAGCTACCGATAACTGAGTCATGCCAAGCCATTCTGCAAACCCGAAGCCGAATGCCAAAGCTGGGTCAACCCATCTATCCACGTAGTCGATGATGTTTCCCGAAGTGGGAAAGGCGATGGTCATCTCCGAAAGTGTCTGTAACACGGCCCAGACGCAGGTACAGACGAGAAAGTAGGCTGTGACCATGGAGCCTGGCCCGCCAACAGCCAGCGCTTTCCCAATGCCGATGAACAGGCCACTTCCGATATTCGAACCAAGAGAAATGATCTGCATGGCTTTAGTGGTGGAGACGTCAATGCTTTATAGAACGCCTGACTTACGTGGACCTGACGCTGAGTGAATGAGCGCTTGAGCTCTCCATTCCGTAGATTCTCAAGTGGACCGGTTTCTGCAACCACGAAGCTGGCCGCTGGCTCAAGGTCGATACCTTTCGGGTCAGTCGCCTTTGCCGCACGGTCACCACATCCCGTTGTGGATAGAGGCTCTGCGCTTTCCATTGCTGGTATAAAATCGTCGTGGTTGAGCATCGATTCCGTTCCAAAACTCAGCGAAGGTCAATTGATCGAGACGAGCAATTGCGAGATACCATGAGTTTTTGAACCAAAAATTTATTCTGCTTTGACCAGGAAAGCCAGTCGCCTGTTCTGTTTATTCCCACTTAGGCATACTTGGCTCGGATGCATTTCCGGCGAGAGCGGAACCAAGTACCGAGCACGCGTAAGTGCCCCTCCGACGAAAGCGGGGTTCTACGGATGCTCATCCGATTGCCGTCAATCAAGTAATTCAAAGTCAGAGACTAGGACTATCTCTTGTCAAAGTGCCAAAGACACAGTCTGCAGATTTCTTCTACACGGTTGTAATTGGATCAACATGGCAGTCAACAAAGTCGAACCTGAGACATTCTGGGTCAAGCCCACGCCGCACTCACCCAACTCGGCGCTCCCGGTCGTGGTTTACCGGAAGGCCCTTTCGGACACAAGCCCCGAAAACATTCTCACCTCGATCGAGAGGAATGGCTGGCTGAAGGGCGGACACTGGAAGACGTTCAAGGTCCCTCACTTCCATTCCAACACTCACGAGTGCTATGGCATCGTTCGCGGCAGCAGCATCTATCAGCTCGGGAAATCGCCTCTCGATGCGGATGTCGACGAGGAGGGAAATGTCACTGGCAAGACATTTTTCGCACAGGCGGGCGACATCTTTGTATTGCCGGTGAGAACAAGTTCCTCGATGAATAGCTTTCTATTACTGACTGATTTCGAGGCCGGCATCAGTCACTGTTCGATTGAGTCTGAAGGTGAATATGAGTACATTGGATTGTATCCTGAGGTATGCGCCATCTATAATGATTCACACGCTCGAATAGCTGACAAGCAAGGGTGATTTGGTTGATGGTTCAAGGTGGGACATTAATTGGGCGAAAGACACGCCGGAAAAGACAAGTGAGCTGGCGAAAAAGTGTGCTTCAGTCCCTATCCCTGAGAAAGATCCTCTGTATGGTTTGGGGGGCCCTCTTCCAAAACTGTGGAGAGACGCGTTGAATCAGGCCTGATCTTCATGTACTACAACCAAGTGCGATGCTGCAGCAGACATGAATATGCTCTTGAAACAAAGTGGCTACTGCATCCATCTCCCTGTTTAATCTTGTCCCTAAGGGCCGAGCGTCACGGGTGTTCACATGATGGGTCATGTGACTAATCTCGCTAACTTTCTTCGGACTTTTGGACGTGTCTTTCTTCGCTCGTACACATCTTACATCACACTTACTTGCAGCTCGCGGGTGATGACGGAGCCGTCTCTTTGAAGTATTTCAGTCTTAGTCTGACACGAGGATCCCCGATATCGGCTACGCGTTTGGAACACAAGGCAATATCACCGACCGACGCTCAGCAGCAGCGCCATGCCGCCGGCTCCACACGCCGCTTCTAGTGCGTGCGCGATATGTCGCAGACGCAAAGTACGGTGCGACAAAGGCCAACCATGCGGCAACTGCGTGCGCATGCACACGGACTGCGTCTACCTTCCCACGCCGCCCCGGCAGCGGCGGAGTCAGTCGCGGCGGCAGAGGGAGATGCTCGAAAGGCTACGGAAGCTGGAAGGGATGGTGGCGGGCATGGACGTGGCTGGACAGGGCGAGCGTCCGCAAGCTCTGGATCAAGCACACAGCGCGTCATTGTCGTCGTCGCCGCCGGGCAACAGTAACTTCGGCGGCAGTCCCAGCCCCAGCCTTGAGGGCATCGATGCTATCGGCCAACTCAGCGAGAGCTTCGGGCGGTTGGAAGTGCGTGAGGGTAGGTCCATGTGGTTTAGCAACGGCTTGATGGCTAGATTCCATGCCGAGGTACGCAATATCCCCTTCCTCCAGCTTTGGGAATGCCTCATAACCGCCGTCGTCCAGGCCGGTGAGCGACGCAATATGACTGTGGAGAGCTGCAATGACGGAGACGAGCCGTCAAGTGTCTTCTGGCGCACGGACCAGCAGGCCTTCGACCCTCTAATCTACCTCCCGCCGCGCCGACAGCTTCCGTGGTACTGGGACAAGTTTGTCGAGCGCGTTGACCCATTATTCAAGATACTCCACGTGCCAACGGCTGCCCCGTCCTTCTTGGAGTTTGATGCTGAGAGCTCGCCCATCACCATGTGGCCTCTATTCTTCGCCATCTGCTACTGTGTGGTGTGCAGCCTGCGGCCCGACGAATGCGCTGCCGAGCTGGGCGACGACCGCCACGTCCTGATACTCAAGTATAAGACTGCCCTGCAGCGGGCTCTCAGCACCGCCCGGTTTCTAGCGACGCAAGAGCTTAGCGTGATGCAGGCGCTGGTCTTGCTGCTTAGCTACGTGCAAGGACGTGAAGCCGAGGAGCTGTGGACGCTGTCGGGGCTGACGATCCGCATTGCCCAGCACATGGGCCTCCACCGCGAAGGCGAAGCCAACGGCCTTCTCTCGCCATTTACTGCCGAGATGCGCCGCCGCGTGTGGTGGCAGATATGCGTGCTTGACGTGCAGATCTCCGAGGCCCGCGGCGCCGAGTCGTTTCTGTTTGACCTCTTCTTCGACACGCGCATGCCGCTGCACGTGCGCGATGCTGACCTGGACCTGGACATGACTGTGCTTCCAGAGCCGCGCAAGGGCTGCACCGAGATGACCTGGAGTTTGGTCATGTTCGAGGCGTTCGACATCATGCACCGCATCGCTCGCATGCCACCTGGGAAGATGCATCAAAAGTCAGTCCTCATCGCCGACTTTGCAACCAGGGTCGAGGAGCAGTACTTGGTAGCAAATGGCACAAAGCCATCTCCGTTACTGCGCAGCACCCGCGCCATGTTCCACTTCCTCCATAGCAAACTTTTACTTCTGCTCCATCGCCCATTTCGAGCTCAACCTCTTTCACAAGACGTCAAGGACACCGTGTTTCAAGTCTGTCTGGAGGCACTCGAGTCGTGGTACTCCATGGCCACCGATACTACCGTTGGTGGGCGCAGCCCAGGTTTTAGATCAAACTCACTGTTGCAGCCACTGGTACTTGTGCTCGCGCAGCTGTGCGAGGGCAGGAAGGACAAGCTTGCTGAGAGAGCATGGCCTGTTGTCATGGCCGCTCAGCTGCCATCCAGAGATGGTTCCCTGCAGCCCCGCATGCGCAGACTCATTGACCCGGTACAGGGTCTCTTGGACCGCGCAAGGAAGACCAGGGAGTTGCAGTTGCAGCGGCTTTGCCTGGGGGACCCTAACTCTTCTTCAATCGGCCAAGAGGACCACTCGTTGGCAGGTCTTGTGCCTTCATCTAATGCGTTGGATGGCGCTGCCACACAGCTCCCGACTGACCTCGCCGCCTGGGCTGACGAGCTTCCCGGGCTCTGTTTTCCAGATGATGTGATGTGGCTAGACTTTCAGGGGTTCGCGCATCCACCAAGTTGAAGTTCTACAGTCTTTGGTCTACCTTGTAAACCTAGCACTACCTGGATGCCTACAAGCATTGTAACGATCCATTTGCGCGTCTTGGATAAATTCTGAGGATTCCCTGCGTCCTCTTCTATCCATGTCACTCTGTATGGATCTTCATAGGTGCCGGCTCCTTGATACTGCCAGTTCAACACCTCGGGCGAGACGTCGTTCTTGCGAATCAGCCGTACCAGCCTGCCCGATATGCTCATGGTGTTGTTGAGCCGAACGGTCAATGGTAGAAATAATTAGATTCAAAGAACGGCGCGAGAAAGGGACCCACTGCAAAGGAAAGGTGCATCCGTAGGTGATTGCGGAACGCGTGGTGTTTTATTCAGGATTGTTACGTAGCGGAATAGCCGCCGCATTATTGCGCAATGCTTTGCAATCTGTCGATACTGTCTCCCCGTTCATTCGTTATTTTCTCCAAGACTCCGAAGGGCCCGACGGGCCGAGCCGAAGGTCGTTCGGTGCTTATTCCCCGCCCGACGCCGAGGCTAGCTCTCTTTCGGCACCGCTTCGAAGGCTGCCCCTTCTCGGCTGCGCACTATGTAAATGAACTGCTGGCCTATCAGGTGAACCATAATTCTAGATGACGTGAGATGCATACATGCTGTGTGACGCTCGGTCGGACTCGGTTGTAAAGTTAACTAAAAGAGGAAGCCGCTCGGCCGTACTCGGTTGTAGAGCTCAGCTCAGCGCCGACCTACACATATGTGTATACCTATTCGATGATGATAGATTAACCAAGAGAGGAAGGGGCTCGGCCGTACTGGGTTGTAGAATTTAGCCGAGCCCCGCTACTCGTATACCTATTCGGTGGTGATAGATTAGGAGAGTGAGGGGTAGCTACAATTCTAATGTTCGGCCGAGCAAAGGCGTTTTTCAACTATCCCTAAACTTTCCAACTATAAAGACGGCGCCTCCCAACTTCGACTAAACTGTCATCCACCAGACGCCACACATTCTGAGCCATGGAATTTACGGGAGATCACGCACAGAAATCCTCTAGCCATTTACTCTGGGGCGTTTTTGGCTGTGTGAGTGAAGCCCTAGAGCTGGATTGAGACGTTGCTAATATTGTCTTGTTAGTGTTTCTTATACTTCATCGGAAGCACATTGTACAGCGTGTACCTCAGCCCCCTGGCCAAGTATCCTGGACCGAAGTTGAACGCCGCGACCGAGTTGCCCTTTTGGTGGAATGCCCTTCGAGGACGACAGATATCTTGGTATCATGCTCTACACCAAAGATATGGCGCCGTCGTTCGTGTATCACCAACACGATTAAGCTACATTGACGCCCAAGCCTGGAAAGACATCTACGGACACCGCACGGGTGGGAAGAAGAGCTTTATCAAGGATCGAAAGTTCTACACCAGAGCCGTCAACGGCGCAAATTCGGTGCTTAACGAGGCCGACGACGACGAGCACGGCCGTGTCCGGAAGATCTTTTCTCACGCCTTCTCGCAAAAAGCGCTAGTCGAACAGGAGCCGCTTATCCGACACTACGTAGATCTACTAATCTCTAAAACCAGGGAATCAGCATCCGAGTCCGACAAGCCTTTCGACATGGTCAAGTTGTACAACTTCACCACTTTCGACATCATGGCCGACCTTACCTTTGGGGAATCACTCCATCAGATTGAAGACTCACAATACTCTCCTTGGGTATCAGTAGTGTTCGGCGCATTCAAGGCCGCTGATATGTTCCGCGTTGCTCAGGAATATCCAATCCTTAGCCTCATCTGGAAATTCGTCGTGCCGGCTTCCCTCCTCAAGATGCGAAAAGACCACTTCCAGTACTCTGTTGACCGCGTCGAGCACCGGCTAGCTTCTCCGACAGAAAAGGCAGATATTTGGGGTCTCACCTTACGCAATGGCGGACTTTTGGACAGGCCTAAGATGCATTCCAACGCGGCGCTGTTCATGCTCGCCGGGACAGAAACTACGGCAACCCTGCTTAGTGGGTTGACGTACCACTTGCTGCGTAACCCAGACAAGCTACACACACTCGTCGATGAAATCCGCAGCTCCTTCGAGTCAGAAGAGGACATGAACTTGGTCAACTTACAAAGGCTGACATACTTGGAGGCCTGTCTAAACGAAGGCTTCAGAATGTATCCGCCCGTGCCTCTTGGGCTCCCACGTCAGGTACCCGAAGGCGGAGCGGCAATCTGTGGGAAGTGGGTCCCGGGTGGTGTAAGTACTAGAATCTGCCCAGAATTCCATCTTACTAACACCGAGATCGAAAAGACAAGGGCATTCGTCAGCCAATTCGCAGCCTACCAGTCCGCCCTCAACTTTCGCGAACCTGAATCTTTCCTACCGGAGCGTTGGATGGACGGCACTGGATTTGACACGGATAAGAAAGACGTCCTGCAGCCTTTCTCATTCGGGCCAAGGAACTGCCTTGGAAAAAAGTAAGTGCGCTGCAAATTAGCATTGAGGATTTTTCTGACCATGTTCCTCTCAGCTTGGCGTATCATGAAATGCGACTCATTCTCGCGAGGACATTATGGGCATTCGATATGGAGCTCTGTGAGGAGAGCATTGAATGGGCCAATCATAAGGCATACACCTTGTGGGAGAAGCCTCCGCTGATGGTTCGACTTACTCCACTTAGTAAGTAGAGCCAGTCAATCTTGCGCATGGCCAAGCATCCGGGCACTAGCAAGAAGAAAAGTGGTTGATAAGCGAGCTGAGCTGTGGAGAGAAGCTTTGAAGCAGGTCTCATCTTCATGTACCGCAACCAAGTGCGATCCTGTAGCAGACATGAAATAAAATCGGTACTGAGGCCATGATATTATGCCGTCATGCTGAAAGCGCATCGCTAGATGCATAATGATGCGTTCTGTTGACTTTCATTGTAATTTCTCGATGAACGGACAGCTGAAACACGAATACAAAACAAATGTGTGAACAAATGCATCTGGACAAGAGATTCACCCCCGTCATACGCGGGGAGATCTGAAAATGCGGGGTAGCCATGTGTCGGAAGGCCTTCCTATCACGGGGCGGAAGGCCTTCCTATCAACCCAACTGATAAGAGATGTGGGGAATCCATTGACAAGGATGTCAGTGATCTGTTTCCTTCGGAATGTCGTTCCGAATCAGCCTTGAAAATGCACAATTCCAACAACACTACTACGAGTAAAGTAACGTTCTTGAGATAAATACCCATTCATCAGCAAATCTGATTATTTGTGTACCACATCACGTCCTACTCTCGAAATGACGGCTGCCAGAGGCCAGAACGGATTTGCATCTCCAGTGATATCCGAACGACTGATTGATGAGCCGAGACCACTCAAGGTCATATACATCGGTGCGGGGGTGTCAGGAATTGTCGGGGCGATCCAGCTTCGCAAAATGGTGCCTACAATCGAGCTCGTGATGTACGAGAAGAATGCCGATGTTGGGGGGACATGGTACGAGAACAGGCAAGGCACACAATGCGGCATAATGACAAAGGCTGCTGACTCTGGCGTCCAGATATCCAGGTTGTGCGTGCGGTACGTTGACCCCATGGGTTTGCAATAGCCAAGTGCTGATTTTTAGAAAGATGTCCCATCGCACTCGTACCAGCTCAGCTTCGAATCGTCGACGGACTGGAGTCAATTCTACGCATCGGCTCCCGAGATCCTCGCGTACTGGAAAAGGGTGGCAAGAAAGTATGACGTGGAGAGGCTCGTCAGGTTTCAACACAAATGCGTCGAGGCTCGCTGGGATGCAGGCCAGTCCAAATGGTCGGTCAAGCTGCAGAAGCTTGACGGCTCGGATGGGGCAGATCTGGTGGAAGATACAGCAGACGTCTTGATGACTGGAACAGGAGTTCTGAATGAGTGGCGGTGGCCTGACATCAAAGGATTGCATGACTTCAAGGGAGATCTGCTTCACAGTGCCAATTGGAATGGCGCTTTTGATCCGAAGGTGCGTTTTTCGATGCTCCAATAACAGATATAGTCCTAATTGTTCTCCGTTCCAGGACAAGGCAGTTGCAGTCATCGGGGCAGGAAGCAGCGGGATTCAGATTGTCCCAGCACTGGCCGGCAAAGTGCGATCCATGGACCATTACATCCGGGGCAAGACGTGGATCACGAACCAGATCGGCGAAGAGTTTCTGAAAGAGCGGACATGGTCCGGCAGCGGCAACTTCGAGTACACTTCCGAGGAGAAGGCAGTGTGGAAGCAAGACCCGGCAGCGTACGTGCAGTACCGCAAATCCCTAGAACTCAAGCTCCAGGGCAACTACGCCATCTCGCAACGCGGCGACCCCTCGCGCGCCCAGGCGACCCGGGCGTCGTTCGAGCAGCAGATGCGCGACCGCCTACAAGCAAAGCCCGAACTCATCTCGCACCTGATCCCGGACTTCCCGCCCTTCTGCAAGCGCCTCACCCCGGGCCCAGGCTACCTCGAGGCCCTATCCTCCTCCCCCGCCGTCACCGTCATCCCGACGCCCATCTCACACGTCGACGCCACCGGCATCTGGACCGCCGACGGCACCACGCACCGCCCCGTCGACGCCATCATCTGCGCCACGGGCTTCGACACTTCCAGCGGCAGCGTCAGCTTCCCCATCTACGGCCGCGACAGCGCCACCAGCCTGCGGGCCAAGTACGCCGCGGCAGGAGCAACGCCGCGCACGTACCTCGGCCTCTGCACCGACGGCTTCCCCAACTTCTTCCACGCGCTGGGACCGAATTCGTTCCAGGGCGCCGGCAACCTGCTCGTCACCATCGAAGCGGCGCACGCATACGTCGCGCGCATCCTGCGGCGGCTGGCGACGGGGAACGTCGCGCGCGTCGAGCCCAAGCCGCGCGCCGTCGACCACTTCGCGCGGTTCTGCGACGAGTATTTCGAGAGGACCGTGTACACGGCTGACTGCGGCGGGTGGTACAAGAGCGGCGATGGACGACGCGTGACGGCGCTGTGGCCGGGGAGCAGCGTGCACGCGCTGCACGCGCTGCGGGAGGTGAGGTGGGAGGATTTTGAGGTGGAGAGCTGTGATGGGAATGAGTTTGGGTGGTTTGGGAATGGCTGGAGTGTTGCGGATCGGAGTGGGGATGCCGAGGGGCTGACGTGGTATATACTTGATGGTGGGTTGGCGGGCAGCTCATGATGTCCTCCTGGCTGCCAGAGTGTTAATATGCGTAGGCCCTTTTGGTGTGTGTGGAAGCGTATCTATCGTCGGCATGTAGCCAGTGTCATCAAGCCACGGCTCCGTAGTATTAATCCAGGGGCCCTGCCGTATGCCATCGTAAGACAGCAAGACATCGTTTACTATTGAATCATGAAAGCAGCTTGCAAGTTCACTGGACCACCTAATACGATGGTTAGCTGTACATCACTGCAACGGCCCAGTTTCATTTTTGGAAGGGCCTGGTATTTATATCTCCTGCAACCTCAAGAAATACCAAGCATACTACCTTCAGTAAAAACCTTAGCGCGAAGTGAAATCAACTTCTCAGATCTTAACACTCTGCTCCGCCAAAAGAAAATCCTAGACCGAACACTTCAAAGCACTACAATGTCGTTTCAGTGCAATTGTGCATGGGTCCGTTTGAGGTTCCAGTGCGGCCATGTGGGTAATTGGCAACTGGTATATCGGTGCTCTGAGCTCCAGCACGTTCGAAACTCCGCACTCTGCAGAGATCTCCCTGGAGGTCGCTGCTGCCCAAGCTGCTGGCGATTATAATGGGGTAATGACGGAACTCAACCCCTGTTCCTAAGCAATGGTTATGAATTGACGACTCATTCGTAAAAACCAATCTCTCGCCGAGAGTAACTTGGCCTAGTACATAAAGCATTAGCCTATCCTATTTAATAGGTTTCATATAGTTTCGTTGGTCAGGCGCGGTGCTTGACTCGCCGTCCTTCGCGTCAGCACCCAATCCTTTGTCTTAGATTGATGTATTTAACTCCACTCAATGCGAGGCATGTAAAATGGTAGAAAGTTTAGAACAATATATCTGTCAGCCAGAGTATTGGAGCTGGTTGATATAAACCGTAAGTGGCCTTGAACTGCACGGTGAGACTGTAATCATTCTTTTGACATTTGCCTCTCTTGCATCAGCCGGTCAGCCCTGCCAAGGCTACCAATTAGAAAGCTCAAGCTCCAAGGAAGTGTCATGAGCGGACGCCACAGGGACCAGGATAGTCCCTTATCCGCCCCGAGTCAATCTTGCGCGTGGTTGACTTTTGGTAATGGATTGACTGGATCGTTACAAATGGCAGGGGTGTTGAAGAAGGAGAATTGTTACGCAGCTAAAGCTCATATCAGGTAGTCCAGTGGACTCTCAGGCTCCTTTGTAATTCAAAAAGGTCAATGGTAAATAGTGTCTCGTTGTCTTACAGTAGCATATGTCAGGGAGGCTGAAGTAAATGCCAGTGAATGTTGATGGTCGCTGTTCGTTGTGCGCTGTTGAGATGTCGATGACGAATCCGTTCCCGCGCATCAGAAGACCTAAGTGTATCGCACCTCGGCAGCCAGCGCATCTCTGTAACTTTATCCTTATGGCAAGCCTGCTAAATCTTCAAAGAGTATATAAAACCTCGGCACCAAACGAAATTAAACTCTCAGACCCAAACACTCCGCTGTACCGCAACAATATCCCTGGACCGATTTTGAGATCTTAAGGCTCTGCTCCACCAAAGGAACACTACCATTCAAAGTATTAAGATGCCTTATACGTGCAACTGTACATGGGCCCGTTTCAAGTTCTCTTGCGGCCATACGACCTCTTGGTGGCAGCAGGTTGTTCGCTCTTCCCCACCGCACGTTCGAGACCGAGACAAGAGCGAAACTATATATCAAGTTCATTCGTGCACAAACTGCATGATACTCTAAGCAATGACCATAAAAGGTCGGAAGTGGAGTGGAAACGAGCTGGTATTGCCCACTGTGGATGAGTGGCATAAGGAGCGAGAGGGTGGTAGCTCTATACCCTGTTTGCCTGACTAAGCTACCTATTAAGCAACTACGGTACACAGTGCAACCATAAATTGATGATCCATTCATAAAACCAAAGTCTCACTGACAGTAACTTGATTGCGTTTCCTGATAGTGTAGCTTTTCAGACTCACGAACAAGAGCAGCGGCCTGCATGGCGATTCCGGGAGTTACCCCAAAGCTCGTAAGTACGTATAATGAAGTAAGATTCTTGACTCGTGACTTTTCAATGAGCGTCGTATATACATAACAAAGAAACCAACATATCTTATAAGAATCTCTATTCCCGCCCGCAACCGCACCGCAAACCCCAAAAGCCGAGGTCCAATTACCTCCACGCTCCTCCTCCCACCTCCAACCCCCAACCACGCGCCCACCGCACCGCCACCCCCACGCTCCTCCTCTCACACCCTCTCCACATGCGCCGCAAACCCCGGCTTCGCCATCTCCAAATCCTTGCCCACCTCCCTCTCCAAACTCCCCTCCTTCCCCACGCCCCCCAGCCCCACCACACTCGGCGCCCCAAAAATCGCATCCATCTCCTCCAGCATCTTCCCCTTCGTCTCTGGCACGCAGAACCACGCCCAAAACCCCATCAGCACCATCAACGTCGCGAAGAACATGTACGTCCCATATCCGAGCGAGGTGATCATGTACGGCGTGGTGCGGCTGATGATGAACGACCACAGCCACTGGTCGGCGGTGGTGATGGCGACGCACAGCATGCGGATGTCGATGGGGAAGATCTCCGAGCAGATGACCCACGTGATGCCCTGCCACGTCGCGCAGTAGATCAGGCCGTACAGGTACACGCAGACCATGGCCAGGTAGCCCCACCCGTCGCGCGAGGAGTCGCCACGCGCCGCGGCGGCGGTGGGGTCGGCTTTGAGGACGTAGCCGCCGAGGTACCTGCGGGGGGCGGGAGGTGTTGTTAGCGGGGGGCGGTGGTGGGTGGTAGGGGGGAGGGGGGAGAGGGGGGACGGGGCGTACCACATGGGAAGGCTGCCGACGAAGGCGCCCCAGATCAGGCCTTGCCGCCGGCCCAGCTTCTCGACTAGCCAGACGCTGAAGATGATCATGCCGAGCGTTTTGGCGATGCCGTAGAAGCCGGTGGCGAAGAGCTTGGTCGATGTGCCGGTAAGGCCGAGGGTTTCGAAGATGCGGGGGGAGTAGCTGCGGCCGGTCAGTATTTTGGACGGGGAAGAGGTACGGAGCTTCACGCACTAGGTGATGATGTTGACGCCTGCAGCCAATCGTCAGCGAGGTTCCCAGAAACCGTAGTGATAAAGGGATGAAACATACCAGTCAAGTTCTGAAACGCCATCAACAGCAGACCAATACCAATCCTATTCCGCGTCCCCTTCTGCCACATGCGCCGTGCATAGTACTTCACAGTATGATGCTCTCCCGGCGGCAACCTCGAAATGGCAATCTGATCCTGCACATCCTGCAGCTCCTCCTGAATAAACGGGTGATCCGGCGGCAAATTCCTAATATCCGCCAAAATCTCGCGCGCCTTGTCCCACCGATCCTGCTTCGCGTGCCACCGCGGCGTCTCCGGGCACCACAGGATGCCGAGCAGCAGCAGCACGCCCGGCAAGAGCTGCAGGCCCAGCGGCACCTGCCACTGCGCCGCCAGCGCCTTCGGGATCGTCCGGTCGCAGATGTAGTTGACCCAGAACCCGGCCATGCCGCCGCCCTGCGAGCAGATTTCGAAGATGCCGATGAGACGCCCGCGGATGGAGGGGGGTGAGATTTCGGCGATGTAGACGGGGACGAGGAGCGAGACGGAGCCGATGCCGAAGCCGGCGATGGCGCGGCCCGCGTAGATGAGGCCGAGGCGGCCGCTGGCGGCGGTCTGGAGAGATGTGTGTGTTAGTACATTGTTGGATTAAAGGGGAAGCCCCCCGGGCTGACAACGTACCATCAGGGAACCGCCGGCGAGGAAGATGCAGATGGCGAGCATGATGGCCTTTTTCCGGCCCCATCGCTCGCCGATTGGGAACGTCAGGAGTGCGCCGAAGAAGGTGCCGGCTTGGAAGGTGGAGACGATGTTGCCTTGAAGAGTGTCACGCGCGTGACTTGAGACCTCGGACAAGCCGAAGTCTCTCTTGAACGAATCCAAGGCCATGGTTCCGCCGATGACTGAGGTATCGTAGCCCACTGAATTTGATGTGAGTATCCTACGCTTAGGTCGGGAGAATAGAAACTCACTGGCTATGGAGCCCATGCTGACTATCAGAGCCATCAGATGGACCCGCCAGTTGCGCACTTCTGGCGGGTCATTGCTGTTGTCGGCGTGCAAATTGAATCCCATTTTTCGGTCGTCGAAGAGGAGCGAATCAGAACCGGAATCCCAGCTTCCTCCCTTTTGTTGCGGTAGACACAGATGGACTTCCGGAGTCGCTGTGCAACGGCAATGCTGCAAATAAGCAGTGGACAGTGCCCCGACTTTAATAAGTGGAGAGGCGAGTAAACGGGGAAACCCGGCATTGCGGGGTATGGGGAATCCCCGCGGTGCGCCATGACTCTTTGCTCCGTTTGCGGCAAGGGAGAAGAGAAAGAGCGAGGGCTGGGCCGCGGGAAGCGAGGGCGGAGGGCGCTGGTAACCCACCCCGTCGAGCGGAACGTCTGCAAGGGTGGCCGGGCCAGTGGTTGGACAGAAGATTTTTGGCTAAACGTCAAGAGGGAACAAGACAGCGGAAGGAATGCCAGCATCGTGGCGAGAGTTCTCGCCAGCGTACGCCACACACGGGATGCCGAAAGTGACATAACCAAAATTGGTTGAGAAAACATCTGCTTGCGGAACAGGATATTTCCTGTGTCGGTCCAACATTTGACTGCATTTTGCAGCTTCTTGACACCAATTGCCTTGCTGAAACGCAAGAAAACGCAGTCCTGGTCACTGGGACAGCCCTAGGGAATTTTCGTTGCAGGTGTCGCGTGGGCAGGAGCACTTGCGTTGGGGCGGGCTTGGGGCCTTGGAAGTGTGCTTGGCCTCCGTCTTGGACTCCGCGCTTGGCGGTGCGTGACCCCATCTCCACCCATCTCACACCATGCTTCGCGGTTTCTGCTCCATCATTCCGCTGCGACAAGAGTCATCTTGTGAGGTTTCTGGTAGTCGGCGCTACATCTAGAAGGCAGGAGAATGGATCGCGAGAAAAAGTTCCGGTTGTGCGAAAACGTACGACTTCTTTCAGCCGCTGGACGTTGATAATCAAGCTCGGGCCTCTCAGGCTAGCTTCTTCGGCTGAAGCTAAAGTCGGAAAAGCCATGCTCGGTGTTGCCGCAGTGTCTCGGTAGTTGGAATCGTTCCGACGGTGGGTTTCAGCGTGGGGACGGAGCTGGAAGTGGCAGGAAGAGCAGCAAATACAGGAATTCTTGGAAAATGACAGACCTGACGTTGATCAATGCTCAAACGCTCAAGCCTATGACGATTTTCTGGTGCTCAAGGCGTTTCGGGTCCGTGGTGACGATAGGCAGGTTGTTGGGTCTCTCCTCGTGGCGATTGACGATGACATGTTTCCCCGCACCAGCGATCCCGTGCCGAAACTTTCCCGATCCCATCTTCCTCATGTCGATTCTATCCCACAACAACAGTGACACTGTTAAGGCTGGAAAGATTGTCTCCTGAGGCCTGAGGCGATCAGGTCATGTGGTAAAAGCTTTGACGCAACTTGACTACTTTTCAATGAGTTGAGTTGAAGTTCGGGTCAAATGATTCTACCTGTCGAAGTGTCTCAGATCGTTGAGGTGTGGATGGAGTGCTCTAGATTGTATGATCCTGGAAAAAGGAAGTTGTCAGATGAGTAGGAATCTTGAACGAGCGTTTCAGCCTTTTTGAATACTGCTTTTGCGGATGCACCCGTCAGCGTGAGCGGAACCATCCTTTCAGTGGAAGCATCCGATGCTCCATCTCACCTTACACATGCCTTGCCCGAAACACTCAACAATGCTTTCATTAGTGTGCGTGGACGCTGCTGCTAAATCATGTATTTCACCAACGAGATATTAAGTTTGCATCCAAAGCCGTAACCCACACTACATAATACGTGAGCAGAGGTTGGTATAATACTTAGTAGTAACACCTCTTCATCGATCATTGGTAAGCCCAGTCAGAGGATACGCCAACCATCAGAAATGACCAAAATCCATGAGCACGCATATCTCCACAGCCCAGAAAGATATTGAATCTTTTATCTGAGCTCGCTTTCATATCTCCAGTCGGGGAATTCGTCATCCACAACCGAAGTCACCGTGTCGCATTGTCCAGGCTTGACGACGCGATGAAGAGGAGGCACACCGTCCTTGAATGGAATTTGAAGAGCTACCGACGGCTGTTTTGATGGATACTCGGTGTAATGGCCGTCCCCCACAGTGTCGACAGCGATGATCAGTCCGTTTACTCCGTCTTTAATCCATAGTTCGTCGTCTCCTGTTGGGAGAGTGATATGCGCTGATCCTGAAATCAAGGCGAAGAACCTAACTTATAGTCAGTCATTTCACAGATAGTTGCTTTGATGCTATGATGCTTACATCGGATGTGGTGGCTTATGGAGGCCTTCTTTAGAACCGGGAGGAAGGACGACGTATGAAATATTGGAGACGTCTGCAAGCCCCTTGATAGCAGTGCCCACTGTCGGGTAATCTGAAAAAGGGGTGGAAATTTCCCAGCACTCGAATGCGGCATTCTGATACTGATCCGATACGACTGCCGTAAGCTGTAGATACGGGGAGAAAGCCAACGCATAACGAATGCACAAGATGGCGGGCCAGTAAAAACGCAAGGAAGGCATTATGGCTTAGTAAGGATGTAAATCTCGGCCAATGCTTTGTGGATGAATTGCAGCGAGCTGTGGCGTTTCGAAGAGTGAGTGACGAGGGCTTTACTTGAGTCTGGGTTGGGGCACGAGGAGCTCAAATGCGGGGCAGGGTCTAAATGAGGGGAAGCTTCCAGCATTGGCGGTGCAGCTTTCGAGAATTAAACTTAGTAAGCATCCTAATTTCCTTGTCCCTCGTATCTTTATTTAACGGCTAGAGCACCAAGGGATTGATTCTACACGCCCTGTGAACGACATGGACCCAAAATTCAGCCCTTTCGATGACATGCTAGCCCCACAATAGATAAGGCATGCCATGGAGCGCGCTACACGACACTAAAAACTTTAGTTCATCTTCCGTATGGTGTACGGCTTTTGGGCGCGTAGATAAAGTAAAAAGAATACCCGCCATATTAATTTCCAAAACAGCAAAAAACAACCATCGTGTTTTTCACAAACCTTCCTCCATCACACAGCCCCACCAGAAATTAGCAATGCCATCGCAACCTCCAACAAACTCCATTACGCTCCGCACCCACCGCGCCGACGATCTCAGCACGATCGTCTCCCGCCACGGCGCGATATACGCAGCCGAATACGGGTGGGACACATCCGCCTGCGCGGCACTCGCCGCCCGCATCCTCGACGATTTCACCGACAACTACGACCCGGCGCTGGAGCGCTGTTGGATCGCCGAGGACGCTGAAAACAAGTTCGTCGGCTGCGTCGTGCTGGTTAAGGACCGGGACGCTGCGGACGCTGCGAAACTCCGCCTGCTGCTCGTGGAGCCGAGCGCGCGGGGCATGGGGGTTGGGAAAAAGCTGGTGGCACAGTGCATCGCGTTTGCGCGGGAGGCGGGGTATCGCAGGGTTGTGCTTTGGACGCAGAGTGTGCTGGTTTCGGCGAGGCGGATATACAAAGCGGCGGGGTTCAGGATGCTGAAGACGGAGGAGCACGAGAGTTTTGGGGCGAAGGTGGTGGGTGAGTTTTGGGAGTTGGTTCTTTGATGGGGGCGGGGGAAAGTGGCGGGTTGTTGGGTGATTGATGCGTTTGATACTTTTTTGCATGTTCAAAGCCTCAGATGGCCTTGTCTGCTGTCGCCGGTGATGCAAATGTGCGATTCGGTAAGTGTTGGCGCGTCTGTCATTTCCCTCTCCAACTGCGAATGGTCTATACTACATTTGAAATGGCCATGCGCCGGAACTCTGCATGGTTTTAAGATGGTGGCCGTGAGAGCAACTTCACAACAGCGATCATATCCTCCTCGCCGAGTCCAGACTCAATTGCTTCTCCGTACAACGATTCGCACAGCTGTGCAAGTGGCGACCAGGTGTCTGCCGCCTTGACTGCCGACTGAATGAGTTGGGCACTGTTGTAGCAATCCTTCATGGCTGCCTGAGGAGACCAGTCCTGATTGATCATCTTGGCAATCTTGAGCTTCGAGTAAGCCGAAGCCAACGGCCCGGCGTCGAGCACCATTCCAAAAGCCTGAAGGTCGAGACCTTGCGCCCGGGCCAAGTTCATCGACTCGGCGAGTCCCGCCGTCATCGTGACGAGGTAGAGGTTGACGGCGTACTTGGTCTTGAGTCCGGATCCGATAGGGCCGCAGTATACAGCGGCGCAGGTAATAGGCTGGACGATATCTTCGATGCTCGCGCAAGCGAGACGGTCGCCCGCCATCATACCAACGAGGTTTCCTTGTTCGGCCGGAACTTTGCTACCGCTGACGGGCATTTCGATAAATCTGCCACCTGCTTCGTGGACGTAGTTTGCGAGGAAGTTGCTGAATTCGACCGACACGGAACTGGTGTTGACCAGCAGCTTTCCTTGAAGCGCTTTTCTAAAGTCATCACTGAGGATGGATTGTATGGCGGGCCCGTTGAAAAGCATGGTGAAGACAATATCCGACTGTTCAACAACTTGAGATGGAGTTTCGCCGATTGTAGCTCCAGCCTTCGTCAGTTCCGGGTATTTCGAGGGGCTCCGATTCCAGACCGTGAGAGGAAATTTGCGGGAGAGTCTCAATGCCATTGGCGTCCCCATCATCCCTAGTCCAATAAATCCAACTCTCATCTTGGCCATGAGTGGTGGAATATTGGAATGCATGTCGTGAGATTCCGAGGGTTTAATTTTGTTCTTGGTTCTTGTAGTTGAAGGAAGCTCACGAGGTGGGAATGGAGCTGGTATATGTTGATAGATAGGGCCTTTAAGGAGCTTCCGAATTTAGCACAGTGGCGGAGGCAACTTCGACCAAACAGAATTCGGAGGGCCTCGGAGGGAGCAAAAGACAGGCGTGGTCAACAGCTTAATAAAATGCAAGGTTGCGTCACAACATTGCAGTCTACACTAAGACTAATGAAAGCGACCCATAATACATGTCTATTTCGCCCTTGACTGATTTGATGCCTCGGAAATTTGACTCAGGGTCCGTGGGCTTCGCTTACTGAGCGTGACTAAAACCGCCGTCGTAAACCTCCCCGTTCCAGGACCTTCAGAGAGACGAGAGCATGTACATCACATGAGAAGATCTTCGGTAGTTTCGTCAGAAGTAATTTAGGAACACCTTCGAACAACTTCTCATGAAATAATAGTGAACTCCTGATTATCCAGGACTGTATTGGCTATGATGAGCCACACATTACCGATTTCCAGAAGGAAACGTGATTAATGAGGTGGTAGATTAATACATAAAATAGTCCCATCTATCTCTTCTTGCATAGCCTTTGCTAAAGCATGCACTGTCCAATCGTCAAGAAACATTTTCAACAAAGTGACCCTTGCGAGGGACATGAACGAAAAGCATTGGAGCCTTCCGTCTCTTCATCATGACTTGTAGGGTCGCCCCTCGAGTCTGGTAAAGCGTCCTCGTGGAGAAGACCTACCCCGCGCTTGAATTCTCGCAACCAGTCGGCGGTATCAGCTGGATTTTGGTTCCACGGGTCATCACTAAAAAGACAGGCGGCGATGGATTAACAAGCCTAGATCTTATCCAAAACGTTGGACTGTTTGTAAACAGGGGACTGCAGAACGGACTCACTCGTCAAACATGATCCATCGAGCCTGGTGCTGAAGCTCCTCATCAGTGGGCACATGCCTGTTCGGGTTGCGTGTAGAGATGGTGATCGCCACGAACCGAGACAGGCCCCTGGCAAGGCGTCTGTAGCAGTTGTTATGATCAGTGAGGAAGAACGGTGTGGCGCTTTCAATCCCATTGCTTGTCCCAGAGCCAGGGGTAGAGCCACCAGCAGCTGCACTACACAAATTACTGGACGTTAAGAGCACTGGATCTATCGTCGAGAGCCCATCACTCGGTAATTCTGAGCTCATAATTGGGTCATCGACCGAGATGCGCTGCATCTCAGTATCATTGGCCAGTGCAGGCGCCGACGAGCCTTCTACCAATGGTAGATCCGCGCGGCGGCGGAAAGGCGCAAGCCAATGTGTTGAGCTATAAATCAGACTTGTCAACAGTTTAACAAACGTCTCTGAGGGGTTTGGCGACAAAGCTTCCATGCACCTAACAATGCTACATGCCTCGCTCTGGAGCTCAGCATCTCCCACTTCCAAACCTAATAGCTTTGGCATATCCACGTATTCATGCAGCTGCGCCTCCATATTGCATGCCTCGAAGATGCTGTCTTTGCCGTGGATTTTCAGATGGGTGATTCGAGACTTGGCAGCGCTTTTCATGGGGCGTATTCGCGCCTGATTGGTGATTTCCTCGGACGACATGAGAAGGTCGCGGAGCCAAGATGGCGGTGGTGTTGCCGGGTCTCGCGAAAGCATTTCGGAGCCGAAGATGATGCAGCAGGCTTCGTACTGAAGCTCCTGATCAGAAGGCATCGAGTGTTGGGTATTGGAGTAGTTCATTGCGAAATAGTCCAGTTCTATCTGAATCAGCTCGAATGCACTGGTCGGGGTCTCAGGCGGCCCTTGGTGCGTGGTGAACGGCCAGGGCGAGTTGCGCTCGTAGTGGATGAGGTCTGCAGCCGGTTGTTAGCTTACTATGGGTAGGTGAAAACTCTGGAATGTTGCGTACATGGGGGTATGGAATTCTCAACCATGTCGAGTACGGGGGTCTCAAAGCCCCAGTCGCCCTGCCAATCGGCAATGGTTTTTCCGTTTTTGAAGTGCTCGGCCAAATGATCGATTCGGTCGGCCCAGGTGCTCAAGACCAGACCGCAAAAGCCGCACCGAGAACGTATGTCTTGGCTCTCGCACTTCCATTGCTCCATCGGCCACTTCCTGAACTGAGCGTCGTGTACCAGCTTCAAGTGCTGCTGGAGATGATCTTTCCGATAGAAAGTTCGATCATCCAGCAGCCGCTCTTGGCAGGCCTCGAAGTTATGTTTTGTCAGATGGTCTTGATCCGGATCGACCTGTCCGCAATAAACACAAACCAACTGTGATTCAACGTTAGTGGCGGTAGGGCCATTTGGCGAGCACCACCATTGTTCAAGCGAGAGATGTAACGACTTTTCGTGGCGCTCCCAGTTGTGTTTGGTTTTGAATGTCTCAGTGCAGAAGGTGCACTGGAAAGTATGACAGGCCTGAGACAGCGAATCGACACCGTGATGTTTGGTTCGCTCCGCGTGTGCCCGCCGCCTTCTGCGTTTGGTGGGTTTCTTGATGCAACCGAGGGATCCCAGCGAGGCGCGAGAAGTGTTCGAGTGGGCGAGTGAGAGTGAACTTCCGCTGGAGTGTGAAGTAGTGCCTGCGCTGCTAGCAGGCGAAGCTCTATACAAAGAGTTTGCCGGGCGATGTTTGTTTGAGAGTCCGGATACTGCGCGCGCAATTGCCGAGACACTGGCAGGTTCGCTTTCGGGCGGCGAGTTCTGCCACCTCTGGAGTGGATTCATATTCTCGAACGGAGCAGGGGAATCGCGCCGGCGAGGCACGTCGCGAGAGGGAGATTCAGTTGACGGCACCAGTGTTCGTGGGGGTTGGAATTTCATCCGCCGGCGGGCATTGGCGAACCAGTTCGTGATTTGTGGCTTGCTGAGGCCAGTTTGCCTCTCGATGATCTCCATGTCCCTCGCGGTGGGGTATGGGTGTTGAGAATGCTTCCAGAACCAAGATTTCAAGACTTTGATTGACCCCGAAGAAAACCGCTTTCCAATCTTCGGGGGCGTTGTCGCGTCAGCGCTGAGAGCCTGCTTACTAGCAGTGACTTGGTCTGGAAGGTCTGCGGGCTCACAATTCTCTAGAGCCAGTGTCGAGGTGGCGACACTCGGGTGGAGGGCTTCCGTGGTGCCGTCACCACGGCATGGCTGGCTCGAAACGTCCAAGGAAAGACCATCTCCTTGGTGCAATAGAGAATCTGATGGATGCTGTGATAACTCCGTAGAAAAGAGTTGTTCAGCACTGTTGTTGCGAAGACCGTAATCGAAATCGGGAATAGCGAGGTCCATGTCAAAAGCGGTCCCGAGCTCGTCAAAACACTGCGCCATGTTCAATCGACTGGCCCATCGGCTGGTCCAGCTTACACAATGTTTATTGCCGCGAGGGGTTGGGCGCGTTGTCAAGGGAGGGAGAAATGCATAGTAGAGTGCGGAGCTAACAGGGGAGATCCACTAAACTCATGTCAATTTCTCCCTTCGACTGCCCGGGGATTTGGCCGGTCTTGCGCACGACTCAGGGATACGGGGCAGCTGATTGGTCAGGCTCGCAAGCACAGCTACCTTAGCGCTACCGTATGGCGCTAATGAAGCCCTCTTCTAGCACCACTTGTGCGGACTTTGGCAATCCAAGCTTTGCTCAAACGGATGCTTTGCAAGCGGAACCCCACCAATATTTTTTTTGCAGTCGTGCCACTAAGTACAATTTCAATCTTGTGCTATTGCCCACGAAAGGGTTAGATCTCTGCAACTGTGTTTCAGGAACGCAGTACAATCCTCTCTGAATGCATTACTCCACGTTGACCAATTATTTGTGGCAAGCATTCCGGAATGAAAAATTAAATCAGTTCAAAATGTACCACAAAGGATACGAAAGAGGGTTTCCATCAAAAAAGCTGAGACACGCCACGAATTCTGCCACTCTACTAAAGTGCAAGAAAATAATTGAAGCGCAGTGACATCCGTCCAACGTGCAACTACAGCGGCTTTCTACAATTTCGTCCCCTCAAAGGTGCCGTGCCGTCCAGCCCCTCCACTGAATCTTGCAGCACCTTTCACGCTCTCCGTCGTGATGACCTTGACCCCTTGATCAAACTCGTTCCTCAGCGCGTCTTCAAACGAGCTCGCGTCATACACCGAATAATAACAGCTCGCCCGATCGACATTCATACAAGCCTGCGGAAACGCAAGCAGCTGTCTCGCGATCGCCGTCGCTTCCGCCAACGCCCTTCCCTCCGGCACGACCCTATTCGCCAGCCCCATCTCCAGCGCCTCACGCGCAGCCACGCCGCGCCCGGTCAGAATCATATCAAGCGCGCGGCCCAGCCCTACGATAGCCGGGAGGCGGACCGTACCGCCGTCAATCAGAGGTACACCAAACCGCCGGCAGTAGACGCCGAAGATGGCGGATTCGTCGGCGACGCGCATGTCGCCGAGGAGGGAGAGTTCGAGGCCGCCGGCGACGGCGTGGCCCGACACGGCGCTGATAACGGGCTTCTTGATCTGCATGCGCGACGGGCCGATGGGGCCGATGTTGCGGCCTTCGACGCGGTGGTTGGCGTCGATGATCGGGCCTTTGTAGGTGGAGTCGCTGGTGTCGAATTTGGCTACTTCGTGCAGGTCGAAGCCGGCGCAGAAGGTGCCGTGGGCGCCGTGGAAGACGCAGACTTTTTGGGTCGCGTCGTTTTCGAAGTCTAGGAAGGCGTCGGTGAGCCTCTTGCCGGTCGGGCCATCGATTGCGTTTCTACGACGGAGCCGGTTGATGGTGATGGTGGTGATTCCGTCTGAGGTCTTGTCGACCTGGACGGCTTGCGGTTCGGTGTCTGCCATTGTCTCGATAAGAAAAAGTTGCGTTCAAGTGTCTCTTTGCAGAGGAACTTCAAGACGGCCGAGATTCCTTTGTCTAGTGTCCCCCAGAAGGCACAGGAGGGAAGCAGTTATTTACGGGCGGATATGGTGTCAACTGTTCGTACAGTAACCCGAGGTAAAACTGCGCTGCCATCCTCCTGGCCGTCTCTCCTGCCAGGCGCGGGGCCACAAGCAAGTCCAGAATGACTCCTCGAATACCCCGCATGTACGCCCTAAAATTACATAGCGGCCACTGCATGCCACGACAGGCTTACTAATAGGGCAATTACTAAAAGCCAAGGATGTGATCCCTGCCTCATGCGCCTTAAACTGACAGAATCACGAGATAGCCGCGCTTCAGATGGGAGTGTTCTTATAGCAGCACTGGAAAAAATATCAGCACTCAAACCTTCTCAGTACACAGGCGATCTTCATCCTTGTGCATTCATTTAAGTAGAAAAGGCTGGATGGCGGCGAATCCAACATTGCCTTTCAAGCTTGACAGAATAATTCACAAAGTGCAAGGGTGGTGCCATCCAGCGATGCCTCCAACAATTGTATCCGACCCGTGATGCGTTGAATTACTGCAAATATGTTCATGGTGCCGGCTTCGGTCCGAAAAGTTCCAGAAATGGTCACCAGAAACAGCTAAAAGGCAAGCTTAAAACAAAACTCGAAATGATTCGCGGAATCGGTGCAATGCAGTTGTTTTAAGGCAGGCTGCCATCGTCGGTCCGGGCTCTGGTGCAAGGCTAAGCGCGCCTCTGTCTCGGATTCCCCCCGGATCGCCTTGCCGAAGAACCTCGGACATTTGCCGCTGTCGGGTCCGCGCGTCCCGCTGTCAGGCGGCGTCTTGTCCGTTAGCGGCAACGGACCCCGGAATCTTGAAGCAATTCGAACGTGAGATTCTACTCCTGCTGTTTGGTATGTCTCTTCATTTCGGCATTGTGGCTGCGAACGACAGAACCACCACTCCAATATCCACGTGGCAAAGCAATACTGTGCAATTGCAGCACGACATTATGATAGTTCTTCGTCGCGAAAAGCAGGAGCTGTAGAAATGTGTCCCGCAAGAAGCCTCGCTGTGACGAGAAAGACTGTGGGTTGCTTGGACATTGCGCCACGGCCATGTGGATATTGCTTTTCCAGCACGTGGAGTATCCCACGTGGACGCCTTGACAAGCGATCAAAGAAGGTTACGATGCAGCACGATCTCGGGAAGTATATGCAGAGGTTCCTTGGGGGAACGCAGGTATTGCCGAAGCAGAAGTCTAGAAGAACATAGAATGGGGCGTTATTTGACGAATCTCAAACACACCTGCGGCTCTTCAGGGGACGCGACTACCAGCTTTCAGCTGAGATCTGCCACAGCGCCAATTGTGGCGTAGATCGTCACGGCTGTTACAAGGGTGAAACGCTGTTCCATTGGCCAATTTTGCGGAGCGGCTGAGGGCTATAGTCGCAGAAATATACCGAGCGCGTTCTGTTGCAGTTTCGGTTTTCACTGCGACGACGAAACCACAAACTTCGTTTGGATGGGCTGCACATCCTTTTAACAGCAGCCGGCGACCCGTTTCCTCGCTTCTTCAGAGAGATTCATTCTTTTTAACTTTACTCTCCGTCCCAGGTGGACCAGCATGTCTCATTGGTCCGGCCCAGCTGTATGGATAAGCTTACATCCCTCCAAATAGAGTCAATGCACTGACGCGTATCTGTGCCAGGTCGCTACCGAGAATAGGACAGGAGCCATTTTCGCGGGCAACTTCATTCCACAAATTTTCGCATCAGCCTTCATTATCGCCCGAATAATATCCAAAGCATGGATCCGGCGAAAATGGGGCGCAGATGACAGCATACTCTGCGTCGCATGGGTAAATACCGCCCTGTGATCCAGAAAAATTCATCACTGACGGCGCGCAGGTCCTCTCGCTCGCTCTGACGGCCCTGTCCTGCATCCAGACGCATTACGGCGCCGGAATTCACATCGACCAACTGCCGGGCTCGATCATCAAGATCAACGCCAAGATCGACTACGCCTCGTTCCTGCTCTACAACCTGGCCCTCTCCCTGACCAAGATCTCCATCTGCCTGTTCTACCTGGACATCTTCGCCGACCCGCTCAACCGCCTGCTGGCCAAGATCGCCTTCGTTTATATCGTCCTATACACGATCCCGCTCGTCCTCGTCTCGGCCTTCCAATGCATCCCCGTCACCGCCTTCTGGAACCCGCGCATGGAGGCCAGCTGCATCGACATGTACCCGCACCTCGTCGCGTCGGCCGTCTTCAACACCCTCGCCGACACCTGGCTCACGCTGCAGGTCGTGCCCAACATCCTGCCGCTCCAACTGCCCAAGCGGCAAAAGATGATCCTGCTCTTCGTCGTCTCGCTTGGATGGCTGTAAGCTTTTTCCCCCTTCTCCCCCTCCCCCCACACCCCCAGCTGACCCTTACTCCCCCCAGCGTCATCATCGCCAGCATCTTCCGCATCTGCCGCCTCAACGCCGTCACCGACCCCCGCGACTTCACCTGGGCCGACTACGACGTGACCATCTGGTCCGCCGTCGAAGTCGACGTCGGCCTCGTCTGCGTCGCCGCCCCCGCCACGAAACCGCTGTTCAAGAAGATCGCGCCGGGCTTCCTGCGCGACTTCGCGACGCGCATAACGCGCGTGACGCCTACCCAACAACAACAAAAGCCGCTCGGCCCCGAGGAGTGGGCCTACTCGATGCCGAATCGGCCGGAGAAGCTGGTGTTGCCGTTGTATAGTAGTCGGTATGAGGATGATGTGGAGACGGTGGCGACGTTGAGTAAGAATTGGGATGTTGGCGGGTTGTTGAGGGCGGCGAGTAGGGGGAGCAGTAGGAGCGGCGGCAGCAGCAGCAGCAGGAGGCCGTCGAGTGGGAGCGTGGGGGATAGTAGCAAGTGTGTGGATTTGGAGAAGATGGGCGGCCTGGAGCAGGGCTCTCGGTCGAGTCATGACGGCGGGTCGGATGGGAGCAGCGCGCGGCTGCAGTTTGACGACTCGGGCATGATGAAGGAAAAACAGAATTTTTAACGTATAATGAGTGATACCCCAATTTGATGTTCGCAATGACAATAACGTCTTGGATGCTGAGTGATCTCGTCGGGTGGTGACTTTGCGACTTGAGCAGTGAAAGAAAGACAAGTAAGCAGTGTGTTTGGATCTGCTCAACCAAAGCATACACATCGGAAATTAAAGCTGGAAACGAAGAGGCCAGACCCGTGGGACTTTTTTGATTGATGATGAGAGCTGTTTGATCAAGTCCGGGGTTGAAGAGCCACACAGCACTTCGTGGAAGACGAGCTAGAGGCGGAAGGCTTCGGCAGGGGTTTTATTAAGCGAGAAGGCGGTTAAGCTCGGGAGGGCTTAGACAAAAGTGGAAACCCCATGGAGGGTGGATTCAGAAGACTGCGGTGGATTGGAGCATACATTCTAGGGGGGCTTGTGGGTGGGCCAGTGCGCGGTTTGGCAGGCTTCGGAGCAGTAGGCGGTGGTGCGGCAGCGGGCGCAGCGGTTGAGGGCGATGGAGGAGGCCTGGCAGGCGGAGCAGCTGGTGGGGGGTTGTTGTTCGTCGGACATGGTTGCGGTGGGATTGTGGGTGGGGGGGTTGGAGTGGAAGAGAGAGGTGGAGAGATGTGGAGAGGAGCGGGAATATTTGAGGAAAGAGGTGAAGAAATTTCTAGGAAGGACGCGACGAAGTATGAGAAAGAGCGGTGAGGTTGGGAGACGCGCCGTGACGCGTTGTTTGCTAATTGTCACGGCAATCGACGTCTATTCCGTTGAAATAAGCACTCGCGCGATTGCACACCACAGACACCTACCTAGCGCTATTTCAAGCCCATAGACACCTAGCGCGAAAAGTACAGTCCACCCGGTCCAAAGTCAGCGTAATTTCACCATGTGAAAGCGAATTAGGCAAGGGTATCCATGCATATCAGTGTAGCTTAACCATGGAACCGGTATTAGGAATGTTGTGGCCGGCTCTCGGAATCCACGGGCTTCTGACATGAGTACAGGTACCTGCAACTATCAGCAACAAACTCCAAAAAAAAACAGGCTCAAACTCACAGCGGCGCATAATAATGCTTCGTCGGATTGCGCATATCCCTCTGCGCTTCCATAATGCTCAGCTCAATGCTCTCCCTCGACATGCCCAAATACCGACTAAACACCGCCGTCGAAATCGCCTGCAGGCCACTCTCCAAATTCTCCAGCGCCGCCTTCCCCAACCTCTTCTCCATCTGACCCCGCGGCCACGTCCCCAACGGCCACGCCGGCTGCTCTTTCCTTAAATTCACAAACCCCAGCGCATTCAAATGCGTCTCAAACGAGCGACAAGCCGTCGTGTCAATCCCGGCCCTCGCCGCCCCGCGCCTCACATCCTCCGACCACTTCAACAACGGCGACTCCTCCTCCTGCCTCTCCCCACCATCCACCGACCTCCACGGAAACGTAATCTCCCTCAACTCCAACCACCCGCCCGGCGCAAGATTCTCCCAACACTGCCTTAAGAACCGCGGCCAATCATGAATCCCCATACACAGCATCCGCGCGTGGATGAAATCGAACTTGCGCCCGCCAAACGCCCAGTCCCGCTCGGCGTTGTCGACCAGGAACTCGCAGTTCGGCGGCACGAAGGCGGGCTGCACGGGCGAGAGGTCGGTGCCGATGACGTGCGCATCCGGGTGCGCGTCGGCGAAGGCGATCGTCCACGCGCCCGTGCCGCAGCCGACGTCGAGGACGGAGTGGAGCGAGGAGGAACGGTGGAGGGGGGAGAGGTAGAGCGTGTTGTGTGAGGTCATGAGCCACATCACGTGTTGGAGGTCGAGACGGGATTGTTCGAGGGCGTCGTTGGGGAGGTTGTAGGCTGGGGGAGAAGAGAGTGAGTAGGGAAAAGCACGGTGAGTATCAGCGGGGGAGGTGTTGGTGGAATGCTCACTGCCGTCGTCGTAGGCGTGGTAGCGACGCCCGTTCTCGAAGCGCCATTCCGTAGCCCTGCTCGCGGATGACGTGAAGGCCCTGCACAGATCGTTAGCGACGTCTATCGGATTTCTGATTCTTGGAACAGGGTCTCTTACGAGTCAGCATCGTCAGCGACGCCCAGAGCCGAGTCGGCATCCTGATCGTCGTCGGGTGAGCGCATGGACATCGGGAGAGGCGGGAAGGGCCGGCACCTACGTCCACCTCTAGATGACGGCCCAGGAGGGATTCATGCGAGCCGTTGTGCTCCCGTTGGTCTAACTCGGCCATTATTTTCAGAGGGTGGAGGCTGTCTTTGGCGAGGAATCTTCAGGGACAACGAGCGGTGGTAGTCACTTGGATCTCCACTTTGCTGTGCCGCTCGGGCGGTGTCAAGGATCTTTCTCAACGCGGAGGTGCACCGACCACCTCATATATCGACGCTCTTGACGTCGTGCCATTAGCAGCACCATCGAGCTTCCAGGAAACTAGAGTGCCATCGCCGTTCTTCTTTATCGTTAGCAGACAGCTTTCATGGGTCACGCCATCTACAGCCCTGACGAGTGCGACTGGACCGTAGGCTTAGGAAGGTATGTGAGATTTACCTGATCATGACTGATGGAGAAAAGCAGGTCCAATTTTTTGTCCCTCGCTGTGCCGTCCCGTAATCTATTCTGTTGTACATACTGGCGCCTCCTGCTACCCCACCGTGCCCCTCATCACAATCAATACGAGGGGCTCATTAATGGAAGACATCAGCACGCGGGATAAATATCACTATGTGAATCGTGAGACCGACATGCGGGCCGTAGCACCGTAGGCCCACGGTCCAGTGCGTATGCGTATTACGTCGTTGGGGGAATCTGAAGTATTGCGTGATTGCTTCGTATTGCGCAATTACGGATGCGGATACGCCGAGCCAATGTCTGATCGAATCAAAGTTGATTGTTTCCCTATTCAAGAGTGACTATTCAACATATCGCTTACCCTCAGACCAAGCTCTGCATTTTGTTTCGTAGTAACGTCCCTTCTAGGATATTTGTACCGAATGTAGCTGGCCTGAACCTGCTCCCATTATAACCCGTACGCCAAAGAGAAATGCTTAAAAGGATTGAAAGGCAGCCTCTGTAGCTTCAAGCTGACCATCAACCTCTTCTCTCCCACCACTCGCCCGGCATGAGGTTTCTTCCCGTCCTCATTTCTTCCTTGGCTTTGGCTCGGCGCAGCCTCTGCAAGCCGAACATTGTTTTCATTTTCACTGATGACCAAGACCTCCATCACAGCTCCGTCGACACGATGCAGTCCGTGCAAGAACTGGCCACAAAGGGAACCTCTTTCAGCAACCACTTTGCCACCATTGCTGTGTGCTGCCCGAGCCGCGTGTCATTGATGCGCGGTCAAGCAGCCCACAATACGAACAACACGGCCATCTCCTCTCCAGGGTAAGAGCCAACACTGTCCCTTGTCTTCGCGTACCTGTCGGTAACCCGAGACGACCATAGAGGCGGCTACCCAAAATTCGTTGCCTCGGGAGAAGATGACGACTACTTGCCGCACTGGCTGGTCAAGGCAGGATACAGCGCAAACTGTGATTCGTCCCACTAATGACTATGCGGAGGCGTCAGTACTGATTTCAGAATTATATAGACATTGGCAAACTCTACAACGGAAACGCCATCACGAATTATTCCCCGGCTCCGAAGGGATGGAGTCATATTGATGTTTTGGTAGGTCGGATGTCTCTACATTACCTCTACCTATTTGTGTTAACGTGCCGACACGGCAGCTCGAACCATACATCAATTTCCATGATACTGTCGTCATGTCAGAGAATGGTAAGAGGCCCGTATGGTACGGAGGCTGGCAGCAAACCGATGTGGTGCGGATTAAGGCGTATGTATTCCCGAGCCAGCGGTAAGTGGGTTCTGGAATTAACTGAATCTTCGATTAGACTCTCCAGGCTTGAGACATTGCTCGGAGAGGACGATCCGTTCTTCCTCATGATTGCTCCTACTGCGCCGCACGTCCACAATCTCACCGATCCCCCGATTCCACCCGCACGCTACTTGGAGAAGTTTTCGAACATGACGGTGCCTCGTGTTCCCAACTTCAACCCTCCAGATGAGGAGCAGAAGGGAAAACCAAGCTGGCTTAAGACGCTTCCGGCGTTGAACCAGACTCAGATCAACGACATTGATCACCTATACCGCCGGCGCTTACAGGCCCTGCAGGGTGTAGACGATATCGTAAAAGACGTTGTCACAATGTTGGAGGGAAAGAATGCCTTGGATGACACATATGGTAAGTGCAGCAAACATCCGCTCTCGCTTCTGTACCAACACATCCAGTCATCTTCTCCACCGACCAGGGTTACCACCTTGGGACCCACCGCCACAGTGGCAAGTGCCTTCCATACCTTGAAGATACCAACATCCCTCTGGTAGTAAGAGGCCCGGGAGTGCCAGCCAGTGTCACCTCTCGCACCCCCAGCACGGTGACAGACTTTGCCCCGACATTCCTTGAGATCGCCGGGCTTGCAGCTGAAGACTACCCGCCCTTCTTGGACGGCGCAAGCCTGCTCGAGGCGTGGGAGAATCCCAATTCCTCGGCGCTCGCGAAAAAGAAAGAAGCCATCAACGTCGAATACTGGGGCAGTTCCTACACCGAGATCCCGACTTGGGCAGAAGGATCCTACGGCATCTACTTCCCGGGACTGTATCTCAACAACACTTACAAGACCATGCGTGTTGTCGGCGAGCATTCATCCTGGCTCTACTCGCGATGGTGCACCAACGACACGGAACTGTACAACACGAAGGTACGGCCGCCGTCCAGTCCTGAAACCTGCAGCTCTCGCTAACGCCGAGCAGGACGATCCCTACGAGCTCACCAACCTAGCCGACTCGTCCGACCCCGAGATCGTCCGCGTCAAGTCCAGGCTGAACGCGCTGCTCATGGTCACCAAGTCCTGTGCCGAAGACACGTGCCGTGATCCGTGGAGCGTCCTGCAGCCGCCGAACGACACTAACAAGATTTCCACCCTCGACGACGCGCTGGACCCGCGGTACGATGGCTTCTTCGCGGCCTTTCCGCAGGTCTCGATTGACGAGTGTCTGAACGTGCAGCTGTCTTCGAACGAGGGCCCGTTTTATCCTGTCGGTGCGGAAAACGGCCTCGGTCTGGCGTACCGCAAGAATACGGACTTTTTCTCCGAACCTGATTACACGCCTGTGAAGAGGGTCCCTGCTAATGCCGTTCCGGCGGGCGGATGGGATCAGCGGTATGCGACGGTGGAAGATCTGTTGCTGAGTGCTAGGGAGCTTACGGATGAGGAGCTTAGCGTAACTGAAGGATAAGCTCAGTAGGTCGGGTGTGTGAGAAAGTATAGCCGAACAGCTGTCAAAAAGAAATTCACGAGCAGAAAAAAAAGCGCGCGGATGACTTGGAGTATGAACATCTTTATTAAAAATATTGGACCGTACGCCATTTGCATTCTGAAAAAGCAGCCAACTCAGCAATCTCTGCCAACCAGTCCTCCAGCAGCTCTGAGCACCTCACTTTCCATCACAGTTGCATTTGGAATTGCGGGATGAAGAAAATCAAGCGACATCCTTCAACGCCTCAGCACACTCATCGAAGAGTTTGGCGTTGTCTGCAATGTACTTCTCGGTGACCACGATGAACTTCTTGATCGCGTCGAGATCATCCAATGCACCGGGATCGTGGAAGTTGTCAACTTCATGGTGCTCCACCTTACCCCATTTGACCACCCAGAAGCCCTTCTCTTCGACCCAGTCTGTCTCAGCGACGTTCAGCCGCCAGTACTTCTTCGCTAGCGGTTCAGGCGCGAAGGCATTAATCAGACCGTGGAAGAGTGTGTGCGTGATTTCAGAATTGGTCGCGATGCTCGCGAAATTTTCGATGCTCTTAAAGCTGGGAATTACACTCCCCTCAGGAACGGGCGTGTTGGCGGGAATTCCTGTGCCGATGCTCAGGAAGGACTGGGTTTTTCTGGATGCCCCGTAGACGCTAAGGACTTCCGTCCAGAGCCTATGGTCCGTTAGAATGAGACGGAAAATCAGAGGGTGAACATCTACTAACCATCCCAGAGGGTTGTTGGCGCCCAGCCCACCATCCACGAGCTTGAAATCGCCAACCTGGATGGGTTTAAAGTAGTACGGCGCGGCAGACGTTGCTCTCGCGGCTTCCCAAATCTTAATGTTCGGAATTGCCGACTTCTCAAGTGGATTCTCGTACGAGCGAAGGAACATCGGCGCGCGGTTGTTGGCGGCTTTGCTCTGAACAGCCATAACGAATCTAGTATTTTTCAGCATTTACTCTCAGATGAAAGGACAGATCAGTACACTTTGCAGCGGCGAGCCTTTGCCTCATCATTGAGAGATTCAGTATCCTCCAAGAGGGGCTTATCCTCTTCCACGCCTTGATTCTTGAGAATCTTCTTGACGGCGTTCACCAGCGGCGCGTCATCGTAGAATGCGCCCGTGAATGTAATGTTTTTCCACTGAGTGATCCTCCAATGTTTGAACACGTCGTTCATGAATTCATTGTACGCGTTGATGCACTGCTGCACATCCATTTGGAGGCGACCGAGCATGATCGCGATCAGACTATAAAAGGTCAGAAATGCTATGCAGCGGTATCCAGCTGGTAGCTCACCCGCCTGCGCTTGTGCCACCAATCATGTCAAAAACATCGCATGGCTTCTTGTCTGGGTAAGCTCTATCCATGACAGCCTTCAGGAGGTACAGAGACGACATTCCGCGGACTCCTCCTCCGTCTTTCAAGATATCAGTTTGCGCACAACAAACGGATCAAGCGGGATACACGTACCAAAGGAGAGGACTCGGAGAGGAGGCTGATTCCCACCCTTCTCAATAAGGTTGGCCGTCTTCACGGCAGGTGATATTGAAGGAAGCAAATCCACACCCATGTCTTCATTGACTTTCCGAAATGCCTCGTCAATCGCGGTGATCTTATCGATGATTGGGCCGTAAGTGACGGATCTACGCTGGACTAGAATTCAAAGTTAGAGCCAAGCTTGTAACGAGCCAGATCTCTAATACACGCATACCGTTTTGGTCACTGATGTCGAAGAGGAGGTACCCGTTCGTCGCGAAGATCTGCCAACCGCGGAACCTCGCGCAAATGCGCACTGCGATAACATTTCCGGCTTCGAGGACATTCAGCAGGTCGCGCTCATGATTGAAGGTGCCACCGGCCTTCCAGCCGTACTTAGGTGAATTGACCCTGTTGGGATGACTAGTCCAAACGAGGTCGACGCGGTCTTCGCTCTTCCTGGGCGCCGTAGCTGCGTCACTCTCCAGGATGGCGATCTCTAACCACGTCCAGTTACCAGCGGAAATGTCATCGACGCTGCCCTGGTCGTGCGATTCGGCAAAAAGCTTCACCGCGCGGATCCTATTCAGCAGCGTGGACTCGATAGGCTGTGTCGGTTAGTCGGTTGTTTGTGGAAGGGGTGAGCATATGACTTGCTGGTGATTTGAACCATGTTTTGGCTTGAACCTTGTCATCAGAAGCTCTGACGGACTCCTCTTTGTCGCATTTGATTACGTATCGACCGGCGGGGATGTGTGACGACTGAGATGGCAGAGGCGGAAAGCCCTTGACCGTAACCTCAGTCAAATGACTGAGATCATCCATGTCGAATTGAATCTTGTGTGAGTTGGATGGCAACAGCTTCCTTAATCCTGCTGGATTTATACCATTCTCTTTCCTGCAAGCATCTGAATTCGTTGCGAACGATAGAAAATGCATCGGAATCTCTACGACGCAAGCGGGGTCTTCGGGTTCGATTGCAGGTAAAGGGAGTCCCTTCATCGAATCAATCAAGCGGCCACCCATACGCTTAGATTAATCAATAGATTGATAAGCGCTTGGCAAGCTGGATCAGCATGTAGCTTTACTAAAATCGAGTTTTTCAGCAGCTCTGCGACCGTGCGCGAGGATAGTGTTACCATAGTGTTACCATAGTGTTACCTGCAACGAAATTTCTCTGCTCCTAAAAGAGAGTGCTGCGCACATGCCTTGTCCTGGCAGCTTCTAGTACGGCGAATAAGAGAGTGCATTTCCTGTATACAAGACCGAATTTGTTTCTGTTAGCGTTATGGATAAATTATGCGCAGCGTGGTCAGATGGCGTGTTGCACGTACCAACACTATGGTAGATTCAGTTATTCTGTCGCTATCCGCAGCGTTATCCACGGCTGCTAGACAGCTCTAATTGGCTTAGTATATCATGCAAGTTCGTAGAATGTCTTTTTCCTCTTTTGTTCTTACCGAACCTCTTACCGTTTACGAAGAGATGTAAAATTAGTGACACTAAGCCTATTATGTTCAATATTTACACTACATTCCGCTTACCAAGCGCTTGTAATTAATCACCTTTATTGCAGGCAAAAGCGCGTTGGTGATGTCTCGCATAACTAGGAAAAACGTAAACTTTGGAGCAACACGTGCTAGTCGGACGGGCCAAGGGATAAGAGGTTGTTTGCCTAATCCATGTTTTCTACAGTGGCATATTTGGAAATAATAGAGCTAATTCAAGCTCTCTATATTTTGCGGAACTTCCTACAGAAAAGTCCGAGTATTATTACTTAGGAAGACTCCTCACCCAGGCCGTGAGCAGTCTCTATCCGCATGCGGCGAAGAGAATTCTGCAGCTAAATAGTCACCCGTTCCCCCTTAACTCAGCTGCTCAGCTCTGTAGTCTGATGGTAGTAGCTACAGCACACGCGCCGTGGCGAGTCCAGAAGAAAGGTTTGGCTGCTCATTCATCGAGCTCAGAACAAAAACCGTTATCTCGATTGTTCCACCCGTGGCGCGTTCTTTGACGTGGAATATCCGTTCTCCGACTCCAGGAAAGACCATTTCCTCTTCGATGCTCTATACCACGGAGCCGCCTCTTGCGGATGAAATCATCGTGGGTTTCTTTGGATGCACGGTCGTTCTCAGGTGTAGGTACTTCTCGTTGATGTTTCATTACCATTGATGGTTGCACCTCGCCATTGGGTCCGAGCTGGGCGGGGTCAAAAAGAAATATGTAGCAATCTGGCCTCAGCATGCCGTGCCCAATCGCAGCCGCAAAGTCAATTTCTCGGATCGGGTTCGGGACGAAAGATAGCCGATGATGAGGGAGTCGGGCGTTGAAGTACGATGGTGCACTGACCATTGCACGACCATCGGCCTGTCTCCGAGCGAACCACGCCGCTTACGCCTCCTACGCCGCCTCCAAGCCAATCCTTCTGCGGGTTCGCGTGCGCCAATCCTGCGCGGAAAAGCCCAAAACAGCTGTTCGTCGTGCGGCCGGGTAAAAAGGTGTAATTAAACTAAAAGCAAGGATCCAATCTCCTGATTATGGGGATGCGCGGACTCCTCGGGCCCCGCGGACCCCGGAAATGTATACAAACTGGCCCGCGGCCGCCGGCAACATAGTTTTGCAGCCCATCAGAGCAGCTGAGCGTCGGACGGATACGCAGTCCGGGCAAATCTCCTTTGTTTCCGCACCATGGCCATTAACAGGTCTGTACAATTGGACATTGCGGTGGTCCCGGCACTCACTGACATCTCCCGACCGAACAGCGAGCCGAAGCTCCGCAGAGAGATCCCCGAACGGTCATCCGGCCCGAAGAAACCGACCCCGACAACCAAAAAGGACGATGCCCCCGCCGTCATCGACACCGACTCCGACTCGCACGCCGGGTATGAGTTCGGCGGCCCGCTGGGCGTCGGCGCCATGATGATCGGCTTCCCCTGCCTGATGTGGTACATGTTCGTCGGCGCCATCTGCTACAATGGCCGTCTTCCACTACCGGAAGAGGGTCAATCCTTCCCCGATTTCGCCAAACACATCGCCGCCCTGGCCTACACGCACGCTTTCCCGCACGCCCGCGCCTGGGCCATCTACTGGACCTTCCTCGTGCTCGAAGGGCTGGGCTACCTCTACCTGCCGGGCGTGTACGGCAAGGGCAAGTACCTGCCGCATCTGGGGCGGCAGCTGGACTACTACTGCTCGGCCGTGTGGTCGTGGTACATCACGATCGGCGCGGCGCTGGCGCTGCACTACTCCGGGGTATTCAAGCTGTACACGCTGCTCGACGAGTTCGGGCCGCTGATGTCGGTGGCGATCTTCAGCGGCTTCATCGTGTCGGCGCTGGCGTACGTGTCGGCGCTGGCGCGCGGCGCGCAGCACCGGATGACGGGGAACCACGTGTACGACTTTTTCATGGGGGCGGAGCTGAATCCGCGGCTGCTGGGGTGGCTGGACTTCAAGATGTTTTTTGAGGTGCGGATCCCGTGGTATATTTTGTTTTTGCTGTCGCTCGGCACGGCGCTCAGGCAGCAGGAGCAGCTGGGGTATGTGTCGGGCGAGGTGTGGTTCATCTTGATGGCGCACTTCTTGTATGGGAATGCGTGTGCTAAGGGCGAGGAGCTGATCATTACGAGCTGGGATATGTACTACGAGAAGTGGGGCTTCATGCTGATCTTCTGGAACCTGGCTGGCGTGCCGCTGACGTATTGTCACTGCACTATCTACCTGGCTAACCATCATCCGGATGAGTACCACTGGAACCGCGGTGTGCTGGTGGCGTGGTTCGCTGCGTACCTGTTTGCGTACTGGGTGTGGGACACGGGCAACAGCCAGAAGAACATGTTCAGGGCTATGGAGCGTGGATCAGCGCTTAACCGCAAGACGTTCCCCCAGCTGCCCTGGAAGTACGTCAAGAATCCTCAAGTCATCAGGACCAATACGGGGGATAATATCATGTGTGATGGGTGGTGTGAGTACTTCCTTCATGATTGTTCTGTTTAGATGCTGACGAGATTCCTGCAGATGGCATGGCACGCAAGATCCATTACACCTGCGATTGGTTTTTCGCCTTCTCGTGGGGCCTGATCACGGGCTTCAACTCGCCATTCCCCTGGTTTTACTCCATCTTCTTCACTTGCATGATCATTCACCGCGCCAAGAGGGATATCGAGAGGTGTCGTGAGAGGTACGGCGAGGCTTGGAAGGAGTACGAGCGCCGCGTGCCGTATCTCTTTATCCCGGTAAGTCCGCCCAGAATCAGGAAGAAAGAAAGAACCGCACTAATCCGCTCTTCAGTACGTCTTTTGATCATGTGACGTGGCAACGGCAGAGACTTTGGTAAGTTATACGTAGTCAATAATGGCTGCTCTGATAGCAAATGAGTAGTGGTAGCGAGCTGTCTGGCTGGAAAAGGGACCAGCACCTTTCTTTTTGGTTTCTGAAAAGTTTAATGAGCAATCCAATTTTTAATTTAAATTTATTTTAATCAATTCCTCTATTTTACCAAAATACTCATGTTGAGCATGTTGGGAAGCCTCGACTCAGCGTGCAAAACGTTGCCCTCGACGCCGACATCGCGGCGCAGCTGAGGTGTGGATGGTGGCGTCAGCGCTGGATAGCACAGATCCTGCCGCCGTAGGCTACCTGCCGTAGGTACGGCGACAGGCAGCAGCACGCGGTGAGACAGATGCCAGAGCCATGGGCTGTGATCTCAGGGGCCCAGACTATTCAGGGCATTTTGACCGGCAGAAACGGAAGCTGCACGTCACTTTCACCATGCAGCACGCAGCGGACGATTGGCGTTGACGTCCCACAGTAATCAAGCTGCTGCAGCCACCAGGGAGAAAGTCCGAGCAAGGCTGAAGCTCCAAGGTCATGACAACACGGCTCAGTATCTATAATATGCTCGGAGCTTCCACGAACAGACTCCTATCGTTTGCAAACAATCTCGTCTGGGATCTCGTTTTACCTATCCTAGGTTTGTGGTACGGAAGATTATAGAAATCAACTCGACTGCTGGCCGTGCTTGGGTCATATTTACCTGCATTACCTTCGGCATTCCAACAACACAGGAACTACTACAAAATGGCTGTTACACAGTTGCAGTCTACGCCCATTTCTCGCACCACTCAGGGTTCAACTAATATTGAACTGTGTAAAAATGACTTCGATGTTACCCAATGGACCTGGACTGCACTGGGCTCACTTTCCACCAAGACTGACATAATTTCCTCCGCAAAACTCTTATCTGGTGACCAGAAGTCAGTCAATTGGAGGATACGCATCATGTAAGCAAGATTTCCCTTGAAAATACGTGGAGCTGACCGAAGAAACCAGTGCCGCTCCAAATTTCTTTGAGAGACAGGAACTCACCAGGTTTCTGGAGCATTTCCAGGTTCCATATGAATTCCGATCAGAACAGCGGTAGTGGGTAAACCATTCCGTCGGAAGGCGTCTGAGTAATGGTAATCAAATCAGCTGTAAGTTTTCGTACTACACATTGAGATGATTTGTTCGGAACTGGGGCTACATGAATGTTTTGAAGTTACATAATTTCGACTGGTTTCCAAAAACATCGATATAGAGAGATTCGATGAAGAAAGGCGTTGGCTCATTCAATGAGATAAGGCCTGGTTCAACTCTTCTTATGTCCTCATCGAAGATCGGAAGTTGTCAAGAGCAACGCTACTGTGTTTCGGGATCTCGAAAGAACTGAAGCATCGCTTCGAGATTCTGAGCCCTTGGCAAGAGCTTTTTGACCAGCCTGCGCTCATCTTTGGAGTGATATTTGAGAGTTTGTTTTGCGAAATGGATGATGCTGCATGGAAGCTCGCGGATGTATTTAGCAGCACTGAAAGGGTAAGTAAAACCATCCACTTCGAATCTTTGACAGACTCTTAACTGTTGTGCAGGAAGGATTAAACGCATTGGAGATGTTTGAAAAGTCGACCTCTGCAGAATTCGACCTTGCTCGGCTGCACGACGTTTCCAAACACGCAATATTCTTTCTCGAGGCGTTTCAGGCCAGATACGAGATTATTGACGGTCTGCTAAAGGTATATGAACCTGGAATTGACGCTAATATAAAAGCTGTCGAGCTCATTCTTCGGCATCGCGGTCACCCTTTCAAGTCTTCTCGGCTTCGGCTCGAAAGCCTCGAGAGAAGGATTTCCAAAATCACCGACATGGTAAATTATGAAGTTCGTTCTTTAAAAACTCGGTCAAAGTTAATGCCAGTAGTCTTTCAACGTTGTTACACAGCGTGATAGCCGGCTGATGGTGAAAGACAGCGGTCTGTGAAAGTCATTGCAGTAATGACATTGATATTCCTGCCAAGCTCACTTGTAGAAGCGCTCTTCAGCAGTAGCTTCTTCGATTTCGACTTGGACAATCAAGAGTCAGGTGGGAAAGCAAGGGTGCACATATCAAAACTGTTTTGGATATTCTGGGCAGTTACTATTCCTCTCATTACAACTACGCTGATATCTTTACTGGTGATGAGGGCTCGTAGGGTTTGGAACTCTGTCGAGAAAGTTTAAAATCAGTACCCTGTTATGAATTCAATATCTTCGTTGTTCACCTGTAAAGTCGTGCACAAAACATTTGTCACTGCCACATTGAAAGGGTGTAAGGGGCACAATTCACGAGCATGAGCGCACGAAGGAGGGATTCAATGGAACCCCTTTCTTGACGAGTTGGTGAGCTACCAGCCAGTAGCTTGAGGGTTGAGTGGCAAGGCTGAAACAAGGCGCGGCCCTTCGGCTTGGGACAACTCGCTAGCAGGCAGCATTGGTTGACGCATGCATGCAGAAACGCCACGGTACGAAAGGAAACACGGACTGAGCAATGAAGGGTGGCCGTTGCGCATGCGTGTGCTGTTTTAGGCCACCACACCTGTCCATTCAAGCACACCGGTACCAGCTCACAAACATCCCAATTTAGTACCTGGATCTTACCATGTGTCTGCCTCGCTCAGCCTTGCTAATCGCTTCATTGTGTCCCGCCGACGTTGGCTGCATCCACCCGGCCCTCAGTCGATCCAAGCCTGATTATCATCCCTGCGTCTTGTGTAACTAAATCCATTATCTCTTCTCCATAACATGCTCAATATCAAGACTAAAAGTCTCCGCGATTTCTCCTGTAGGAAGATACGGGAGTGTATGCTACGGTGTCTTCAACTGCGTTGGCGTGTGTGAAGAGACTGCGGCCTGAGATAGAAACACCGCTGTGACTGCCGCTGCATGCGATGCCCCCGTGGACGTGGCAGATGTGAAGGCAGCGTAGGAGTGGGGAGCGGTATGAGAGATTGGAGACACCGCTCCTCATTCACCGCTGGCGGTGAGTGCATTGAGAATCCAATATCGAATGAAACTCAAGATCGTTACCGCATGTACTAATTTGATTCTATGGTGACCCCGGCGACACCGCAGACACCGCTGACACCGCCTTTCCAACATGCGTTTTCCAATCCAACTTCCAGAACTGTCTTATCTGATGATCGATAACGGGCCGTCATGCAACGGCGGCCCGCCCGCCTTCCGTCATCGCTTTCGCCGCCCGCTCGTCATGCATGCTAGTAGATTTTCCGAGCCGTTCACGCAACTCATTCCAGAGTGGGGTATTCAGTCCAGCGCCCTATCCCCTTCCAAGTTGGGACTCTACCCCGCTCCTCGGCAGGGGAAGCCGAGAGGAGTTAAGCGACCATAATTGCGGATAAGCGACCATTCTCACACCGAGAACAGCACTTCTTGATATAGCCTTCCCTTTTCCGCCTGGAATTGACATGAATAGCCACATCTTTCCCGCTCCTCTTGTCCAGAGACAAGCTTAATAGCCAAGTCTTGCTTGGTTTGGTTGTGACGCCTTGTTTTTCTTGCATATACCTTGCGAACTGGAACTTCAATTCCCCTTCTTGAACATTTTCATACCCCAGAGCTCAAGCCATCTACCAGAAACCCTTCCAAAGAAATCATAATACACTCACAACAATGGGCAACGACACCGAATCCCAACCAGACAACATCTCGATCAGCGCCGCTCCCGCCGCCACGGAAGCAGTTCCTGGCGGCGTCGTCGTCCAAGACCCGGACTCCGACATACCAGACGGCGGATACGGCTGGGTCTGCGTCGCCTGCGTCTTCTTCCTCAACGCCTGTACATGGGGTATAGCAGCGGTAAGCTTCACTTCCCTTCCCTTCACCACCAACACCAACCCACCAACCCATCAACCCGCTAAACCCGCACCCCAGGCCTACGGCGTCTTCCTCTCCCACTACCTCACGCACTCGACTCACCCCACCGCCACGGCCCTCGACTACGCCTTCATCGGCGGCCTCCAATTCGGCTGTTCCCTCTCCCTCGCCACGCCCATCACCCTGCTGACCCGGCGTCTGGGCATCCACATCCCCATGGCCTTCGGCGTGGTGGTCCAAACCGCCGGCTACCTCCTCGCCTCCTTCACGACGCCGACGAGCGGCATCTGGCAGCTCTACCTGACGCAAGGCGCGCTGGTGGGCTGCGGCATCGGGCTGACGTACCTGCCCTCGGCGCCCATCACCTCGCAGTGGTTCAGCGCGCGGCGCTCGCTCGCCAACGGCATCGTCTCCGCTGGTTCGGGCATCGGCGGCATCGCGTTTTCGTTCGCGTCGGCGCGCGTCATTGCGAGCCCCGGAGGCGGCGTGGCGTGGGCGCTGCGCATGTTGGCCATCGTGTCCGGCGGCGTGAACGTCGTCGCCGTGGCGCTCGTGCGCGGGCGGAATGCGGAGGTGCGCGCGACGATTCGCGGTTTCGATGTCGCGCTGCTGCGGCGCGAGAAGGTGATGCTCTTGCTTGGGTGGGCGTTTGTCAGCATGCTGGGCTACATGACGCTGCTGTACAGCCTGTCGGCGTACGGGCGCGACGCGCTGGGGCTGAGCGCAGGGCAGGCGGCGGGCGTGACGGCGTTTCTGAATCTGGGGACGGCTGTGGGGCGGCCGGCGTTGGGGTGGGCGAGCGATCGGTGGGGGAGAGTGGAGGTGGCGGGGGGAGCGACGGCGGCGTGTTCGGTGTTGATATTCGCTGTGTGGATGCCGGCGGCGTCATATGGGGTGTTGGTGTTTTTTGCGGTGGTGAGCGGGACGATTTTGGGGGTGCTGTGGATGGTGAGTGGTCGTGGACAGGATTGGTTTGGGCCATGGCTGACTGTTGGTGGCAGACTATCTCGCCGTTGTGTGTCGAGGTTGCTGGACTGAAGGATCTCAACTCCATGTTGTCCCTGGCCTGGGCGACGACCGTCCTGCCCTGCACGTGTACGTTGAAGAAAAACATGAATGATGAACGACAGCTGAACTTTTTCTAGTCTCGGAAGTAATCGCACTCAAGATACGCCGACCTGGCGCAGAACGGCCATACCTGTACCCTCAAATATACTCAGGACTTTCTTACGCCGTGGCCGCTGCTATCATGTTTCGCCTCTGGCAAGTCCAACGCAAGAAAGATCCAACAAACTGCAGGTGCAATGTGGTATAGAAGGAAAGAAACATAATCAAAAAAGGGACTGTAGCGCTATGGACTCGTCTATAACGCCGTCACCGTCTGTATCCAAGGAGGGGATGTTAAATGGGCATAAGACAAGGCATAGCGTGGCATGACTCTACGTTCGTGATAGCCTCGAGAAATTCTACAAGGAGGGCTTATTCGATATGTGCGGAAACACGTGAGCCAAACTGCCATTACGCTCATGGAGTGAGACTTTGGGTGTGGCGTCTGGCTTGATGTCTTCTGGAGCTTCGGCTTTGCTTTCGCCATTGTCCGTGACGTTACCCATGTCAGGCTCGGCAGAAAGCGTCTTTTCAGGTTGCGGGCTAGCGTGAGTCTGGGCCTTCGTCTCGATATGATTTTCCAGCCACTTGTGCTGATTCTCGGCCAGCTTGAGTGTATGGTCAACCTCTTGACTGAGCCTGGCAACCTCTTCCTCGACCGCCTCTTCCTTGGTCTTGGGCGGCTCTTTGCCGAGATCGGCCGCGGCTTTCGGCGCAAATTTGGCCCACAGCGCCTCCAGTTCTTCAAGCCATCCGCAGGCTTCAGCCAGCTTGCGCACGCCGGCGTCACAGTCCTCAAGCAGCATCACGTCATCACCACGCGAGCCGATCGAGCCGACCTGCTCCTTGTTGATGAGCAGCCTCGGACAGCCATGACTGACAAAGTTCGGCAAGCTGGCGAAAGGCTGAACGGTGAGGCTGGTGCCCATGATGATGGCAAGGTCAGCTGCAGCAGGCAATTCGCGGTTTTCGAAGAAGGCCGCGGGCAGCGGCTCGCCGAAGAAGACGATCTTGGGCTTTACGAGGCCCTCGCAGAACTCTTGCTTGCAGTGCGGCGGCTCCATGCAGCGGATGAACTCCTTCATCTCATCGTCCGGAAAGGGAGCGCCGCATTCGATGCAGGCCTGCTCGGCGAAGCTGCCGTGGGCCTCGACGATGGCTTCGCCGGGCAGGCCAGCCTCGCGCTCCAGGCAGTCGATGTTTTGCGTGAAAACCTTCAGGAGGATACCCTTGTCGTACAGCAGACGCATGAAGGCGTGGGTGATTGTCGGGCGATATTTGCCGGGGTACAGTTCGTGGGCCAGAGTGTAGAAGGGCATCGGGTTTTTGTTGAAGTACGAGATGTCGAAGACGGCCTCGGCGTAGGGCAGGTCTAAGCGGGCGAGATTGGCGTACAGGCCAGTGTCTGGGCTGCGGAAGTCGGGAATGCCTGCCGATGTGCTTATACCGGCGCCCACCTGGGATCCTTAGCTTGAAACAATTATGCTTAAAGAGCTGGCTCACCATGAAGACGACGCGCTTTGCCCGACCCTCGCGGATGTACTTTGCGACGCCATCGAGAGAGCGGGAGTCGAGGGTGGAGGGCGCGATGCTCTCGTCCACGATGCTGCTTTCGTCTTGTCCCATTTTCCAGCCTCGTCCGGGCTTCCCACGGTTCGGATTCTTGTCCTTGGCCTGCTTGCCCTTCGGGGCTTGCTGGCGATGCGGCTTGTGCTTGCGGCCTATGATGGCGAGCGATAGGAGGCTGCGGAGGTGGCGATACACGATGTATGCAGGAGCTTGGAGGTGCGGGCTTGGTAGTTCACTGGGGCGTGGGGTGTGGTAGGCAGCAAGCAATGATTTGGTTTTGCGCGCAGTCGCAATCGCTGCGGAGCGTCATAGCTCACCTCCGACTCCCCGCCCGCCCCGCGCCGCACGCACGAGTCATGGAAGTTGCGGCCATGATTCATGAGTCAAGTCTCACTTGCAGGTGACACAGCACTTCGACTTCACATCACTCCGAAAATTGCATTTCATCTAAACTGACCCCTGGAAACGCCCCCACAATCAAGAATGAACAAGCGTATGCATGTCAGCTAACGGATAGGCTTGGCCCTGCACCAAAGCTCGGGCTTTTGCCACAGGCTGTATGCCTCCTGGTCCGCCCAGCTCGCGCTCTCGGGGCAGAGCTCCAAATCGAAGTGCCAGAGCACTTTAGCCATGATGATGCGCATCTCATGGTACGCCAAGCTGCATCTCCAGGTCAGCATCGTCCAATCGCCTGCCGAGGGGGGTGTGATCTCACTTCTTGCCCAAACAATTGCGCGGGCCAAAAGAGAAGGGCTGCAGCACTTCCTTGCGGTCGCTGTCATATCCCGTGTTAGGCAACCAGCGCTCCGGCACGAACGAGTCCGGATCCTTGAAGTTCTTCTCCGACCGGTAGGCCGACCAGTTGTGGAGCGAAACCCTCGTCTAGATCTCCATGTCAGCATTACGATATCCCCCGCATGACAGGGTCACAAACCTTCCCCGGCACCCACTCGCCGCAGATCATGTTGCCGCCCTCAGGTGTCTCACGCGGCAGTCCGATTGGCACCGGCGGGTACACTCTCAGACCCTCCTCGAAGCAGGCGTTGAGGTATGGCAGCCGCGGCAGTTCCTCGAGCGAGAGGTCTTCCTCGGAGCGCGACCGCACCTCCTCAACGACCTTCTTCAACTTATCCGGATTCTTGAGCAAGTACCACGTGAGGCCGCTGAGCAGCGTGGCGGTCGTCTCGGTGCCGGCGATCATGAACAGCGACGAGTTGGCGTGCATCTGGCCCAGGCTGATGAGGTCCTTGCCCTTGTCCAGCACCAGGCCCCAGATGTCGGGCTTGCCGTCGTCGCTCTTGGCCAACCGCCGGTCCACGCGGTCCGCCGCGTGCTGGAAGTGCAGCCGCACCTGCTCGTCGAGGCCCTTGGGTGTGAACAGCACGGCGAGCTTGCCGAGCACCGGGTACTCCATCATGATGCGCGCCAGGTGCTGTGCCTTGATGCTGCCGAAAACGGCCTTGACCCACGGCGTGTACTCGGACTGTTCGAGAAGGCCCAGCGGCTCGCCGAACGTGAGGTCACCCATGATGTCGAACGTCGTGCAGTTGTAGAGTTTGACCATGTCGAGCTTCGCGTCCCCGTTTTCCTTGGCTGTCCTGTGCATCAGGTTCACCAGCTGGTCGACGTACCGCTTGATCAGCGGCTCCTGCAGCTTCAGCGCGCGGTCGCTGAAGGCGTTGGAGAAGATGCGCCGCAGAGCGCCGTGCTCCTTCACGTCCTCGGTGTTGAGCACATGGCACTCGTTGTTGATGTCCCGGTTGTAGAAGCGCTTGTCCTTGCCGTTTTCCTGCCGCCCACCTGACCGGTGTCCGTAGATGTCCTTCAGCGCCTGTGGGGAGGTGTAGCTGAGCCGGTCAGGCCCGAGACGGACCACCTCGCCGTATTTCTCGTGCTGCCTGCGCGTCCACCCCTCGATGCGTCCGGTGTAGCCGATGAGCCACCAGGTAATCGTGCTCATGGTAGCATACTTCGGACCGGGGTCTACAGGATTTTGTTCAGCTGACGGAAACCAGATCTGAACATGAAATCGACTCACATTTGCTCAAAGGATGGAAATAGACATTGTAAACCGCCGTGGCAGCAAGCTTAACAAGGAGCTGTCATGTTTCACATTAGCACTGGTTCTGATGGGGGACCAGGGCAGCTGGACATACCAGAACCGCAACGCTGGTCAAGAGCAGTGGCAAGTTCCGCAAAATCACAAGCCTGGATGGCAGCTCTTGCAGTGGGACTCCAGCGCTTTGAGAACCAAGGTTTTCCATGATTGCGGTGGTGAAGAGGAGGGTAATGGACTTGTCGTTTCTGGACCTCCCAGTCTGCGGGGCTTATATACATACGTCTGGGAGTGGCCAAGCAAGCATGAATCAACCAGATGGTTGGGATGAAGCATCCCAGCAACCGCCAAATCTCGCAACAGTCATACTACCGAATCGACCCGGGTCCTGCTATTCGCTGCAGCAACGGAAGACGGGCAACTTTGGATCCGGGCGTTGGTGCTACGCGATTATGAGGCATCCGCAGGGGTAGGAGTCGGAGGCCTTGTGGAGGTGGGACAAACAGGAAAGAAGGCTTTGCCGCTGCCAAGGTACGTTCGACTCGATCCATGGTCTCTACAGCTAGTATGCTTGCTGGGCGGGAGAGCCACCCGTCGTAACGGGCCGCGCAACTGCGGCAGAGATTAAACGCTCGTGCAGGTTGCAGATGCAACACGAAGGGCGGTCCCCAAGGTTGGTCCTTGAATGCTGATCTCGAACCCCGCATCCACGTCCTGGGCGGCGGGGCCTTTTTTCGTCCGTCTCGGCCCAATCGACTGGCTCGGATGTCGTTGCTCCCTTTCTTCCGGGCGGCGACAAACGTCAAGGCGCATGGCCGATGCTGGCAAGGTGAAACTGCAGCTGCAAAAGTGGATACGGTCGTGTCGAGGCATGCCAATGAGCAGTTACTTATCTGAGCTCATGCTGTCTCGTGAGGGTTGTTTGGGTGCGCATCTGCATAGCGCGTTTCGGAGATGACCCCATATCCAGAGCTTACGAAGCCGCAATAGTATAATGACAAGAAACGATAGACATGCGGGGTGTCGACGCGTCGTTCTGCCATGGAGGAGAGGCGGTTCCGTCAGCGGCTGTCGTCCTCGCAGGGCTCTTCCAAGGAATTAGAAAAGAGTCATCGAAAAATCCTGCGGCTGTCCTGGAGGATCGTGTAGAAGTACTCGTGCAAAAGTCCGAATCGTGCAGTGGAGTGTGTCAGTGCCATTGGCCGATGAATACCGAGACATGCATATGCAAGTCTCGGGGTCTGTGTTTCTGACACCCCTGTCGGCATTCTGCCGAAATACCGGCTAACGCCCATTTCCTTACTGGTGCGTCACGCTTCCCTTTCCCTCGCACACTGCTCATCCAGACTTCTTATCACTCAGCACTCGCCCTCTTGCTGAAGCACTGGGCATCGTTATCTTTTCCCTCGCCACGACTCTGGCCGCTCTTGAACTGCAGTTTTTGAACTGGTCCATGTCTGCCCCAGCACGCTTTCGCCACGCCAACTGCTGATTGTCGCCATATTCGCCGATTCTCGGCTGCGCTTCCTGCCCTAGTCGTACGTTAGTTTCCACTGGTGACATGCTGCCATTAAAGGCTACTCCGAGGACACATGGTCTGCTTCTCCACCCTCAACGTTGCGGGCTGTCCAGTACTTACTCATTTACCTTTTACAGAATCCATCAAAACAAACTCCAATTAGCGCGAAATCCGGCAATCGTCAGCTCATCTTGTTGTAGCACGGTAAGTGCGTGTATTCGGCCATTCGTCGCGATGGAACGATAAAAGGTGGGCGCGTGCGACAACTTATATTCGTCGTCAGCCCGATCTGCGGCACAGAATCCTTCGCCGTTGCGGCGCGGGCAAAGGGCCAATCAACCGCAGAGCCCTTCCGAAAATGTGCAATGGTAAGTCCCCGGAAGGATGTTCAGCCATAGTTCGGCAGCCCTCGCCCATTTTGGTTGTGGCTTCGGCTTCACGTACTGCCACGTTGGCCACGTACGTAGATTTCCGTCAACTGTCAATCAGCTCTAGAACAGGTGTGACAGGTCGATCCCCTTTCGCGCTCTCAATCATCAACTCATTACCCGCGCCTAGCATCACAACCACCTCTCCACATCTGCTTCCTAATTTCTTCGGGCTCCGTGACATGTCGTGTCGTTTTTCTTTCTACACACTCCGAGCACTCTCTTCTTATCATTTTATCCATTATAATTCATCTGTTCCTCGCCCCCAAGATTTTGTCGATCTTGCGCGCCCGGGATTGTCCTCCTTTCGGTTCCCCCGGAAGTGACTGACTCGTCACCCCCGTCTTCTACGGAGGCTAGTACATTGATGGTGGACCCGTCCGTGACCCTCACTGGTAGAAAGTCTGGTGCGCCGGTGCCACTAAGAATTCTAAAATCAACGTTCAAGATTCCCGCGATCAAGTTTGGCTTTCTGAGATACACTCTGTCCTGTGCTGGAATGCTCTACGTTGAGTATCACCGACTTCTCATTGATTGGTTGTCGATGATACAGGAACCGTAGTTCCTCGTACAGTGAGTATGGTTCGCTACCAAGATTCCTTTCTCAGCCAAGACTTCCGCTACTCTGGCCCGCAACGAAGGCCATTCGGTCCCAATTTGCGTCATAAAACACCCTTTGAGCCTCCGCTGGTAGTAGCAACGCCACCTTGATTAGTGATGACGCTAAGATTCTTTCCTTCAAAACGTGCCTTGATCTCACGCTCCGTACCAAGCCCATCACCCCAAGAGAATCACTTTCCAGATTCATCTCCTCCATCGCCGATGCATTTCTATTTTTCTACCGTTTACGACGAACATACGCGTTCACTGACTACCAGAGAAAATTTTACCAATTCTTCCAAGTTTCTGCAAGACCGGATTGAGAAGCCAAGCACTATCACTAGTCTACTATCGAGAAAAAGGCAAGGGAGAAAGAGCCTGGCTTCACTTCCCTCATTCCAGTAGTATAGCCAACTCTGGACCAAGAACAAAAGCGGAAGCGGGAAGGCTTCGTGCTCCTAGCGGAGCTGAGTTTGGATACCCCGCCTTTTTGTACTACGCATTTTCGCCAACCACTTACCTCAGTTCAGGCAAGCTACCACCGCAAAAGGCTACATCATAACATCCCTTGATAGTGTTACCACGTGCAAACTCGCCGGAATCGCTGTTGGCGGCATCATCATTCTGATCCAGGAGGATCCAGGTACGCGTGGTAGCGGTTCGGTCTTGCCGCAGCATATAAAGCCTCCTTTTCATCAGCATTCATCCACACGCACCTCAAGCAACTCAACCAGACTAAAACCTCTCCCCATCAAACCATCTACCATCCAGATCCACAATGCTGCCACCAACAACCACCGCGGGCCGCCTGCTCCTCCTGGGCACCCTCTTCCTCTCCGGCACCACCGCCCTCGCCCAACAGCAAGCACCCGACCACCAGGAGATGCGCCACAACCCGCTGGGCCGCCTCTTCCACGGCATCGCCGCTAGCCCCAAGCCCAACAAGGCCGCCCGCCCCATCGCCCCCGCCGACCCCGTCCAGTCGTCCTACGACACCAGCACCGGCGTCGACCCCTCGACCTGGAGCCACATCGCCGACCCGACCTACGGCGGCCTCCGCGGGCCGCCGCTGCCGCAGCAGCAGCAGCAGCAACCCCAGCTGCAAGCATCAGCCGTCAGCGGCAGCGGCGGACGGCAGGAATTCGTCATCGTCAACCACGACCCGGTGCAGACCAGCTACGACACCAGCACGGCCGCCGACCCGACGGACTGGCGCCGCATCTCGGACCCGACGTACGGCGGCATGACGGCGCCGGGCCCGGCGGAGACGCAGATGGTCGCCAAGCGCGCGGACAGCAGCTCGACCAGCAGCAGCAGCTCGTCCAAGTCTGGCAAGGATAACAAGTCGACGACGACGGAGACGACGAGCCGTAGCGGTACGACGGAGACGGCGACGCGCACGGATACGCGCAGCGCGTCGGGCAGCTCGTCGGCGAGCTCGGCGAGTTCGTCGGGCGCGGCGGCTCCCGGGGTGATTGTGCCGTGGGTGTTTGCGGTGCTGTTGAGGTACTTGTGAAGGGGGAAGGAGGTGATGGAGCGATGGTTGCGTGCGGTGGGATGACGGAAAGGGAGGGGCGCTTGCTTGTTGCGGACAATGGGGTGGTGAGCTTCGTAAGGTTGGAGGTTTGTTTTCAAAAGGTTGCTTTCGGATTGTCAAACCTTGGTCACATAGTACTTAAGCTTTTCTCGATCTCAACTTTGCATTATTCTCACGTCTGATGGCGCGTGATTGTGAGAGCTTCAGCGAGCGCAAGGCAACCACTGCCTGATTGGGTTTAGACTGTGTGGAAGGAGCTTGGGCGCACGTCACGTCATTTGCAAGCGACGCGCTCTCAGAAACGCGTCCTCCACCGAACAGCTCCACCCTCAACCATCGAACCAATCTTTCCGCAAAAGCCTATCTTCCGCCAGTTGGATCCAATCGCGCCGCCCCCATCTCGCTCTCTACCGTGGTTGCCACCATATACCTCATCTCACATCATGCCGAAGGGAACCGCCGCTCGCGGTCGTAAGCGCGCGGCCGCCGACGACTACGAGGACGATGGATTCGTCGTTGCCGACGAGGGATCTGCGCACAAGAAGGCAAAGAAGGGCCAAGCCAAGGGAAAGCATGTTGACGACGAGGGCAATCCGTTTTGGGAGGTGAGGCTCGAATGCGACCGCAACAACGGCCCCCGGATGCTGACCTGCCGCTCTCACAGCTGTCAGCCAAGCGCCGCGTCACTGTCTCGGAGTTCAACGGGAGGCCAATGGTGGGCGTCCGCGAGTACTACGAGAAGGACGGCAAGCAGCTGCCCGGCAAGAAGGTATGTCGGTATCGTTCGATGTTCCTCGGTGGCTACGACCGCTAACGCGACCCTTGCAGGGAATCTCCCTTAGCCTCGACCAGTACAACACCCTCATGGAAGTCCTGCCCGAGGTCGAGACCGCCCTAGCGAAGAAGGGCCAGACAGTTGTGCGACCTAATTTCGAAGGCAATGCAGCCAAAGACAAGGCCGACGAGGACGACGACGAGGGCAGCGACGCCAATAAAAAGAATTTCGAGGCGACAAGTGACGAGGACGACGAATGATGTGCCCCTCATCGTACAGGGACGCATCTAACACCAGTATCCACTATTTCAGCCCATAACTTTCGACGTGGTCCAAATAAGGTTAACATGGCTTGACGTGGTACGATGTCAGGGCTTCATGGATAAATGAACAGGCGCAAGGTGGTTCAAGGGTTTCGTGGCTTCTTTTCTCTCCTTCTCATACCCCAGCCTCATGTTTCCGCAATCTACAGCTGTAATCCACATTCTGTTTGCTGCTCGCTACCGTTGACCCTGTGCCGATCGTCGCAATGACACTTCTAACTGCCCCGGTGCTAAACGTGGTACGTCGCGCTGGACCCTCCTCCGTTACTAGGTAAAAGTAGGACGGGGCCAATAAAAACAGTTCCTGCCCGCCGGAGAGGTTGTATTTTCTCTCACAGCCGTACTTCTACTTCCCGTGTGTCGCACTTTAAGAAGGCGCCTTCCAACACCGACTACTGCCCCCCTCACCACGACCACGCCACCACCACACCGAGCAGCCACCACCGCACTCCCTGCGCATCGATCGCCGGCCTTCGTTCTACCAAACACCAAATACCGGCCTTTCGACACAGCACATACAAACATGGCAAACCCATTCCCCTCAGACTGGAATCTCACGTCTCCAAAAGAAGACACGGCGCCGCCCGCGAAGCAACTCCCGTTCACAATCCGCACCTTCTCCTTCCGCAACGCCCTCAACTACTGCGCGAGCCAGATTCTGTCGCGCTTCTCGCCAGACGACGACTCGTCGCCGCCCGCGCTCGAACGCAGCTCGTCGACGCGAGACTCGACGCCGCCATCCACACCGATCACACCCGGGAAATACACAACATCACCAGCACAAAGTTTCGGCGGAAGGGCAGTAGCAGTCGTCCCAACACCTTCCTCCACCACCTCTACCTCCGCGCAATCCAAGCGCCAGCACTCGCAGGACGAGCTGCGCAGCCTCTCCGACTCTCAGCTCGGGCTTCAACTGGCGATCCTCCTGCCCGAACGCATGTGCGAGTCGCCGATGCCAGTATCAGAAGAGGAAAAACCATCATGCCCCCCACAGCTGCACGCACCGCAGGGTCAGAGACACCAGCGAATGACGCTGCGCCAAAGTGAGGGGCCCCCGGGCGCCATTCCGCTTTTGGATCTGGATGCAGCGCAGGAGGTCGACGAGGCGTCCAGCGACGGTGCAGAACAGCCGCAGGCGGAAGTTTCAGGCGGCGGCAGCGACAACGGCGGCGACTGGGATTATGCGGTAGTGCGGCTCAATGCTGCTGCAGTAGCAAGCCGTGTGGCGAGTGGGAGCTGCAGCAGAGGAAGCAGCTGTGAGTTGGCGGGAAATGCGCCCTGGCGATGCGTCGCGCCACGTGATTTGCTGTTCGCATAGCGATGGGAGGGTAGCTGATTTGCTAGGTGTTCGCATGGCGGAGGGTAGCTGGCTGGCTGAAAGGAATGAGGGCTGGGTGGACGCGTGCCACGTCTTGTCTGATGATGGGCGCCGCCGCCCCCGCCGACGGGCGGGAGCTGATGAATGAGAGTATTTAGAATGAGATACCCCCACCCCGCCGCCCAGGAATGAGAGAGGTCATTTTTTTTTCCTTCTTTCCTGGCGGCGTAGGAATTCAGTCGTTCGTTTCGTTGCACACCTTCGGTTGTTCGCGGGTTATCGCTTCGCTCGTGGTCGTACAAACGTCGCCGGCATGTGGCGTGTAGGTGATCTGTGGAAATTCAGCCGTCACATCCAGTCGCGCGAGTGGTCTCGCACCTGTCTCGATCCTGTCTCGTGAAAGTGGTGCACCAGACTTACGTGAGTGGTTTACTCTAGGGCGGAATGTACCTGGCGGTGCTGATTACTCCCCATTCTCACGTGGGTAGAGCCAAACGTCGACGTCTTGGAATGAAGGCTGATGGAAACATTTTTGGTGGTGGTAACTGTTCTGAAGCGTTCGCCTAATATTCCGACCGGTCGGTGGTGGGTCGCTTGTGTCGATAGTCGTCCGCGCGATTGCACAGGTGAGGAGGTGACTAACTATACAGTTAATAATTGCACCGTTGATCGGTAGGCCATCGTGTCGACTGGCTTGTGTCGCAACGGTCCAGTCTTATTCGAGACACCGAGCTTTCTGAGAAATTCTTGCTCATTATTGATCAGCGGGGCTGGCTCTCTAGTCATCGCATCGGTTCTATTTCAAGGTAGGTCAATTTTAGGTGACGTCTACTTTTCTACATTTTGTATACCGGATTGGGAAAGAGGATGGCCAAGCTCGTATTTGATCGCGGTCGCGAGTCAGGGGGCTCGCGAGCGGATGGCCTCTGCGCAGCCGTTGCGGGTCCCCGTTTCACGGTTACGGCTTTCTCCCGCCACACTTCGCCGGGCCCTCTCCCACCTCACGGCGGCGCACTTCTCGAGACCATTGGCATCTCACTAGCTTGGCAGGTCGTCACGGTACTCGATGGGGCCAAGTGTGGTAGGGCTGACAGATGGGCTACCCGCCGCGCCGGTTTCGATTTGTCCGTTCGACGGACGAGTTTAGCTTCGCCGCTCGCCGAACATCTCTCCCGCACAGCCTCCACTCGCACCTCCAGCTGCTTGACGCGCGGGCCAGCCTGCCACTATTAGGTTGCTGCTGGCTACACGCCGACATGCCCATAGAAAGATCGCCCCGCGCCGTTTCCAGCAGCAGCAGAAGCTTCATCGTCTCCCGCGACAGGCTCGCGCGTTCCTCACCGCCAAGCGTACCGTCTCCCCACACCAAGAAGTCATGTCTGATTCCTCCAATGGCGCCCAGCGCAACTCGTTCTTGTCACGAGCTGTACGATTTTCCTGCCCCGAGCCCGACGCCACATTGCTAATGCGCTCCAGTGCGAAAACTGCCGGCTGAGAAAAGTTTGTCCTCCCGTCGCCGCCGCCCGCGGGCCCCATTCCTGCTGCCTGCCGCGGAACCGAACCACGTGCAGCACGTCCACTGACGGCCGTCTAGATCAGATGCGACAAGGCCATCCCGTGCGCCAGCTGCAAGACGCTGGGCATCGCTTGCCAGGCCGCTGCGCGCACCACCGAGCACCGACCGCGCGTGGTTATCTCCAGCCAGTATGAGAAGCAGATCGAGCTGATCCAGCAACGCCTCGCTTCGATCGAGCGTAGCGTCAAGGACATCTCGCTATCGTCGTCGTCGCGCGGCGTGACGCCCGCCGCCCGCTCGTCGCCAGGTAACGATCAGAACAGCAACCCGCGTACCAATCTCTCCGCCTCCACCCATGGCTCGCCCTCAACCCCCATCGCCGCCTATGAGGGTGACTCGTCCTTTGGCACGCAGACGCTCCAGGCGGGCGAGGCCGCTGACCGCACCGTCGCACGCGTCCTTGGTGGTCAGTCGACGGCTGAGGTTCGCAGCGCCCTGTCGTCCCTGCGCGACAGCCTCGAGACGCACGACTCGAACACGCGCGTGCATGAAGCGTACCTGTCGCTGTCGGCACCGCGCGCCGGCCCGCCTGAGTTGACTCTGCCGCCGGTCGAGTTTGTGGTGGCTATTGTGCGGAGGATCAAGGGTGAGTTGTTTTCGTCCGTCAAATTTGGCTCCGCTCCGCTGACTCGAGTGGCGTTTAGTCCACCCGCCCTTCTCGCTTGTTGGGTATTGCTGGAGGGATCTGCAGCAACTGGAGAAACTTTGCCAGAAGATCTATTTCCCTTCTGATTCGGTTCCGACCGGCTCCCAGACGCTGATGCACGGCATCCTCTTCTTCACCCTGCGAGATTACATAACCGAAAACGACACCGCCCTATCTAACTGGGACTTGGCTGCTTATGCTGAGCTGTGCGAGCACAACTTTTACCAATGCCTGGAGAGGTACGAGAGTCTCGTCGTCCCGACTCTGGAGAATATTCAGTCTTTGCTTCTTGCGGTAGGCCCTCCCATCATTGACTGCAGTTAAATGTTTGTTGACTCCGGGCAGGCTACTAGAGCACAGGAGCAGTCCAAGCTCCAGCTGGTCTGGACTTATGTATCCGCTGGCCACTCCATGTGCCAGACTCTAGGCTATCACCGAGAGTCACATCTCAAGAGAGACCCACCTGAACTTGCCGATATCAAGCGTCATGCCTTCTGGAGTCTGTACATGGCAGACAAAAACCTTTCTCTCTGTCTAGGAAGAAAGAGCAATTTCCAGGATGACGACATCGATGTGGAGTACTTCAAGAAGTCGACAAACCCCAAATATCGCGCATGGGATGAGATTGTATTCGCGTCGATTAATTTTGCGAGGGTTCAAGGCGAAGTTTACGACCGGCTGTACTCGATCGGCGCATCGAGGGCACCTCCGGAGCAGAGACTGCAGGCCGTCGAGGAATTGGCGCAGAAGATGGTGCACTTGCGCAACGAGCTTGTGTCGGTACGGTGCATGTGCCCTTTTGTTGTTTGGATGGCGTATTGACAGATCGAATGATACCAGGTCGACCCAACCGGAGCCGAGTACGGAGAGCATTTGGACAGCATGACCCACGCCGCCGACTTCATTGCGTACACGGTCCTCACGGTCATCTACCGGGCCCAGACTTCGACTGGAACAGGAATAGAGGTCAGCTCGAAATGCTTTGAGACGGCGCGGTTGGGACTGCAGTCCCATCTAAAATGCTTCGAGTCGTTCCAAAGCTCCACTATGCTTGAGCAGATTGACTACGTCACATGGTCAGCTCAACCGATGTTAACAAAATGGCGGCCGTGATGTGCTGATGGCGCGTAGGATTCTACTTTACCCTTCTTTCACCCCGTTCGTGGTGGTGTTCACGCATGCGATTGCCACCATGTCTGTAGATGACCTCTCGCTGCTGCAGGAGACAGTGGGGACTCTGGACCAGGCCAAGCACATCTCAGAGGGTGCACAGCGGCTGTACGACGTGTGCAAGGCCTTTGCAGACGCAGCCGAGGTTCTGATAAACTCGCGGCAGACGCTCACGGGCATGCAGCAGCACGATGACGGGTCCCTCGTGTTTCCGGCGGTGACGGACCCTCATCCGCCCACCATGTCGGCGCAGGACTTTGCGTGGCCAGCGTGGCCCGACGCAACGCATGGACTGGATGTGAACAACATGGACATGTCGATGTTTCTGGGTAACTGGCTGGGCGCGAACCGCCCCGTCATGGATATGCTCAATCTCGACTCGACTGACCAAGAGCTGAGCATGTAAAATGAGAGAAGCGGCGTACATTTCGGAATTGGCGTTCTTGGTAGACGGTGTCCTGCGGTGACCACGTTGGGCGTAGACGGTGGGATTTTTGCAGCGGGAAGAACAAGTGGCGCCGGACGGGCCCCTTGAATTATCATGAGTCACTTTCCAGATCATTCATTCTCTGCAGCCGTCCATCGGGCCAAGCCGCGCATTTATTGGCCGTCCGAGCGAATGATATGGGTTAAGCGGCACAGCGGGACCCATTTGCAGCATGCGGGTGCCAAGCTCGGAGCTCTTGGCTGCTCCGGCCCAGTGCGTTCGGGACCCGCGGAGCCCGTGGAAAGATGTCCGCCATGCCCGTCTAGCGCATGTTGCCTCCTGCCATGAACCACAACATGTCGTCTTTGATGCAAGACATGGCCTTCTACTATAAACTATGGCCTATCCGCGGACTCCTGGTAGGGCAGACGGCACCCAAACTTTCCTTCTTGATTCTTAATTGCAACCTCGCCCACCGGTTCTGGCCTGGACATTTACCGGAGATCGGCGCTGAACGCCACACTCGTCAACGCCAATGGGTCGCGAGACGGCCGAAGACTCCAACGATGGAGCCTCGAAGAGGGCAGACACGCCTTCGTCGGGTGAGAGGACAAGCACACCCAATGATGTTGAGAAGGACCCTGGCGCTTTTGCAACCTATTTGGTATTCACTCCTTTCCCACGGTCGACCTGGCCTTTCACAGGACTAACTCATCTTGGCAGAGGATATTCAGCTTCTCCGAGCGGATTGATTGGATCCTCAATGTCGTCGCCATCGCTGCGGCGTGCGGCTCGGGCGTGTCCATGTCGTTGATCCAGCTTGTCTTCGGTGGTTTCGTCACCGTCATCTCTGATTTCCAGCGGGAAATCAGCACGCCTGCTCAGTTTCGGGATGATATTACTACATATGCGTATGTGTGAGCTTGGAAGGCTGGTGGGGATAGTGTGCTGACCGTGTGGCAGATTGTGGTTTGTGTACATCTTCATCGGCAGGTTCTGCCTCGTCTACATCTTCACGGTACGTTCCCCGGTCTCTTCAACGCCGCTTCCGGGTCTAACGTGTCATCCAGATGTGCATGACGATCTCGGGTACCCGTATTACCAGGACCATCCGCTACCGCTTCCTCGAAGCCACGCTCTCGCAGGAAATTGCCTACTTCGACAGCGGCGACGGCGGCTCGGTGACGGCCAAGGTTACCACCAACGGGAACCAGGTGCAGCAGGGCATCTGCGAGAAGCTGGGATTCACATTCCAGGCCATGGCTACCTTCATCTCGGCCATTGTCATCGCGCTCGTCAAGCAGTGGAAGCTGACGCTCATCACCATCACCATCGCCCCCGTCATCCTGATCGTCATCGGCCTCACCGTCGGCTTCGACGCCGCGCTCGAGACCCAGATCCTCGAGATCTACTCGCAGGCCGGCGCCCTGGCTGAGGACGTCTTCTCGTCGGTGCGCAATGTTCATGCGTTCTGGATGCGCCCGAAGCTCGTCGAGAAGTATGATGGCTACCTGCAGAAGGCGCACCAGCTGGGTAAGAAGAAGAGCCCGCTGTGGGGCTTCCTGTTCAGCACCGAGTTCTTCTGCATCTACTCCGGCTTCGCGCTGGCGTTCTGGCGAGGCGTGCACATGTACGCCGAGGGCGAGATTGCCGACCCGGGCGTCATCATTATGTGAGTACCATCCATTCCCTTCCCTTTCACGAGTCGAACTGGACAGCCATTGCTAACGAAAATAGCGTCCTCTTCTCCGTCGTCATCGCCGCCACCTCGCTGACGCAGATCTCGCCCTACTTCCAAGCCTTCGCGACGGCCACGTCGGCCGCGGGCGCCCTCTTCAAGACCATCGACCGCGCCTCCCAGATCAACCCGCTCGAGGACGCCGGCGAGAAGCCCGACACCGTGCACGGCGAGATCGAACTCACCGGCGTCAACTTCGCCTACCCAACCCGCCCGGACGTGCCCGTCCTCGCCGACTTCTCGCTGCGCTGCCCGGCCCGCAAAACCACGGCGCTCGTCGGCGCCAGCGGCTCGGGCAAGAGCACCATCGTCGGCCTGCTCGAGCGCTGGTACAACCCGGCCACCGGCACGATCATGTTGGACGGCCGCCGCGTCGAGGACCTCAATCTGAACTGGCTCCGCACGCGCGTAAGGCTCGTCCAGCAGGAGCCGGTGCTGTTCAACGGGACTGTGTTCGACAATGTCGCGTACGGCTTGACAGGCACGCAGTGGGAGAAGGCGCCACGGGAAGAGCAGATGCAACGGGTTGTCGAGGCGTGCCGCGTCGCCAACGCGCACGATTTTGTCTCCGAGCTGCCGTTGGGCTACGATACGCCGGTCGGCGAGCGTGCGGGCTTGCTGTCGGGTGGGCAGAAGCAGCGCGTTGCCATTGCGCGTGCGGTCATTTCGGATCCGGAGGTCCTGTTGTTGGATGAGGCGACGAGCGCGCTCGATCCGCATTCTGAGGGCGTCGTGCAGCGCGCGTTGGACGCTGCAGCGAAGGATCGGACGACGGTGGTTATTGCGCATAAGCTCGCGACGATTAAGCATGCGGATAATATCGTTGTCATGACGAAGGGGAGGATCGTCGAGCAGGGGACGCATGAGGGGTTGTTGGAGAGGGACGGCGCGTATGCGCGGTTGGTGCAGGCGCAGGATCTGGGGAGCAAGCAAAATGAAGATTCGGGCTCGGATGAGGATGAGGATGAGAGGGATGGGACCGAGGCCACGGAGAAGGTGGGTGTGACGAAGACGCTGACCAGGGCGAGCACGGTGCATGCGTCGTCGAGGGAACACCAGGCGACGCTGGACTACAGCAACTACAAGCAGAGGAGTATCATGTGGGTGGTTGTCACCATGCTGAAGGAGCAGCGGGAGCTGTGGCCTTGGTTTGGTCTCGTCTTCGTTGCATGTTTGATTGGAGGTAAGTTGGTGAGGAAGCACGCGGTGACGACAGCAGACGACTGACATCCGACAACAGGCGCAACTTACCCCGGCCAGGCCCTCGTCCTCAGCGAACTGATGAACGTCTTCCTTTACACCGGCAGCAAACTCACCGACGAAGGCAACTTCTACTCGCTCATGTTCTTCGTCATCGCCATCGGAAACCTGATCGCATACTTCACCATCGGCTGGGTCGCCAACGTCGTCTCGCAGCACATGACGCACTTCTACCGCCGCCTCATCTTCGACATCACCCTCCAGCAGGACATCCAGTTCTTTGATCGCAGCGAAAACACCACCGGTGCCCTCGCCAGCCGCCTCTCGTCGCAGCCCACGCAGCTGCAGGAACTCTTCGGCTTCAATCTCGCCACCATCTTCATCGTCATCGTCAACATCACGGCCAGCTGCGCCCTCGGCATCGCCATGGGCTGGAAGCTCGGCCTCGTTGTGGTTTTTGGCGGCATGCCGCCTTTGGTATCTGCTGGTTATTTCCGGATGCGCCTCGAGTTCAAGATGAATGACGACTCGTCCAAGCGGTTTGCGGAGAGCGCAGCGCTGGCGGGAGAGGCGGTGAGCGCCATCAGGACTGTGTCGTCGCTGGCGCTGGAGAGGAATGTGTTGGAGCGGTATCGGGAGAGGGTGGATGGCATTGTGAAGACGGCGATTCCCAGTATCGTCCACACCATGTTCTGGTTTGCCTTGACGCAGTCGATTGAGTTTTTGGTCATGGCGCTGGGATTCTGGTAAGTTTTTGGTCACACACTTCATTTGTGGAGGAGGTCTTGGGCTCACAAGAATCCAACAGGTACGGCTGCAAACTGCTGTCGACGGGCGAGTACACGATGAAGCAATTCTACATCGTCTTCATGGGCGTCTTCTTCTCGGGCCAGGCCGCGGCCCAGTTCTTCGCGTACACGACCAGCATCACCAAGGCCGTCGCCGCCGGCAACTACATCGCCTGGCTCCGCTCGCTCCAACCCATCGTCGCCGAGACACCCGCCAACCGCGACCGCGCCCCGCCCGACGGCGACCTCGCCCTGTCCATGACCCACGCCGGCTTCACCTACCCCACCCGCCCGGACGCGAAAGTCCTGCGCGGCGTCTCGCTCGCCGTGCGCCCGGGGCAGTTCGTCGCCTTCGTCGGCGGCAGCGGCTGCGGGAAGTCAACCATGATCGGCCTGCTCGAGCGCTTCTACGACCCTTCGTCCGGCGAGATCAACCTGTCGTCCGGCGATGACGACAGCACCACTACCACTAACCTGGCAGACCTCAACCCTCGCCTCTACCGCCACAACGTCGCCCTCGTCCAGCAGGAACCGACACTCTACCAAGGCACCATCCGCGAGAACATCGCCCTCGGCCTCGAGGACCCGAGCCAGCCCGTGTCAGACGAACAGATCATGCGCGCCGCCGCCCAGGCTAACGTCGCTGACTTCATCGCCTCCCTGCCCGAGGGCCTCGACACGCACACCGGCGCCCGCGGCGTCGCGCTGTCTGGCGGCCAGCGCCAGCGCGTGGCCATCGCAAGGGCGCTCGTCAGGGATCCAAGGATATTGTTGCTGGATGAGGCGACGAGTGCGTTGGATACGGAGAGCGAGAGGGTGGTGCAGGGCGCGTTGAACGAGGCGGCGAAGGGTGGGGGCAGGATTACGGTGGCCGTCGCGCATCGCCTCAGTACGGTGAGGCATGCGGATCGGATTTATGTGTTTCTTGGTGGCAAGGTGGCGGAGGAGGGAAGGCATGAGGAGCTTGTGGCGAAGGAGGGCGGGTTGTATCGCGAGATGTGTCGGGCGCAGAGTTTGGATCGGGAGGTTTGAGGTCCGAGAGATGGGACTCGGTTGGTATGGAATTTTGTAATTTTAATGGCATTCAGTCTCTTGTTCGTTGGGTGGAGGAGGTGATGATGCGGAGTGGAATCAAGCGGGTTTCAAGACATGGCTGGATCTGGATTGGCTTTTTTCAAGGGCATTGCCGCCGAAGGGTAGCGAGGAATTTTTTTTTCCGCTTGTATCATGAGTAATTGGAGCTCCTATCTCAAAAAGCAATAATCAAACATCACTACCCAATCGATTGAGTCTGTCAATGTACGAAGAGCGGTAGGTAGTATTTACCCAGAATAGATGGCCTGTTTGAGGCTCAGTCTCACCTCTGGAGCGTACATAGTCTTTGCTAGTCGAGGGTGAATCCATTATGGTTTCAACACACACCCTCACGCGGATTGGGAATAATTAGATGTATTGAAAACCGGTAATTGTCTTCGTAGAACAACGAGTGCAGAGCTTATTATAGAATAGCTTCATCTTTCAAAGTACTAGCGAAAACACATAGACTAAGGCCTTAACTCTACGTCCAATTGCATATCCTTTAATGAGATTTGTTAGCTGAAGCTATCTATCGAAGTTTAGGGTATCAAGCCTCTTACGTGTGGAGTTTACGGTTGGCAGTACGGGCAGCGAGCCTGTGTGCAGGCCACGAATGCCTCGTTGGCTTGGTTGTTTTTATCGCAATAATCATAGCATTCGCGGAGATTTGCGTCGGGACAAACTTGGCCGAGGACAGCAACCGGCAAAGCTGCAAAGAGGAGACTGATGATGAATTTCATATTGGAAGAGATTCGGATTCAATTGTTGGCGTGGGGTTGGGTTAAGAGATGTAGATAATAAGCTTAAAAGGCAAAGGCTTGGATATATATATTTGCCTGCACATTTATGAGTCAGGGTAAAACAAGTAGTCGTCATGGATAATTTCTCTGAATAATAGATCGTCTTCTCAGTAGTGCGGTGGCCTCGATTATGAAATTAGATCCGAAGACGTCGGCACCGTCTACTGGCACGTGTACCAGCACGTTCATACAAAACATTACTATATAGGCATAAACTGAGACAAATGTAGCAGTTGGTGATGATCGTAGAATGTGTGTGAATTGGCATCTTGAGTGAGAGGGAGGGTCGCTGGGAGCGAGTCCGTATCCTTTGTTATGACTAAGCTACTGCACGCATGATATCTACAACACATCCCTTTCACAAGCTTGTTTCTGAAGCAAGCTTGTGATCTTTGACGTGGTGTTAAGCATTCCTTGTCTTGCCTTGCCGTGCGTGTCTGCGCCGCACTGTGAGTCGCGCGAATGAGTCGTGGGTGGCTCGTGTTGCTTGCCTGTTTGCGCTATGAGTCGCGCATTGCTTGCTACGCTGTGAGTCGCGCCGTGGTTGGTGGGGCCATGAGCCGCCCGGATGAGTCGGAAGTCGGTCGTTCGATCGCTCTCGCCGTGAATTGTGCGTGTTTCTTGCTTGGTAAGGTTCTTGCTGTTCGATTAAGACAAACAGACGTCGCCATCTATATTCTTTCTTGCCTAGTATTGATGCTTTCATTCGAGCGCTACTTCAAATGTTAGCTTGATTGCAGGGTTCTTAAGCTTATGTTAGGCCTGGACCGCAATTTTTAGACTTCCTTTCTAAAAGGCAAATCTGACGTCTTTGTTAATGTACGGGAGTTCAGTGTACTACGTGCGATCTCACCAGAGAAATAGTAGAGGCTGGGTTGCTTGCTCTTCTGATTGTTCCTCTGCTCATTGCTACGAACCGTTACTGTAGACGCGTATTCGAATTGAACGCGTCAACGAGTCATATAGCGAATAATTCTGTTTTACAAGTTCGCTGAAAAGCCAATGATCCATAGGATCTTAGGAACTGTTCCTTTCAGTATGTACAAGGCTTTTGAAAAGGGGGCAATTGCCAAACCCAACTCTTTTTTTACGAAAAGTCCCACACCCAACCATAGCCGGCCAAACCCAGCAGTAGTCGGCGAAAACCAACTTCACCAAAATCTACCGTCTTTTAACCGCAGCAGAACTTCAACGAAATTAAAATCTAAGTGTTTTCTTACTTCTATAGCAATAGCTAAGCCCATAGATATCTATTATAATATTTTGTAAAAACGGTTAACCTGCACTGTCTGAGAGTTGGGCTTAGGATTTTCTACCAAAAAAGAGTTACGCTTGGTAATTTACCCTTGGAAAAGCCTTCATGGTCGCTACAGTGAGATACAGCGGTACAGTAGTCAGTTTGTTCAGCACGTCATACTGTTCCGGCATCCCTGATCTAGAAAAGACTCTTGAAATTGGTAAGATGGACACACTGTTAAGAGCGCAATAAACATCCCGTAGCTTCCCTCCGCAGGGCTCACCGTCCTCACAGTTTTTAAGTCCATCATGTCAGCTTTCAGGGCATTTCCAGCAATCGGAAGCATCTGCCAGGAAAGTGAGGCAAATAGGACGACCATGCGCCAAAGTGGTTCATGTGATGGCGGCTCGGGCAATTTTGCCGGTAGCTGCGGCTGCAGCCGAGGAAGTTCTCACACATGTGACACGAGATAGTGTCGATGCTTAGCTTAGCAAGATCCCGGAGTAGGACAAAGTTCGAGCATCAGACTCCGCCAAGTCACCAGATGCGTGTGCGAGGCTGAATCTTGCAGCCTACAAAATCTGTTGATTACCAGGGCGAAGAGGGTCTGAGGTCTGTGCGTGCTAGCGCAAAGCCGCATCGACTGATACATGACATGAAAATGCCCGAGGTTCCAAAAATATCGATGGGGGCCAAAAACTTTCTAAGCGGACAATCACGGCGCTTTTAAGCCAGGTCTCTTCCCCGCTCCGTCTAGACGTCCGACAACAGTGCCAGCTCCCAGTATGGCATCCGCTCTGGACGAACCCGATGAATTCCCAACGACAGCACAACACAGCGCGTTCGACTCAGCCACGACGAGCAACGCCCTATGCGACCTGTGTTTGCAAGCTTTAACAATTGATGATAAGCTTGCCGGCGGGACCCTGACGAATGCTTACAATGACGGGGAAACTGCTCTGGACCTATCCGGGTTTACTCGAATAGAGTGGCGAACGTCAGACCGCTCGGGCCGAGGGCTCCGTAATTCTCGCAGGAAAGAAAAGAGAGAGCCAGATGAGTATGGTTGGATATGGGAGGGCGAAAGGACCCTTGAGGATGGCACTTCAGACATATGGCATTGTCGCCGAGCCGCCGTAGGCAATAATCACGAAAGACTCGTTACGCCTTCCACGTTGCCAGAACTCGCAAAGAGTTGCGTATTCTGTTCAACTCTCAGAGAAATATTCTACCAGGAATACGGCGAAAGTCCCTGGTGGAAACTCCCTAATTCGATGCTCCGGTTTCAGATGCAGTATGAATGGTGGGAGCTCCGTACGACAAAGGAAAGAGAAGGAAAGGCCGTGAAAATAGAACTCGAGCAGCGGCTTGAATGTTTGGCCGTTATAGTAAGGCATCCAGGTCTCAACCCTGGCTATGTCGATGCCTATGAGTTCGAGATAGGATCGAAGCCAGGTAAATGATACACTTCTTTTTCCAGACTGGCCGCTAATTGCTTCAAGGGATTTGTCGAGACTGGCTAGGTATTGTCTACGATCTATTGGATATCAACGGACCGGCTTCAGGTACCAACATTCAGTTCATGAAGAACTGTATCGATGAATGCGTGGAGGATCATACAGATTGCATGGACAGGCTCTTGAAAAACGACTTCGTTCCCACGCGCTTACTGGATATCGAAAATGACACAACTTCCTATATCAAACTCATAGAGCGTAGCCAAATTCCTCTTGAACGCTCACCCGATTCTCAACTCAAATATGCAACTTTGAGTTACTGTTGGGGAAATTCTTTGCCTCTAAAAACCACGGAGCAGACTTTGGAGCAACACAAGACCGGAATTCCCATACATGATCTGCCGGCAGTTTTCCAGGATGCGGTACATGTCGCCAGAAAGCTTGAAATTCGCTTTATCTGGATCGATGCACTTTGCATCATCCAAGACCAAGACAGCAAAAGAGATTGGGAGGCTGAATCGGTGACGATGTCCGATGTTTTTGCTCACTCTTATGTTACCATCTGTGCGGCTTCAAGCACTTCATGCTCCGAAAGCTTTCTCCGCAGACCTCCTCCCAAGCTTTTGACTTTACCGTTCCGCTCATCCCTAAGGCCAAACGTGTCTGGAGCGTACTCAATCTTTCTCAGGGGGGGACGGCAATGGCAAGACGTAGCTGATCTCGAACATTCGCGTTGGATAAGCCGTGGATGGGTCTGGCAAGAACAAGTCATGGCCGCAAGGCAACTCGTATTCGTCGAAGAAGCCCTCCAGTTCCGGTGCAAGACTACCGTCTGTTTGGAGTATGGTCGGACGGCGAAAGAACATTTCCTTTCATTGACGAAAAGGACAGATTATCAGAAGTTTTGGTTTGATGTCATAACCCAGTACTCCCAAAGACACCTTACACACGCCAAGGACCGGCTGGCTGCCGTAGCTGGAGCAGCTAAGCTCATACAGGCCTCCTTGAAAGACGCGGGCCAGCCAAAAGAATATCTTGCGGGGCTATGGCTAGATGGTGACAGTCTCGGTTGCCATGTGTGCTTGGATGACAATTTCAGTCGTCATCTGTGCTGGGTATACGATGAGCCAATATTGTCATACACCATGTTGTTGGAGCAGCTCAACAACGACAAGGAATATTGCGCCCCATCCTGGAGCTGGGCGTCGAGGAACACAACTGTCTATTGCATATTTCTCAACGTAGATTCCCAATTCCAGGTCGTCAGTTATGACTTGCAGCCGGCGCACTCTGATGCTATGGTTGCAGTCAGATTTGGATCGTCAATCACCCTCAAAGGAAAATGTCGACAAACACCGGTGAAGCCAACCACTGGCGTACTCAGGCGAGAACCCACATGGGGAAACAGACGGTTGAACTGCTGGGAAGCTTCTAGCCCACATGGTGACATTGAATTTTGGTTGGATTGGGTGCCGGACCTGGACAATCGCGAGGAAGATGATCGTCAAAATCAACTTCAGCTGTTTCTCATAAGCTACGATAACGGTTTCATTATTTCGGGACTCTTATTACTACCATTCGAAGGTTCTGGGGGAATACTGCACCGCCGGGTAGGGGCATTTCGGACGTGGAACAGAGACTGCGACCAGTTGTTCACAGATGCTTCAGAACGCACCATTACAATTCTGTAAATACTGGCTCCTTGCTTTAAATTACTGGTTGTATTTCTTTGAGTTCAAGTTTTGGTTTACAAGAGAGGTAAATAACCCAAAATTCGCTTTCAAAAGACGGTATCACTGCCGAAGGCTGGTCATACTTCCGGGCATCGCTGGCCCGAGTATGCCGCATACTGACATCGCGCCCAAGCATGCTCCCTGTCCTCACCTTATCCACGCACGTACGCCGCATCGGTGCAGCAGTCGCATGGCATGAGATTCGTCTGCCATAGAAATATGAGCGTGCTGAACTCCAAGTCTAAACTCTATCGTGTCGCCAGCACCTTTACGTTCCCGCGCGCTGGCATCGCCAAAGGTACCAAATCTGCCCACCATACTGATGTCGGCACGCGGAAAAAGGGCCGGCAAGGCTCCGGGAAGAAAACGCCTGATAGATAGCAATAGAATAGAAGCAGTAGCTTGGGGTTCTTTATCGTCTCACGCTTTTTCGCCGCCTTCTTCGGCAGCGTCATGCTGACAAATGCCCCCGGGCCCGTCAACGACGTCGTCTCTGAGCAGCATCGGACGTTTTTGTTTTGCCTCTGAGCCGTCGGACCTACGAATGGCCCTGTCGTTGGCTCGATGATCGGCTGATTCCGCTTCGAACATTTAGGTTGGCGTTGGAACAATTGGCCGGTTGCTATCATGGGCAGGGTGGCCTTCTGCCTCGTGACAGGTCTGGGTGAAACCTACCTGCCGGTTTTGCTTCAGAAGAAAGCGGCAAAACTGAGAGAGGAGACAAATGAAGAGAGGCGGTGGAGCCGATACGTGAATAAGTAGAGCTTTGGCAATTGCTGGGAGCCAGTTTGAGCTGGCCTTGCATAAGATGTTTATCGAGCCCATCTTGTTTGTTGTCCGCACACATGCGAAGCTTTCAATTGCTGATAATTCTTTGCTAGCGCACTCTGGGATGTCTACGCCATACTGTATCTTTGCTTCGTGGTGTGCCCCATTTCTGTCAGAGGCGATCGAGGATGGTCTCAAGGTTGTTTTGGTCTTGGGGTTTCCTGTGTCGGGTTTGGTACTGTTACAATCATCCTCCTAGAGCCTGTCATCCGAAGAGTAGCTGAGTCGAATCCAAAGGATCCAACGACCGCACAAACACCTCCCGAATAATCGTGAGCATCACATGCGCGTCCAGCATCTTACTAGCAGTCTAGCAGCTATGGTTCACTTGCACAAGTACACCTGATGTGCATTTGATTGCATCCATTCTTTCTGGGATCTCTCCCGGCGTTGGATATTGTGGTATTTTCGTTCATGGCCAAAATTACCCTCGCAACTCGTTGGTATCTATGCCGCATCTTAGTTGGTAGGGATCACGGTGACTCGAAGTGTGCTGCGCGCTTTTCTCCCTCTAGCTAGTTCCTCGATGTATAGCTTGTTCGGACTGAACTGCGCGGGTACGCTCCTTGGTACCATTGTTACTCTGTGCGTGCCTATTCCATTCGCGTTCCATTTCAACGGAAAGGAAATTTGTCAGAGGAGTAGGATTAATCAGCAACTGGATGTGGAAAGGCGACGGGGCTCTAGTGGTGAGGGGGATAAGAGTAGTACGGCACGTCATTCCCATCTAGCGCTCAATCTCGATCTCTATTCGTCGGTCAAGGGATGAAGTGGTCACTACTAGAGTTTGACTACAATTGTCATAGCTAATTGAGCAATTTTTGGCATCTTGGAGATCGTGCATGGTGACGAGAAAAAACCTAGACTCACGGAAAAAGTAGTATATGCTCCACGATAAATCAATTCTTCTAGTTCGCTGCCCTAGTTTTGCTTGGAAGTTACCCGAGGCACCAGCGGGCAGGCTTACTACCACGTGACGGTGAGTCATGCGACGAGGCGCCTATCACATCGGGCCATGTGGAGAGCCGGAAGTGGGGTCCGTCAGCCTGGAATCAAAGTTCGTGACCCCGCTGCAGGTCGCTTCATCCATTTTCAATTTTTCCCGAGTCTCAATTTCAACGGCTGAGCTCTACTGCGACAATCTTCCAATTTCAGTGCTTGCGTTTACCTCTAAATTGATCACATCTTATCAGGCAGGAGCCTCTTCATCTATGAGCGTCACGTAACTTCTTTCAATCGTGTTTTCACACGTTCAGAACAAAGCTCCAGCAGAATAAACTTGGAAACACCAGAATACCACGCTGCTGTGATGCGTGGCGATGATGAAAGCGCAGCGTCTTCACTGGAGCAGGAGGCATCCTCCAATCAGAGCAACATATCTGAATGCTGTGGCCATCCGGATGTCAGGAGTTTTGGAGGGGCGAAGTGCTGTCTCAGTTGCGGGGAAACCATCGCATCATTGCTGGATCAGTCAAGCATAACTTCTTCGGAATCTAGCTCCGACGAGGACGACGACGAGTCCACGACCAGAGCGTTGGACGATCAAACCTCGGAAATCCAGGCTGGGCATGCATCAGCTGTTGCCATCTTTCAGCCGCAAGGCTATAACGAGAAATTTGTCAGACGCAAGGGGTCCTACGGATTCAGCGCTCTGAAACTGGACAAGAAAGAGATTCGTCTCGTTCTACTTGAACCTGGGAGGCCCAATGAACCGGTCGCATGCAGGATATTCCACACGGTTTTAGGATCTTGGAACCAGCCAAGATATGAGGCTGTGTCTTACACATGGGGCGACGAAAACGGAGACTACAGTTTCTCTCGAATGCTGCACTGCGGAAACGAAGAGGTCCCGGTCACGAGGAACTGTGAAGAAGCATTGAAGATGCTACGCCATGAACGACAGCAGAGAAAGATTTGGATAGATCAGCTCTGCATTGACCAATCAGATATAGCAGAAAGAGGTCATCAGGTCGGATTGATGTCCGAGATCTACGCCAGTGCAGATCAGGTCATCATATACCTTGGACAAATCGTCACATTTGACAACGAATTGCTCAGCTACATACAAGGATCCGCTTCAGAGCATACCTATCGGTTCCAGGACCAGACTCGAGACCTTCGTTGGCATCCAGACATCCTACGTGTAATATCGTCTTCATGGTTTACGCGAGTCTGGGTCCTACAAGAGATAGCCTGTGCTAGGAAAGCGTTTTTGTTGATTTCTAATGCTTTGGTATCATGGGATCGTTTTAAGGGATATATCGAGTCAATTCATGCCGCATTGGATCCAAGTGAATCATTCAATAGCCTTCCAGGACCATTGAACTTCGGCTCACGACATCTCGCCATGACCCATCAATTACTGGACATGCTTGTCTTCACAAATAGTTGCAATGCAGGAGACCCCAGGGACAAAGTGTTTGCGCTCTATGGAATCATGATGGATGCGGCTCCCAGTGGTCTCATAGCGGACTACAGGAAATCCCCTGAGCAAGTGTTTCTCGAGACAGCTCGTCACATTATTGGCTATGATGGCAGTTTGAGAATGTTATCATACGCTAAAAGTGGCGAGCGTTCAACGTTGGACTTGCCTTCATGGGTTGCCGACTGGGGAACACAACGCGGTCCCCCATTAGCCGAGGTCCTCAAGAGCGAAATCAGGAAGCCTGAAAGCGGTTTCACAAATATTTACACGAATCATTCACTAAAGAGGAAGCCCACGTTCACGAACGTTTTGAAGTTACCATGTAGGCCCAGCATAACAAACGAACGGCAGCTTAAACTTCGCGGCCTTTGTCTGGATTCTGTCACAGCTATTGGCAGCCATAATTTACCTATGTTCTGCGCTATGTGTCATCCCCGATACCTCAAGATCCTTGAATGGGCTACAGAGAGGAACTATCATGTATTCACAACCATTACCTCTTTCGGATTTAGCATGAGCGAAGTTGAGGTGGGAGATCGTATATGGCATTTCGACGAAACTACGAAAGCGTATTTCGTTTGCAGAAACTCGAAGGGATACACAATTTTAGTTGGGGAGTGTTTTATTTGTGCATTTTCTTATCATCGATGTTGTTTTGTCTGCGATAGACCCGAGGTGGCGAGGGAGGAGCCCGATAGACGCAAGGTACCATGGAAGGATTACTGCGATGTCTGCCGGATATATTCAAATCTTCCAGAAACGGATGTGATAATCTCATAGATTTGTTTTTGGGAATGTCAAATATATTTTAACTATTAGAGATCGATCGAAATCTAAGTCTCTTTCTTACTTACCACATTATCGTAGAGTAATCTTCAGATCGGTTAAATATCCAAACATATGTGCAGAATAAGATTGTTATCGGTAATTGAGAGTACCCCACCACAGGCAACAGCCACTTTCAACCCCCAAACCGCACAACCGTCTCCTTCCCATCCCCCCACCGATCCAAATACACCGGCTCCGCCCTCCCCTCCCTCATCCCCAGCCTCTGCAGCAACACCCTTAACGCCTCGACATCCTCCACATCCTGCCCCCGATCCATCCCCGCCCCACACCTCCCCACAAACCCCCTCCACTCCTCCCCACCCTCCTCACTCAACCGCGCCCTCGTCTCCCCTCCCCACATATACATCCGCCGATACCCCCCGCCATCAAACCACGCATACCGCCCCGCCGACAACTCGATCCGCAAATTCTCCACCACCTCCCTCGCCGCCGCCCTTGCCCCGTGCCGCCACCCCACACTACTCACCCGCACCTCTCTCAACCCAGTCATCTCCCCCAGCCGCCCAAACACGTCCCCCCACCGCACCCCCTCATGCTGCACCACCAGCGCCGGCGGCATACCGCGGCCCGTCCCGCCCACGCGCGGCAGCGTCATGCTGACCGACGCGCCGTCGGCGCCTAGCCGCAGCGGCGCGCGGACGACGCGCGTGACGAGGATGGGGCAGTCGTGCAGGGTCAGGTGGCGCAGCGTCGCGGCGTGGCGGGTCAGCCAGGCGAGGAAGGATGCGGGGGAGGCGAGGGTATAGCGGCCGAGAGCGAGGGAGGTGAGGGCGGGGAAGAGGAGGGAGGGCAGGTCGACGTGTGGGAGCCAGCCGAAGTAGTGGTCGCTGTAGAGGGCGAGGCGGGTGAGGGTTGTGGAGGAGGAGGAGGAGACGGGGCGCAGCCAGGTGCGGGGGAGGGCGGGGAAGAAGGTGTGGAGTCTGTGGGGGTGGTTAGATGGGGGTTTTGGTTTGGGGGGAGGGGGGGTTGTTACTCTGGTATCTCGATGGTGCATTCGGGGGCGGCGTCGTCCTCTTCTGTGCAGATTTGGAGGGTTAGGGACGTTAGGCGCGATATGGTGGATTGGAAGTCCTCCGACGCCAGAAGCGCCTCGTCGTTGACGTTTTGGAGGTTGAGTATGGAAACGTCGGTTATTGATGTCTTTGCCAACGTTGTTACAAACTCTCTGAGCATATGCTGTCGGAAGTTGACTGATTCGGGATAGCTGTGGTATATGTTGTCCTCAGAGGAGCAGTTGGGCGAGAATCGCAGAGTTACAGCCTTGAGGTTTGGGAATTGCTCAAACTTCCGGACAAGGCTTAGATTCTTCTTGTTGACAGGGACTTCTTCTTCGTCATATTTTTCCTCCTTCATGTTATAGATCAGCTACGAACGTCCTCTCTTTGATGCGTTGGGGAAGAAACATACATCATCGTCCCCGACTGTGTTGATGTGTAATTCCCGTACATACGTCCGTATTTTCTCGTTGCCCAAAATCTGTTTGTATCGGCTCCTGCAATCGTCGTGCGAATAGCGTCCGACCCGCTGGAAGAGTACTGGTGTAGCAATGTTGTAAAGTTTCCGTGAACATAGTCGAATGTGCTGAAGCGCACAAAGACTTTCGTCCGAATAGTCGCAGATTCGATATCCCAAATCATCCTCTTGATTATCTACCTCTGCAACACATTGCACTATCCGAAGGACAAGCTCTTCGGGAAGACCGAGGAGCCGTACAGGCATTGTTGTGAAATGATCGGGACTTTAGGTGGGACGCAAATCATTTTTTGGAGGCGGATGTGCATGTCTTCTATTTGAAGTGCTGTCCAGGCAACAACGCGCTAATTGTGCCTCTTTTTTCTAGATTGAGCCGTGCCACCTACCACTGTCGTGGGGAAACTTCGGGCCCGAAGAATCTCATGGCTTTGGCGAACAGTGCAACAGAGCCCTCTTAGACAGATAAAAATTGTACAATACTGTGGCCTCCAAGAAACAACAGCTGGGTTGGGTAAAGCAGCTCCGGACCACTCCGCCCAGCATTTACCCTTGCTGCCGAAGCGTTGCGGGGTATTAGCCAATGCAGGCCCGGCGGCAAGGAACTACACGAACAAAAAGGGCGTAGTCCGAAAACGTAGCCTGTCGTACCACCCACCCCACGATGATGATTGGCCACCTTTGCATCTTCGAACGTCGCATTCAAGAGTGCGTACTCCACACCTTTTCGCTGCCAAGAAAATTGGATCCCTTCTAGAAGACATCCCGTGACGGCTAGTCTGCGTCAAGCTTAGCCTGACGGGAGGTTTCACCCTTCAAGCTGCAACTGCAGGGTTTGGATTGCGGATTTCTTTTTCTGTATATCACACGCCTATTCATTATGGCCGTGTTGCCGGTCTTTGAAACAGCTGTGCAGATATACACCCCCTTGGCGCAAGGGTGTGTACAGCCCCCTCGTGCAGCGGAAGGGTAGCGCGGAAATCATTGCAAGGGACTCTGGGCCCGCTCTGCTGATTTGATAGGTCAAAGGCTTGGGTTTGTGCCCCTCCCCAGGGTGATGATAAGCCAGAACCCCCAGTCTTTCTTCAAAAAGCGATTCCGCGCTACCCATCGGATGCATGAGGGGGCTGTACATGCATCTAACGTGGATTTGTTTTTTGCTCGTGTCATGGGTAGTTGAAGATATCGTCCGGACGTGTATTTAGTATTAAAAATTCGATATTGTCGTCCGGACGATAGCTCCAACTACCCACATATGTTATTTTTCTAAGGCAGTGCTGGTCGGCAGGCGTTGGTCGGAGATAACTTGTCCAGCATGACCTTCATGTATGCGTCGTAATGTAGAAAGTCGTTGACCTTGTGATGCCACTAAATTATTTGACTTTCTAAGCGTAAGCTTATGGCAGACTCCTTCAGCGAAATTCTTAATGCGGCATTTGAATTCCAGGCGCAACGAGGGATCCGGAAGCCGTCGTTTCTTGCACCACACTCCCTTGGTCGGAATTTACTTTTCTTAGTAGACAATGCTGATCCATTTGTCCTCATCTCATTGAAGCATCGTGAAGTCGACGGTTGTTAATGTGCACCATTTTATCCCACTTGCCCTCGGAATATCTTAGCTTCTACGAAACAACTTTATTGGGAAAGCCTTTGCTCTCGCGTGGTTTCCAATTTCAAACATGATCTGCTTCCTCAGATGAGCGTCCATTAAGCAAGGTAGTCGAAGCAGTGTTCATTTTTTAAATTTGCGTTACCGAAATTCTTGTTGAGAAGAAAGGGTGGGTGCTACGGCAACGCATGATGCATCCAGCGTTCCGGAAGCGGGAAGTAGTACAGTCTAGATTAGCGCGTCTTGTGTAATACGATAATCATAAATATCAACGCACCGCCCCTTTCTCTTGCTGTTGCGAGGCCATGGCTACAACGATGTGTCACCAAAATGATTCGCATCCGCCGGCTTACTATACCGAAAGAGATGCTTTACTCCAACCGTCATCATCATCACCACCAAGATTAAACGATCTACCTTCGTACAATGCCACGAACAACGCCGCCGACCACGACCAAAGAGCCTTCGTGAGAAACTTTACTGCAAGTAGCAGAGGAATCGTGGGGGATGCCATTCAGTGGGGCTACCAACTTTCTGATCTGAACTTGCTGTTCATCGTGTTATTTGGTACGCTAGCAGCTGTAAATATATGGTTAACGGTGAAGAGCTCTGGTCCAGTACGTGTTTCTTTTCCATACTTTTCTCACATCTGCCTGGTTTCTAATACGAGGAATTTCATTTCTTAGCATGGTGCATCGATAGTGGACTGGTACTTTGCGGGACTCATGGCCTTGGTCGAATGTACTCTTCAAATTACCTGGGTCATACAAGTCTGGCCGGCTAAGGTATGGCCGAGGTGGAGAAGGTCGACCGAACCGCACATTGTGATAGTCATCTGGTGGTTGTTCGTGGCAAAGGTCGTTCTGTTGCTATTTAACGTGATTCTTGCGTATGGCTCTAGAGAAGCAAAGTTGCCATTTAGCTGGGGTCTGGCATTTATTGCGGGTTTTATCTCGGTTGATTTCGCGTTGGCAGTCGTGTTGGAACTATTTTTCCGTGGCGGCTAGAAGTCGATTGTTGGGTGAGCAATGAAGTAGGACTCCATCACCACACTACGGTGACTTTCCTAGTTTCTCCGGCTTGTAGCACGGCTCTGCGGCGAGGAAGGTACGAGTCGTGAAAGAGATTGGGTTTCGTGGAGACATCTGCGCGAGGGGGGAGATTAAGGTTGAGATTAAATGTGAATTGCGCTTCTGTAGTGCCTGGCTCAATGCAAGGATTGCAGTAGAGAACCGTAACACCTTTTGCAATGTTGTTCTGAACCTTCTCAAAGACTTTGCAACCCTTTTTACCCCGGTCTACTTCATCGCAATAGAGACTTTTCGCATGTTGTAGGGAAACGATGCATCCACCCACCTGTCATTAGTACGTAAGGAGATTGCGTTTTAAGCAAGGTAGCGAGGTTGAAGCAGAAAATTTTCGTTTTTTTGTAACACGGCAGGTATTACAGCTGCGGAGCCTTTCATCGCCTAACGCTGTGTTACAACCTTTACGCGTACAAGAATCTGTTGATATCTTTTAATAAGTAATTGGTTAACTCTCATAGCATATTGAGAAAGCTTATAGCCACTCGAAAAGCGATAGGAAGATGTCATAGAGCTTTTCAACGCTGTTCTTTAATGGAGCGAGTTACTACCTTCTTTTGTATCCAGTATTGGGATTTGCGTTACACAGGATTGTATTGGGAAGAAAGGGAGGTTGCTGCATGAAACCACCTTGTGGTGAATCACGATAATCAGGTATTAAAGACCATCATTCTACCACCATTCGATAACTGGCGCCGATGTAACATTTCTCCCTATCATTGCCAAGAACATGTCGCGCCACAAGAATCCGCATCCACCTGCCTACTACACTGACAGAGACTCACTATTATCGCCATCGTCTTCATCATCGACACGCGATAACGTACCGCCGTATCTTATCAACTACCACCGTACCGACGCCGGCCCAGGAAGATCCCAGAGACCGATAGCATCACCCGATAGAGACGTCGACGGCGGGTGCATCTGCTGCTGTGCTGACGCCAACACGCTCATCATCGTGCTCTTTGGCGCGATGGCAGGAATGGACATCTGGTTGACTGTGAAGAGTTCGCGCCCAGTAAGCCTTTTCACCCGTTCTCCATAAAGCCGAGGTGCCAAGTCGCTTTTACTACGTTCCATAGCGTTGCTAATTCATATTGTCTCTCAGGATGGAGTATCAGACTTCGAGTGGCTCCTCGCAGGACTTTTGGCCTTTGCCGAGTTCATTTTCCAGTTCATCTGGGTCTTGACAGTGTGGCCATCCAGAGTGTGGCATAGGCAGTATGGATTCACCGACCAATCAGTTGTGCACACGTTCGGAAAACTACTTTCGGTGAAGATTTTACTGTTTTGGTTTAACTTCATTTATGCGTGGGCCGTTAAAGCATCGTATAGTTGGGTGCTGGCATGGATTGCAGGTTTTACGTCGGTTGATTTTGCGGTGGCTGTGGTGGTGGGACTCTGTTATAATCCGGGCGACGTCTTGGTGGATATAAGCGATTTGCGCTGAGAGTAGTGTAAAGCTGTCAGTTTATGGAACCCAGGTGTATTAGCCTTTGATGCAGAATTACTATGGGGATAGATACGGTGGAAGTGAACGCATCCACTCCGAACCGTATGACAAACACCAAACAGCCTAGGGCTTACTAGAGAGATTTTGACTGCGATATTGTGCTGTGGGATGATGTACTTTCAGTCCCTTGGCTCATATTGAGGTGATAAGCGTAAACCGGTGCCCATATCGTGGTCATAGATCGTGTCCGCAGAGTCGTATTTGCGGAGCTCGCTTCGAGTCGTCTCCTCAATCAAGCATCACGGGAAACGCTTCAAATCGCTGCTGGTCCTAAAAATAGGCTCACGATCGTACCATAATTCTGTCTCGTTGTCGTTGCGGCGGGAAGGATCGTGTATACGAGGACACGGCCCCACGCGACATGGGGGCCAGCAGACACCATTCGTTCAACGGTTATCTGCGACGCTGTTGTTCGCCACGAGCACTTTGCTTCGGGCGCATCAACCGAGGACCCCTGTTTGAGTGAAACAAGGCTGCGATGCTTATAAGTTGCGTTGCTGCACCGCGAAAAACACCACGTGAAGCTCACGCCCCCACGTATTCTCTCCCCGCCCTTACTGCAGCACTCCACCCCGTACTCTAGCCCACAGCAACAACAGGACATACCAAGACAAAGCCAAAGCGACACCAGGGAAAAAATAGAAACTATGGTTGCGATATATAAGCGCGAATCGGACGCCGAAGAGGCCGCAGAGTGGAACGAGACCAAGACCATCATCGCGGCGGTGGTTGCAGGAATGCTCTGCATCAGCCTCCTCGGAGCCATGTTCTACTACCTGGACAAAAGATCGAAACGTCGCACAGCGATGCTACTTCGGAGCAGTTCGCCGGACTCGCTTGATGATTTGCGGAGATGAGATGTTCACACCGAGGTGGGCAGAAGCCCAGCACGGTGTTATGATAAGCAATCGCCGCTCCATCTGCCCTTGAGCAACAATAGCCGCTGGAAGGTCACCAGTGGGTAATTGGACGGAGAATAATGATGAGATCTTAGGAGGAATGTGCAAACGTGCACTGGAGAATGCTCAAGGTAAGTCAAAGAATAGTTGCGCCTCGACGCCCGCCTGCTGACATTCGCTTAGTATAGCCATGGATCGCTAATACAGCCTTTACCCTGCGACGGCATAGAAATAGGGAAGACGTCGGCAGCCTCGTTCAAGTATTCCCTCAGATCTTGCCTTTTCCATCGGAAACCGATATCCAGTCAAGAATTCTCTTTCGGTTGAGCAGGGAAACATAATCGGAGATGGGACCGGCAGGGAGGAGATTCCGAACGGCAGACGGGCGGATAGCAGGGTGGCAGCAGTTGCGTTAGGTGTCGGATGAGGTCGGCGACGGAGTCGAAGCAGCAAGCCAGGCGTTCGCGATGCATCATTCAGGTTAGGTTGAAGCGGGCGCAATCCTTCGATATACCTTATATGGCGACCAGTGTATACTTACATGTTATCTCTGGAACGTTGAGGAAAAATTTATCAAGTGGTGTTTCGTGTGGGGCGATTGCGGAGTAGGCCACAGGCGTGCGGAGTACATGCCGTGACTCAGCCAAGAGGGCAAGCAAGCATTATAGCGGATGATCAGCTATGCCTCAAAACAGATTGAATGAAATTAGGCAAGCCAGTCAGCCGTCAGACGCGCCATCCCGCTCGCGCAAGCGAAACGTTAGTAAGGTTCACGAATCATATATGCACGAGGTGATTGGCGCACAGCGTTATCAAATATATAATGACAACGATTGCTGCCTCAGAGTTCTTGCTTAAGCGTCCGGAGAAGCGGCCTAGCCCGTTATAGTTTATGCATCAAGCGGATCGAGCAAAGCGGCTCGCAAGACTACCTGATCGGGTTAGCGTCTGTGGGGACGGCATTATTTGCCCCGTACCAATTGCATGCAAGACCACAGCTGCATTATCCGTTCTGGTACTTTAGCACGGAAGTCTCCGCCGCAAGACGGGTGAATGGGTTTGAAATGACTGCGACTTGATTCATCTGCTCCATGATGCGAAGCATAGGGTTAATGGACAGGACCGCAAGCCCTAAACTTCCAGCCTCTCGGCGATGAAATCGGGATATTGTGAGCCGGGTCGAAGGAGACGAGATGAGTACTTAAACAAGACCGATCCCACAACAAGACACGACAGTTCTCGGCTTCCATCTCGCCCAAAATGGCCTTACTCACACTTGCGACAGACTTCTCAGCATCCCCAATGCTGCTCGGCGGGCTCCTCTTCCTGCTTCTCGCATACCTCACCAGTGTCGTGCTGCGAATCGGGTCGCGCCCAGCCCACTTGCCCCCCGGACCACCCACCGTCCCTTTCTGGGGCAACCTGAAACAGGTAAACCTTAATCAGCATCTGGTCATTTTCGATCCCTACTGACCTTAGCCTAGCTCTCCCACAACCACTACCCCGAACGGCTCTACACCGAATGGGCCAAGACCTACGGCCCCGTCTACACCGTCATGAAAGGGTCGCAACCGTGGATCATCGTCACCGGCGCGGCCGAGGCCCACGACCTCTTCCACGTGCGCGGCAGCGCCACAGCTGGGCGCACCAGCAGCCGCATGGAGCTCGCCATGCGCGACGGCTACTGGCCGCAGTTCCTGTCAGGCCCGCAGTGGCGCGACGCGCGCAAGCTCTGGCACGCGGTGCTCAACGTCGGCGCCGCGCGGCAGTACCAGCCATTGCAAGAGCTGGAGGCTAAGCAGCTGATCGCCGACGTCGCGCGGGACGGGAAAAACTGGAAGGCGCACATGGAGCGGTATGCGGGGAGCCTGGCGATGACGCTGATGAACGGGAAGCGCGTGCCGACTGCGGGCGGCGACGATCAGACGGTGCGGGAGATAGTCGACGATTTCGACGTCTTCATGCAGCACCTCAACCGCACGGCGTGGCTGGACAATGTGCCTGGGTTTTGGCGGGTGCCGGCGTGGATGGTGCCGGCGCGGCGGGAGGCGGCGCGCATCGCGGCGAGGCATCGCGCGCTGATCATGCGGCATTGGGACGAGACGAAGCGGCGCATGGCGGCGGGCTTGTCGCTGCCGTGCTTCAACCGCACCATCATGGAGCGCCTCAGCGCGAGCAGGAAGGGCGAAGGCGAGTACGAAGGCCTGGCTGAGCGCGTGTCTGAGGTCCAGGCGGCCGAGATAGGCGAGCTGCTGGTGACGGGGGCGACCGAGACGACGAGTGCCACGCTGAAGAACTGGATCGCCGCCATGACGCTGTTCCCGGACGCCCAGCGCAAGGCCCAGGAGGAACTCGACCGCGTCGTCGGCCCGCACCGCCTGCCCGACGCCGCCGACGCAGAGAACCTGCCGTATGTGCGCCAGGTCATCCAAGAGTGCGTTTTTCCTCCTCCTCCCCTCACTCCCTAACCCTCACTCCCTAACCCTCACTCCCTAACCCTCACCCTCACCCTCACCTTCACCCTCCCCGTCCCCACCGTCCCCGTCCTCCATTTCCCCCGCCGCGCTCTCCTCCCCCCGACTGACACCCCTCAGAACCCACCGCTGGCTCACCGCCGCCCCCCTCGCCATGACGCACAGCACCACCGTCGACATCCGCTGGGGCCCCAACTACCTCATCCCGGCCGGCACGCCGCTCGTCCTCAACGCCTACGGCATCCACCGCGACCCGGCCTTGTACCCGGACCCTTTGCGCTTCGACCCGGACCGGTGGGCCGGCAAGCTCGAGGCCGCCAACTCGCTCGCCGACGACCGCGTCGGCGCCCGCTCCGAGGCCCTGTACGCCTTCGGTGCCGGGAGGAGGATTTGCCCCGGCCAGCACGTTGCCGAGCAAGGGCTGTTTTTGGCCGTTGCAAGGTGGTTGTGGGCGTTTGATACGCAGGCGGTCGAGGGTGGCGAGGAGCGGTTTCAGGGCGTGGATAATTATAAGCCTGGGTTGGTTGTGAGTTTGGATAGGGTCGAGGCGGTGGTGCGGCCGCGGAGTGAGGAGAGGAAGAAGTTGGCGGTCGAGGTGTGGGAGAGGGAGAGGGCCGAGTTTTTGGATGAGGATGGGCAGTTCTGTAGGAGTCCCGAGGCGTTGGAGAGTGTGATGGGGAGGGCCGTGGGGGGAGGGGCTTAGGGGAGGGCTGGATTAAGTGCCATGCGTTATGTTTCAAAGTGAATATGTGTCTGAAATGAAGAGCTTGCGTTCATGTTTGAGTAAGCAACTGGGATTGGGAAGTTGGGAAGGGTGTTACTTCAAAATGGATTGGTGATTTATCTACTGTTCGTCTCCAAAACTCTCAACACCACGAATAACACCCCAGATATTCGATCAATGACTCATCTTGTTCTGATCTCACCTATACTATTCTATTCACATTGGCCTATGGAAATATGGTACGCCTGTTGAGTGGAACAGTTGTAGCTTCACTGATTCTGGTACCTCCTCTCCTATCAAAGCAATCGACATGGTCTTGTGGCGAATTGAGTAAATTTGATGCTCACAACAGCTGCCCATGTCGAGTGAATCTAAGAAATTGATCTATTCTTTCGTATAGCTTGACGAAAACAATACACAATTTCATAACGTAACGACGCTTCGTTGCCTCCCGCCTCGATCTCGTGAAATTGTTTGAAATGTAGGACAGAACCCTGGCTGTACATGAACACTCTGCGCTCAGGATACGGAGTTCCTCTGCTTTATAAAACGCAAACCCGGCCATCTTCATCATTGCGGCTGATGTTAAATCTCCTACGCGCCCCCTTGCGATCAAACTCCCGCTTGATCTTCTTGTCATCGAGCATTGTGGCCTTGTCGAGGTAAAACTCGGTTTCTGGAGCCTTGATCTGAGCGATCGCTTGCCAGGCATTGCTTAGCAACGAATATCGAGTGCGGGTGAAGAAAACAAAGGAGGAGACTGTAACAAATGCCAAATGGACAAGCAGATTTGCCATAACGAGTATGAATCCTTTGCGGTGCTGAGGTTTCTGGCATGAAACCGCCGAGGTGACTGTTGAGTTTCCCATGTAGTCGAATGTTGGTAGCCAGTCGTAATACGCCATCCTCATCAGGGTTGTTACAAGAGCTTGCCATGCTAATGCCGGGTTGTCTGTTTCCTTCATGGTATCTACGAATATCGCGTTGAGAACTGGATTCATATCCGTACTTACAATATCTTCAGTGTCGTCACCAGTGCTCTTTGTGCAGGTGGGGCAGGTTACGAAAATCCTAAAAGTACTGTTGTAATTTTGGAGAAACACTGGACTCCAAACTACTTCGGTGAGGAAGTCATATGTCTCTGATGGCCCCTTTCTTTTCTGAATAGAATAGTCCGTATCGTTCCATTGGTAGGTGTCGTTGTCATAATACCACTGGAAGTGATAACCAGCTTCGATGTGTTAGTAGTGTATTGGAGGAGAGTACCATGATTGGAGGACTAACCTACGCTCAGCATGCTTTGTGGTTGAAACGGATTCCACCTGAAGGATCGCAAAGTCATGTTCAGGTAGGACGGGTCAACATCAAAGGCTGAATAGTCGGAGTTGGCTTGTTGTGTGTCAAGTTGCGATCGTATTGTCGTAGTTTCAAACCTCCGGTTTGCTGGATCCCAGCCAAGCTTTGGTTCACTGTAGTTTGATCTTTGCTTTACTGATACTAGAAAGTCTTGAAGGCCCTTGACTCTGTTCACGCGGTTGTGGTGTCTAGACAATACAATACAGTAATCAGAATATCTGTGGACCATGACCATGATACAACATAGTAAGAACTTACAGAGCGTCATAGCACACAGTCACGCTCATTACCCCTTTCTGATAATTAGGGTCTGAGTCTCCAGAAAAGTCAAGCCAAGGCCCTCTTTCCTCAACTGTGAAATTTCTAACTACCTCATCCAAAGGCAAATCGAGTACCGATTCTCCCCAGGCAGGCCATGTTCCGCGAGAACTAGCACTTATGATTAGAAATGAGTGTCCTAACTCGACTTCCCATTTGTATCCATTTTCTTTGTTTTGTGCAAACCATGTTTGTTGGTCAGGAGTCACTGGATAACGAGGCAGGTAAGAATAATCTAATGTGTCGTTCTGCATCGGGTCCAAGCTGTTTATTAGACCGCCAGCGTAACGTGGTAGACCGTAGATCATGAAAGTTGGATCTGGGCGAACCATGATGTTATTAATCGGGACTTTGAAAGAACGGCCAGTAGGAGGGATATCATGACGGATAACATCGGCCAAGTCTCCGGTAACTTTGGGTGGGAATAGAGTGCCGTTAAGGAAAATAGTGCTATGTGTCCAGGTTTTAATGAATGACCAGTCCTTTATCGTGGGTCTAGCACAGGTGACACGAGCGTCGAATGCGGAGGCCATTCCCTGGAACTCCAAAAGGGCAGAACGATCAGACTCTGAGTCTATTGGAAGGAATGCTCGAATTGATGGGCCTGTGTCCATAATTGATTCCGAAGAATTGAGAGGCTTCGACGACCATTCAGCAAAGGAGGGATAGTTGGGAGGAGGTGCTAGCCAGTAGTTCTGTGCTCTTGTCATAGCATCTTCGAAGCCTCCTTGAATATAGCGCTCCATGCTGAACCCTATCCCAGTTTTGATCTCTCTTGGGAACCCTGGAACGACGCCTGGACGAATGTCCCAGAGTAGCAGCGTTGAGGTGAACTGCGACACAGGCGTTGTAGCTGCTAACAAGGGTATCGACAGTGTCAAAAGATTGAAACTCCATTCAGAGTTCTTTCCAAAATACAGGAGAGATCCAAGCGGACCGGTGTTGACATAGCGGGCGATGGATAACGCAGGTGCTTCTGGTAAGAGGACTCCTCCAAGAGATTTGGATTCGAGTGAAACACTAGCGAGAATTGCCACCGCAGTGCAGGCTTGAACAGAGACAGCTAGTCTGATAGCAAGCGTCGACAGAGTCACTGCTTGTCCAACCCAACCATCTAGCATGACCCGCCGCCAGTGCTTGTTCTCTTCACCACCGAACCAGAGGAACGATAAGACTGAGATAGAAAGTAGTAGAAGGATGACAGCGCCAATATTCGTGATGATGATCTGTAGTCCAAGTCGGTTGAACATTCCGGGACTGAACTCTGATCTGCTCGATACTAGCGGAGCTTCACCCTGCGTATTTGAGAAACTAGATTGTGTTCCTGGATGGTTTGCCAGCTCAATGTCATTTTCAGGCTCAGAGCCGCTTTCAGTAGACTGGTAGAAGTTGGCGGGAAGAATGGAAGTTGCTGATCCGTGTTGTTGCTCCAAATACGGTGTTCTGTGGTCGAAGGATACCCGTCCGGTACTTTCCAACGAGCGCCTTGGGTTGTAGAAATCCGCCGTTTCGTGTGCCATCTCCGATATCTAACGTATGCGGAATTGTGGGTGCCAAATCGAGACAGTTCTAAAGTGTAGGGCTCTGCTTTATTAGAATGAATCGGAGTTGGGAGTGGTGTGGTTGGATGGTGTTGGGGAGTACGAGACGGAAATGATAAGCAATAGGCTTATTTAAAACTTGGAAAGTTGGAAAGTTGGCAAAGCTGGATGTAGGCAGGCTAGATATATCACAAGAGTAAGTGCTACAAATAATACCGTCATCAATCCGCAGCTGTCGCACGAATGAAGCTGTGTAACAGAAAGCTAGCAAATCCCTCATCCACTAGATATTTGAGCAAACATGGTTACATTTAGTGTTTCAGTTGGTGATGATAGTGAGATGCGTGTGGATTGGTGTATTGGGCAAGAGGGAGAGTCGATTGGGGGAGTCCTCATGCTCTACCGATGAGTAAGCTAGCTACGTGCTATCTGGAACACTAAGTTTCAGCCTGATATAAATAGTCCATGCCTACGGAGGATATGCTTACTTGGCAAGCTCTAGTCACGAGAAAAAAAACCAGTTTTGTGCTGTTGTACAACATCGCTGAGGCTGAGCGAGGCTGAAGGTATTGACACACGCTAAAAGTCTCTTTCATGGATCTCCCTGCCGCTCTTGCAAAGGTCAACGCCATTCTCGTTGCCCATGGGACAGATCTGATAGAAGGTTTCAGTGATCTAGCTCATTAGAAGGTGTTTTAGCTTCTGACCCTAAGTACAGCGATATGCGCGGCATAAAAAAGGAAATGCGCATACGTGCTGATGAAACCAGCCTTGCCCACTCAAGCCAATCCAGGGGGACCAACATGTGCGTAATGTTGCACCTAGGATAGTTCGTCCGTATCAGTCATTTGCTCATTGCAGTCCTTTGCATAGATGCCGTGCAATCCCGATTCACATGAGTCACTGATCAGGCTGCTTGGCACTTCCAGCCGTTCGGTTCAGGCAACTACTCTACGGCCTGCATGAAATCTCTCCATTCGCTACGTTGAACCAATCAGATGCAAGAAAATGACTCTGAAACACGAGCAAAATCAGCTTACCTGCGTACCACCTATAGCCTCTTCTCCACCACATCCCAACAATCGAAGCATGTGGTTGCCTAGATCGTAGACAGATTAAGGTACTCGGTGGAGTCTCTCGCTGCCACATGTGACAATGCCCCGCATTGGCAAGGCGGAAGCATTCTTATGGGGGCCAAATCAGGCAACGTTCTGGTTGGACGAGGGTGGATGGCCTGTTGTGTATCAGCCACCGCCACTGCTGCCTTCCAGCCTTGCCGCGGGGTAGCATCTACTTAAGCTACAGTTCCTGACCATTCACCTTAAAATTCGACAACAACGCCTCCCAGATCGCGTCAATCTCCCCAAGTCAATCCATCCACTATGCTCACAGTCGACAGCTCCGACGAAGAAATGTACAGCGAGACCTCCAGCCAAGCCGGCGGCCAGGACCCCACCGTAAGCTTCGTCCTCCTCATCCACAGCCTCGCGCCGCCTCACCTCCAACACACACACACACATCAAAGCTAACCCCCACCTCCTCCTGCACAGCCCGACTCCGCCGCCACCGAAAACACCGGCGAACCCATCTTCGGCTCCAAACCCGAAGTCAAAGCCCTCTACTCGACCAGCAACCCGGAATGCGACTGCGCGCCGCGCTGGTCCGAGCACGCCGAAGCCGCCGAGGAGGACCGCATGCTGAAAAAACTCGGCGCGGCGGCGGCCATCATCCAGCGGTTCAAGCGGTCGCGCGAGGGCCAGTGGCAGACGAGCGCCATCGAGGTGCAGAGCCCGCGGCTGAACCGCGTCCTCGCCGACGTGCTGCGCGACTACCCGGACGTCGTGGTGCGCGAGGGCGAGGCGACGAAGTTTGCGGCGCCGTTTAAGCCGCTGTTTCATCGGTGGGGGAGGTTGTTGGAATGGAGGGATAAAGAGGAGGAGGGGGGCCAGACGAAGGTGGAGTTGGGGTTGCTGGTTGATGCCCTGAAGCCGACGCTCGAGCCGCTGTTTAGCGTTGCGGGGGATATGCATCGCACGGGGGAGATCGACTTTGACAACATGTGGACGGTGTTTGTGCCGGGGGAGCTGATGGTGTTTAGGTGTGGCAGCGTGGTGAAGCTGTTCCGGCTGCACGATTTGCACATCGTCGTGCCGCGGCGGGAGCCGAGGTTTTGGGTGCTCACGTTGCAGCAGATTGAGTGGAATGGGAGGTACTTTGGTGTCGTCCAGGGGAAGATGCGCATCGTTGAGGCGGACAAGCCGTTGCAGTTTGACAAGCTGTCGGTGCAGCCGCTGGCGACGCAGCGGGACGAGGATGCCATCAGGAAGAGGTATCTCGCCAAGGGCAACAAGTACCTGGAGCTGTGCAGCCACAAGTGCCTGGTGAAGACGTACAAGGGCACCAAGTACGTTCTCAACTCGGAGCTGGAGACGATCCGAGAGAAGCCGGTGAGTTAATTCCATCATCACTCACTGGGCAGTACTGACCGGAAAATACAGCTCTCGGGAAGGATTGCCATTGACCCTTTCGCCTTCTTTACCTGTCAATCCGACATTGCCCCGAAGCAGCCTCGCTTGAACGGCGGAGATTCGGATGCCTTTTTCTCAGGCGACAAGGACCTATTCGAACAGACCAACGAGCTTGACAAGGAAGAGCAGAACGAAGAGTCTGAAATGAACAAGGTGAGAGGCTTGGAGAAGCGTCTCCTCTGCCTTGTGGATCGCATCAAGGGTTTCGACCTTCGAAACAACGAATGGTGTAAGCACACACCCGCTGTTGCCACTCTTTGATATTGACAGACGATAGGTGAATTCGACGTGGATGACGTCTCAGAGCCCGTCTGGAACGATAACGCTCTGCACCAGCTCGTTCTCTCCGAGGGAGAAAAGAAGCTGCTGGTTGCGTTCACCCAGCGCGATGAATTGGACCTTCCGGATTTCGACGATGTCATCTTGGACAAGGGTAAAGTGATTCCGGACAGCTGCATCTCTGAGCGTAACTGACCATCCTCAGGGAAGGGCATCATCATCCTCTTGGCCGGTCCACCTGGTGTGGGCAAAACCCTGACAGCCGAGTCCAGTAAGTCTCCATCAATAATTGAAACATCTCAGCATTATTGACCAGTATAGTCTCGGAACGCGCCCGCGTGCCATTGTATTCTCTCCGGGCAAGTGACCTCGGCACGGATTCCGATCAGGTTGAAGCCACCTTGAAGGACGCTCTCGAATGCTGCAAGTTGTGGAACGCTGTGCTCCTCATCGACGAAGCCGATGTCTTCATGGAGAAGCGCAGCGCCGACAGGCTGGAGCAGAATGAGCTGGTGTCCAGTGAGTCCCTTTTAACACATCTCTGGATCTGCCCACGTGACTGACCGGCCCAGTCTTCCTCCGCAACCTGGAGTACTACCAAGGCGTGATGTTCTTGACAACTAACAGGGTGGATGCGATCGATGATGCATTCCGTTCCCGCATCGATCTGATCCTGACGTACCCGAATCTTGACCACGCGGCCCGGAGGCAGATTTGGTCGACGTTCATATCCAGCCTTCCGTCAGGCAGTTGCAACATCGCCGATATCGACTTTGATGAGCTTGCCCGCACGGATATGAACGGACGCGATATCAAGAACGTGGTCAAGATTGCGCGCTTCCTTGCTGCATCGGAGAAAATCCCTCTGTCAATGGAGCACCTGAGGACTATCCTGACCATCAAAAAGGCTTCTCTTTGAACGAGTCTACCTATAGTTGTAGTCCATCGGGTTTCGCCCATCGGATAGCTTACTAGATTAGTTAGTAGATGAGCAATGGAACAGGCGTATAATTTGAGAGCTCTAGAGCTAAGGTAGAGTGAGACACACAATGTGAATCGGCCCATATCTTTTCTTAATTATCCTTTCTTTCCTTAATCTTCCCCCAATCAATTCATCAGGCCAATTACAAAGCTGATTACTCGACACGAGATCCATCCCGAGCGGGTTCATAGAACGAATCTTCACGAATAGCACGAAATTGCCCAAGACAAATCGACATGATGATACACTACACTGCATCCCACAAATTGAGGCGCCAATCGGTGCCGAGGCAGAACTTGGCCACGCACCACACTTCTCCGAAGTTAATACTCTTCTCCAGCCTCCTGATTCCTAGCATGCTTCTCGAATTTTTCATATTGGGCTGCCGTAGTCTTGGTCATGCCCGTCGCCCGAATTGATTGCAACGCGGACATGAAATGCCGCCGCTCAACAACGCGGACGTCGGTGTCATCGGACTGTTCGCCAACGCATTCGAGAGCAGCCTGAACGCAGAGACTCTTAAGGTCAGAGCCAGAGAAACGGGGCGTCATCTTGGCTAATTTACCAGCGTCGATGTCAGACCCGAGCTTTTCGCCCTTGAGGAGGACCTTGAGAATGCCCAGCCTCTCATCGGTCGTCGGCAGGTCCATGTGAATGTGCACGGGAGCGCGTCGCAGCACAGCGGGGTCGAGATCAAACGGCCTGTTTGTCGCGAGCAGGATGAAGGGGGCTTTGACATCAGTTGCCAGCCCATCCCACTCCATAAGAAATTGGTTGATCATAGAGCGGATGTGCCTCTGTTCGCCTCCCTTGCGAACTCCAAACATGGCGTCTGCCTCGTCGATGAAGACAATGCATGGGTGAAGCTTTCGGGCCAGGGAGAATATAGCCTTGATGACCTTTTCGTCGTCTCCCCAGCACTTCTGCCACATCTCTGCGGCCGAAACGACAAGCATGTTCATGTTGGACTGTCTTGCCAAACACCTGCAAAGGAGGCTCTTTCCAGTACCCGGAGGTCCATAAAGGATCGCGCCTGTGATTCTGTTCGAGCGAAGAACGCCGTGGCCAAAGGCTTTGGGCTTCCTCAATGAGAGCGAGGTGACGTTTTCCAGCTTCTGGATTGTCAAAGGATCGACAAAGATATCCCTGTAGTCTGGGCAAATGGAGTCTTCACGAAGTATCGTCAGTATAATGGTCGAACTCTGGAGTGCGTGACGCAGCTTACCTGTGTCTACGATATTTTCAAGAAGCATCCTCTCCCACGCGCCATGTGCCATCTTTCTCCACTTTGACATTCTCTTTTGGTGGGAGCGGCCAGCAACGTCTCCTTTACTACAGTCTCGTTTGTCTTCACTGCTGTCATCGTTGTCGCCGCCGTTGCGGTTCAGCCGCCCTCTTCTAAAGAATCTGCGGATGGAACCGAAGAGTCCTCGAGAAAACTTATCGTTATCTGAGCCCCTGCACAACCCTTGCCCTTCGGAATCTCTCTTGCGGGCGGCCTTTTTCAGGAAACCGATAAAGCCGAGGTTTCTTCGATCGTCCTCGTTGTGATTGCCCTCCTTTGGTTCCAGTATAATGTTCTGGGAGTCATTTGTGGTTTCTTATCGAGCAAGGATGTCAGTAATAAGTCTGTCTGTGCCTTAAAGGTTATCAGGGATATTTACCTAGACCACCTGTAGCATTGTCTGCCTTTTTGTCGGCGGAGTTTCGTGCAGATGTTGAATCGGAGTCAAAGCTATTGTGTCGCGCTACTGGGACAGACGTGGCAGCGCGGTAGCATTTGTCAAGTTCGCACCGGGAGCCGACAGAAGTTTCGATGCTTTGCATGGTCATTCTTGACGCGGCCTGCAGAATGTCCTGTGTACGCAGTAACAAATTAATGAATTAAGTAGTCTTCTCCACTTATTGTGTTAAGAGATGCACACAGCGTTTCTGCCAGGGGCAAAGCACTTAGAAATTACAACACTGGTTTCGCCCCTCTATTGTACCGTGACAAATCTGACGAGTGGCTGTGTTCTTGTCGAAGCCGCAAGCTGGTTTATTCTTGCCACGCTTAGGAGCTACGTAATTGTCAGCTAAGCACAGTGGAGGCTTTTCAACCTTGCCAGGATGAACTGACGACTCGTGCCTCGCTATTCTCCGCTATTTACCACCGAGTTTTGAATCAGCCACACTACTGCGTCAGCATATTATAAGCAAGCATTTGTATTAGCTCGATGTGGCGAGTGTTTCACCCCGTCGGACGTCCGGTCGCAACGGACGTCCGACAACGTGTAATTAGCCGGCCAACACCGTGTAATTCACCGTCCAGCCCCCCTGGGCGCTCATTTACACGTTGTTGGACGTCCAAATGGGTGCTGGGGCCAACAATTTCATGGTCCAAGGGGTGAACTTTGCCACCTAAGGGGTGAAAATAACCTTAAATCGTTAGTCGGAGCGCCCATTTAGATGTCTAACAACACGTAATTTGCCGTCCAGGGGGCTGGACGGTAAAATGCATGGTGTTGGCCAGCCAATTGCGCGGTTTCGGACGTCCGATTGGGGGCGGGCGGCAACGGGGTGGAACAGCCAGGCTGTGGCGTGCAGATCTAGGCTGCAGCGAAGACTGTTGCAAGACACTGACCAATGAGCGAGACACAACGCTCCAGCGCAACGAGGCGCAATTCTTCACCGCAGAGATGCGCAATACTCGTGCGCAGCAATGGATCATGCGCTCCAGCATGCGGAAGAGCCTTTCGTCCTTACCAGTGACCCGTTGTTGGCAGGTGAGACCGTCAGGATGGGTATTTACTATTTAGTGCTTTCTTTCGGGTAGCTCAATACATCATCCGTTCACCCGCTCAGCTTCTCGTATCAGCCTGCCGCGACACTGTTCCTGACATGACCTAGTTTCTAAGCAATTTTGTCTTCCCATCTCGATCACCATTTCCTTTCTGGCTTAGCAAAGCTCAAAAGATGGCATACTTTAGTTCCCTACTTCCAACGGTGAGCTCTATTTCCCGCTTCCCAGTGATTGTTTACTTCTAGCAAAGCAATAGACGTACTCACATATCACAAGATTGCCAATGAGATGATGCCAGCGTCGCCGAAACCATCTGAACAATCCGTTTCCTCCGGACAAACATCCTATGCACTCCCTACTGACTCTGCCCAAGGGCCGAGCCACACCACCAACGCGAATCCACCGCCGAATCTCACGCGCCGTGCTTCTGTTTCAGCCAGCTATCCTCAATTCTTCAGTCGTCAGTTCCGTAGGTTTACACGGCGCTCTCCTATAGATCCAAGCGTACCTGTCGTCCATGAAGACGAGGGTGCACCAGCTCCCCGCGGCGCCCGGGTGGAGGCTAACGCTCAAGATATCCGTCGCACCATCTTGCCGCGGAAGCCATCTGGTCAGATAAAGTTTCCAGAATTCGACAGCCTGGAGGCATACTTAGTTACTGGCATCGATGAAACTACAGCGAAGCATTGGGACGACGAAATCAACAGGCTTTTGGATGTCGTCCAGCACCCAGAGAGGCCGTTGAAGTTCAACAACGCAACGTTCGTGGGAAAAGAAGGGGAGCAGGGGTACCGCGACTTGTCCACTCTTGCCCAGAAGATTTTGACAGCCATGTCCATCTGCATGCTCGACAACGAGAGCATCATCGCTAAGCACTGCAGCCTTCTTTCCAGCCGGGAGCGTCTCCAAAAGCTGATCCCTCAGATCAGGATGAGCCTCAACGCTGGCGAGAGCGGTGGTGATGGCAGTGCGGATGGGACCCTCCAAGCTACCAATGACTTGATTGATTACATATCCGCCGTGTTCGCAAGGCTGATCACTCAAACAGCAATAGGCGGCTACTGGCAAAACAATATCCTGGGTGTGTTGGTAAAGCGGGTGGCCAAGATGAAGGAATTGGTAAAAGATATGGAGGCGAATGCATACACTGCAATCAGCAACGGAGAGGCTGCTTATGACAGCATTCGCAACACTGAGCAACTGGACACGAGCAAGATGGACGAGGAGGAAGAATGCGAGGAGCTCCTACGCATGCTTCATGCGAACACAAAAGAAGGAATTGCGTCACCAGAACAAGTCGAGCTGGTGCAGTACTGCTCCGATCAGGCCAAGTTCCGCTCTGGGATAAACACAACGTTACGATACATCTTCCTCTCACTACGCTTTCTCGATCGTTCTGGGCTCCCAGCGACGGCATACGAGATATGCGCTGTGGTCTATGAGACGGGCTTCGAGGGGTTCAAGGTGGGTTCCTTTTCTATGCCTGCACCTAACGGCGTGCTGACACTGTTGCTTCTGCAGGCTCTTCTGTTCCAAGACAGAGATCTCGAATACTCCGCCACATCGGACCTTGACATGCTCAACACGGCGCATTCGGCGTTCAGCATCTTGAACCACACTGTCGTGAGCCTCGGTCATGAAAAAGGCAACGGCGGCGAGCACAAAACGAACATTGAGTGGTGCTACAAAGAATCCGCGAAGAGAAGCCGCCTCTTATCGGAAACCGGCGACCAATTGGAACTCATGGACCTCTCTGGTCATGATAGACAGATTTTGTCTCTCGGCTCAATGGAAGAGGTCATTACCGTCATGGTGCCCTTGGTGATGACCAGCCCGATCTTTGTCAGCAACTTCACCTCGTTCAAAACCATGATGGCGCTTACCGGCGACGTCAAAGACATCGTCCGCCCCTACGCCGAAGGCCAGTTCAGTGCATTCTTCCGCATGCACACAAGCGATTTCGGCATCAACGCCGCTCGACGAAAGGACGTACTCGGGCTGTCTCAGGCTGTAAACCGTGGCCTCTTCTCGCGGTGCAACCTTCTGTCCATGCCCAGACCAAACGCTCAGCAAAACAACGCCAAGCAGCTCATGAAGCTCGCGGAACTGACATGGGAGATGGATTCCTGGGTGATGGACGAGAACTCGGTGACCGTAAACTGTGATCTATATGTCTGGGCTGTCATTGCCGGGGCCGTCATCCTCGCGGGCGGCGGCATGGCCGTGGCCTTCAGCGTCGGCAACCGCATCCAGGGCGTCGACCCCTCCAACATGGCCACGTACACTTGGGTGCTGGCGACGTTCCTTATCCTGGTGTGCAAGAGCCTGCTCGTGAGCGACTGGGCGTGGAACGATTTCCTTCACCGGCGCGTCCGCTGCCGTTCGGTGTCAGAGCTGCACGCCGTCACTGGTATCAACGAACAGCTGATCGTGGCCAAGCTGCTCCATGACGAAGGTGGCCACTCAATCCTCAAGGTGCGCGGCCCGTACAACTCCGTCTTCTTGAACAAATCCGACGACGGCTTCTCCATCGACTGTCCTCCCGATCTTCGAACGCTGCTGCTTAGCGGCCTGACGCCGCTCAAAGTCATCACGCCACGGGGCTATGCCCTGGTCTGTCTGGATGGTCGCCGCGGTACCGAATTGGCCGTTGTTGAGCACCAGGGCACAGAGTCCAAGGCGCATCTCGTATGTGAGGACTTCAGTCGCATGGCGCAACGAACGGACAGGCGTCGCCCCCATCATGCGATCAGGCTGCCGCTGACCCGTTCGAAGAGTTTGAAGTGGAAGATGGTTCAGGGCATTTACAATGTCATGGATGCCGTATTACTTTAGCCGATTTTCACGCAAGCCTTTTTAATCTCTGCCGAAGCTACTATATCTTTCTCCGTTTGTACCATTCTCACCTAAGATATATACTCTTGCAATTTCTTGGTCTCGTGCCCTTGTAATCTTATCCTGTAAAAGCCTTTGTTATAGCTTCTCTTCAGACGATTTTTCCTGGTTCCTCGCGATTGCCTCTTTCCTCTGTCACGGCCCAAGGCCAGTGTCGATCCAGATATTCTCATGGCCGATTATGCAAGAGTATTTCCAATACGTTCTTCAAAATAAAAAAGAATCAAGACGCTCGCAACTCCGGCTCGAACAACTCATGAAACCTCTCACTCCCTCCCCCCAAGTCACCCAAGCGATAAGACACCCCATCAATCTCGCAGCTCTTCGGAAAATGCTCCAAATCAATCTCCCGAAAAACAAACTCCTCCCACCCATCCACCATCGTCCAATACGCCTCATCTTCCGACGCCGCCCAATGAAACAAGTAATTCGCCTCCAGCGCCCGCAAACAGCACCGCAACCACTCCGTCCACGACGCCGCCCGCACCGACTGTCCCACCTCCGCCTTCCACCAAATCCACTTGTACCACGGACAACGGCCGCATTCACACTCCACACACGGCGTCCTAGCGAAGCGGTGGAAACTGCCGTTCCGCCGATCACTCCGCACGCGGATATTGAACGGTAACACTATCCCATCGCACTTCCCGCCCGCGGGCCTATCGCGGACGACAAGCATGTGCGCGACGGACCGGCTCGGCGAGTGGTGGCCGCCGCCGCCGTCGAGCGCCCACACAGGGACAGCCAGGCCGCCAGCGGCCGCGAGCTCGCCGACGACCGGGGCGCCGCCGCCGCCGCGGCGCTCCAGCCAGTACCCCTCGTACCCGGCGCGCACCGTGGTCTCGGGCAACGTGAAGACGGACTCGGCGCTGTCGTTGGCGAAGGAGGCGCGCAGCGCGTTCGTGCCGTGCAGCTGCCACCACGCGTGCAGCGGTGGCGTGGGCGGCGGGCCCGAGTAGCAGAAGCAGCCGCTGTCCGTGTACGCGTAGAGCCCGCCGTCCAGGCCGGGCCAGGTCCACCCTATCACGGCCTTGGTGGGCCATTCGAGCACTCACAGCTCGAACTCTTCTGGTAGGGCCGGCCCGCAGGATAGCGAGCGGAGGTACCGGACGCGGTCGAACGGCCGGAGTACGGGCAGCACGCGGCTGCGGCTTGGCAGGAAGTAGGGCGAGTGGATTGTGTCATCCCACAGGCGGAGGAGCTCTCGGCGGGCGCGACGGAGGAAGGAAAGGTTATTATTGATGAGCACTTGCCAATGCCTTGACGCGTTGCGCAGTAGGATCAGCTCGCGGAGTTGTAGGTAGGATGCGATTTCTAGCTGCAGCTCCACAGGGAGGATATCAATAGACATGACAACGCCGTTGTCCGAAGTAGGCGTAATCTGGGCAGGAGTGTCGGAGATATATGGTCGGTGTTCTGCATGGGAATGTTGGCGTGGTTGAATTCTTGGCCTTTGCACGACCTTGGTATGCTGTTGCCTGCTAATTGTTACACCATTACGCCCCGTCTGTTCGATACCTCTCACAGCCAATGAAGATGAAGAGGTACACACAAGAATTTTCCATCCCAGTGAAATGCGTAGTTCGCTTTGCAACCATTTGGTCCGAGACGAAGAACAGACAGATTCGTTCACTTCCTCCTTCCACAACAGTCAATTGTACCGAGTGAGTCACTTTTTTTCGCAGTTCTGCGCGGCAAAGCGGCAGAAGCCACAGTTGGCGTGGTCAGGGAGCTGACGGCGAACGCCGACGTCGAACGGCAAGACCCCGCTGCTGCACTTGCCGCCGGGGCGGTCGCGGCGATGGGGGCGGTTCGGCCAGTTGTAAACGGTGAACCTCCACGTCCACTTTTCTAGTAAGGGTGCTCGGAGTTAAAGTCTTGTGAGGCTTAGGCTCATCGCCGCTAAAGAAGTGATCGATGATCGAGTGGTATGAGTTGACTGACTTCTCAGTGATGAGGCTGGTGAAATTCTTCCGTTCTGCAGCCTCCAAGCGTACATCAAGAGATGACCATCTACCATGGTGTTGTGTGGGACGGCAGGCAACTTGTGGGACGGCGGAATGCTAATTCAACGCGGGGTCTCTTGAGGAGCCACAAGCCGTTGGCGGGCTGGAAATCGATGGCCCACAACTGTAGGCTAGTGGTAGTTGGTCGCACGGTATATGGCATGCACAACTGTAGGTCAGCCTTACCTGGCGGCACGATACGCGCCCTCCGTAAGGCAAGTTGTTTTGCGGTCGGTGGACGTAGTCAGAGCGTGCGGGGAGTCGTGAATCAGGCATCAGGCAGGTGTATTGAGCCAAGCACCGTGCTCCCTGCTGGCGTACCACGGGATTGTACGTGGGGTATGTTGTCGCCGCTCGTTCCCCGATTTCTTCCGGGGTCATCGGCAGCGACTTTCTTGGGGATTGTTCTGCAATTCCATTGGTGTATCCCGACGTCAATACCGTAAGCGCCGAAATAGTATATCGTAGCCAGAATATGCCCGGAGAAGTTGAAATCCCCTGTTCAGCAACATACCTTCACAGGATTCGAAGTGATATAGTCACAAGCGATCTTGTGATTTGCGTCTATACTGCAAACCTTCAGGCCCGGCTCAATGGGATCATCTTTGTGGACTATGGACTCCGCTGACACGGAAAGATTATGCAGGGTCCTCATGCAGGGGAAAGTAAGAGCGGAACACGGGAGATATTCCTTCCTTTGGTACCTGACTGAATCCAGTTAGGCGCCCGAATGTGTCCTACTTGATCTTGAGTACGTACCAGATAGGGAGGTAAGAAAACCCGCTATCCGTACCCAGTCCTTCTCTGGCCTCCTAAAAGAGAGCCATCCCAAATACTCTGTCTTTTTATCCTTATCCTGCCCCTTCCCGCACCCGCCCCCTTCCACTTTCACTTCCCATCCGCCCCCGCCCCCGCCCTTCTCCACTCCACACTCAAATACTCCCTCCACGTCCTCAACCCCACCTTCTCATACCACCCCACCAGCGTCACCCAATCCACAAACACCCTCTCCACGCCCCTCATCCTCATCTCCTCCAACGCCGCCGCCACCATCGCGAGCCCGACCCCGCCCTCCCTCTTCGCCGCATCCACCCCCACACACGCCACGAGGCCCGTCTTATCCGGCTTCCCCAGCAATTCCGGGAAAGCCAGGTCGGGCAAAAACACCTTCGTGCCGGGCTCCAGCATCATCGTCCACGCAATCTGCTCGCCGTGGCCGCCCCCGCCATCACCGTCCGACGATGACTTTTTCCGCTCGTCGTGCGCGACCATGACCTGCCCGTGCAAGCCCGCGGCCGCGAGCGCCTCGTACCCCTCGACCCAGCCGGCGTAGTGGCCGAAGTTGCGGCGCTGCTTGGCGAGGCACTCGGCCTCGCCGGCCTTGGTCCAGGGGCGGAAAACGATGCCTTTGTTCTGTGCGCGCGCGATGCGCATGCTAGCGTCCGGGTCGGGCGCATGCGTGGCGACGAGGTCGATGCAGAGGTCGCGACAGGTTTCGCCGCGGGCCGTGGGGGAGTTGCGGCCGGCGACGAAGCCGCGGTGGAAGAAGAAGTTTTGGTTGGAAGGCACGATGTCGAGCGGGAGCCCGGGGAAGAAGCGCGGAAAGGAGGAGCCGATGGAGAGCGTCTGGCAGGAGTGTGGTGGTGAGCAGAGGTGCTGGCGGGCGTGCGTGAGTAGCGCGGTACCGATGCCGAGTTTTGCCAGGAAGGGATGCACGATCAGGGCGGTGATGAGGCCTTTTGGCGGGGCGCCGGCTGGAGCAGAGGGTGCGGGAGGTTGGATGTGGGTGGCGATGAAGCCCACGACAGTGTCGTGGCGGCGGACGACGAAGTGGGCGGCGCGCGGGCGGGTGAGGAGGTCGGCGAGCCGGGGTTTGGAGACAAGGTAGGTGGGTAAGACTTCGTGCCACAGGGCGCAGACTTGGTTCATGTCCCGTTCGGGAGAGAAGGGTTCTGCGGTGTGTTGGTGTTGGATTTGCTCGACGGGCAGATGGCCTTGAGCTTGGGTGATGCCGAAAAGGACGTCAGCAGCCGCTGTGAAAGCCGCAGGGGTCGGCTCGTAGATTGCCAAGTAATTCTGTATCTCATCGGCGGAGAGAAAATCATATGGATCGCATGTAGCGACTACGATCAGCTTCTTAGCTGTGTAAGCTACCTTGATAGCCATGTCTGTTTGATACGGTGCAAGCCGTGCGTTTCTGGTGGTCAGAATGACGGCGTCTGCGGCTGCAGCAGCCTCGAGAACTTCATCCGCGTTTGATCCGTCTTGGTAAAAGCGAAGGTCTTGGATTTCGGGATGGTGATTTCTCAAGATGTCGATAAAGCTCGGAGGTGTATATGGACCACGGGTCTCGATTTGGCCGTAGTCGACCACGCCGCTGGCGACGGGCTTCTCTCCAGGCGAGATGAAAACCAGACGTTGGTCCTTGGTCAGAGGAAGGGTTCCGGGTTGCAGTCGGACCGCTGTGGTGCTTGAGGCATACACCCTTGATGCGAGCTCGGAATTTTCCTTGTTTATGGTGGAGAGCTGCTTGAAGGATGCATGCGTCTGACCTGCTTGTTTTCCTTGGGCAAGGGTGAATTCTTCTTGGGTGAAGGACTTGACCCTCTGCCACGACTCCTCGAGCTGGTGCATGAAGTCTTCATCCTGCGTAGCGGCATCAAAAACAGCCTCTAGAGCCCCGGCCTGCAGATCGATGGTGTGGCAGATCATGACCGAGTCGCAGCCAGCCTTGAGAGCGGTGACAGCGCCTTGGACAGTGCCACCGCATTCAGTACGGATGGCATTCATTTCCAGACAATCCGACACAATGACGCCGGTAAACTTGAGATCGTACCGCAAAACTCGCAGGATAGTGGGGTCGAGTGTTGCGGGCAATTTAGAGTCTCCGATGACGATGTGAGCAGTCATGACGGCCGGAACCTTCTCCGTGACAGCACGCCTAAAGGGAATGAGCTCGCATTGTTCCATGTCTTCCCAGCTCTTCTGGATGAGGGGCAGACCATAGTGGGAGTCAACAGCAGTATCGCCGTGGCCGGGAAAATGCTTGACGCATGGAATGACGCCTTCCTCGCGGAGCCCGTTCAAATTAGCAGCCGCCAGGCGCGCGACAGTGTAGGGATCGTCGCTGAAAGAGCGGACGCCGATGACTGGGTTTTCGGGGTTATTATTGACATCGCAAACGGGGGCGTAATTCATGTTAATTCCGAAGGCTCGCAAAGCCTTTCCAGTGGCACGACCGACATCGTGGGCGTCGTCAATGGAGCGGGTGGCGCCAAGAGCCATGGACCCTGGCAGCTGTGACGTAATTGGAGGCTTGATGCGAGTGACAAGGCCATTCTCCTGGTCGATTCCGATGGTGAGCGGCTGGTCATGACCAGCGTCTTTGGCGATTTGCTGCAACTCGGCTGTGAGAGCGGCGAGCTGTTCTGCGTCTCGAACATTGCGCTGGAATAGGACAATCTGGCCGACGTAATAGGGCGCACGGATCAGTCGTTTGATGTTCTCATCAGCGGTTTGGCTGTGGAAGCCAACAATGAAAAGGCGGCCGATGAGGCGGCGAAGACGGTCGTCCTCAGAGGGCATGATGTGAAACAGCAGGATCTACGCGATACCTTAATAGGAAATTCCGGAACCGACTAAACGAAGATTCCTCTCAGGAACGGAAGACGAGATTGCGATTGCTTGTTTTTGGAGGATTTCGATGCATGCGGCATGTGGTTGGCCAGATCCGAGGGTTTATCTCAAGAGAACGATGAGGGCGATCGCACGAGTCAGTTTTTGGTGATAAACTGATGATGTGCGGTGTAGGATGAGATGGTGAGGACAGATAGCGCGTGGATGTTTTGGCGGTTGTGGTCGGCAGTGGGGGCGCGGGGGACCCAAACAATAGCGGGGTCGTCCGACGATAAGCCCCGCGATCGACACGAACATCACCGTTTGAGCATCATCCACCGGAGCCAGTGACCATCTGCGCGACTGTCAGCAACGTACCTGCGTGTGGTTACATACCTCCAGTGCGCTGCATGTCCCACCATGCCTCGTCCTCTTCCTCGTCCGAGTCGCGTCGTCGTCCGTCGCTGGAGCCCTTGCTCCGCCCTGCTTCCACCATGACCGACCCCAACAGCGAACGCGACACCAAACTGCGCGCGAACCTTGAGCAATACGAGCAGCTGTTCGGCGCCGACGAGGACGCTTTCGATCAGCCCACCACCACCCGGAAAGAGCTCTGGTCCTACTACCTCTACTACAATGGTGACAACGGCGTCGGGCCCGGCTCCTACAGCCAGACACTGTGAGTCCCGCCGGGTATTTGTCCCGCGGCCTGGCCTTGACGTACTCGCAGATTTCAGTCCGCCCTGACCTCTGCCGGCCATGACCCTGCCATCTCGCCTCCCGTCGCTGGAAACTGCGGCGATGGCGCATGCGTCGTTCCGTGGGGGAATGGTACACGCAGTGTTGCTTCGGTCGTTCTCATCGCCAACGGCCTCTGTTTTGCCATCATGACACTGCTGTTCGTTTGGCTTGGAAGCGCTGCCGACTACGGCTCGTTTGGACGGTGGCTGCTCCTCGTTCTGACCGTCATCTGTTGGGCCTTCCAATACGGTTTTATGAGCGTCAAGGGAGCTGAGCAATGGCGCACTGCTATGGGCTTGTATATTGTCAGTTACATTGCCTACGGCGCCACTCTGGTTTTCTACGCTGCCCTGTTTCCGCGCTTGGCCCGGTACATGCCGCACGTGAGAAAAGCCCGGGAGGAGGACCTGAAGGAGGGAAAGATCAGCCAAGAGGAGTACGACAAGATCGAGAGCCTGGAGAAGAACCATCTGTCCAACATCTCTACCGCCCACTCCAATATAGGCTACCTACTGACTCTTGCCATCAACCTGAGCGTCCTGCTTCCGATGCAAGGCAACGATTACGCAAACAACTGGGCTCATTTCCTGACCAATACCTACTGGATCATTCTCGGCATCTGGTGGTTCATCTTCCAGCAGCGTCGCCCAGGCCCAAAGCTTCCAAAAGGCTCCAGCTACGCCACCATCGGCTGGAAGCAAGTCGCCCTCGCCCTGAAAGAGGTCCGCCACCTCCCCCAGACCTTCATCTACCTCGTCGCCTTCTTCCTGCTGGCTGATGGCCTCAACACCACCGGCACCCTCATCAGCATCATCCAAGCCGACCAAGTCAACTTCAGCTTCCTGCAAATCACCTACCTCGGCCTCTCGCAAGCCGTCTGCTCCACTTTCTCCACCTTCACCTTCTGGTACGTGCAACGCTATTTCAAAATCAGCACCAAGCGAATGTTCATGGTCACCAACTTCTTCTCCGTGCTCATCCCCTTCTACGGCATGCTCGGCCTATGGACGGACCGCGTCGGCTACCACCACATTTATGACTTTTGGCTCTACAACATCCTTTTCGGCCTCTTCCAGGCACCCTACTACGCGTATGCCCAGACTATGATGAGCGAGGTCACTCCGCGCGGTTACGAAAACATGTTCTTCGGCCTGTACGGAATCACAAACCGCGCGAGCTCCATCATCGGACCGAACGTGGTGCAGGCTATCATCAACAGCACCAATAACAACTGGCTTGGTTTTCCATTCCTGGTCGCCTTGTGCGCCGCGGCAAGCGTCGTTATTTGGTTTGTTGATCTGCAGAAGGGGAGGGAGAACTGCAGGAAGTACGTCGAAGAGAGAAAATTAGTGCGCGTTGCACGGGAGAGCGGGCGGACGGTCGAAGACATTGTCGAAGGCGCTGCTCAGGATGGGGGTTTGACCATCGAGACAGTGGATGGTGGGCGGAAAGGCACTTGAATGATGGAGCTCAGCACGCGGCTCGTATCGTTTTTGAAGATCCAAACCACAGTCTCGCTACCGAATACCAGCCTCCCACCAAGATCTTGCAAAGTGCTACACAACTTTATCAGCATTCAAGTGTATGCTTTGCACAAGCATTTCGGTATCCACATTCAATGGAGTTAAATATGGCCGCTCCGGTTGTGGTTTGTCTCTTTTCAAAGATGAGGCTTGGATCGTAAACTTCTCCATCGGGGAACCACGGTTGACGCTTCCGCAAGGGGGGATGGAGGTATTGGTCCCTGAAACGGGCAGACCCTGACATTGGATATTCACCCGGCGGGCGTTACACATCTGCCCACCATAGAGATTTGCCCACAGTGGATATATGCGTACAATAGACTTTTAACTACAGTTGCTTACTTAAATCTAGACTATTCTCCCTCTTTGTAAAGAATCACACCCGTTCTACATCGATCATATCTACCGTTACTACTCCACGTGACGACACCGCTCATAACAACTATGTCGCGCATCTCAGCTTTCGAGGCTCTTCCGACCGAGCTAACCGAGGAAGTCGCCGGATACCTGAACTCCAGGGATTGTTGCAGTCTCCGCCAGGCATCGCTGAAACTTTACTTCAAAGCCGACTACATATTCCGCAAACATTGCACCCACGTGCAGGTTGATTTCGACCAGGTCCGCCTGGCCCAACTGTGCACGACATCTCAGAACACAGGCATGGCCAGAGCAGTAAAGATACTGACCATCGTGGTGCCTGACGAGGTCAGGAAAGGAGGTAAAAATGCCGGCTTGCTCCACGCATGCATGAACGGACAAGCCAAAAACACGGTAAATGAAGAAATCCAGGCCGCTGTGGACAACAGCTGCTGCAGCACTGGGGCGTGCGGGTCCCTCCTGACCAAGTCGCTCAGGCAGATGGTCAACGTCACAGACGTGAGGATCACCGGCAATTATCTCGACATGGCACACATCAAGTGCAGCGGCATGTCTCTGATCCCCTGCCGCTCCAGAGACACCCGCCACCGCGCCGTGCCCGCCATCCTGAACGCCGTCAGGAACAGCGGCATCACCACGCCAATCAGCCTCTCCATAACCGAGCTCACCCGCCGCCGCGACCACCACCCCGTCAAGAAGACCCACGACACCTCCCCCCGCTGCTTCAATCCCCTCCCCGAACTCGACGCCGCCGCCCTCACCAACGTGCACCAACTCCGCCTCGGCCTCGGCGGCCGCCGCCTGCCCAAGCGCGTCTACCTCGACGACGTCGCCGCGCTCCGCCACTCGCTCCCACTCACCCCGACACTAACACTGCTCGAGCTCAGCGGACCGCACCCGGGCCTGCTCAACAGCGCATTCGAGCTCATGGCCGACGACGCGGGCTACACCGCTTTCCCGGCCCTCCGCTCGCTGCGCCTCGCCGACGACGCGACCGTCGACGGCGTGCAGCTGGCCGTCTGCCTGCAGGCGCTGGTCCCGCAGCTAGAAGAGCTGTCCCTCGTCGGCCTCGCGCTGGCCGACGACGCCATGCACTGGATCGACGCGCTGCGCTGCATCCGCGTCAACCTGAGCTCGCGCTTGCAGCGCTTCCGCTTCGCGCGCAATGCGCATGCCGGCCAGCTGCTGCAAAGCCACGCGCTCACGCTGTGGGATGCGGACGGCGACGGCGTCGCGTGCGTGCGGGATGTCGATGTCGCGCAGTTTGGGAAGTGGGCGCGCTGGATGTTTGAGGATGTGGAGGAGTGGGTTGCGGTGTTCGCGCTTGATGATGATGATGGGGAGGCGTTTGAGGATGTGGCGGCGCGCGTGGGTGGGGTTGGGGCCGCGATCGATGTCTTGATTCAGGGGTATTACGAGGCGCTGGAGTCGCTGGATGAGTTTCTGTTTTACTGTTTGCTTTAGGGTGGTGCTGGGGCAGGGGATGGGGGACGGTAGGTGTTTGGTGGATCGGAGGGGCGGTGGACGGGGGTGGGTGTTGTAGAGAGGAGAGCGGAGATTGTTAAACGCGCGGGTCTGTTCTGCTGGGATTACAGCAATGCGGGGGTAGTTGGAGCGCTTATCTAGATACGTTTGTTCACATTCATGCCATGCATTTATACCCGGGTAGACGCCGGAACCATTGCAATTTCACATCACCTATAGAGCTACGTTCGTGATTGACACAAGTGACGACGATGCAGCCAATCAAAACCCCCGCACGCCGCAGCAACTCGGAGGGCGCATCTCGCATCACGGGCCAGCGTGGCCCATCCTTTACAAATCCAGTGCCAATCTGCATCGTGGCTCTGCTACTGTGGTTAGAGTGCCCATGACTTGAACGAGAACCAAACCTACTTGTTCTGATCGTAGGTGAACCTTTGGAGCTCTGAGCTGCTTCTACCTGCAATATACTCGTCACTGCTATCTTCAGCAGTAAGAAAACCTCCTTTGCACCCTGGCTGTCACCATTTTCTCAATCATCCACTTCAAGAATCTGCATGACGTAAAGGTTATAGCGCTACATCTGCACAACCACAATGCCACTCATTGGGGTGGCAACGAGTAGCCTTGTCCCGCATCGCAGTAAAAACATAATTTTACTCATGTAGTCTAACTATTTTCTGTTTCATTGGAGAAGATCTCTACAATCACCATCACAAAGTAGAAACACACTGCCTAAATCTTTCTAGTGCCGAGCTTCTTCCAGCAGACTCATGCCGGAGCAAACCATCCACGTAATCAGCACCATCCGTCCACGAAACCGCTGAAGATCTACTGGATGCGTACCATGACCATTTCCTCCTTCCAGTCCTGCAAGGCGCTCCTTACCCCTCTTACCTTAGCGACCTCCGCAAATTTCGTGTCACCGGAGTCGAGCTCTGAGCTTTTGTCGGGCTCCCAGCACATGGCCGCCCTCACGGCTACGCGAGAAGGTCTGTCTTTTGCATAAAACCAATGGCTCAACCCTCCAAACCTTCCTTTGATCAGGAATGTCTTGTCCAGAATAGTACGGAACAGGTTAGACCAAGCATCCCGTGCAACCCGACTATAGTCCGAGCCAATGTACGACGTATCGAACACTGATAGACTGGTTAAGCTTAGGTCTTGCAGTGAGGATGAATGTGCGATAAAAAAATTGGTGAATAGTTCGAGGTTATCTATCCTGCAGTTGTTGAGATGGAAGGATGTGAGGTGCCAGCTGTAATTGGAATGCAGCACATGTAACCAGTTTGGGAGAGTCTGATTGTGACATGCACAAGCCAAAGGCGGACATTGGCCGTTGCTGGAGCCGATGTCGTATCCCACCCCACTCTCCATCACGCCCCGCATGCCCTCCTGCTGGAGCCATTCATCCTTATCGGGGGTGGTAATAGTGAGCTCTTTCAGCTTGGGCATTTCATCAAGCATTTCCTCGGTGTAGAAACGCCAATTCGTACCATTGAGTACTATGCTCAATTAGCCACTCAAAAAGCCCAGATGAATACACGGGACACTTACGGACGTTGCTGTCTACAACACGAAATTTCTCGATATTTTGCAAGCAAGACAGCTGAGTGCTAGAAAGAGCCCCTGGAGGGTACTTCAGATACTCTTCACCCTTCTCATCCTCATTCTCATCTCGAACCCATGCCCAAGAACCAACTGCCTCATCATAGATCAGCTCAGTGATTTGCGCTCCGCTTGTGTGTACTACATCCAGCAGAGAGCTGATTGACCATTTAAAATGATCCGTCGTGTCAACCCGGGGATCTTCTTCTTCGCAATCCTCGATCTTTACGGGTATAGCCTTTAGCTCAATTTTGCGCAGGTTTTTGAATTTGACAAAACCTTCATTAAGAATGGATACCGCCTTGTTGAGCTCATCCATCTTTGTCCGGCGATAGAAGTCCTTGTTGGCCGGAAAGAAAAGCTTGATGCAGTCTATGCGAGGCCCGACCTGAGGAACATTGGCCATGCGGCGAAGGGTGTCCAGCCCAAACTCGGTCATCATAATGCCCGACTTGCAGACCCATGCCGATGTCTCGTCGTGGAGTGTCTTGGATACACAGTGCAGGGCACAAATAGCACGGTTCAGGAATACGTTCTTCTCGTCGTTGACGACGTGTTTGCAGATCATGTCGAATAATTGTTGCTCGAGACCAGAGAGTCTATCTGGTGCGGGCGATGTTAGGGATGCAGGAATATCCTGGGAGGCAGACTGCTTGACGCGTTTGCTAGACATGGTCAAGGCGCCTGCAATGCTTAACGGAAGGAATCAGTTGCGCGCCGATAGGCACTCCTTTTCTGAAAAATATGGACGGAGGATGGTTGTAGGCGAAATGAACGGCAGGGTAGGGTTTTTAATCCAACTCGTTTGCGCGCCAGCCAGGAAGATTTGGACGGCAAGCTGGGAAGAAAAGCTGCTCGACGCGCCGTCTCACAGATGCGACGGTGAAGCAAACACCAAGCTCCATTCCGGATTCCATGTGACAGACAGAGGGGGGCCTTGTAAGGGAGTAGAAAGACGGCATTCCATACCGGTGAAAGCCACAAAGCGACCTAGAATATGGCCGATGCTAAGTTTACTATTAACCATGATGTTTGGTTGGCAATTTGGCGGCGGTGATTCTTGCACCAACCGATGTTGACAATCACACGGGAATCTTTCCGGCGCAACCCGCAACTCTAGCATTGAAGAGGAGCTTTGGTGAAAGTTTCGTGAAGCGACGGGGCGCAAGGTGGAGCTCGTGAGGCGCGACGTCACCGGGCCAGCGCAAACCAAAGATTAGCAGTACGGCAAATATTTCGCGCAGCCTCCGTCAGGTAAGCGAACAGTTCGAACAGCGAGTGATGACTGAAAGCGTTTCGTCATTAGGAATTCGGTAGGTCTTGGTGTTGGGTAAGGCTGGACACGTCTCACTTGAAGATGCAAGGATACGTACCGGAAGAGTGGGCGCTAAGCTTTTTACAACTATCCTGCTGAAGCACTCAGTTGAGCAAAATTTACCTTGTTTTTCTGTTGCGGGATTCGTCTGAGCCATCTCCCGAAATGTGCAGACGCCCTCGCCTACATTACCAGCAGTTCTATGGTGCCATTCAAGTGACTCTTAGGCTGACCCGCTTCTCAAAGCACTGTTCGCTTGGATAGGTCTAACATCTGCCCAAACTTTGCATAATTTTTTCCCTTGCGTTGCACAATGCACTGCGAAAACTTCGCCGACGTCGATAGTAAGAAGCAAACTGTGCTAGATTGTATTTCAAACTTTCTCTACTCTCCTGAGAACCGCGACCGTCCTTTATCGTTTTGAGTTAGCAAAATGACGGAAGTTTCTGCAATATCAACGGCAATACAGAAGCAAAAGACCCGAATAACCTTAGCCCAGACCTTGCCCAGCATTTTCGTGGCCCAATAAATCCCCACGTAATTACCACCGGCGAGCAATAGAATTCATGATGCACAGGCTCGGCCCGGAGGAGTTTCACGAAACCACAACCATAACCATTCCATCCTTCCAGTCCGCCAACGCACGCATCACACCCCTAAGCCTGGCAATGTCCTCGAACTTGCGGCCATATACGTCGAGCTCCAGCCCATTGCTCTGGTCCCAGGACATGGCCACAGACAGCCGTTTGCCTGGGTGCCCATGACGCCAATAGAGCAAGTCGTGAAACTTCCCCCTTGTTAGATTCATCTCGTCCAGAATGATCTGGAAGATTTCGGTCCAGATCCTTTTCGCAATGATCTGACATCCCAAGAGAGTACGCTCGGAATCTAACACCATCACCTCACTGAGGCTCAGGTCTCGCAGCGTGGGTGAGTGTGTGTGGAGAAAATTCCCCAAGACGCCGACGCTCTTCACCGTGAAGTTGCTAGCGTGGAAGGATGTGAGACGCCAGTTGTAGCTGAAATAGAGAACGGTTCTCACCCAACCTCCCGAGGCAGGCTTGAAGTAGTTGCGCCCGTCTCCTTGACGCTGTAATTTGGGAGCCATAGGGGTGATTGTGAGCTCCTTCAACTTCGGCATTGCACGAAGGATTCGCTCGGTGTAAGCGAACCCACCCGCTAAGGAGTCTGGCATCTGCATCAGCTACTATGGATATAGAAGCAACGGTGCACTTACAGTCGTGTTCTACGGTGCGGAATTTCTCAATGTTCTCGAAAGTGGACAGCCAAGTGGGTGGAAAGGGATTCGGAGGAGAAGGCGCCATTGTGCCGGCGGCTGCCTCATCGTAAATCAAATCCGTGACGCATATTCTGGTGGCATGTATCGCCGATAGAGCAGAGCCTGCTGACCATGAGAAGTGCTTTGACGAGTCGTTCAGAGGGCTCGCATTAGGCCGAAACTGAGTCTTGATTCCGCTAAGCTCAATCTTGCGCAGGTTGATGAGGCGAACAAAGCATTCAGTGAGGATATCTGTAAGGCGTTTGCAGTTGTTCTTCGTCTGATGCCAGTAAAACGACATCTCAGTCGGGGAGAGAAGCTTGACGTGGATGATGTTATGGGCAACATGCGGATATCCAGCCATGCGGAGGAGTGGCTTCAAACCGGATTCAGTCATAGGAAACCCCAACTTGCATATCGATGTGGATGTCTTTTCCAAGAGTAGCTTGGATGTAATGTGCAGGGCTCTAAGGTCTTTGGCATGGCTGAACTGGAGTTTGCGACCGGACATCTTCAGTAGAGAATCGCTCTCATAGTTCATGAGATAGTCGCATATACGCAAAAACAATTCTTGAGGGAGGGCCGAAAGTCTGTCGGGACCAGGCGGCTGCGGAGCGCGCTTGGCAGCGAGCCTGGCGCTCCTTCTGACCATGGCGATGACTCGATGCATGGGTGAGCCGGAAGGCAAGGTGCCGGCGAAGGTGGGTTTGGAAAGTGAAGCTCTCGCAGGGAAGAGGAGCTTTCGCGGAGGTTCGGTCAGGTGAGAGGGCGCGAGGTTGGGTGGAGTTTGTCGGACGCGCAGCGCGTGTCGGCGACGTCACCGAGGGACCCTGAACCAAATCTCAGTACCATAGCAAAGCTGGCGCACCGCCGCTGCCAAGACTCGCGCGGGCGGTTTCCATTCACAGATGGTTGCTGGTGACTAGGCTCCACGCCCCCACGACACCTCACCTTCCTCCTCGCACCCCCAACCAAGACAACAGTAAATCCAGCTCGAGGCGAAGTATCATTAGCTCCTCCGACTCACGCTTCACCCTCATGGCACGGTCGACCTTGGATGGAGGTCGCCGTCGCGCCCGGTTCGTCATAGCCGCGAAATGTCTGTTGCAATCACGAATACTGACCGCGCGATGAACAGGAAGAAGAAGGACGACAAATACTTTGCGCTGTCCTTGAAGCCTCCTCTTCATAGCCGCTCGCCGCTCTCCGACATACCGCCCGACATACTTCATCTTGTCGCGGACCTGCTCGACTTCCGCAGTTTCTGCGCGCTCCGTCGTACCTGCCGTGGAATTTGCAAGTGGCTGCAGAAGATGTTCGTCGATCGCTATGGACCCGACCACCTCAAGCAAGACCTCTCATTCGACAGCATGGACTCCTCACGCAACTTTATCGAGCCCATGTTTTCATCCAAGATTGTCACCATCGATTTCTTGGCCTCCGACTTCGACAATGCGAGATTCGAGCGCGAAAAGCTGACCCTGCACCCAAACTGCCGTGCCATACGGAAACACCGTAATGACAAAAGGCATGTGGAGCTAGCATCGAAAGGGGCCTTCGCAACGATGCTTGCAGACTGGCTATCTAAATACCCCAACCTGAAGATCATCCGCTTACGGAACCAGATGCTACCGTTTGTGGATGGCGATGAGGTGGTGCATGAAGCTGCTCCGCTTGGGTCCTGGCCATTCTCAACGTTGATCGCGGCCCTGTCTCGCGCCAACATCAGCCTCGCTGAGCTCTCGCTACATGACACTCGTGACGCACAGGAGCTGGACCATTCTCTCATTCGAACCGGCGGAACAATTGCAGATGTTGGCGCTTTGTCCAACCTGAAGACGATGCGGCTGGAATTCAAAGAGCATTTCTATAGTAAGTAACTCATGAACATCAGGACCAACAGCTTCCAGGACACACATCTGACCTTCCGAGTGTGTCGAAAAAAAGAACACACTAATTTTCCTTCACAACATCCCTCTCCACAGAACTGCATGTTGAAAATACGCTAATGTCATTTTCCTGCGGCAGAAGGGACTCATTATCGCCGGCTTCAACAGGCCATACACTCTGCCCCCTCCCTGGAGTCCCTCTCTCTTGTTACTCAAGGATGGTCCTGGTCTCCAGGTGTTGGCATGAACTACCTTGCAAGGAATATTGAGCTGCCGAATCTCAAGGCCTTGATAATTGACGGCTCAATCGACGACGAAGATCTTAAGAAGCTCCTGAAGAAGCACAAAGGCACTTTGCGGGAATTCACGATTATGACTGACTGCACCGTATCCCCTAATGCAAACATGATCCTGAACTTCACCCGCCAGCACCTCTCCCTTGACCACGGCCAGCTAGTCATTTTCTATGACGATCTTTGGACCGGACGTGTCGTTCTAGATCACTAGGGGAACTAAACAAGTTGAAGGCCTGGAAAGGATGGAAATTTTGGACTGGGGCTACAAATTGGGATATATGGTGGTGCATGCTTGTTGCAGATGTGCTGTACAGCTGGATAGCGACACAGACACTGAAGATATCTCTAAGCAGCAAGACAGCTATCAATTCTGGGCGTATTGAGGCTCCTGAAAGTGCGGATTACAGAGAGGTATTTCGAAACTATTGCTCAAAAATAAATGTACAATTGGTCCTTTACGTGTATGTCTACATGATTGCTGCAACGACAATGACGTGCACAAAGTCCTCCCAGCGGCCAGCCGTAGTTTTTCGTCTTTCCATACGGAGTCCTTGTCCTTCCAACTCGAACGATAGAGTAGTGACTATATTCAGGCTATCTGCAGATTTTCTACGAGCGTGGCTGTTGTTTGCTTGTCACTTTCCGGAAGTTTGCCTTCTAGCGACTTTAGGTCCAACACTTCCATGGAGTTGTGTGACATGGGAAGATATTGCACGATGACGGCATTTCGACCCAGCATTCCGTCTAACCCCGCGAAAAACAGGCAAACACTGCGTTCGTGAGGATGCACGTGACAGCGTCGTCCGCGATGCCCATTTCCACCGACAACCCTCTGCATATCGTACGGTTCCATCGTCTGAGATGGAGTTACACAACGCCATCTTTCCGCCTCGCAATCGCTGAAGTTCGGGAGTCGGGAGTATGCGCTTCTGAGTGCGGCTGGGTGGTTGGCCGGGATAGGCGCCAAGCGGCCGGAAAGTCGTCTATTACACAAACTACTATTAAGAAACGTGCGTGTCATGCCTTTTCAGGTATCGCTGGGAAGAAATAGTGGTAAGGCAACGGGAAGAAATAGTGGTAAGGCAACGGAAAAGCTACCGGCACACGGCACCAAGCAAGGGATGTGGGGCGTAGCGAATTAACGTTTTCGACCAACGCTATAAGCAGGCATGGACTGAAGGCTGCTTTCGGACAGAAGATACTTGCATCTGATGCATCTCTACATCGCAGTCGTGAGAGGACTTCAAGCAATATGTATATAATGAGGCACGATGGAGCACGATTCTCAACTCATCAGCTTATCACATCTCATCAGTCCAGCACACTCCAACTCATCATCTCATCACTCCAGCAATCCCCAATTCCTCCAATCAACCACCACCAATCCCCATTCCAACCTGACAAGATGAAGTTCTCCGCTGCCATCGCCGTAGCCTTCGCTACCCTCTTCACGAGCGTCTACTCGGCGCCCACCAAGGACATCGAGGTCCGCGCTCCTGAGGCCATCGACTCCGCTGCCGCCGCCGTCGACGACATCGACAAGCGCCAAGTCGGCATCTCGGTGACGGCGCAGATAACCATCGTCGTCGTGCTGCGGGGCACGCTGGACCAGGTGCGCGTGCACACGGGCAACATCAACAACACGCTCAGCACCATCAACAACGACTCGAACTGGGTCGTCCGCAACAACGCCATCATGGCCGTGCGCTCCGAGCTCACCACCATCGGCAGCATCCTGGCCGGCGCCACCTCGCAGATCGGCACCCTCGGCGGCAACCTCGGTGGTGACTTGAACGCCGTCGCCTATGTTGGCCTTGCTATTGCGTATGAGGTCATTTACACCATTCAGTTTGCTGTTAACAGGCTCGGTGCTGGTAAGTTTCCTTCTCCTCCTTCTCCTTCTCCTCCCTGAGTGACTGTTATCTAACCCACCACAGGCGTCATCGTTGTTCTCGGCATAATCATCAACAACCTCATGAGCGTCCTTGCTGGCCTGATCTTGGCCATCGACATCGTGGCTCGCGGCTCGCTCCAGATCGTCTGGGGCTCGCTGAGCGCCGTGGTGCCGCGCCTCCTGCCGGCCATGGGCTCCATTGTCCTGGGTCTTGGATACCTCCTCGGCTTCTAGAGGGGGACCAGAGCACTGAGATGGGGGACTACACAGGTGGCCTCTCTGTCACAGTCTGAATTCCTATGTAGCGATCAAAAGTTCGTGGCTCGAAATTTAGTTTAGTGTAGAATACAAGTGCTTTCTCAAAACAGTTCCATTGTGTCCTACGATATCTGACTTCGCTTTAATCGTCGTGATTGACTAGCAGAAAGGATATGGTCGAAGCATACAGGGGGTTATTGCAGCCGGCGCGTAGAATGAATTTACTTTTCGCTCATACCATTGGTAATTGTACATTCACGTCCGAATGATAGCTTCAACTACCCATACATGTCCTTTTTTGCACTGGAAAAAAAAAAGACAGAAGTGAGGTAAAGTTACGCTATGTTCTCTGGCCTTGCTATTCTTCACGCTAGCTGTCGGCTGCAAGGCCCCTCCGTAGGTCATAATATACAACGTTTTTCCAAAGGTCTAACGTAATAATACATCAAAAATAAAAAGAGTCTAAGTTAAAGAAGTTTTCGGATATACAATGGTAACAGAAATATAGAAGAAATCTACAAATCTATACTACGTAGATGATGAAATGGTGCTACCCCGTGAGAGATGGTCTACATTCTAATTTCGTAGCTGATGTTTTGCCTGTGCTCTACGGGCTCGCCTTTCTTCGCGCTCTCGTTGATTCTGCTCCTCAACCTGCCGGTCATGCTCTTCTGCCTGTCTCTCTGCTTCCCGTACCGCTTCCTCAGAGGGTTTCTCTGCAAAGAAATGAGAGTCAGCACGTTGTACGTTTTACTTTCGATGCAGCACTTAAATGTAGTGTCTTCGACTTACCATTCCTCCCGTGGGCTAAAATGAGCATCTCCTTGTTTACCAGAAAAAACTTCAACCGATCGTTGAGTTCCCTGCCAAACACGACGTCATAAGGAAGCCCGGCAACCACGATGAACTGGTCCTGCCAGCGGTTTCGCTGAGTGTACAGACCGAAATGTAGCCCTACCGATCCGTGAATTGCTTGTTTCTGCCCATTTCCTAGTAGCACGTGTCCACGGTAAGGGTAGATTTTCGCATCGAGTCGCCGTACAACTTGCTCGCTGATGAAATTGTCGGTGGCACCGGTGTCGACAAGAGCAACGGCCTGGATTGTGGACTTGAATCCCTCGTCCTGCAGCCAAATCTGGCGGTGATAGTCGGACATTGGAGGAGTTCTGGTATAAGGCCTTGTGGCTGCAGAGTTCGATGACTCTGGTGGGTAAATGCTCTGCTCCATAGTGGCTTGACTCTGCTGGTAGTAGGAGTAAGCAGGATGATATCCTGCCGTGGTATCATGTTCCTGCCCACCATAGGTCTGATCCGGTTCATATCCGAAGGCCGGTTGAGGAGGCATCGGTGCGGGGGGAGGAATGCCATCCGCGACTCGTTGTTTGTTTTTCACAGCAGCCGATGGGGCGGGGGGTGCCTCCTTCTCTAGATGTTGTGGTAGAGTGCCATCCATCGTCTGTGGTAGATTGGTGTATGCTGGCGGCGGTGGGATATGCAGTGAGGCAACCATCTCTCGTATCGGATACGACGGCATGGTGTAATCAAATGTATCCCGCCTATCTTGTTGTTTCGCCAGTTCTCGCATGACACTATTTGTTTCTTGGATTTCCCTGGTGAGGCTGTCCACCATCTGCCGAAGAGCCTGGATTTCGGGGTTGACTGCCTGGGACGTAGGTACTGTGTTGACGGTTCGGGATACGGACAGGTCAGCGGGGCGTGTGATCTCTTCCGAGGTTGTGCCGTTGATTGGATCAGTTGCTCTTGCCAGTGTCAGGTGAGTTCCCTCAGGTAATGGCGTCCCTACAGCTACCGTCGGCGGGGTTGTTCTTGCTGGTAGTACCTCTGTTGAAAGAGCAGCTTGGGCGGGTTTGATAGGCTGCTCTGGCTGTGGAGGTGGCCTCGCGGGTGGTACCAGTCTGCTGCTGTCAACAACTGGTGATGGGGCTGTTGGTTGGCTTCCAGCGTCATGTTGAGGCAAGTTGGCTATCTCGGTGTTTCTCCTTTTCACAAAAGGGCCATTGGAGTTTGCATTGGGGACCGTAGGTGGGGGCTTCGGCTTCTCCTTGTTGGACAGCGGCCGGACTTTGGAAGGTCTGACGGACCTTCTGGGTGGCGTTCGAGGGGTTTCGGCACTGTTTGTTGCTTTGAGTTGCTGTGGTACTTGCGGAGCCTCTGCGTGCGAAGTAACAGCTGCCAGATCTGACTCTTGGACCCTGGCGGGCTTTGCGCTGTTCTTGTCTCCGTTCTGGTACGGTCCAGAGCCCTCTCGATCGTCCAGCAGCCTCGTTAGATCTTCCACATGTGAAAGGGGCTCGGCATCCAGGGAAGCAACGAGCTTTAGCGATGGAGACGCTGTACTCTCTTGCGTGATACCGTGCACCTCTCGATATTGATCCAACAATACCTGCAAGTCTCTTCCAGACACTTGTCCAACTTCTCGTACCCTCTCAGTGTGTCTGAGGCTGAATTTTCCATTATAATTTATCCTTGGGTTCGCGGAATCCTCGACGTCAAGCTGCGATGCTTTGATTGCGATACGCAGGGACGGCTCCTGCTTTGTCAAAGGTGGACGAGATCCTACGTATACAGCCGAGTGCGTTTTCTGCTCTTCCTTAAGGTGGGAGCATCCGCGGCCACGATATGTCTTGATTGGTCTGGAGACAGTCAGTTGAGTCAAGCGCGGACCAGGGAGGACACGGCGGCCACTGACAAGAGGGTTGATTCACTTTCAGAACATTCGACAATGACGCCTCGCCGATACAGCCACGATCCGTCGCGCTTCTCTCTGAGTTCATACGCCAAAATCTAAAGGTGGTTTGATGAGTGGTTGAGAGACAAGGACGAAGCGAAGCCATACCTTTCCGACAACGTAGTAGTCCAGCCAACCGGATGTCGGAATAAGTTTATAATCTTCATAGAGCCGTGAGATAGGTGCAGTACATTTTAGACCCGCGGCGTGGACCCACTCACCTTCCCGGTTGTATTCCGTAATCTTGCTACCAGTTTTACTCCTTCTGCTGGCGAGTGAAGCTGCATCGGATCTGCGAGCGGTGCGAGTGGTGACCATGGTGATGATGATGATGAAGCAGAGCGCTACCACTAGCGAGTGGGACACTCTGCTGGCAGTGATTGATGGGTGGGTGACAAGCGCTGCGGGTGAATGACAAGGCTGAAAGCGACGATAGTGGAGGAAGACAGAGATGTTTGTGGCCGGGTGCAGGCGGCTGACGCGACGCATCCTATCGCGCTCGCCGTTACTGGACTCATATTCGGCCGTCGCGTCGCGTCAAAATAAGTGGTCGGCTGGATTGCGGAAGATGCATCAACTCAGCCTTCTCGACCAATCTGACCTTAGCGCGGCGCTGCATCTCCTCACTGTGCTGCGTGCCATTCGTACACGTGTCGATCGTGATGTTGCGGATGCGGAGGGTGGTGGAATAATAAACCAACGAACGCATACTTCCCTGCCCTTCAGATGCGAGGTTTTGTGGTCATTTGCGACAGGTCGAAGCATTCTCTAAGTTTGACTGATAAAGTCTGAGGACCATGCGAGGACAGCCCCTCTGACTACGGTTTCGGCGAATGTTCTGCGCAAAGGAGGGAGGAATCGGGAGGCCCGGTTCGTCCCGCAGTGACGTAAGTGTCGTCCGAACGATGCCTGGTGGGAGCCTTGGCGGGCTGACAGGCATGGGCAGGCAGCAATTGTCGACGATGCAGAAGCATTCGTATCGCTACATGTGGTTCATCTTGTTGGCCGAATGCCATTGCACAGCTGCATTATCAGGCAGAAAACCTGTTTTGGGCACTGAACATATTCTTGAAGAGGCGCAGATGCTGACAGCTGCAGCATTGGTGGTGCGGGGCAACTTACAGCCGTAGGCTAGCGGGGCAACTTTGCATATGCATGTCACAGCCACGCCAACTGCAAAGTCAACAAACACCCCGCAGGAACTTCGTGAATCAATGATGAAGAAAGAGAAAAAGGAGCGAACTCTGCTTCAGAAGCACACCCAATGTGTTCTTTATCGAAAGAAAAAACCTTCCTTTGCGCATCCAATGAGCGATGTCGGATTTCACACAAAAGCCCGGCAGGGGTTACCCTGATCTGGCGAAGATCATGGGACCCCACCACGGCATGAGCCTATTCAAACGATTTGCTTCGCTTAACGCCAAAAACACCCTGTACATGCAGGCGGAGCTTCTAGACCTCGAACGTCAGCTTGATGCCTTAGAAAAATACGACAAGGAAGATGAAGGGTTGCCTTACTACAAAGAGGCTCTCAAGCTTGTGAATTGCGAGCGCAATGGAATGGATTCGGAGCAATGGCAACTGATTTTGACAATAAGGGAGAAATTACGAGAGTATAGTATGTCTTTTTTCAAGAATCACCAGATGGTTATGCGCTGAAGTATTTATGCCTGGACAGACGACACCCTCCTCCAACAAGCGCAGATCAGCAATCTGGCCCCCGCGAATAGATACGATCTACAGGTACTGAGGGATTGGCTAATTCATCCCGAACATGGAGCGAGTTTCCTACCGAAGATCGAGGATCGGCCGTGGCGTGCTAGAGAGTCAGCTGATCTCGTGGCGCTCTCGAGCCGAAAGCATGATGCGTTCACTGGATGGATAGCGGAGAGGCTCATTCCCTGGATCTGTGGTCGCTTTTATCTAGGGAAAACGCCAATTTCCGATCCGGAAAATACTGGCCTGGTTGAATGGAAAGACGCGAAATTCAGCACATTCTCCCGCGCGCTCAGCGCCTTGACATCTACCCTCATCCCCTCTGTCGCCGTCGTCAGCCTTTACTTCATTCGCAATCTGCTCGCACGCATTTTTGCAGCGATGGGCTTCTCGGCGATTCTATCTCTGGTACTCGTGCTGTTGACGACCGCGCGGCCAGCGGAGATTTTTGCCGCTACCGTCGCGTAAGAGCTCTAAGGAATGCCAATGCATTTTTTTTAACTGACACTTTCACAGGTTTGCATCGGTTCAAGTCGTCTTCATAGGTAGTACCACAGTGAAATAATACCAAACCGCAGATTGGCCGGCTATGATCAGTTTTTGTAGAACTTCCATAAAATATATAGGTTTCTACTCACCTTCCGGTGACTTGAATTCTATGCATTTCAACCATATTTCTGCATCCTTGCGTAAATTTCTGTTTTGCGAGTATGTCAATAGGAAAACAGCCATCAGTAGAAAGTAATATCTATAAGCGTTGGTTGTAACACATGAAAGGATTGAAACACGCAACAACCTCCGCCACTTTAATGGTAAAAATACGAAATATATACTATACACGCCAATGATCTACCAATTCGAAGTTGATTTCAATATTTCTCAGCCCTCATGTTTGCGGTACAATGTGCAACGAACCATTACAACCTCTCCCGGCGGTTTTACAAAACTTCCCTTTCCCAATTAGTCCTGCCAGAAATGCTCCTCTTGCATGTGAAAAATACACGAAATCTAATATCTGCACACAGGGTACAATTTGTCGTGCAAGCTGGTGGTATATTTCAAGCGCATCACCAACCCCTCCTGTTTCTGAGAAGCACCTAAAGGTCTTCGGTGGTGAGGAGATGGTTCCAGGTAGACACCTTCAGGTCCTTGATCGCTGCATGGAGCAGCTCCCGTACTGTCCGATCATTGGGCAGAGCAGAAAGCTGGTTCAGGTACCGGGAGGTGACTTTATCCACAGCAATATTCACATCGGTGAACGGAGGCAGTGGGTGCCAGTAACTGAACAAGCCGCGGAGGCTCAGCCTGGTGTCAGCCGTCGCATGCTTGGCCAGAAAGCGCAGAAACCCCTTCCAAACATCTAACCTTTCCACCCCGTCGTCTGTCGGCCCGACAAAATGGACCACGATGTTCCTAAGGGTCAAGGAAAACGGCCCCTCGGCCCGGTGCCTGGCGATGAAGCCGGCCAGGTCATCCATATTGAAGACGACACAGCGCCTAAGGCGGAGACTTTCGAGGCGAAAGGGGAAAGTCTCGCGGAGGATGGGGCCGAGCTGCCACGCGGAGGGTTCGCTCTCGGTGCTGCTCAATTTCAGGGTCTTCAGAGCCGGCAAGCCTTTGAGCATGGCGATGAGGTGCGTGGGACCGGGATACGCCGGATCGTTGTCCAGCGATGTGATAAGCGCCTCGACAACGGTGGCAAGCCTGAGCGATAAGCTTGTCAGATTTCGTAATTGATGGATCCACGGCTGCGGGAACTCCAGCTCGCGCTGCGTGGAGGTGTGGAAGCGTGTTGGATAGAGCATTTGGACCTCCAATAGAGTGATCTGCTTAAGCTCGACATTCGCGTCCTTGATTGCGCCGAGCAGAACGCGTATCGGCCAGAAGGCGAATGCTGGAGTCGCGATAGAATGCATATCCCATTTATCCCAGTCCTCCTGAAGGCTCGCCTCGGCGTTGGCCATGGTCAAGTCCGCGTCTTGCGAGTATGTGATGCTCTGGATGCTTTTGATAAAGTTGAAGACGTATATTAACAGCAGGTGAAGGTAGTAATGCTCTATTCGCTCCTTGAGCAGAGATGTCATATGGGGCAGTGTTTCGGCGGTGGAAGGTCTCGTACTGTAATTCGCGTAAATGGCATCCCGTGGTGCACTTTTGTAGACAAATGTCACTCCTGGAATCAACATGCCCATGCGAGTGCCGCGCGCGATTGCTGCGATGCATTTCAGGCCTTTCAAACCGTGAAGATCGGACCGACCGACATATATCTTGAAGCGCCCATCATGGGGCTTGTGCCTGCAAAGCACCTCTGCGCCAATAGGATCAAGCCTTGTGCAGACTTGCCTCATGGACTTTGTATCCACGAAAGTACCAGTTATCGCATGGTTGAGCTTTAGGATCATCAGCAAAAGCTCGTCGGGAAGCTTAAGTAAGGCAGATTCCAGATTGTTATGCTTGGACTGGGCTGCAGGCAGAGCCGAGGCCTTGGGATGGGAGGGAAGGACCGTGAGACCCCTCGTCGCGGGAACGAGAGGTTGGATACGGGGGTGGGTAGGCATTGTGATATTATGTCTCGTGCGTGTTGTAGAAGCGGAAAGAAAGGTGTAGAGATGAAGGCACGTCCAAGAGCAGCGGATATGTGAAAAGAAAACGAAATGCGGAGTTGACTGTACATATATAATAATAATCACTCAGGCGGAACTGAAATCGCTCAATTGGGCAAGCTGCTATTCACTTTGGACATTTGCCCAGCTATTCCAGACAGACTTGATCGCACTTTTACCTGAAACTACCGCGCTTGGTGAAATACAGCGGAGAATCAGATGCGCCACCTAGCCGATTGATGCGATGAAGGTGGCAGAGTAGGAATTTATCCTTCATGAAGAGCACGCCTTCCGCATGATACCTTCTTCTCCATTCAGCATTAGAGGTTTGCGGAAGGGGAAGGTGCATCCACACAGGAAATTGCGGAGTAAGAAATTCAACTTACGTAGGGAGTTGAAGCTATCGTCCGGACGTTTTTGTATAATTCAAATCATATGAAAACCGAAACTGAACCATAGTACCAGTGTCGTGATGCTTGATGGCCGTACCGCCCGTGTCACCTTTCCAGAAACAGTGTCAGGCTCATTGTGCGCATCCAACGTAACTCTTCAGTGCCCGCTCAGTAACGCCGGCAACATCCTCATTTCCTTGTTTCGCTTCAGCAACTGCTGCCGCGGCCACATATTCAGACACACCACTGGCGACGACAAACTGCTGGCTATCATGGTAATCGGTAGCGGATTTCTCAACCACGGTTCGCGCTCAGTTTACCAACGGGTCACATAATCAAAAGTCTCTATATACTACTCTCTTGATGAGATCATTGTGCCGCATTCGGCACTTACCGAATTGGCTCTTGTCTGACCTGGTTAGCGATTAGGGAAGAAACAAAATTAAAAAGAAAATGGGGAAAATCCAGCGAACAGGTCAAGCAAAGAATCGGGGAACTGCAACACCATTGTCCGAAACAGAGACAACAAGAAATAAGGAATGCCCTTGACCGCTATCAATCTTCTGAAGTGAATTTCAATGTGACTTGTGCTAATTTCGGTGACAGACAAAAGCATGCAGCTACGACAGACACACCATTGTAACACTTTTCCTGATGAACCTTTTCTGCAGCCACGAGAAAGAGTGCCTTGCTCAATGTGGATGCCTTAGTAACGTTGCCATCATACGAGTAGAGGCAACAGTGTGAAGTGGCGAAGCTCGTCCCCTCTCCAATGTTCCCATGGCAAATGTATTCTGACGTTTCGTCAACAGCTCATCTTGCTTCTTTCTCACCAGTGCCACAGCGGTGCTGTTTCTGGCCCTCCGTGAATGGTCCAAAACGGTCAATCCGTCCTCGTCTTCGATTGCAATATCCGTCACTGGACAATCGAGCAAGCGTTGCAGTATGGTTTCATAGCCGGCCGATGCGGCTTTCATCAACGGTGTCTCGCCCTTGAGACATTGCGTATTGGGATCTGATCGTCCGTGATCGAGGAGAGTCTCGATAATCTCTGGCATGTTCTCAATCACCGCGTACGAAAGTAGGGTGAGCCCTTTGTCGTCTTGTACGTTGAAATCGTACTCGGTATGGAGGACCTCTTGAATGATGTACCAGAGTCGTTCTCGCCTGGCAGATAGCGGAATTTCCTCTGATGGAAAGGTTTCCAGCATAATCAATGTCCGGCCGTGAGAATCTGTCCAATCCAGTAGCATGCTCATAATCTTCACGTGATTACCGCTGATGGCTCTCTCCAGCGCCGTCACACCTGAGACATCCGTCAACCTCGGATCAGCACCAAGATGTAGTAGAGTTCCAGCTAGTTCAGCAAGACCCTCTTCAGCAGCAAAATTCAGCAACGGCTCTTGACTATACAGAAACATGTTCGGATCAGCTCCTGAGTTCAAGAGGAGTTGAATGAGGTCAGGATGGTCGTTTAGAGCAGCCAGCTGTATATACCAACTCCAGGGCAGGCTCCGAATCGCCTCGACCTTGGCTCTAGTGTCGGCCTCTGGAGTATTGACCACATCCAGGAATACTTGAACCACAAAAGCATGGCCATCACTTACAGCCTTTTCCAGGGCGGTTCTGCCGTGATAGCTGGTGACCGCCCAAGATTCATATGGCCGAACTGGGCTATAGCGGGCATTTGTGGGAAGTATGAGTGAATCCGTTATTCCCCCGAAATTCGAGCAGACCAGACATGAGTAGCCGTCTTCATTATCGAGTATCAATCCAGTAGGATGTGCCCCTGCATCAAGCAAGAGTCGCACCACAGATGAATGCCCGTTGGCCGCAGCGCTATGAAGTGGACTCATACCGAGGATAATGCCATTTGGATTTATCCCACCGTTGAGTAATACTTTCACTATTTCCTGAAGACCTCTTTCTGCAGCGTAATGGAGGACCATTCCGTCGGCAATATGAGCATCGCCCGGGCCATCTTGAAGCGCACCAGAGTCGAGCAAAAGTTGCACTAACGGGGTATTCTCCTTCTGAATGGCGTAGAATAATGTAGAGTTGCCACTGATGATATCCATCAAGTTGGGGACCTTTCTTGCAGGATACAACTTTATAGCAGACTCAACAAGCAACGGAAGCATATCTTTGGACCATGTATCTTTCTTTCTTACGGCTTTGTGGATGACTGTAACAGGTTCATATGAGCTCAAACAGATGACGGATGGGTTCGCACCAGCAGAGAGGAGCTGTCTGACCATTTTCTCATCCTCTCTTTCCCAAGCTTGATTTAGGGCTGAAACCTTGATGCCGTAATCGAATTCGTTCAACTGATCCAAGTCTGCGCCTTTGCTAATGATAGCTCGGACCCAGTCTTCCCGACTGTGGGTGACAGCTACAAAGAGGGGACATATTATGAACTTCTCATTACGAACGTGGTGGCCACTTAGCATGTTCAGGGCAGATGTGACAATCTTCTCGTTGCCGCCGGCAAGAGCAAACAAGAGAGTCGTGTGTCCTGAGAGATCCATCCGGCTGTAAATCTCGGGCTCTACCTGCTCTATCTTGACCAGCGCGCTGTGAATACCGGCCAAGGCCAGGAGATGAACAGGATCCCAAAGGTATACATGTTCACTCCAGAGGGTCACAGCTAGCCTCTCAGCCAAAGTAGTGACCTCTTTGCGTTGTATTTGGGACAAGAGCTCCAAATTCCAGCTCTTTGTAAAGATGATTGGTAGAATACCGCGACTTTTGAGCCCAGGCAAATACTCCAGCAGATCTCGTTGGTCGATCTCGTATCGCTCTGCCTCAATGACGTGATTCAACCACTGCCTTTGTGCATATGCAGCAAGAGGAACGTTGACAGTCCAGTAGTGTAATGGGTCTAGGCGACTTTCTCTGTGTTCTTCTGCGAAAGTTTCATTCTCATCTAAGGACCCTAACGATGGTGCGTTCTGAGGGATAGCATGGAGCAGTTTGATGCAACAGCGCGATATATGAAAGTGAGCAAGACCTTCAGGATTTCCAGTGAGACGTCGGGCAAGATCTTCCAGTCCGCTTTGTAGTAGGTAATCATTGACCGACTGGTGGATTGTTTCTACTGAGCCAAGATGTTCTGTCCTCAAAGAATTTCCGTCTCCGGTAACGCGAGCAAGCCCTCTAGAAAGACTCCGGATAACAGTTGGCATGTCTTCCAATTGATAATAATAACAACTTTGAGTAATCTCTTCCAGTGTTTTGTGGGGCATATTGGCATCGATTGCCAAAGCTTGCCGAAGATCCTCCAAGCGCAGGCGCTCAGAGGAAAACAGGATCCATTGAAATAGCTTTAGCGTCTGTTCTCGATCGGTCTCATTGTCAAAAACAAGTAAAGCATCGTAAATGCCTTTCAGCGTTCCTGGCACCTCCTTAATTCGAGCGATCACTGCAGTGGTTGGCTGACCCCGTCTTCGCAGATGCATAACTTCGTCCAAGACGAGAGATACCCACTGAAAGATCCCATTGGCTCTTTGGGTAATTATTTTGGTAATGGCTTCTCTGTCCGATGGTCTGAGTTTCAAAAGTGCTGAGTGGGTCTTCATGAGGAAATTGATATCCCTTGAGTTTTCATTCTCCACGGCAATTGACAGACTCCCTTCTTCAACTAGGTTTGGATAGTACCGGCACGATAAACAAAGCTTGATCCTTGAGCTTTGTGGGAGATCATTCCTGTGAAGCCGCTCGAGGTTCGAGATGAGTTTGACAGCACGCTCCTCACCCATTTCGTCAAGTGCATCGATGAATACTGTTATGTCGCGTCGATGGCTCTCAGATAGAATTGCGGAGATGAGAACCCCTCGCAACTCATCCTCTTCCCACTTCCATCTCTGATTTTCGAAACTTCCTCGGGTGTTTGTACGGCTCTCGTAGATTTTGGCCAGGCTGGATAATCGCCCTGGACAGTGAGGTAGCATTTGATGCAGTAATGACTGGTAAACGCCAAGGTGTGATCTCTGCATCTCACTTCCCCGGCCATGGATGAAAAACGCAGCAACAATATCTCTATCGCGTTGCTTTTCTCTCTCCGCGTTCACCAAAAATTTCATCAAAGTGGACTTTCCAGCGCCAGGAGGTCCCATTATCCATAGGAGGCCAGAGTTCGTAATAGACCAAGAAGAGTAGTTTTCGTTTTTGCTGATCCAGGTGCAAGTTCCCTCTGCTGCATTGATATTCGGATCGTACTCGCGCGACTGTAATTCGGGGAATGACAGTGTTTGCAGGCATTCTAGGAAATATTTAATGCAATTTTTCCACGTCGCTCTTAGGTAAGACTAACCCTTTTCCTTGATTGACAAGGTGTGAGCCGGCCAGACTCTGCTCTCTCGTACGATACATCCCTCGATTTCCTTCAAGCATTCCAACGTGATCTCGTAGTCGTTGTCATTTGTACCTCTAAACTTGATCATCTCGCTGTGTGTTCGATTCAAAGCGATCACTCGATGCCCAGGCTCATCTGTAAGCTTTCCTTGAGTTGCTGAATATGAAGTGACCAGAACAGTCGGCGGTCCTTTCATCTCCCATCTCCCATTATGCTATCATAGATGCTTAGTCAGCTAATCTAGAAAAGCATCGTGGAAAAGAAAACCTACGTCTCTTGAAGCTGTCGGTGACTCTCGAGTCTCGTAGAAATTGAAGGCCTGGAAGTCATGTAGCTTGTGGATCGCTTTCGGGAAGCTTATCCCAAGCTCACGCAATGTGGGAGAGTTGCTTTTGTCCAGGGAAGACAGGAGGGCTCGCATCTCGCTGGCAGGCACCATAGGGATGAGAGACTCGATGTCCATGCCCTGGCTGGGAACTCCGAACAGGAGGATTCCACGTAATGATTCATAGGCAGCATGATCTCCATCGATAGCACTGTGCTCCATCTTCACCACTGCCTGATTTCTTGTTATTGACTGAAAGTGCCAATGGGGAAAGCATACAGTATTCTTACTGCCTTTGCGATGATGCCACCCAAGCTATGGGCGACAATTATGAGCGGCCTTCTCGTCGAATTTGACCGGTCTCGGACCATTCGGAGCCTTTGCCGAAAAGTAGACTCAAGATCCCATATGTTTTGGAAGGATACCTGATCTGGGCTCGTATTATAGCCGTAGGTGAGTATTCGAGCGTTGTAAATGTCGTAAGGTAGTGCATCCCGAAGCCACATATGTGATGCACCCTTCTCTTTGAAAGAGCCGAACGCATGACCATTCAGACCGCTGAGAGCTACAATGTCCATGTAGCATTCATCATCCTTGGCGGTGTGCAAAGGGGTAAACCCTTCAAAGTGTGAGTCCAGAGTGATCCGTTTGCGAGGGCCTCTGTTGCTCAAAGAATCAGATGGAGTATTGACGTGCTGTTGACCATGCTTGAACAACGTTGCCGGAAGTCGCGAAAGGCTCAAGGTTGCACTCTGGCGACTTGGAAGTAGAGGGCTGTTGACCAAAAAATTAGGTGGAATATCGACATGCTGCTGACCATGCTCGGACAATGTTGCCGGAAGTCGCGAAAGGCTCAAGGTTGCGATCTGTTGATCTGGACGTAGAGGACTCCGAGCAAGCGAAAAGATTTGAACCTCGACGTCTTGGTCCAAAGGCAGCCCACTCACGAGCAAAGCCTTTATGTTGGATTCCGTATAATCGCCTGGTATGCCACTAACCCTGATGCATGTGTCGCCATCGTTAACCATTTTCCCTCAATGAAGGACGAGCCAGGATGGATTGGAGAATGGGTTCTTGAGGTTATACGTCAGCCTGCAGCGCGGCAGGCTGGGGTTTCATGCAACGGGTCGCATGAAAGATAGGGACTCTTAACCGGTGTCAGCTGCTAGGTGACGAGGAGATGGCGTCGATGCTAATACTTACTTGGAGGAAAGCTGTGCAAGGTGTGATGGACTTCCTGAGGTCAGTTGAGGAGCCGGAGCGAGCGTGCGCGTTTCTAGATGAGCGAGGTGCGGTGCAGACTTACTCCGCGAGGCTGATAAGCTGCCAAGGGAAGTCAGCAACGAATGGGCGGACAGGGCATCCACGCATAGCGCTTACCCCGTTCCGGTATTACTCGCCGGGTGTGGGGGCCAAACGAAGACATGAGGTCAATTTCATTAGTATTGCAGCCAATGACGGGCAGTTTAATGATCCATATATGGACGGAGTTGTTTCGTCTAGACTGGCAATTTTGTTGTTCGCCTAAGTACTGTACAAAATTTATTTTGTCTTTGTCCTGGACCAGTCTGACTGGATGATCGATAATCCTTGTCATTGATTGGTGGCCGCAAGGCTCAACCAAGCTTGGCTGCATCCTAAATACACCCCCTTCGCGCAGCCGGTGGCTAGCGTGAATTTGTTTTTCTTAATCTATCAGATGCCTGTAAAGAGGGGTGCTGCAGCCGATGGCTAGGGCGAAGAATAGCAGGGCTTTAGAACGTAGCATAACTATACCCAAACTTTTCCTCAGAAAAATTAACATATGTGAGTAGCTGAGGCTATCGTCCGGACGAGAATGTCGAATTAAAAATTCTACAAACACGTCCGGACGATAACCTCAGCTACCCATGACATGAACAAAAAAAAACAAATCCACGCTAGCCATCGGCTGCGAGAGGGGACTGTAAACTCCCGAAAACAGCAGATGCTGAGGGCTTGACCTATCACATCATCTGAATTGGCCCAGTCATTTCCTGTTTTAAGCCTCTGCTATTCTTCGCGCTAGCCACCAGCTGCGCAAAGGGAGTGTACGGCGCTCTCCCAATAATCCTGTATCCGTCCGTATATTCCATCTAGTGCGATGGTCCACGCTACAGCAAAACGCACGACCAACAACCCCCATCAAACCTCCTCCTTCATCACCACCCCCTCCGCGACCCCCGACCCCCCACTCCCCCTCTTCCCCTCCAGCACCCCAACCCAACTCCCATTCCCACTCCTCCCCCCCCACCCCCCCTCCTCCGCCATCCCCACCCTACTCAAATGCCTCACCAACCCCTCATCGCCCCCCTCATGCACCGCCCTCCCGGTCCCCAACTTCGCGAGGCTATCCCTAAGCACCAGCTCATAATAACACGTCGCGAAGAACGTGGCGGGCACATTCACCAATATTGCGATCCAGCAGTAACTGCGGTACGAAAACGCCTCGCTCCCGAAGAAGATGGCGGCGACGATGCGCGTGCCGAGGTCGCGGGCGAGGTTGGTGCTGATCGAAATCGAGGCGAAGCCCCAGACCATGGCGCCGTAGGCGAGGCCGATGACGAAGGGCGCGGAGGCCGGGGCGATGAAGGGGTTGGCGGGGTCGAGGGCGGACCAGATGACGATGCCCTGTTGGACTTCTGTCAGTTACTAAGCCGTGGGGTGCGGAGCGGGCGGCGGGGTGGGGCGGAAGGGGTTGGAGGGCGGCAGGAGGGCTTACGATGTAGCTGTCGACGAAGAACTCGATCAAGAACAGATATCCCAGATTATGCTGCGTCTCGCCGGGGAAAGTGCAGAGGACGCTAGCGGGTCCGCCGTTGTAGACGGCGGATCCGGTTTTGGCGAGAGACTCGGTGTTGAAGGCGGCGAGCTGCTCGTGGTACTGGCCCATCAGGACCAGGCCGGCCATGAAGGCGCCGAAGATCTGGGCGAAGATGTAGGTCGGCACTTTTTTCCAGGGGAAGTCTTGCCAGATGGCGAAGCAGATGGTGATGGCCTGGGAAGAAGAGATCGGGTCAGCGAACGGGCTTCTTTGCGCGGGACAGCCTGGGTCAAGGGACGGAAGTACCGGATTGAAGTGGCCACCGGACGTCGAGGCGCAGGTGATGATGGCGAAGGCGATGCCGAAGGCGTACGCGAAGCCGATTTGGAGAATTGAACCGAAGGCGGGCTCGGCGCCGTTCAGGAAGAAGGACGCTGTCGACGCGATTCCGGGGTAGACTGTAGCATGATGAGGAGGTTTTCTTCTTTCGAGAGAGCACGGCTGATCATGTACCGTAGAAGAAGACTCCAGTTGCTTCGGCAGCCATTTCTCTCAGCCACCGCGGCCTGGCGCGCTCGAACTCGAGCTTTTTCTCAGAGACGGCGCGCCGCTCGACGATGCGGCGGGCGTAGTGCTTCTGGACGGCATCTGTTGCGCCTACCTCCAGCGTCTGGAGTCGGTGCAGGCCGGCGTCACTCATGTCGGAAGAGCTGACCCGAGCGGCGGATCACAACCCCGAGTAGCAAGGATCTGGAGATGGGAAGAACTGGAGACAGCTGGGAACAGCTGATAAGCAGAACAAAACTGCGGAGAAACTTGTGGGGAAGAGGAGGACAGAATCTGGGGAAGACCCGCATTTTGTATCCCAGAGACGGTCCTCATTCAGCACCCCGTTGATAGGGAGGAGACGGAGCAAAGCAGAGTCGCGAACGTGGTGGTCCTGCACGGCAATCCCGCAAAGCGCCCAATGCCGGGACCATCGTTTGCGGGGAGGGCAAGCCACAGCGGGCCCTTAATACTAATCCAGAGGTAATGGGGTCGGCGATAGTCGACAGCGGCGGCGATATCAACAAAAATGCCTGGGGACGGCCTGGGGATCTGCAAAGGGTTCGGGCGAGGGGGACGGGCGAGGTGTGAACCGCCGCGTGTGTTGTCGTCACGGTGGCGCAGACGGCGCGGTGCATCATCCGAAAGCTCCGAACTCTCCCGGGGCTGCTTATGCGTCTGGGGCAGGAAGCTTGATGACGGCTTTGTCAGCGTTGATTGGCGGCCGCTTGCGCCCTGATTGACGGCCGGAGTGCTTGGTGTGCGCCATCGAAAAGCCACGCACTACCCCGCCTTGATGCCCCAGGTTTTTGGTGCCTCGGTTTGGTGGTGCGCTGGGTCTAACGGGATGAGGAATGTGGATGACGGGTGCGCGGTGCAGTGTGGAGGCGCGGAGGTGAGACAGCCTGGCCTGTGTGGACGATCGGCAGTTCGACGCGGGGAAGGAAATCGTATATTTTAGCCTATTCTAACCTCACCTCATCTGCTCCAACAACGATCACTCGGCTGATGCTTTGCTTCCTTCTTCTAAAATTATTTCTCCACTGAATAATGCTAAACAAGTAGGACAGAGTCTATGTAACACAATGATTTATCCCTTTCTTTTGGACAGCGGGGATGTTTGCGCAAGTTTGGAGCTGCAAACGACTTCACCGCCCGCCGGTCGCTATTGTCTGATAAGCGTATCAGTCATGCTATTGCAAATCACACGCGGTACCAACTGGACTACTGTTCTCCAACGTTTTGAAGCTACAGAACTATGTACAGGTATGGAAATTCAACCCCCAAATAATTTTCTTTGGTTGAGAAAGCCCCGTCTACACTTCGAAAGTTTCTCCAGCCGCTAACTAACACAGTAGACGCAATGTCTTTCGCCAAAACAAGTCATGAGCCCGTTCTCACAGATGTTATTCAAGTAGATTTCCATGACAACGCGCGCCAAAAAGGCCAGAAAGTGAGATGTAGTAGTGGAATAACTCACAACTCCCCTTTGAAACTGCCACCAAAGTCTTCGGCAGCGACACGGTCGGCCATGTTCTCCATATCAACCTTCTCCTAATCATGATCACAATTTAGTAACTTGGCAACGAGCTCATCGGAGGCAGACTCAGGTAACTTGGAAATGCGCTCGGCGAGGGTCTCCCCCATGCCATCGTTGCCACTGCCACTCTCACCGTCGCTGTCGCCGTCACTGTCGCCGCCGCCGTCACCTTCACTGTCGATGTCGATGTCGCTTTGGCTTCTGTAGCTGTAGTCGCTGTCACTGCTGGCGTCGGAGTCAGCCATGTTCGTAGGCGAATCCGCCGGTCCAGCGTCGCTTTCGGTTAAGCCGAGCATCGTGGGAATCGACTTGCTCAATTCCAAGGCCTTTTTGTATGAGGACACCAGATGGCCGGGGAGGCCGTTGGGCATGACGTAGCCGCCCGCGAAGCAGCCCGCAAGCACTTCATGGGCCAAGCTCAGGGAGGCGAGGAGCTGGCCTTCCCTTGCTCTGACGAGGCCGCTGCAGTCAAGGAGCTCCTGATAGCTTCTCAAACTCAGTTTTTCGAGCTTGGTGCCCATTTCTATGAGCGTGTCGTTCAGAGCCTTGAGCACGCGATTCTCCTCCTTAAGCTTGTCGTTCTCAGTCTCGTACAGTTCGTTCTCAGTGTTGAGCTCTTCGTTCTCAGTCTCGAGCCTTTTGTTCTCAGTCTTGAGCTTTTCGTTCTTAGCCTTGAGCTTGGCGTCCTCTTTCTCGTGTGCAGCGATCCTGGTCCTGAGAGCGGAGATCTCTGCGGTCAAGAAAGCGAGCTTTGCGGCCTGTTGCTGGGAACTGTTGGGGGCGCCAGTGGGGGCAGGATTGCGGGTCGTGTTAATCAGGCTGCCAGGATGTGGCTGCGGAACATAAGCCTGTGTGGGCGCGGACATTGGCATCGAAACGGCGGGAGTGCGAGTGCGACTCTCAGGGTTGGAGGGTCGGACAGTCGACGAAGATGAGGTCTCGTCGCGCTCGCCTGCGTTGGAGCTAGGCAGCCGTAGACGGTCATTCGAGGATGACGTTGGCCTGCGGTCAGCCATCGTATTTGCGGTTCGTCCCTGGTCTGAGATGGCGGTCGATGCTGATTTCTGTTGGGTGCCGAATCTGGGTCGTGCGAAAAGCAGACAAGAAGTGCGTCTCAAGTGCTGCGACTAAAGTGTTCTGCGGCGTGGTGAGGGCAGCGGTGCTGGGTCTCTGGGTTATATGCGCTGCGGTGACAAAGACTAGACTCTATGACCATTAGGCTTAGTATTTGCCGGCTTCTTCTAGAATCACCGTTTCACGCACAAAGTCAAACACAAAGGACAATGTCTAGGCTAAGTTTGTTGTTCTGCATATCAGCCTAGTGCTGTCTGTGCATTCAATCTAGTCGGACTGGCTCGTGCGATTGCTTCAGTCAATCCCACGCGGGATTGATTATGTAATTCTTCGATTGGTACTAGTTAATTAGTCTAAACGGATGGATGATAGTGTATCTGGATGCGATCATCGTCGTCATCAATTCTATCACCACAATCACAGGTTTCGTAGCCGTCCTCGTCATCGTCGCTGTCGCTAGGCCAATCGCTGCCACTGCCGCTGTCTGAGAGGTCCGTGTCCTCGGACAATATCGCTGCGCCGCTGCGCTTGGGAGGGCGGGGGAGGCCATTTGTCTTAAAAAGCAAGTCGCACAACTTCATTGCAGATTCATACACGCCGAGCAAATGGCCGGGGCGATATTTCTTCGATCTGGCGTAGCTGCTGAGATCCTGTTCGACTTTGTCGACGATTTTCTGCACTTGGTTGAGAGTGGCTCTCGTGCGGTTGTCTTGCTTGAAGGAAGCCTCATCTTGCAGTTTCTTGATGTGTTTCTTCGCTGAGGAGACTCGGGTCCTGAGCTTGTGTTCTTTAGCTTCAACGCGGCTATATTCGGCCTCGAATTTAGCATATTGGTCGCGAAGCTTGGTTTCCTTGAGCTTATCCCTCTGAAGCTTGTCACACTGAGCCTGAAGCTTGGTATTCTGTGTCTTGAGCTTATCGTTTTGGGCCTCAAGGTAGGCATTCCTGTGCCTGGGGCTTTTGTCTAACGCCTCGAGATGAATATACTCGCTTTTGAACTTGTCGTTTCTGGCTTCGAGTTCGGCGATGTCGGCCTCGAGTTCGGTGTTCTCGGCCTGGAGTTCGGCATTTTCGGCCTTGATAGCAGCATTCTCCGCCTCCAGGGTAGACACTTTGCTCTTCATGAGGGATATCTCAGCGTTTAAGACAGACAACACTGCAGCCTTATGGTCGGTGACCTTTGTGCGCTTGGTAGGACCGTTATACGCCTGGTTAATGATGGCCTGCGGCTGCTGAGGAGCAGCACCCGCAGCGCCAGATGACTGAGAAGGCTCGAGTATCTGCGACGGAGCCACAGATGTGGAGGTGTGGTTCTCGAAGACGGAAGATGAGGCGGTCAAAGATGGCTGCATGCTTTCGCTACGGTCGGTGGTGATGGTGTCGGGCTGCTGAAGGTAACTCGCGGAATCGTCGTTCTTGCGCTTAGCCATCGCGCGTGTGGTTCGTACTTCGTTGGCCATGATCGTGCACGCTGGCTTTTGACCGGAAAGTTGAGTGAAATCCGAGTGGGGAGGACACATTTAAATTTTCCGCGGGGAATGCAACTGATTCCCCGGGTTGTGTAACTGTGTTCGTTCCGGTAGCGAGGGCTCCACTCCAACAACCACGGTCGGGTTTTGTGTTTGCTGGCTTCTTCTAGAATCACCCTTTCACGTCACGCAGACAGTCAAACACGAAGGGCGGTGTGTAAGATAAGTTTGTTTGCTCGGTTCTAAAACTTTGTAGAAGTCTTTAGTCTGCATAAGTCTAAAAAGTCCACCTAACTTCATCGACCATCGCTGCTGTCTCATGGCATAATTCCAGACTGGAGTTTTTGCCATTGAGAATTGCAACCGACAGCCATTAGGTGTAATTTTCCGACTTTTCGAAACCAAGGCACCATGCCTCCGCCAGTAGCTGAATGCTGCACCCGGAATATTTTCGCTGATTCAGAAAGCCAGACAACATCCAGAAATTTGAATACTCACTGCTCAGATAAGGAAAGCCCACGTATTCGGTCCTGCAGACGCTGTCCCGAAGTATCGCCATCATAACCCGAACCAACAAGCCCAGAAGGTGAGTTGTGACGGTGAAATGACTCAAACTTCCTCGTCGTCATCGTCGGCGTTATCGGAGTGGAAAGAGTAGAGAGATATGTGTTCAAGAGTCTCCGAGTCCTCAGTGCGTAGGATGTCATCACCGGCCGACTGAGAGGCGCTCTCCGGATCATGATCACGCTTGAGCCTCTTAGCAACAGGCTCGTCAAGGAGAGGTCCGTTCCTGACGCAGCCGTTGCCGTTATCGGTGCTCTTGCCAGAGAGGGTCGGACTCGTACCCGAACCGGGTCCGGCATCGTGCTTGGGCAGCCTCTTGGGGCCGAGCTCCTTGGTGATCGACTTGCTTAACTCCATGGCATTCTCGTAGGTGGCGGTCAGGTGGTCTGGAAGGCCATCGGGCAATTTGTAGCCGCTCGTGAGAAATCCCATGATGACTTCCTGGGCGAAGTCTCGGGAGTTGTTGAGCGTGGCTCTCTTTTCGCTGATCTCGTCCTTCAGGGAACGAATGAGGATGTCGTGGCAAGAGAGTTGGGACTCGAGGCTGTCATTCTTGTCCTTGAGCTTTCGGTTGTCTCCCTTGAGCTCCTCATTATCCTCGTTGGGCTTGATGTTCTGGTCTTTAAGGAGCTTATTCTCTCCCCGGAGCTTGACATTATCATCGCGAAGCTTGCCGTTATCATCATTAAGCTTGCGGTTCTTGTCCATAAGCTTAAAGTTCTCACCATTAAGCTTGCGAATGTTTTCCTTAAGCCTGTCACCCTCGGAATTGATCTTGTAAATTTCAGACTTTAGCCTGTCATTAGCTCCCTTGAACTGGGAAGTCGTGACTTCAAACTTTTGATTCTCAACCTTGAGCTTGGCATTCAAGGACTCCAGGGTAGCGATCTTGGCCTTCAGCTTGGCATTAATGGGCTCTAGGGTAGCGATCTCGGCCTTGAGAGAGGAAATCGGTGCTTCAGAGGAAGGGGTTGTACTCCTCATCAGCCTGGCGCGGTCTTCGTGGAGATGATCGTGGCAGATCTGCTTGCGGCCCATGCTGTCGGTAGCATTAGCAGCAGGTGTCGATAGCTCAGCGGCGGGAATGGTCCTGTGGCTCCTAGCAGCCGAGATAATCCTGTTTATCGCGTAATCCGGGCTCTCACGACCGATGTCGACGCGCGGCTTGGGTTTAGACATCGTGTTTGCCGTTTGCGCTTGGTCGGCTGTCCCTTGAGGATGATCGTGGCAATGGCGTTGACTCTCTGAGTCGTGCTCACTTCGGTGACGAGGTGCGGCGGTGGAGGGAATAGAGAACGAAGACACAAATCGGAAGCCTTGGAGAGTGTGTGCGGCGGCGGCGGCCCGGGTGCTTCGTTGACGAAATGGGTGGCGCACGTGCACGTCATCTTTCTCAATCGGGCAGTCACTCCTCCGGTCGCAAACCGCGCGGGAGAAATTGCAACCGCAGCCGCAGATGCAGCGGACTGGGCATGATGGCGAGCTTCTGTACACATGTGCGCATAATATCAGGCCTAACCGTGCCTCTCACAGGAACAAGCCTCGTGGATGATATTCGCCCGAAAAGGCGGGACGTCTGATCACACGAAATGGGCAGTACATCAAGGTGTTTTCATCCCAGGCAGTGACCAAAGCCGCTTGCTCACGCGCGCAAACATAAACCCGTGCGTCATCAGCGCAGCTTTCACTAGCTGCATATTAAGGGCATCCCCCGCGACCTCGTCTGCTCCTCTTCTACAACCTCCATACAAGATCGCGTCAGAACTCGTCCGATAACCGGGTACCAAAACCCTCGCCAACTTCACTCCAAGCCCTCGCCGACTGACTCACTTCAGACAAGCATACGCTCAGGCCGATCCACTCTCACCGCCCGCCAACCCGACCACCCTCACAAACAGCCACTCCTACATCAGCAAGCATGGCTTCCTCTTCCATCGACATCGGCGACTACAAACCTTGCGTCATGACGCCCGACGAATTCCGCGCCGCTCTGGCCATCGTCATCCCCGCCCACCTCCACAAGCAAGTCTGCGACCGCCACAAGGACGGCGACGCCGAGCACAAGAAGATCTTCGAGGAATCTCTCGTCAACGTCAGCGACATGTTCAAGCCCGCCCACACCGAGAACGCGGAGATGAAGAAGAAGCTCGACGACAACCCGAAGGCGAAGCGGCATTTCCAGCACGTGAGGCCGTACATCGTCACGCAGGCGCACGCTATCCAGGGTCTCCGAATGGCCTCTACCCCCGCCGACAACACCGACAAGATGGACCTCAACGAGATCTTCGCTGCTGTTGGGGCTAGCTCGGGCGAGCAGCGCGACAGGCTGGCCACCTCCGCGCTCCAACGCATGGACTCCCTGTCGCAGGGCCTCTTCGGCGTTTCGTTCCAGACCATCAATGAGGCGACGCACAACCTGGAAACTGAGAACTGGGCAATCAAGCGCCTGCTTCAGACGTACGCGAAAGAGAAGTAGGTCGAGGCAGGACATCGGCGGAAGAATGTCCAATGCGGACTATGGAGGAGCAGCTACTGACGAGAGGTCTTCTTCCTTGGCGTGTTGCTTAGCTACTACACATCCGTGCTTCAGAACTGGTTGGAGGCTTTAATTTGGGTCATATGGAGCCATGCGATGCAGTTTAGTCAGATGAACATAGGAAGGCATGGCGGGGGCTTTCTCAGATACTCAACATGGCTTTGATAGCACGGTACTACGAGATTGAACACCTGATTGGAATCAACATTTATTGATGGTCATGAATGAGCCTATCTATGAAGCCCAAAATACCCCACCGTCTATTGCATTGCCAAATCTATGAGGCGCTCCAATTAGAAATTACCAAACAGGAAGGTGACGGTGTGGCTCGTGTCGATGCGCTGATTTGGCTCAGGTGAGGTCAGTGTCGGAGCAGCGCCGCAAGTATGGTCTTTACTCCTCGTCAGTGATGTCGGAGCCACTCTCAGAGGTGTCAGCCATGTCTTCGCCGCCCTCCTCAGCGATGTCGGGCTTGTCGGCGCTGTCCTCATCGCCGGTCGCTCCGTCAAAACGTACTCCGAGGTCGAGCATGGTGCGGCACTTGGTGGCGAGGTGGCGCGGCAGCAGGTCGAAAGCGCTGTTATAGCCCAGTGTTGTCAGCGAGACGTTGGCGTCGTTGGCGAAGTGATCGACGATCTCCGCGACAAGCCCCACGGCCTGCTTGCGCATCTTGGCGGCTTCTGAAGTGTAGAAGAAGTGAGTACTTGTCGACTAGGGACCTGTGAAGAGGAGCGCAAAAAAAGTAGTTCTGATGTCTCGATCACCCCCAGTACGCGGCTCCACATCACGACGTGCACCTACTGACCAGATACGCATAGGACGCCTACGTATAGCCCATGCACGCCGATCAGCCTACTGAACATCACCGTACGTTGATGCCAAGACATCCCATATGACACGTCAATCCCACCTGCCTTCCGCGCCGCTTCAGCCTGCTGTGCCACCGAGCAATGAGATAAGTGATACTGGACAGGTGGACGGCTGCTTGCGGACCCGAGCGGGACTAACAGGCTTTCTTTGGGGACCGCGAGCACAGCCACCCGGTCAGTGAATATGATGGCCAGTCATAATCACGTGGGTCCGAGTGTTTGGGGTACTGTGAACGCGCAACAAGGCGGATGGCAGGAGCAGCGGCCAGCCACACTGCCATCCAGCCCGCGTGTAATGTCAAAGGAAAAAACTGGCGGAAATGGAACTTATGCTGAAGGACCCGCCCGCTCATTCAGCTGTGGGCATTAGTAGCCACCGTTCCTCGCCGCGGTCAGACACTTTCTCGCCCTCAATGCTTCCATCCAGCAAAGGCCTCCCGCTTATTTCCTATCGCTTCTGATGCGTCTCGTCGCTTATTCTGCTCATCCGACAGGCACACGGCCTGTTTTAAATACTCGTTCGAGCCTCGTCCTCGCCAACAATCCAAAACACCTCTTTTTTCATTCACTTGCTCTCTGCACCTCGATTTCAAAAAATACGCTCAATGACTAGTCTCTCCCCAAAGAAACTTCAGTCACATCCAGCCACTCGCATGCCACACAAACCCTTCGCCCCCGCGGATTGGTGTTGAAAATTCTGATATGCTAACAACATCATCAAACTACTCACCATCCCCCAGCTCACCCGCATTCCGCCTCCTCACATACTCCGCAAACCCAACCAACGACCGCGGCGCATCATCCACCCCCATAACAACCTCCACAACATGCAACCCCCGCCCCCGCCTCACCCGCTCATCACCCAACACGCCCTCCAGCTCGCCCCACGTCCCCACGCGCCACGTGCTGACCGGATACCCGGGGTCGTCGCGCGGCGCGCCGAAGAACCAGGGCGCGTCGCTGTAGCGCCACGGCTGGACGTCGTTGTACGCAGCGTCCGCGCCATGGATGAGGCGCTCGACCGTGTACCCGTCATTGTTTAGGACAAAGACGACGACGGAGAGGCGATTGCGGATGATGTCGCTGAGTGACTGGCACGTCATTTGGAAGCTGCCGTCGCCTGTGAAGAGGATCGTTCGCCCGCTGCTGCGCTGCTGCTGTTGTGGCGCGTCCTCACTTTCGACTTTTGCTGACTCTTCCACCGCAGTTCCCGCATTCCCTGACTCCGCCATACCCGCCGCCGCTGACTTCACCGCCGTCATCCTCTCCCGCTGCGCCAACGCCGCACCCTGCACTGCCGCCAGCGCATAGCCGATAGACAACCAGAGGGCAGAATTGATCAGCGTCGTGTCAGCGGGGAGGACGAGGCTGTGGGCGCCGTACGCCGCGGTGCCCGTCTCGGCCAGGACGATGTCGCCGGACCGCAGGAAGGAGGAGAGACGGATCCAGAAGGATTGTTGGTCGACGAGCGAGCTAGAGTCTGGAAGGGCTTTCGGCAGAGGTTCGCGGGCCGCGGGGAACGGGTCAGAAGTGGCGGGGAGCTGGACGGATGCCAAGCGCTTGAGGATCTTCTGGAGGAGGGGCTTGAGGGCCACGGTCTGGTCGCCGCCCGTCGCTCCAGGCGGCCGCCCTGGTACTTTGCTCCCCATCCTAACCGAATCCTTCTCAAAAGTCACAGTGACGTCCGGGTCCGGCAGCGTGGTGAAGCCGAAAGTGTTGATATCCGAATCGAGCGGGCCGAAGCGCAGCACCAGATCGCAACCCTCCACCCACCTCCGCACCTCCGCCTCCCCCGCCATGCCCGCATACACGCCATGAAAGTTCTCCCGCCCCTCGTCCACGACGCTCTTCCCAAACGGCGTTGTCAGCGTCGCGAACCCCGTCGCCGCAACCAACCCGTTCACCTCGTCCCGCACCCCAAACCTTGCCGTGAAGCCATCCACCAACACCAGCGGCCTCTCCGCCCTCCTCATCGCCGCCACAACCGCCTCAGCCACCCGCTCCACTGCCCCCTCCTCCTCGCTCCCCTCCTCACCACCGCCCAGCGCCAGCAGCGGCCCCGCCGGCTTCTCAACCATAACCCCCACCATATCCGTCGGCACCGCCACATACACCGGCCTCCCGCTCCGCACGCACTCCCTGAGCACGCGATCCACCTCCCGCGCCGCCGTCACGGGGTCATCCAACACCGCCCGCGCCACCGTCACGCTCTCATACACACGCGCGAAAACGCCATGGTCGCCATCGCCCAGCGTGTGGTGCAGGCACTGCCGCGCCGCTTGGCTGGCCCGCGGCGGCGTGCCGACGACGTGCACGAGCGGCACGCGCTCGGCGTAGGCGCCGGCGAGGGCGTTGAGGGAGGAGAGCTCGCCGACGCCGAAGGAGGTGACTAGCGCACCTACGCCGACGGTGGTGGTGTTGGTTTTGGCGCGGGCGTAGCCATCGGCGGCGTAGGCGGCGCAGAGCTCGGTGGCGTTGCCGACCCAGCGGAGGTTGGTGGACTCGGGGGTGATGAAGTCGAGGGCGGTGAGGGTGTAGTCGCCCGGCACGCCGTGGACGTGGCGGATGTTGAGGTCGGAGGAGAGGCGGGTGAAGAGGTATTGGGCTAGGGGGATGCGGTCGGGGGTTTGGTGGTTGTCGTTGGCCATGGTGGGGATGGGGAGATGCTGGGGTTGCTTGTGGGATGGGAAGGGGAGAGACAGGAGGGTTTTCGTTGACCAGAGATTAGATATCTTACTGTGGAGGATGAGACAGTCTATATGATGGAATATCCCATCATCGATGCAGTATGACTCTTGTGCGGAGAGTTCCCAATTCGGATTGATTCCATCACCACCCCAGTTCTCCGATTACTCCGGCCACTCCGATGACGACAACAACACCCGTCTGAGTGGGCCTGGTGTGGAGCGATAAGCTGACTTTCCCTAGATTGAGGATATGATCAACGGTTTCTCTCACTCTGTATGGGAATGCAATTGCCGTCAACTCCGGAAACTTACGTGTGGCGAGTAGCAGCAAGGGTGGCAGCGGGAAAGGTTGTCCAGAAACCAGAGCGGCATTCACCGAAGTATCGAGAAAGTCCGAATCCTCACTGTTAATCAGTTCCAGTTGCAGAGCGCCGAGGAAGGAGGCTGTGGCAAATCTCATGGGCAGGAATGCGATCGGGATGTTGAAGCTGCTGCCGTTTGCTGAGGACCACTAGCGGCCAAAAGCTCTTCTTTGATCGTCTTGCCTCACCCGGGCACGCCCGTTCGTATTACTCCGCATCTAGCGCATCTTTCATTTCCTGCTGAAGCTGATCCACACCCATAGGAGCGGCGTGTAAAGTCAACAGCATCACCTATCCTGCAACAACGTCGGATGCACCGCCAAACTCGCCCAAAACCCCTGCTCAAACTCCCACGGCTCAAAATCGATACACGCGTTCCAATCATCCAGCGTCACATCCGTAACGCTCCCCACACCACTCACATCCATCTGCCCCTGCTGTCCCCCCGTCTGTTGCTGCCCCGCGGGTTGCTCCGGCGACCGCCACACCACCATCAGCGAATCCAACAAACTCTGCATAGTGCTCGTCGCGCGCGTAAACAGCGCAAAATTCGGCTCGCCCGCCTGGATCAGCGCCCCCGCGCGTATCTCGGCGACCAGCACGCTCAGGTCCTGCACCATCTTCGACCGCGACAGGCGCGCGATGCCGCTGCTGATGGCGGAATTGAGCAGCGCGAGGGAAATGACGCCCGCGGCTGGGAGGCCGAATTGCGCGACCTGAATACGGTCCGAGGTCAGCGGTGGCGCGTAGGGGTGGGGGGAATGGGGTAGCTGAGGGGTGAACGACATGCCTTCCAGATGAGCGAGGTGCCAGAATTGACGAGGCGTTGGCGGAGGATGATGACTTCGACGACGAGCGAAAGCATCTCGCCGGCGGTGGCGAGGATGGACTGGTCAGGCTCGGTGGTTTTCTGGAGGGAGATGAGGCCGAGGAGGAGGAGGGTGTGCAGGTAGTCGAGGCGGGTGCCGACGAGGAAGTCGCGCTCGAAGGGGCTGAGGTGCCGGCAGTCTTTCAGGCTGGTCTGCAGCTTGAAGTGGGGCGGTAGGTCTTCCCACTGTTTCTCGACTTTTGAGCGGATCGCACTGTCAGAGACGACAGGTCAGTTTGGCTGATCATCGTCGGCGCTGTGTTGTCCCCTACTTCACTCTTTCTCCGTGATGGCCGGACGATCGGTGCCGGTAGAGCTCCAGTATCTCCTCTTTGAGGCAGGCAAAGCGGGCGGCGCAGCGGGTATCTGCGGTGTAGTTGATAGGCTCTTCTTGGGTTGTGTCGTCATCCTGACTGGATTGCATATTGCTATGTGCTGATCCCCAAAGGTTTGGAACATTCGCCGGTAGCTGCAAATTGCAGTACGCCTTGATGATTCGGGGTGGTCGTCCGAGGAAGATGGCGAAATTCTTGTCAGCGGCGTAGATTCTTGCGAAGACAGCTTTCCGCAACTCGGCGATGAAAGGAGGAACGTCAGGGACGTTGTCATGGGGTATCTCGTGGTAGCCAAGGGCATAAAGAGAGCTTGACAGATCTCCTACCCTTCTCCAGGAGTGATAACCTGATTATGTGAGTCAAAAGCCATTGCGATGCGTGGTATGACTAACTCTGATCTCCGTCAACCTGGGAGTGTATGACGCAGTTTTCGTACTGCAAAACCAGTTGCAAGTCGTTGAGGCAATCGGCCGCAAGGCAGGCCTCGAGACAGCAATCCCCAATGTAGGTTACTGACCTGATTAGATCCCACCGTTGTCCGGCCCTAGTATAGAGGGCAGGGAAGGAAGGGGTATCTATTGCAGCTCTGCTTGCAGCGCTAAAAAAGATGCCGAGAACCTCCCAACGCAAGGCTTCGCCAAACAGTTGTGAGAAAAAGTCTTCCACACTAGTATTGCTATGCAATATCAGCGGCCTGCTGGCATTTTCAGTGAGGGGGCCCGCCTGTTCCGAGACCCAGTCATTGGATGCGTTCGCTGCTTGAACCACAACCTCCGAAAAAGGGATAACGAATGGCTCAGCTAAAGGAAGGTTTGTCCCTTGGTCGAGCCAGACAAATATTAGAGATTTCAAGTCAGCAAGCTCTGTTGGGCTGAATTGCCTTAGTGCATCAATTGCTTTCTCGACGACAGCGGTATCCTTTGGCATGCGGCTATGAGTGGAGGATTGCAGAGTATCATGCAGATGAGCATCAGAACTGCGCAAAGCAAAAGATGACACCTTATTGAAAATGGCCGAATGGCTAGAAGAACCGAGGAAGCCTGGATTCGGATACGGTTGTGGTTGCGGTGAAGTAGCCGGTGTGGAGTCTCTCCGGGTTGATTCCCTGGCGCGCCTACAAGCTGGTTGATATTGCGCTATATGAAACAAACTTTTAACGGTAAAGCTTACTGGTGCTGTAGCTTCCGGCGTTTGAAAGGCTGGTTCCTGTAAACGCAGCGGTTTCCCTGGCCACGGTCTTGGCACCGGGCACAGGTGGGTTTCTCATGGCCACACGCAAGCTTTGCACGTCGGCATGGATCACACGCGGCCAGTCTGGTACTCATGCTGGCAGCGAAGATATCGGAGAATCTGACGGAGAGAAATCTTCTCCACGGAGTGTGGAGAAGAAGCGGTGTTTTAACCTGGGGTGACAGCCCCCACTTTCGCCGATCCGATTGAACCCAAGCTCCGAACACGCCGGTCCGATGTAGTCTTACTCCGAGTACGCCGATGTGTCCGACGACTGACAATCGTCCATGGAACAATCCTGTCTTCAACAAAAACTCATCCCATAAATATCCAATTGAAGCTCTCTTTCAGAGACAACATTGTTCTTCACCATATTTCCCTCTCACCATGCCCGCTACAGCTCGCGGCGACGGAGTATCCGATGAAAAGTCCAAGAACGGGGATTCTTCAAATTCACACCTTCAACCACATCGAAAGGAAGTTAGCCCGACGCAATGGGGGGTCGCTGCGCCGTGTAGCAGCGAAACCTTCAAAACTCGCCGTCATGACCACAAACCGCTGGCTAAAAACTGGGATCGTAAGTATTCCTTCTTTTTCACCATGATGAGTCTTTGGCTTTGCTTCTGATGCCCCTTTCTGATTTCCTTTCCTTAGACCGCTTGACCCCCGAATCAGCAAGTCGAACCGGCTCCTCCCTCAAAGCCGCCTTCAAGCACCTCCAAAATCCGGACGTCATATCCCTAGGCGGCGGCCTCCCACCAAGCGACTACTTCCCCCTCTCAGCCATAACCCTAACCGTCCCACCCCTCAACCCCTCCCCCCAAACCGACGCCAACCCCGCAACCCCAGCCCCCCACCACCACCTCCACGCCACCAAACACGACCTCTCGCACACCCTCAGCCCCTACGACCTCACCACCGCCCTCAACTACAGCCAATCCAACGGCTCTGCCCCGCTCCTCCGCTGGCTAACCGAGCACACCGAACACCTCCACAACCCGCCCTATGCCGACTGGGCATGCACCGCGACGATCGGCAACACGTCTGCGCTGGACATGGCGCTGCGCATGTTCGCGCGCCGCGGCGACGCCGTCCTGGCCGACGCGTACACGTTCTCCTCGGCCGTCGAGACGGCGGCGCCGATGGGGGTGCGCTTCGTCGGGGTCGACATGGATGAGCAGGGCATGGTGCCGGGGAGTTTGAGGCGGGTGCTGGAGACGTGGGAGGAGGGGGCAAGAGAGGGGGAAAGAGGAGGGGCGCGGAGGCCGGGGTTGTTGTATGTGGTGCCGACGGGGCAGAATCCGACGGGGGTGACGCAGGGGGTGGAGAGGAGGAGGGAAATTTATCGTGTCGCGCAGGAGTGGGATTTGATCGTTTTGGAGGACGATCCGTATTACTTTTTGCAGCTGGATCTGCCGGGGACCGGAGAAGGGGCCGGCAGGGGCCCGCGTACGCCGGAGCAGCTGCTTGAGAGGCTGGTGCCGTCGTACTTGAGCATGGATACGGATGGGAGGGTGGTGCGGATGGATTCGTTCAGCAAGGTCGTCTTTCCGGGGGCGCGGGTCGGGTGGATCACTGCGTCGCAGCAGATTGTGGAGCAGTACAAACATCACGCCGACGTCTCGACGCAAGGCCCGGCCGGGCTGAGCCAGCTAGCGCTTTTCAAGCTGCTGGATGAGCATTGGGGCCACGCCGGCTACCTGAGCTGGTTGCTGCATATTCGGAGCGAGTACACGAGGCGGCGGGACTTTACCATCGAGGCGTGCGAGCGGTATTTGCCCGCCGGTATTGTCAGTTGGAAGCCGGCTGAGGCTGGCATGTTTGTAAGTGCGAAGCAACATCCGGTATCGTGCCAAGCAGCATGCTGACTTTTATTGGACGCAGCAATGGCTGAAGGTGGATTGCAGTAGCCATCCCCATGTTAAATCCAAAACCGCCGCCGAGATCGAAGAAGAAGTCTGGCTTGAGAGCATCAAACGAGGAGCCCTTGTGGCCCGAGGTAGCTGGTTCCGTGTACCGGACGATAGACCGCATCGTGATGTCTACTTCCGGATCACATTTGCGGCCGCTTCACTCGACAAAATTGCCGAGGCTGTTAGACGTTTTGGGAATGCCGTACACGAGTTATTCCATAGAGGATAGAAGAGTTGGACAAGGCTGTGCTTTGGTGGAGAAGGCGAGATGGTCGGGCAGCGATGCGTCATACGCGTAAGCGCCCAGTCTGTTATGCATTCTGTGTATTGGTGCCAGTCCAGACATCCGCATGGGCGGGGCAACCTCAGCTCTTGGCAACAAGGCTATACAAGCCACTCCGGCAGAATCGGAAGATGAATCAATCAATCAATCAGACACATCATTCCCTTACAGCCTCGCTTGATCCCACTTCTCCTCTTCCGATATCATCGTCTCTTTCCAGAATCCCGCTCCTTGCCCGTCATACAAGCTTCTAGAAATATTTCACTCTGTGCATTCATCTTCTCAGTATGGGCGATGGGCTCGACAACTTGCCTTCCGACATCCTGATGCTCCTTTGTATCAGCCTTGCATTCTTTGCCTACTCCCATGAGATCCTGGAAAGACACTCTACGAAGTGCCGCGGCTGGTTTCATCTGCGAAGCCCCTTCACCGAGCCGCCGAATAATCGGGTTGCACGCATATGGAGCTACACATTTCGGTCTATTCCTGCTGTCGCCTCGATTGTGTGCATGTGTTTGGAACTGCAGCCAGTCTTGACGCGAACACCATGGCTTACCGCTGAAGGGAACGCTTGCTGGGCCCAAGGTCAGACAATGGCTCTAGACGCCGAGAGTTTCATGAACCCCGACATTGGTGGCATCGGCGTCCATTTGGGCCTTGCGATCCTTCCTTGGATATCCATTGCCGCTCTGATCTATGGGCGCTCGCACGGGTGTGAATCGGGAATCAAAGAGCTTTGTATACAGAATCTCGTCAGTAAGTCGGTTTCGAGACTAATTTTTCTGCACGAACTGACCTAATTTTTGATCTGATATACCTCGTCATCAACATCGCCTTTGACTCTAATAACTTATCCTTTCCGGAACTGCTTATCGCTTGTGCGTCAATCGACTGTGTCAGTGCAGCCGTCTCGATGAGCCTTTCCGACAAACGAGTGCTTGCATCCCGACTTCTCGTCCACACCTGTGTTCTAGTCCAGCTATGTGCCTTCGCAATTTCAGCAAAAGCTTTGCATAGTTTCTACGCGTCGGATCAGACCATTTCAGGCCGTTGCGAGTTTCAGATGTTCTGGTCAGTGCCTTTTGCTTCCTCTGAAGGCGTCCCTCGAGGATTCTGGCTCCACTTTGCCTGGCGCCTTTTGGTATGGGCGCACAATGCCTATCTTGCACTTATTTTTACTGGACCGTTTCATCGAGCCGAGAATATCAGCCGCAAGACCTTGATGGAAAAGATCAAAGATGCGAGCTGCACTGCTCCATATGCTCCAGAGCAAATAAACCCTACTCTAGAGGAAAACTCTGATCGAATCCGCGAAATCCGAGTTGAAAACGTCTATCTACAATACGAGTTCGATAGATTGCCAGCTACCGTTTTCACCAAATATCTCGAACACGCATTTACCATCCTAGTTGCTTCGGTATCTTTGCATGGTCTTTCCAGGGATTTTAGAGGCAAATCGAGGCTACTACACATGGATTGGGGCCAGAGGACGCCTCTCATTGTCTGCCTGATAGGCATTATCCTCTTCACCTACGCTCAAGCAAGGAATTTTGGCGAAAACTCATTGGAACGCCTCTGGGAGGTCGAACTCGTTACGGGAGCGTATCCTAATAGCCCTGACCACCCGGATGACTACCCATCATGGGCTCGGCCGACTCCTACATCTGCCTGGAGTCTCCGCTTCTTGCAACACAAGTGGTGCGTCGTGAAGATGCAGCGGAGGCTGTCAACACTTCTAGGCCCAGACTATCCCCGTCACAGACCAATCAGCCCCACCGAAGGACTCAGTCAGTCATGGTGGGATATCTGGAAAAATCCATTTTCTGAAAGTGACCAGCTTCCTGACGATCGGATCGAGGCTCAGACTAGGAGACTTTGGGCAGAGTTTGACTTGCTTGGACCTTCTGGTATCCGCGAAGCCCTCCTTAATGGAGCAAGGATCAATGAAGATCACGATGATGATAATCGAACTGTTCTTCTACGACTGCTCAACGCCAACCAATGCCACACAAGAATTGTCGCGCTGGCACTCCTCATGGGAGCCCACACCAATGTTCTTCTGTCCGAGAACAACGATGGTCTCTTTCATTTCACTCCTCTGGATGTAGCTTCCGGGAGAGGCCACGCGAACGCAGCTCGCTATTTGCTTGACCATCGTCCCGGGATATCCGATACCGGAACAGCTTTGATCGGTGCTGCCAGGAACGGACATGTTGACACTGTGCGCTACCTACTTGAGCATGGCGCAGATGTTCATGCCCGATGTAACAGAACGGGAGAGACCGATTTGATTGCTGCCGCTAGAAACGGACATGTTAATACTGTGCGCTGCCTGCTTGAGCATGGCGCAGATGTCCATGCCCGATGTGGCATAACAGGCGAGACGGCTTTGATTGCTACCGCTAGAAACGAACATGCTGACACTCTGCGATACCTGCGTAATCATGGTGCAGGTGTTCACGCCGAACGTAATAAAACAGGCTATAGGGTGTTAATGGCTGCTCTAAAACCAGGACATGGGGATGTGCTCAGATTACTGTCTAGGAGCGACTTCGGCATCAGCATCAACGCTCAATCTGACGGAGGCACTGAATGCACCAACTTTGATTATACTTGGAGTGACGGCGGCAAAAGAGCAGCACTTTACGGGGTCTCTGATGACGGTAATCATGATTTCATGACCATGGTGACCGCCGTCAGGCGCAACCATAAAGGGGACACAGCTTTGCATCGAGCTGCTTGTTCGAACTCTTTGGAGGCTCTCGAAATCCTGCTCGATTGCCCTGAAGTCTATATCCAGGAGCGAACTCTTTCAGGGGACACTGTTCTGATTGTGGCCATCCGCGATGGTGTTCCGGCTCTGGCGGCTGACATGGTCCGACTCTTGCTGCAAAGATGCCCGGAATTGGCAAGCTTGTGCAATTACGTTGGGAAATCAGCCTTGGACTTTTGTCTGGAACGAACACCAAACGGCGATGCAACATACCCCACAAAAGAACTAGGAGATGAGCCGGAACAAAACTTAAACGGCGATACAGCAATCCTCGAATCTTTACTGGAATACCACGAGCACAATGTTGTCGGGCTCGATTGGGAAAAGACTTGGAACCGCCAGATCAAGCAATGGGAAGAGATGAGTTGGTATTCACAGCTTCAGGCTATCTTGATGAAACCCGTGGGTAATTCCAAGTGGCCGATTCATCAAACATGGGATGTTTTATCTGCTTCTGAGAAGCATCTTCATGAAGTAGATGAGAATATCCCTGAGAGTCCCTACATCAAGCTGCAACTGCCGTCACGCGGAACGTTGCAAGCTCTGCGCGTTCATCGAATCGTTTTTCGGATCGTTTCCAATGACCAAGGTAATTGAAACTATACGCAGACATCAGAAATTGAGTGTAGTATTGACACAACCTAGGCTTCAGCGATTATCCGGAAACGCAAAACTCATATACTGGTTCTCGGACGTGTTTTGAGGCCAAAATTGAGAAACCGAACCAGCAACATGACGTACTTAAAAGACGCATTGTCCGGAATCTACATGCAGTAGCAGCAAAACAGCAGCGCACGGTTATCTGGGATGAACGAGACAAGACACCTACTCTCAAAGATTGGCTGGATGGAATTGAAGCTGGTGATGAAATCCAAATTCTTCCTAAGGGAAGCCATCTCAACTGGTTCAATATAGTTCATGAGGCCGAAGTAACAGTATTCTATTCGTGGGAACCTGCTACGGCATAAAGATATCAAGTAGAGCGTAGATATTTTAGTGCTTTCGGTTCATCTTTGGAAATTGAGATTGCTTGCACCACATGCCTTACCATTCATATTTGAATCAATTACAATCAAACTTCTAGTTTATCTACATTCCATTGGTAAGTAGCCTAAGGAGTTTTTTATTTAAATAATTAAGCGTTCGTAGTATGGAGCTATAGAATATGGCGAATCCAACAATATCGACTACAATGCTAACACTCTCTGTTAACCACTACGCTGATGTTCTATTACGGGAGAATTACCAAACCCAACCCATATACGGCTTTTTGTGCTTTGATAGAGAAGAAGATGTTTCATGCCAGTTTAACCAAGTGACCTTCATATGATTTACAAGGGTTGGACAGTGATCCTCGAATGCCTTATCTTTTCTTTTTTTTTAAAAAAAAAACAACGTATGAGTAGTTGAAGCTATCGTCCGGACGTGCGTGTAGAATTTTTAATTCGACATTCTCATCCGGACGATAGCTTCAACTACCCATGATATGAGCAAAAAACAAATCCACGTTAGTCATGGGCTGCGAGAGGGGACTGTACCTGGCGATGCGGCACAGCAATCTTGGTTGTGCTTGCACTTGACAACGCACACCGCTGGCAGATGTATCTAATAATAGAGCAGTCTAGGCAACAAGGTGGGGCAACGCGAGCTCTTGGCAGTTTAGAGGGAATCACTTAAACACGCCATGCCCTTTTGCGTTTCTTGTTTCCATCAGCCAAAAACACGACAAAAAGAAAATGAGAACCAGGCACTGTCTCTGCGCCATTTGCGGCGGGCCGCTTAGGGCGAGCAGAGCCAGGATCTCTGCAACGCCGCGTACGGCTGGATTCCTCCGGCGTCAGGAACGGCGCCAGCGAGAGGGAGAGAGTACCTCCGGAGATTCCGATCCCGACAGCCAGTATGATTCAAGTGAGGAACGGACTTATGATCCAGAAATCTTAAGCGACGTCCAAAGAAGATGGTTGGACACTGTGCACGCTATCGGATACAATCCGGCGTCGCCGCACGTCGATAAGCATGTTAAGCATTCCATTCTGTCACTGCTCCTCCTCCTAACGCGACGCAGGGTATTCATTACCCCTCCCGGACGTCCTTCATTTCATGTGAGTCTCCTAATTTTAGCCAGAACAAAAGAAAAGAAAAATCTTCTCCAGGCTAACAGACGAGGACTGTCAAGGAGTCTTTTTGGCCAAGTCATAATTCGTGTATGGTCCATGGATACTCCTCGACCAACCAGAAGTTAACCGATACATTCTAGATCGGAATGCTTGCGAAAGATTCATGAAAATGTAAGTAATTGACGGTCATGTAGACGGAGTTGACCTTGGGCCGTAGGTATATTACGGAAAGTCTCGCGTCTGTGGAGGTCTATCCATTTCATTGGTGCTGCTTCGAACTGCTTCTCAAGACAATCACGGGCACTACAGACATGGATCAGCTTGACAAAGACACTCTTTACAATGTCATGTCCGAGTTGGAACGGCGAGGGCATCTAGCCTTAGCCTTGGACTATGGCCACCCGGAGCCAAACGTTAAGGAAGACCGCTGGATGACCCGGGCGGGAGAAGAAGCGAGTAAAACCCTGCCGGAAAATCTCCCTAGTTCCTATCTAACTTTTTTCTACTATTTCAGATTTTGGTAACCAACCCGATCGAGAACCCCGGCCTCATGGAATATGTCCGAGCCAGCTTAGCCAAGCACGCAGCAGGTTCTTCGCCCTGGGGGGACTTTGCACATCTTCGGCACAAAGTCCAACGGGACCCGTTTGCTCTCATTCCCTATGATGTCCTCGACCATTGTGTCAGCTTTCTCCCAGACGAATCGCTTTTTGCACTGTGCCAGGCGTCACTGTCCGTAAACTCCGCATTAGACGGTGGCTTTTGGGCACAGCGTATGCGCGAGAGCATGCCCTGGTTTTTCGAAGCACTGGATCTTCTCCAGGACGCAACGTTTATGAGCGCCATCGACCCCCGGCGCATGTTTATGTGCTTGGACAAGATGACGCAGCCTCAACGCGGACTGCGGGGGGTGCTCACGGGCATAGCGAATCGTCGTCGCATCTGGGGCGTCTGCGCTCAGCTGGCCGACAGGTATCACAAAAAGTTGCCCCGACTCCACAATCAATGTAGGAAGATGGCGGTGAAAGGGGATAGCGACGAGGAGGAGGAGGAGGCACAATCGATCATGGCTAACGCAACGATCCCCAATATGCCACGGATTCGTGAGGATCCCTATTACAATCTTTGGATAAGAAAAGGACAGAAAAAACAGGTCAACACCATCAGCACGCAATGGATTCGCGCGTGGGAGGAAGTCGGCGCTCCAGGAACCGCCGTGGAGACGGCTTGGAACAAACACAACTGCTTCACCGGCATGGCTGTCGAAATCCGAGGTGAGCTGCGTCGGTTCGGCAGCGGTTGGAAAGGCGAAGTCTGTAGGCGGGAGCTGCCGGCGGGAGTTTGGATCGATGGCCTCATCTTGTATATCACGTACATGACTGGGAAAACTGAGAAGACTGACAAGACTGGGAAGCGTCGTCGCAGCCTTTCCCCGGATTCTAGGGAAGGTTACTACTATGTGGCGGGCGTTGAGGTACGTTTCGAAACGTGGCTGCGACGTTATCAATCGCGCTGAACTGAGTCATCCGCCAGGTTTCCTGCAATGATGGCTCGAGAATCGCTATGGGCTGTTGCGAGCCCAAACACATGATGCGACCACTGATCGTAGGCGATAAAATGGTTGTCGTTGGCTTGACGGGGAAATCTGTGGTACGTAAAGTAGACATGCAACCCTCCAAAACCAATGCTAACGCCAGAAAGAACGGCAAAATTACTCGTATGGGCTTGCTAGAGCACTCGCGCCTTGGAGCTCCATTCAACCACCATCAACGGGACCCAAAACCACACCTCGCACGAGAGTTCTTGTGGGAGAACGACGCACACGAGCAGCTTCGCGGTCGGCGAATATGGGAGCTGCAATCCCTGCATCTGAGTGTTCCAGGGGAAGAGTGGTTAGATCAACCCCTTATTAATACCATGATCCCGTTTCAAGCACTTTTCTGGGGTACTTCTGAGGAGGAGCTACAGAAGCTATGTCGTCTTTCATGGCACATAGCGATTGAGCGTGAGGGAAGACGCTACGAGAAATGGTCGCTTCGTGAAGTAAAGGCGCAATACACGCAACCCGGACCAGAAAGTAGGTGCCTTAAGCTTGAGGGTGACAAGGGCGAAGATCATGATGCAGTGTATTTCGAAATTGATGGCGCAGGAGGAGAGAGAGTCACTGGGGTCGAAGCAAAGGGCACCTCAACGTTGAAGGTGGGCCAACATGCATCACAATTGGAAGAGAAGGCTGACAGACTACCTAGTTACACACTAACCGCGACCGTGAGATTCTCTGGGGAGATGACTATGTTGGAAATTGGGCAACGGTTGAGGTGCCAGCAGGGGACACGATTGTGGGTATTGCCATACAACAGTGCAGAAAATGGGGCTCTATAGGTTGTCTCGCTATCTTATCGATGCCACTGTAAGCTTAGTCTCCAAAAGAGCTGCCGCTGTTAGTTTTGTTCATCTCAGATTCTAGAGCTTATGATTGTGCCTGAAGAATCATAATTTGATGAATGAATCTCGACGTAGCGAGTGAGGATCAATCACAACTCTCCCTTACAAAGTCTTTCTCGGTACCGAACATTGAGAGACGAAAGATGCCGAGAGACAAGAAAGAAAATCATTGACTCATGTTCAACGCTGTGTCTCCGCTGTTAACCCTCCGGTAAAAGAAAGCCGAAAACCGCATTCCCTCAGTTCCCCAAAGTGAAAATCTTCGACGCGCAGCAGACCCTACAAGACGCAACCAGTCAGCAAACCTCACAAGCGAAGGAAGTTCAAACTCACAAATAGTCCACCCCCTCCAACCCCTTGCACGACCCCTCCTCCTCGCCACCACTTCCGTACCCACCATCACCAGGCGCCGACGAACCGCCCGTCTCGCCACCAACAGTAGCCGTGACTGTCGTCGTCATCAGAACGGTGACCTGAACCGGGCAGGCGCTGACGCTGCTACCTTCGCCGCTGCCGGGAGCGCTAGAGGAGGAACCGCCGTCGCCGGTGGTGGGGGGAGAGACGACGGTGCTGAGTGTTGTCGGTGCAGCGGAGGAGCCTGTGATGGTGGGAAGGGAGGGGAGAGGGTTAGTCTGGTTGCGTGTGAGTGCGCTGCTGGTGGCGAGAAAAGCAAGGAGATGGGAGCTGGCTAAGAGCCAGTGGTGGGATGCTATGCTGAGGAGAGAGGGGTAGGGAGTGGACGACGTTCATCCCGTAGAGCCGAGGTAGGGGCAGAGACTGGGAAACAACGTACTCGTAGCAACCGGCTCCGACGCCTCCGGCTCCGACGCAGCCGGGGTACTCCCCGCCGCAGGCGCCGACGCCGGCGCACTGGTCGGCTCCGCAGACGAGGCACCAGTCGTCGGGCCCGCGGCGGCAGCCGTGGCGACGCACGAGCAGATCTGCTGGGCGCCCGACGAGACCTGCAGGGCCGTCTCGATGTTGTTGTTGCACGCGCTGAGGACGCACTGGGTGAGGGCGGCGTTGTTCTGCAGGGCCGACGACTGCGAGCAGCCGCAGGCGTAGTCGGTCTCGACGGTGCAGCCGAGGGCGGATTTGGCCGACAGCAGGCACGACTGGCCGCACGACGGGACGAGCGATTGGGCCGAGCTGACGCAGCCGGCTTGCGCGCTGACCGTGGGGGCGAGGACGGCCGCGAGGAGGCTGCTGAGGAGGGTGGAGGTCTTCATTGTGGTGGTGAGATGGTTGTTTGATGAAGTGATTGGGGAGAGGAGAACGGAGGAGGATGGACGATGATGAGCAGCTGTTGGCTGATGTTTCGAAATGTCGATAACAGGAGCTCCGTTATATGTTCCTCAGTTGTTTCGCGCCTCGGCGAAGCACATGCCACCGAGAGACATTGTACCGCTCGTATCCCCGCAGACTGGCTGAATTTTTTCTTAACGAGACATGGATTTAGATGATCAGGCATCGGAGCGGAGATGCGGCTAGCTGGAGATGGGAAATTAAGACGTCACGAGAAAGATCGAGCGGGGTTAGCTGAAGCGGCGCATAGCAAGGCAGTGTGGTGGGTGTTGATGGATTGTGGAGGTCAGGGCTAAGCTAGCTTGGCTACTGCAAGTGATCGGCGGGCGTCTGGGGGAGATGCGGGGAAGCTTAAAGTTTTGCTGCCAGGAACCAGGCACGGACCACGACGGCCGTCTTACTCTTCGCAGCCTAGCAGATGTGACTTTGGGCATGGAACGGTTGCAGAGCCTCGGCGGATTGTGAAAATTGGATTCACATGGTCATGGAAATAGGAGAAAACAGGCCGAGACTGGGAAAAGCGCCATATACCGCCCCTCGGCGATGCTCTCGTTATGGAAAATCCCTGCGCACCATTGGCCAATTGGATTAAAGAGGTGGTATGATGATCGCATAGTCATGGAGACGGCATTATTGGGGCCGCACCCCGCCTAGGAATTGCCTCCGCAAAAGGAGAAGGTGGTTGTGGGAATGTGGGACTTATGTTAGTACATCGGTATAGTTAGCCAGAAGAAGTAACATCATCAACTGTGAAGGCAGCTGAGAAAAGTCGGCCTCGGTTCGAAAAAGGCGCAGGCGACGTGCGGGCACAGCGTGCTTGTAATGCATGTGATGGCAAGACAGCGAGCGAAACGTCACTCACAGCGGCCCATCTCAATCGACAAGGCTGTGTCCTTGATGTCAGGCTTACCGGCTACGACCAGGTTCATGGTACGTTGCGCCATTAGCGAGTTGTCGGACGCTTCCACAAGTCTCTCGTGAATCGAAATTACGAGCAGCACTGGTGTAATAGGTGCCCCCTCCGTTGGGCTCCTATAATGGCTGTGCAGGAGAGCAGTAAACGAGGTGGGGCGACCTTTCCGGATGGCCTCCTGGGTGCCAAATGTCTCAGGGGGCACACAAGGGCTGCGAATAGCTAGCCTGAGCGTTTCCACAAAGACATTAGCATCGCCAGGTCGGGTACGTTGCTTCCAGTGTAACGTGGAATGGATCTCGGCGCGGCGCACGTGGAGCGAGCCTCAGTCGCGCCAGGGTTCACATATTATGGGTAACGGGACCCTACTGATGACAGCTACAAGGTCCAGCCTCGTTGTGAACCTCCTGCAGTCCCTCTCCATTGTACCCCGACAGTATGAACGAAAGCGGCGGGGAGTTGTTGCCGGCAAGAGGCCGAAGGGAAGCGAATGGCTCGTGTTTTGGAGGCTGGTGAAGAGTCGGCAACAGGATACGGAGCGAAGACGCAATGACATGTCAAGACTGCAGATAGATGGTGATGGTCGGCAGAGATGAGAGGTGGTGGTGGAGGCGATGGCGCAATGCTTCGCCGTCGGGACGCGTCGCCGACACTCGCGACGCGCGGGCGGTGGCAGAAAATCGGCCGCGGTGAGGTCATCACCACCCGCCAGACAACCTCACCACTAGCGCCCAACCACAAGTCAACCCGGGCTCACTCTCAAACGCCTCTTCTCTCGGTCACCGCGGCCGGCTGGTATCTCCTCCACTCAGAATTTCCCGAAAAATCCACCATCGGCGAGCGAATCACGTCTATCCACCAAATTCCTCTCATCGGCTGGAGATCCCGATCACCGAGCACCAGCCCTAAAGCCGCTACCCGCATTATAAAGCACCACCACACTCCGCTCCGCTGTCTTCTACTCACATCCAACAACTTTTCTTTCTTCTCAGCGTTTTAATTTTTATAGAGCATAATGGGTTCCGAAAAGAAGGCAGAGCGGGGCATCCGCATCGCCATCGATGTACGTCATCCCCGCCTATTTCACGCAACCTCTGCTGACCATCTATTCCAAGCGCGGTGGCACCTTTACCGACTGTGTCGGTAACCCCGGCACCGGTAAGATGGAGGACGATGTCATCATCAAGCTCCTCTCCGTAGACCCTCAGAACTACGATGATGCCCCGCTGGAAGGCATCCGCCGCTTGTTGGAGAAGTTCTCCGGCCAGGAAATTCCACGCGGCCAGCCCCTCGATACCTCCAAGATCGAGAGCATACGCATGGGCACCACCGTCGCCACCAATGCTCTCCTGGAGCGGAAAGGCGAGGACATCGCCATGGTCGTCACCAAGGGCTTCAAGGACTGCCTGGAAATCGGCAACCAGTCAAGACCGAACATTTTCGACCTGGCCATCCGGAAACCCGAGGTTCTCTACAAGCAAGTCGTTGAAATCGACGAGCGCGTTACTCTCGAGGATTACGCCGAGGACCCGGAGAGAAACGAGACCAAGGCCGAACCGCTCGAGAAGGCTGGCCCCGACGCTGAGCTCGTGCGCGGCCTTTCCGGAGAGGCCGTGAGGATATTGCAGAGGCCCGAAGAGGCAAAAATTCGGAAACAACTGCAAGAGGTCTACGACACCGGACTCCGCAGCATTGCCGTCTGCCTGATGCACGGCTACACCTACCCGCACCACGAAGCCCTCGTCGGCAGGATAGCCAAGGAGATCGGCTTCGAGCACGTGAGCTTGAGTCACGAGCTGATGCCCATGATCAAGCTCGTTCCCCGAGCCACCTCTGCCTGCGCTGACGCCTACCTGACTCCCGCCATCAGGAAGTACATTGACGGCTTCTCAAAGGGTTTCGCCGGCGGTCTCGGCACCGAGAGCGTCAAGAAGGAGGCTGGAGACAAGGGCGCCCGCTGCGAGTTCATGCAGAGCGATGGTGGTCTTGTTGATGTCGACATCTTCTCCGGTCTTCGCGCCATCCTCTCCGGCCCCGCCGGTGGTGTTGTAGGATATGCCCTCACATCATATGACCCGAAGACAAAGATTCCCGTCATTGGCTTCGACATGGGTGGTACCAGCACTGACGTAAGCCGCTACGGCGCCGGAAAATACGACCACGTTTTCGAGACGACAACAGCGGGCGTGACCATCCAGTCCCCTCAGCTTGACATCAACACGGTCGCGGCGGGAGGTGGTAGCCGCTTGTTCTTCAGAAACGGATTGTTCGTCGTTGGCCCCGAATCAGCAAGCGCTCACCCCGGCCCTGCGTGCTACCGCAAGGGCGGACCTCTCACAATCACCGACGCCAACCTCTTCCTTGGTAGGCTCCTGCCTGACTTCTTCCCGAAGATCTTCGGCAAGGGCGAAAATGAGCCACTCGATGCCGAGGCTAGCAAGAAGCTCTTCGAGGAGCTTACCGAGAAGATTAACAGCGAAGTCGCCGGCGGCAACAAGGAGAAGGAGATGTCCATGGACGAAGTTGCCTACGGTTTCATCAAGATCGCCAACGAGACCATGACAAGGCCCATCCGTTCCTTGACCGAAGCCAGAGGTCACGATACCTCCAAGCATAGGCTGGCTACTTTCGGTGGTGCCGGTGGCCAGCACGCCGTCGCCATTGCTCAAGCTCTCGGAATCTCCCAGATCCTCGTCCACCGTTACTCCTCCGTCCTCTCCGCATATGGAATGGCGCTTGCCGATGTCGTCGATGAGAGACAGGAGCCGGAGTCCAAGGTGTGGTCTGACAAGAACGAGGAGACAAGGAAGTACCTGCAGCAGAAGATGCAGGACCTCAAGAGCAAGTCGACAGCAACACTCAAGGACCAAGGCTTCTCCGAAGAGCAGATCCACTTCGAGGAGTACCTGAACATGCGCTACCGTGGCACTGAGTCCGCTCTCATGGTCATCAAGCCGACCAAGGAGGAGGCTGAGAAGGAGTACGGCGGTGATGAGTGGTCTTTTGGCAAGGCCTTCGTTAAGCAGCACGAGCAGGAATTCGGCTTCACCCTGCCTGACCGCGATATCATCATTGATGATGTTCGTGCAAGAGGCATTGGCAAGACGTTCGAGGGTTTGGAGAAGACGGTTGACGACCAGCTGCAGGTGATCAAGCCCAAGGGTCTTTCCAAGGGCGAGAAGCAGTACGGCACCAGCTCCGTCTACTTTGAAGGTGGCAGGCAGGAGACCCCCATCTACAAGCTCGAAGACCTCGCTACCGGTGATCGCATCCCCGGACCTGCCATCATTGCTGACGGCACTCAAACCATTGTTGTCACACCCGATGCCTCGGCCCTACTCATTGACACTCATGTCGTCATCAACATCGGAGAGACCAGCAGCCAGGAGAAGAAGGTCGACACCAAGCAGGTCGATCCCATCATGCTCAGTATCTTTGCCCATCGCTTCATGGCCATCGCCGAGCAGATGGGTCGGGCGCTGCAGAAGACCAGTGTCAGCACAAACGTCAAGGAGCGTCTCGACTACTCTTGCGCCCTCTTTGACGCCGAGGGCGGCCTTGTCGCCAACGCACCCCACCTTCCCGTTCATCTTGGCTCCATGTCCACTTGCGTACGTAAGCAGGCAAGTATCTGGAAGGGCAAGTTGAAGCGCGGTGACGTTCTCGTCTCGAACCACCCCATGTTTGGCGGAACCCACCTTCCTGACATCACCGTCATTACCCCCGCCTTCAGCGGAGACAATATCGTCTTCTACGTGGCGTCCCGTGCTCACCACGCAGACATCGGTGGTATCCTTCCTGGATCGATGCCCCCGCACTCCCGAGAGCTCTACCAAGAAGGTGCCGCAATCAAGACGGAGAAACTCGTCTCCGAGGGCCACTTCAACGAAGAGCGCATCACGGAGCTCTTGCACAAGGAGCCCGCACAGTACCCCGGCTGCAGTGGCACAAGATGTCTGGCTGACAACATCAACGATCTTAAGGCCCAAGTTGCTGCCAACCAGAAGGGCATCAATCTCATCAGCACGCTGATCGAGGACTACGGCGAAGATGTCGTACAGTTCTACATGCACAGCATCCAGAACAACGCCGAGCAGAGCGTCAGGCACTTGCTCAAGGAAGTCAGCAAGCGCTTCGAAGGCCAAGACCTCTCCGCTGTGGATTACATGGACGACGGCAGCCCGATCCAGCTGAAGGTCACCATCGACGCAGAAAAGGGAGAGGCCGTCTTCGACTTCGAGGGAACGGGTCCCGAGGTCTACGGTAAGTTCTTCCAGCACGTTGGTCATCCCCGGCTCCGAAACTAACCTACTACAGGCAACATCAACGCCCCAGAAGCCGTCACCTACTCAGCAATCATCTACTGCCTCCGCTGCCTCATCAAAGAAGACATCCCCCTCAACCAAGGCTGCCTCAAGCCCATCAAAGTCAAGATCCCCAAAAAATCCTTCCTCTCCCCCTCCGACAAAGCCGCCGTCGTCGGCGGCAACGTGTTGACCGTAAGCCCTCCACCCCCCTTCTCCTCCCCTCCCCCTTCCTTCCCCCCACACGCACTAACGCCTCCCCCCACCAGAGCCAACGCGTCACCGACGTCGTCCTCAAAGCCTTCCGCGCCTGCGCCGCCTCGCAAGGCGACTGCAACAACCTCACCTTCGGCTACGGCGGCAACGTCGCCGGACAAGCCGAACAAAAAGGCTTCGGCTACTACGAAACCATCGCAGGCGGCTCCGGCGCCGGCCCGACATGGCACGGCAGCTCGGGCGTGCACACGCACATGACCAACACGCGCATCACCGACGCCGAGGTCTTCGAGCGGCGGTACCCGGTCATCCTGCGCGAGTTCGGGATACGCGCGGGGAGTGGTGGTAAGGGCCAGCACGATGGAGGTGATGGCGTGGTGAGGGATATCGAGTTCAGGATTCCGGTGCAGGTGAGTATACTGTCGGAGAGGAGGGTGTATCATCCGTATGGGTTGGAGGGGGGCGAGGATGCGCAGTGCGGGTTGAATGTTTGGGTGAGGAGGGTGGGGAAGGCGGGTGTTGATGCGGATGATGTGGCGGCGGCGGCGAATGGGGAGGTGGAGAAGGAGGAGGAGTGGCGCTACGTCAACCTTGGCGCGAAGAATACGGCTAGTATGCAGCCTGGCGAGCGCATCATCATCAACACACCTGGTGGCGGTGGATGGGGCAAGGTGGGTGAGGAGAGCAAGGCTGTGCGGCAGAAGGATCCTACGGAAGGGTGGAGGAAGGGGAGTGTGGCGACGAGGTTGGAGACGGCGGAGACGTCGCAGTAGACGGGTTGCTGATTAGAAGGGTGGGCATGGTTATTTTGGGGATACGTCGTTTGTGTTGTCTTTTTTGGGCCAGAGTGTGGTAGATATGCATACCCAATGTCATTACGCTGTTCAATTTGGAAGGGCTGCTGGTCTATGAAACGGTCTGCCTTTTGACTGTTGATGCAATACATGGTCATTCATCACGCCAGCGAGAGAAGTGTAGAAAGAGTGATCAACGACAAATGGAGTAACACAGTCTCAACAGAATCACATGACGAGGCTTCTCTGCGGTGCATGGGTTTTCATTTGGGCGCCCTTCGGGACGGTTGCCGTGAGGTGCATCCGCCAGATACAAAGTGCGAGTCAGCCACGCAAGCTGCCACTACCCAAGCAGCTCGATTAGCGCACCTGGTTAGCCGCCAGACGTAATCGGGGTTGTGCATGTACGAAGTAATCAAACGCCCACGGCCTCGGAGAGTGGCTTACCCTTGGCCCGACGGCGGCAGAGTACACGCCTATCTCCTCCGCGCATGCCAGCCCCACATGACTAGTACGGTCGGAACGTTTGTGCGTTCGACTCCCGGCTCTGGCATGGACGTGCGGGTTGACGGTTGGGTATGTAAATGGAGATCTCAGTGTCAAGGGGACCCCATCAGTAGGTCTACCGAGGGGTGTTCAGCCTGCGTGCATGGCGCCATAGGTGCGCAGGTCAAGAGCTCTGACGTTCGAAGGTGGATGGCTTGTGCCTGTGATGCATGGGATCTACTTCAAACCAAATGAATTTTTTTTTCTCTTCGACGAAGGAACCTTTTTTTTGCTGACTCCGGAATTGATCTATCCGGTGAAAATCCCTATTCTCCTCCTTACAGCAGCACCCAAACCAGCGCATCGCTCCTCCCATCCCCCCAAACCCGCTACCTAAGTCCCCAAAAGAATATACTCCAGAAGCTGAGCATTAGAGATATCATCCGACTCGAAGTAGCCCTCAATCATAACATCCAGTGCAACACCCACACTGCCCAGCTCCTCCACGATCTGCTCAAATGCCTCCCCATCATCCTCCTCAACCACAAACACAGCAACCCACTCGTCGACCTCATCAAACACGTCCAACCACCCCAGATCCTCGTCCTCGAGCGGATCCGCGCGCACCACCGCCGCATAAAAGCCCACCTCAACCTGCGTCAGCACCTTTGCCCCACCCCACCACGTGTTCACGCACCCGTTGATCACCGACCCCGTATAGTCGTTGCGTGCGAAGTGGAAGCGCTGCAGGTTGTTGTTGTGCAGCCGATCGCGCACGCACTGCAGCAAGTCGACCCAGCGCAGCGCGTCGTCGCTCAGGCCCAGGTCAACTAATTCGAGCTCGGTCAATTGCGAGGCATGGGCCCGCAGGAACTCGGCGAGTCGCAGGCTGCTGACTTTTCCGTCGCCGGATAGCCGCAGCGCGTGAAGCACTGGAAAGTGCTGCGTCGCCTCTGAGGAGGGTAGGAGGAGCGTCTCGTTGATGCAGCCTGGGTGCCAGCTGTGCAAGTCGAGGCGGCTGAGATTGCGGGCCAGGCCGAGCGCCTGACCGAGGGCGCCGAAGTCGTCGCTGACCTCGATGGCGTGGGTGCTCGACGCAGGGATGCGGCCGACGCCGAGGGAGAGGCGGAGCTCGCGCACGTAGTCGAAAGCGGCAACTTCGAGTTCGGGGAGGCGGCAGGAGCAGGGGGGAGAAGTCGCGTCGGTGGGGATGTTGTAGTAGTATGGCGATTCGACCAGAGAGAGGTGTCGAGGGGCGAGGCCACTTTGCTTGATGGCGTGCAAGATGGCGGGCACGACGCGGTGGCAGGAGAGGTAGGGAGACGAGGCCGTGCTGCTACAGTCGATGTGCGCGATTCCGAGGTAGTCGCCGGCGATGTTCACCTCGGTGAGGTTGCCGAGCCGGGGGAGTGCGCTGGCCAGAACCATGCTGCACATCCCGGTGGCGCAGCACGTATCGAGGGATGTACCCTTGTGACGGGAGGGCTGATGGTCTTTGTACCACTTGTCATCGGTCGGCACCGCGATGGTTAGTATCTTTACCGCTTTGGCCATGCCTGTGTTTTGGGATATCCTGTAGAGCTTATCCAGGCCGCGGCTGTGGAATTTGACGTGCACATTAGTAAAATGTTGAAGGAAGATATAGTTAGCTTTGTAGCAAATCTGCCGAGATAGCTGGCGGAGACTACAGCAGCCCTTATAATCCAGATGGCCGACGACTTTTTCGATAAGTTCGGTCGGAAGGGCCTCGAGAGCTGAAAGAGACGACATAATCGTCTTCTTGGGAGGGGTTGTGGTTGTGGAAGTAGAGCGTGTATGATGCTGCTTTGCGTATGTTTAGTTCTTTGCTACCGGTAGTAGTTAAGCAGCGGCTTGTTGTGTATAAATAGTCATATGAAACCATATTGATCCGCCGCAGGCAAATTTCCACTGTGGAAAAGCGTCCAACGTCGTCCGGGTCAGGGTCCTATTCCAGGGTCTGTCCGTACAGGGAGATTTGCGCAACCAAATTCTCTTTTTCACCAATCCCCTGCGGAAGTGTCAACCGTGGTTCTTTAGTGGGCACATACATGATCCAAAAAAAAAATCAACTGTATCACCAGAGACTCCAATCACCAAATCTTACTCAAGAGCGAATGTCATTTACATCATCTACAGTTGCATCATCACTTGAATGTCCGTCGATATCCGCAGGATCTGTTTCAATGCCTGCTGTGTTGAATTGGCAAAGTATCCCTTGATGCCGTTTATGAATCACTGACGCTGCTTTCCTCCCGGGCATGATCCAGAGTCCGAGGTAGGCTGATTTGCGGCGATCCGGACCGCTCAAATGGAAGCCTTCAGGACCTTGAACGCATCGCTGCGGGTACCAAGGAAGCGCTCCTCAGCCGTCTTCCAGTTGATGACGGTCCAGATATTCTCGACGTACGCAGCCTTGCCGTTGAGGTACTGTAAAAGCACAAAGGCGATGAACGTCAGCAAGTGCAAGCAATAGCAGGAAGTCAATGAAGGGGTGGAAGAAAATGGTGTCTAGGAAGAAGAGACAGGAAGCCGAAAGCCTTACCTGCAGATAGTACGCATGCTCCCACATGTCGACGCCAAATATCGGCACCTCGCCGGGCCCGACGATCGGATCCTGGTCCTTCCTGCAAGCGCCCCATGGTACGTCAGCACAGCGCTACCCAACCAAAACCACAAAACAAAGCAGAAAACAGATGGATGGGAGCACACTCACGTCGTCACGATCCCCAACCTACCACCCTCCCCCTCAAACTTAACAAGCCACCCCCACCCACTCCCCTGAATCCCCAACAACGCCTTCGCAAACGCCTCCTTGAACTTGGCCTCGCTGCCCCACGTCTCGACGATCTTCTTGCGCAGTTGCGGCGCGACAGCGTCGTCCAGCTTCGCCTCGGGCGAGGTCGGCGGCGTGAGGTTCTCCCAGAAGAGGGCGTGGTTGATGTGGCCGCCGCCGTGGAAGCGGAGCGCCTGTTGCAGGGCGATCTGGGTCGGGATGTCGGCGGCGGCCGACGCGGCGGCGAGCGACGACAGCGCCGCGTTCAGGTTCGTGATGTACGTCTGGTGGTGCTTGCTGTGGTGCAGCTCCATGATTTGGGCCGAGATGGCGGGTTCGAGGGCCTGTGGGGGGTTTGTTAGGACTCACGGGACGAAGTTTAAAGGGGATACGGCTGGTGATGAGGTAAAGGGTGCGTGGGAAATGGCTGTGGTGCTTGTGGTCGCGGGTGTGGAATTGGCGGGCGGGTTGCTGGCGGCGCATATGGGGAAGTCACGGGCGGCGGGTGAGCGCGCGCGGATGGGATGGAAGACTTGACATGGGCAATGGAGCGGCGCAACAGAGACGCTGCATTCTGGACGCAGGCAAGGAAAAGCGCAACTCACATCGTAGGCGTATGGAAGCGGCGGGAGACTGTACTTCTGGGCAGACATGGTGGAATTGGTGCCAAGACTCGGGTTGTTGAAGAAAGGCAGCTGGAAGGCAGAAGCAGAGGAGGTGAAGAAGCAGACGACGAAGGTCAGAGCGAGGAAGACGGCAGAGAAGATACTGTGGTGTCCAACAGAAGCGGGGTTGCGCTTGCGCGAGACAGCAAGGTTACCACGACGACACCATGGTGTCCCGTCGCCGCAAGGCGCATTTAAGGCGCCGCGTGAGCGCGCGCTGGCAGCGGCGCCAGGAGAGCCGACCAGATTCATCATCATCGCGATCGAAACGAAGCTGCGCTGCTGCGAAACGGGAGGCGGACGTTGTGTGAGAAGGTGCGCGCAAATACCAAGACGGCTCAAACTTGCTCAATATTCGTTCGCAAACGTGCTCATTCGCGCGCAAGCCGCAGGTCCGGTGAAACACCCAAGCTGAGCCGGGCGTTGCGCCTTGCAATTAGGGGCTGGGGTTATAAGGACAAGCAAACGAGAAGCTGGTGCTCGACACTTTCAACACCAGACGAAGCAATTGCAGAGAACAGCGACGACGACGAGGAGTGGTGTTGACACTTGGCTATTGGGCGTGCACCGCAAAAACCGACCAATTGGAAGCCTCGCAGCTGAACCTCCGCATCATCCGAAACCATGTGCAACGGCAACTCGTCACGCCTTTCCGCTGGCGGAACCATCGCCGTCCTGCGCCCTCCACCTCACGAGTCGCAAGCGTCCACGGCCAATTGCAACCTCTTCTTTCAAAATCCCGGCGAGCTCAGTGGCCGCACGCGTGCCGTCTTTGAAGCCGACGACGGCAGCTGTTTCGACAACTTCATGGGCTATTTCATGCTCATCCAGTAAGTTGCCCCGCAAATTTACTCCGCACGTTCCGACTCATGGTCCTTCATGATGCTGACGTGATCACCTTGCACCAGTCGCAACGGGGACTTGCTCTCGCGACCGCCGCTAAGCGAGGCCGCCAGTGACGCTCTATACGCCATCCAGCTCAGGCCTGCCGTCGACGAACACCAGAGCCTCGCTCAAGTCGACCTTGCCGATGCGCTTGAGCTGTCCGTTGGTGGGAAGGGTGTCATCGGCAGGAAGGTGTCCATTGTGACGGACTTGAAGGACACTGGCACTACCCTTGCTGAAGGCATCATTGGCTGGAACTGAATTCTTGAACATATGCATGGCGAGGCGTTATGGAGTTTCGATATGGCTGGCATAGGAAGGATCATGGAAGGAAAATGGACATCACGTGCGCGCCCTCGGGTCGCTACCGACTTACTCAATTTGATACATTTACGTCATTGACATCTCATCCAAACTCGAAGGGCTTGCTGACTTAGCATTCATGGGGGGTCACGTTCAAGAGCATCACCTTGCAGCAATCACAACAAAGCAACACCGAGTCACGTCATGGAGAAGATAAGTTTGAGAATGCTGCATTGGTACGAGACTCTGACTAGGGGTGATGATCGAGGCTAGGGACAACAGAAGTCAAACAATAAGAACAACAACAATGCTTCAACACATCCATCAACCGTGAATAACGCCCATGAGCACCATGCCATCAGTTCCATCGCGTTCCTTCTCTACTCGGCAGTGAGGTAGAGACCAATGCTGTGTGAAGTCAGTCAGCTATGGGACTTGCAAACAAGAAGACGAAAGAGAGGAAGGAGAAAGAGAAGAGAGAGGCAAAGGTGAAGGAAGAGGAAGGTGGAGAGGGAGGGGGAACCAGAATGAGAATGGAAGGAGGAGCACTCACGGGCAAGGGTTGAAGTCCTGGAACCACCTGAGGTAAGTATCAGAGACTCCTTCGATGTAGAAGCCCATGACGCCGGGCGTGCACTGCGCCCTGCTAAGGACGTAGCTGTTGCCGGGCCTGAAGGTGAAGGCATTCCTGTTCTCGCACTGGGGAGCGGTGCTGTAGGTAGTCGACTTGGAGACTCCCCTGGTCCAGCCGGCGTAGACGTGGCCGAGGCCCCTCAGTTCGAAGCTGGAGGTTTCGAGTTGCCATTGCTCAGGGAACATGAACCTGACCGTGCAGGTCTTGCCAGAGTAGTGACCGGGGATGTCGAAGTTGAAGTACGACTTGACTGACTTGGAGACAGTGCCGAAGAAGGAGGTGCCAGGGGCAAAGTCAGGCCTGTTGGACTCGACAGGAACGATCAAGTGCGGGAACTGTTGGATGTTAGTCATGTGGCATCTTGCTGAGTACGATTGAGGGTAAGTCTTACCTCCCAGTTGCCGCTGAGCTCACCAGGGCACCTTGAGCTGCGGTTCAGGCATCCAGAACCTGAGCAAGAGGAACGAATGCATCCGGAACCCGAGCAAGTGGAACTCATGGACCTCGAACCCATGAACCTCGAACTCACGGACACCGAACTCGCGGACCTCGAGGGGGTGGGAATCGACTGGGTGCAAGGAGGCGAAGCGCAACGAGGAGTGCTGACAGATGGGAAGTTCTGCCTGGGCGGCGAGACAGGGGGCAACCCCGGAGGGGAGAGGCGCCTGGTGCAGCGTGTTCCAGAGCAGATGCCCGCCTGACGAACGGCTCTGCACCTGTTCGCGACGAGAGTGACCTCGGAGCAGTAGTCACCGGGAAGAGGGGCCTTGTAGATGTTGTGTCCAGAGTGGTCGCCGGTCGGGCAAGCCCACCATTGAGCACTGCCATGGAGGGTGACGATGCCTTCGTAGCCGATGTGCCAGCCGGTCCAGGAAGCTTTGCCGTGGTCACACTGGAACTGCTTCTCCCAGCCGGCGAGGACGCAGCCGAAGTGGTTCTGGTCATACAAGCCTGTTTCCATCAAGCCCAGTCAGCATCATTCGAGTGGAAGCGGTGGAAGGCATGTGTGGTGGAGAAGCAAGTGTGATGAGATGCAAAGGTGTAACAGAAGGAGACGCATGAGACAGAGGCCAGCGAAAGGTGCAGAGTGAGGCAGTGTGGGTAAAGCGAGAGCCAAGAGTACATGATATCGAAGAGTGCCAGGGGAACATGAAGCGGGCTGGGACAATGTGGAAGCATGCAAGGGGCATGAGGGAGGTGTGAGGCGAGACGGGATGGGAGGAGAGGAGGAGGGAACGTACTGTAGCTCCAGCTGTTGGTGCAGAAGCTGGAATCGTACTGGAGGTTCGTTTGTCCGATGCGAAGCTGACCGTCGGGGAGCTGCTTGACGTTGCCCCAGAAGCCTTCAGAGACAGAGCCCTTGACGCCGTAGGCAGAGATGCCGAAGCAGCTGGCACAAGAGAAAGTCAGTGGAAGCTGAGTGATGAGAGAGGCAATGGAACACTGACCATTGTTGGTTGAGCGACTCAGCGGACGGCGCAGGAGCCGCGAGGGCGCTGGCTGCGAGACCAAGGGCGACGGCGGCGGTCTTCATAGTGGGTGGTGGCGTGGATGAGATGCTCGAGAATCAGAAGCAACAAGTGCGGTGGATGGGCAAGCAATGGAGCAATGGGGTAACGCTGCAGAGAGCTGATGGGTGTTGGATGAAGAAGAAGAAGAGAGAGTCGAGCGGCGAGAGGAGGGGTTTAAGTAGGCAGCCCTCGCCAGCGAGGCGGAAGGCAGTTGCTCTTGGTGGAAGGCACGACTCCCCGCCGCGCTCCCCCATCAGAGCCGTCGAGCCCTCTCGACCCGCTGCCGCCCACCTTTCTGGCAATTGTGCCTGGCGCATTCGTCCGACCGGTCAGAGGGCGCGCGGATTCGCGGAAGTCATGCCCTCGAGACCGCCCAACGGGGCAGGGCGAGCAGCGAGGTTGATGACGTGGAGGCAGCGCTCGCAATAGCGGTCGCGCGAGAGGAAGGAAAGTCTGCTATGCGCAGAAGGCGGTGGCGCTCACTTTCGCCCGCTCACAGCCGTGAGCCGTCGAAGTGTGGAAGGCGAGTCTCGTCGAGCGGCAGTCACAGGGATGACGGCGGAGCTGACGCGCGGTGGATTTCCGCGATGACGGGCATGGCGGCCAAGGATGTGCGCAGACCGCTCCATATCGTTCTTCATGGCTACAATGGGCTGAGCGGTGGTGTCGTAGACGCAGGCGCGCTGCTGGGATGCAATGGTGTTCGAGGCGGCGTCGTCCACAAGCACACCACCCTTTCCCGCCCATCGCCGTGGCAGTAGTTTGAGCACACAAAGAAGTTGAATGAACTCCCACATGGACTACAAAGAACAGTTTGCTTTCCGCGAACACATTGCACCCGTGCCACGCAGCCTAAACGACTAATCATTTGGAGTTTGTAATTTTCCTCACTTTTGATGGAGAGTAAGAAGGAATAGACCTCGACTATTTACCTGCCTTCCCTTGATTTTAACCCCCAGGATTTCTCCATTTTTTGTTCTCTCCAGTCCCCAGTAGTTCTCTCATTTGCAAGCACGTAGATACCAAAGAAACGATCCTCCGCAATTCTCTTCGGGAGCAAAGACAGCCAACTTACGTAGGACGCTGAAGCTTTCATCCGGACGAAGATGTCGGATTATTAAATAGGCATCTACGTCCGGATGGTAGCTTCAACTACCTATGTCATCTTCAGCCTTTTCCTCACCGGTCCTTCTTCGTCGACAGCTTCTCCCGGCTCCTCGCGCGGCTGCGTCACCAGCGGCTCCAAGTACGCTCGAACTCTCTCAACAAATTGGTGCGCGTTGTGGCCGAAAACTTTAAATTTCTTGATTCCTCGAAGGCGGCTCAGGATATGAAATTCCGGAGGCAAATTCAGATCCCTGTCATTCCAACCAGGGTATTCGATCTGAAGAGTGAGGTTCTCCAACTCCTGGCACGTAGCTAGGATGAAAATATCTACCATTGCAGCAGGATAGGTGATAGTGAGGTTTCGGAGGTAGTTGCGACGAGTTCCTCTAAGATTTCTCAGGATAGGGATGCCTCCGCAGTAGAAGTAGTTGATGGTTCCGAAATCGTTAATGCGGTAGAAAATGGGCAAAGCCTCCTCGTGGATTTTCTTGGAAACAGAAAGTAGGGCAAGAATTCTACTAGCTGGCGGACATATGAAGTCGGTCGAGCCATACCATGACCCCGGTGTGTGGGGGCCGGCATTACCATAGTACTTCACGTGGCTGAGGAAGTGGCCCTTTATCTTCCGGCGTTGCGCTCTCGTCCAGCAAATGTGCGGGTGCGCCGTCAACTGTTCGCACGGCATGCCTAGAACGTACTCATATACGTTAAGGCGTAGCTCTGCTGGAAGTCTCATGAAGGGGAAGGCCTTGTGACTTTTCGGGAAAATCATGTTGTAGTGACCGACGACGATGGCGTAGCGTAGGCTGAGGTATTGCTCCTGCTCCCAAGGCATCGCGACATGTCGATATTTCTCGCTCAAAGGCACAATAGGCGGATCATATGTGATGAAGAAACCTCGAAGCCTAGCTCTCAGATGGGCGAGTCCATGTGGATGCTGCGTGAAGTACTCAAAGTGCGTCTCCATCCAGTCGAGTATATCCTGGCCAGTCGGTGAGCGGTTGACGTGATCAACGATGGCCAGGGCGATAAGCTGGTGGAAATTCAGCTTGGGTCTTCGATCTCCGCAGTCAGGCACGGTCAGGGTAGTCGGAAGGACGGTGGTGGACGTGACGATTTCAGGTGGTCTCGACATCCCGAATCGCGCCAGAAATGACTGTTTTTCCAGTCTATCAAAAGCCTTTTGAGACTCTATCGGCGACAGGGCATCCATATCGCCTTTGTAAATAGGCTGAAGGTCCATTCCAAGGGAACCAGGCATTGTGCCACGTGTGCGTACGGCAACAAAGCTGAGGTGAGGCCGATTAAAGGCGGGTCAAGCGATGGACCGTGGAGGAGGCGTGGCTCCACAAGCCCAGTCGTTGTTCGCGTGCTTGTAGGAGACTCGGGTGGGAAGGAGAGCGATAAGCGGGGTTGAGTTTGTGTTGTGCGGAAAAAAAATTTGACGCGGAGGAAGAGAGTTGGAGCGAAAGAGGTTTCGCGTGGGATGAGTGTCGTGTTTTGGTGCGGCTTTAGTGAGGTGAAGCCCGAGCCATGGTAGCGATTGCGAATTACGGAAAGGAGAAAGCAGTCGGTATCAGGGTCCAATATCACGGCCCAACAGGTTTCAGGTCGACACAATGGGTACTTGAAGCTATCGTCCGGACGAGAATGTCGAATTAAGAAGTCTACATACACGTCCGGACGATAGCTTCAACTACCCATGTGTTGTCGATTTGTTTCAAGGAAAAAGAGAAGGCTGAGGCATAGTTACTGAGGGTTCTGCGGTTCTTCGCGTTAGCCTTCGGCCGCAATGCCCCTCTGTACTCTCTGCGTGGCCAACAGCTCGAATGCACCCGAAAGCATTTTCTGATTCACCTGATTGTACATATCAAACAAAGATCAGCCGTGACGTCAAACCATGGTATTGAAACCTATAGTACACCATCCTCTCTCCTGAAAGCAGCCCTTTAATGTACTAACTTCGAAGGCCCTCGTCCGCACGCGCAATCTTGCCGCCGGTGAGCTCTTCAGCAATCCTGTGAATGCGTTCCTGAGTCACGAGCTCGGGAATCGACATCTTCTCCAACGCCCTGTTGCCCAAGCCCTGGTTGTTCTGCAACATCTGTTCCATGTTCAACAGCTCGCCTCTGGCCCAGATGCTGCGTCCCTGCTGGTTGCTGGAGGCGGCGAAGCCCGGAAGGTTGTCCTGGGTGCCGAACGTGTCTTCGATAACCTTAGACAGCTGGTCTTCGGTCACAATGTAATCTCTCGCGTGCACGTAGAGCGTGTGCAGCATATCCTTCCTCTCGTCCGACTTCGCCGCCTCTATGCGTTCGACCCGCTTCCTCTTCCACTTCGGATTCACCTTGGAAGGGACGTAGTACATGCCCTTGAGGAAGTTGCGGACGGCCAGGGGCGTGCTGGGGCTGGTGAAGACCTCGTCATCGCGCGGCGGCTGCTTGATCAGGCGCACCTGTTCGTTCTGGCGCCGAGCGCCGCGCTGGGCCAGGTATTCGTCCGATTGTTTCTTGCGCTTGTGCAAAGCGGCCACACCTTCGCGCAGGTTCTTCCTCCTCAAAGCGGCCAACCGTTGCTCCCAAGCGAGGCGGTCGGCGTGAGGCCCGCTGGGCGGTGCTGCGTCGGATGGCTCCCGCGTGGCATTGAGCAGGAATTTCGCCGACTCCTTGGCCTCCTTGCTGCGGGTGACAAAGATGTTGCGGGGAACGGGCAGCGAGCCTTTGACGACGGGCGTGTACGGTGCGGTTTGCTGCGGCGCCTTGGGGACTTCGATGTATCTGGGAGATTCGGGAGGGATCTGGAGCGAGGCGGGCGAGGAAGCAAAGGTGCGGCGCGCTACGGAGGCATTGACGCAGGCATTGCACCGTATCGAGGCCGACAAGGCCGTCCGGGCGTGCGATGGAGGCATGGCTGATGGCGGTTGCTCGCGTGGTCGATCGCGTTGCCGTCGCCAGACTTTCTCAGACGCTTTGTCGGTAGAGCTTCGGCTGGAGATCTTGGCGGTGAAATCTTGGCGCGAAAGCCCCGAAAAAAAGATCGAGCGCGCCCGAGCGTCGCAGCGCACTCAACTCTCCACTTCGCCCGCTTTTCGCTCTTTTTCTTCTTCCTCTCTGCGCCCTTCAGATTTGCTTCTGCAAGCGCCGCGTGGTGCATCAACCGCGCCGAATTCCTCTTTCCCTTCTCGAGTAACCGTCATCGCGAGCGCGTCGCTGCGTGTACCGCTACCATGGGTACCGGAAAGAAAGAGGCAACCAGGAGGGAGCGGCAGGGGAAGACTGGCGATGGCATGAGCAATGTCAGGACCAAGGGCGAGAACTTCTATCGGTAAGTGGACATGAATGGCAACCTGCAGAGTAGCTGCTAACCTTGCATGCAGCGATGCGAAGAGGGTGAAGCACCTGAACATGTTCAAGGATGGCAAGGCCCAGAGGAACGCACGCGGTGAAATCACCAAGGCTGCCTCGTACCAGTCCAAGGAAATTCCCAATGCCCGCATCGAGCCGAACCGCAAATGGTTCACCAACTCCCGCGTCATCAGCCAAGAATCCCTCTCGGCGTTCCGCACCGCCATGGCTGAGCGTGCAACAGACCCATACTCGGTGCTGCTGAAGTCGAACAAACTTCCCATGTCCCTGATCAGAGACGGTCAGGACAAAGTCAACGGGATCAAGCAACATCAAGCCAAGATGACCATTGACACGGCTCCGTTCAAGGATACTTTCGGCCCCAAGGCACAGAGGAAGCGAGTGAAGATTGGTGTCTCGAACATCGAGGATCTTGCGGGAGAGACAGTCAAGTCCCATGATAACTACCTGGATCGTCTCGAGCAAGCACAACTGCTGAGCGGAAACTCTGGAGCTGGGGGCGAGGGTGACGACTTCGACATGACCTCAGCAGCACGTGAGGCTGTCTTCTCCAAGGGCCAGAGCAAGCGTATTTGGAACGAGCTGTACAAGGTCATTGACTCTTCCGATGTGGTAATACACGTCCTGGATGCCAGAGACCCTCTTGGTACGAGATGTCGGTCTGTGGAGAAGTACATCAGAGAGGAGGCACCTCACAAGCACCTGATCTTTGTGTTGAACAAGTGTGACTTGGTGCCGACGAAGATTGCTGTAAGTTCCAAACCCCATTTTATTTCATTTTTTGCACCACTCCCCTGCAGCCCCATCGCTAAGTCAGGGCTTTTTCCTGCACTCGTTGCAACTCTCTATGGAAAAGGTCCGTTACAGCTTTGGGAGATCAAGCTCGTCCCGCCGCTTCTGGCCGTCATGGTTTTGAAGTTGGATAATCTCCGTCTTGGCGTTTGTCCGCAAGGGTCTGAGAATGATTCGTTTTGAGTTGAGGGCCGTCTCCACGCTCAGTGGTTACCATGGCAGTCCTCTTAGTTACGTTTCATACATACCCCGAACATAGTTTTCGTATTGCTGTTCGAAGGTCAATTACTGACGATCAACAGGCTGCTTGGGTCCGCTATCTCTCGAAGGATTACCCCACCCTCGCTTTCCACGCTTCGATCAACAACAGCTTTGGAAAAGGCTCTTTGATCTCTCTCCTCCGCCAATTTTCTTCCCTTCACTCCGATCGCAAGCAAATCTCTTGTGGTTTGATTGGCTACCCCAACATTGGCAAGTCTTCTATCATCAACACGTTGAGGAAGAAGAAGGTTTGCACGACGGCGCCCATCCCCGGTGAGACGAAGGTCTGGCAATATGTCACGCTCATGAAGCGGATTTACCTCATTGACTGCCCCGGTATCGTCCCTCCGAACGGCAACGACACTGATGCCGATCTTTTGCTTCGTGGTGTCGTGCGCCTTGAGAAGACGGAGCATCCCGAGCAGTACGTTGCCGCTGCGTTGGCCAAGTGCAAGAAGCAGCATGTGCTGCGGACATACGAGCTCAAGGACTACAAGGATCACGAGGATTTCTTGGAGCAGCTTGCCCGAAAGGGTGGAAGACTGCTGAAGGGTGGCGAAGCTGATCTGGATAGTGTTGCCAAGATGGTGCTCACCGATTTCATGCGCGGCAAGATCCCGTGGTACACTCCCCTTCCAGACAAGGAGGATGACGACCAGGCTGCAAGTTCCGAGAGCCGACAAGGCCGTCTTGGTGAGATGCCTCGCAAGAGGAAGCGCGAGGAGGAGACCAAGTCGGAAGCCGGAGGCGAGGTTCAGGAGCCTGAGGACGAAGAAGATGACGATGATTCGTTCGAGGGCTTCGAGTCTGGTGAGGACGATGATGAGGACTCCGAGGCGGGCGATGCGGAGACTTTGGTCGCTGAAGAAGATGATGAAGAAGACGATGAGGCGGTCGAAGCAGATCTTGCACGGATATCAGAAGCGTTGGCCAGTGCGAAAAAGAAGAGAAAGGCGTAAATAGAAGGCTCCGAGCCTCTTTTTCAGTTGCAATCATGATACCCCGTCCGCTCTTGCGCGCTGCTGCGCTTCTTGACTTTCATCCCTTTCCCGCCAGTTCAATAATGTGTTCGCAAAGTTGTATCATCTAAATATCCCAAAGAACTTCATACCAGTATCCGTCCTCACGTAACACTTTATTCCGCGTCTACACAAAGTTACTCAAGCTCTTCTCACATTTCACAGTTGGCAACTAACAATGCGCGGCTACATGCTCCGAGTACACCAGCTCTTTTTTTTTTTTTAACCTCGCCCCTCCAAACTATACATCCCTCGATATCTGCCTCACGCCTGCGCTTCCCGTTGATATCCGCTCATCGAAAGTCAATGTGTATGTACCACGTTATAATTCGTACTCGGATCGATGCGGGGTCGGTCCTTGGCTCTTTCCCAACACACAAGGGTACCCTAATAAGCTTACGCGTGGGGCCGCCGGGCTGGGTACTACCTACCTAGTACGGGGCGTAAAGGAGACGTTTGCGTCTTGCGCTAACGTCGGACGCGCGCGCATCGGATGCAGTCAGGGACTACCCGTTGGAGTTTGGTGGGGGGAGCCGACAGTAGCACGGAGCTTAGAGCTGAAGTGAGCTTATATTTATTTGCCGCGACCTCCGCGCGTTTGACGTCTCAGCAGATTTCTCTTTTTCTAGAGAGACATTCTCGCTGGTTTTAGATTGTAGACGATTCATTGAGATTCCTTTCCCCACAGCGCTGAAGATGGCGGCACCGAAGAGCTCTTTCCGCCACAAGGACACGGCCGGCCTGGTCGACAGCGCGAGCCACATCTTGCACGACGGACCGATCGTAAGTAGCATCGAATTCCCCTTCTACAGTTTTCCGCTAACTCACTCTGCAGAACGCAAACTACCCCACCCGCTCCCTCCAATTCCTCTCCGCCCTCCGCAAGCCTGAACCCAACTCCACCACCACCGCTCCCCCAACGACAGCAGAAGAAAAAGCCACCAACGGCACCACCACCACCGCCCCAGTCGAACCCCTCAACATCCTCATCATCGGCGCCGGCATCTGCGGCCTCTCGACAGCCATCGCCCTACGCTTATCATCTCCCTCCCACTCCCCCTCCCCCCACCGCATCACCATCATCGAGCAATCCCCCACCCTATCCGAAATCGGCGCCGGTGTGCAAATTCCGCCCAACGCGACACGCCTCCTGCTGCGGTGGGGCGTGGGCCCGCATCTCAAGCCGCACGTGGTCGAGCCGGACGGCAGCGTGTTCCGGCGGTGGGAGGACGGCGCGGTGATAGGGCGGGCGAAGTTGATGCCGGAGGTGGGGCGGTGGTTTGGTGGGGATGGAGGGGATGGGGGAGGAGAGGGGTCGGCGCCGTATTGGGTTGTGCACAGGGCGGATTATCAGAGGGCGTTGTTTGAGAGGGCGAGGGAGGTGGGGGTGGAGGTGGTGTTTGGGCGGAGGGTGGTGAGGATAGATGAGGGGAGGGGCGCGGTGGTGTGGGAGGGGGTGGGGGAGGATGGGGGGCCGGATGGGAGGGAGGGGGAGATGTTGGGGGATTTGGTTGTTGCGGCTGATGGTAGGTTTTTGGTTTTTCTTTTTGGCTTATGGGGTGTTTGGGGGAGGTGGAAGGGTTTCAGACTGAGGGCTGTGGTGCGGAGAGCTTTGGGGGGTTCGCTGGCGTTGCATAGCGTCCTGCATGCTGACACGACGTGCAGGAATCCATTCGGAAGGAAGAAAGGCGGTGCTCGGCGACAGGGATCAACCGCCGGTATTGACGGGATTGGCTGCGTATAGGGCGACGATTCCGGCGGAGAAGATCAAGAACGATCCGGACACGGCGTGGATGATGGATAGCTACATTCAGAACGGCTGGTATGTGGTAAATTTCTTCATGATGACTGCTAAGCTGATGCAATCCCAGGTTTGGACCTGCCCGGCATGTCGTCGCGTACACTATCGCCGGTGGAGACTGTATCAATGTGGTGCTCATTCACCCAGAGCCTTCGGATCCGAGCACGTGGAGACAAGAGACAGCACTGGAAGACATGAAGAAGCAGTTTGTTGGATGGGAGCCAAGGTATGTTAGCGCGCAGAACGTGGGCCGGCAATTCAACCACTGACAGGCCGCAGCGTCACAAAGCTCGTCAGTCTGATTGACCGAACGCTCAAGTGGCCGATGATAGCAGGGCAAGCGCTAGAGCGGTGGGTTTCCGAGTCGGGCAAAGTGGTCATTGTGGGAGACGCAGCGCACGCCATGCTGCCCTTCATGTCTCAAGGTTGGCGAAAATCCTTGTCTGTTAGCGAGCCTCCCGTTACTCACCAGCCTTCTTTTCCAGGTGGCGCACAGGCGGTCGAAGATGGAGCAAGCCTGGCTACGCTTATATCGTCCATCTCATCCAAATCCGAGCTTCTAGCGGCACTTCACGTCTTCGAGGATTTGCGCATACCACGGACTGCACAGGTGCAGCAGGGGAGCTTCGTCAACGGGCGCATTTTCCACTTCCAAGATGGACCGGAGCAGCGAGCGCGAGACGAGGCAATGCGTGACGAAGCTGAGGGAAGGCATTACATCCAAAGTCCAAACGGGTTGAGCGATCCGACGACACAAATATGGCTGTACAGCTATGATGCGGAGGAAGAGACGAGAAAGGCGTGGGAGAAGGAGAAGAGGCATGACGCGAAACTGTGAGGCTGGCAGGGATGTCGGAAGGAATGCCACTTGGGGACTGGTGCGAGAGCGGCGCGACGTATTTCCCAGCCTTGGCAGGCTGGCTCACTTCACATCTTCCCTGCTCTGCACGATGTGCAGCGGTCTTATCCTAGCATGCGTCAGTTGAGATTCCCGAAAATTTGAATGATAGAAATTGGTGTGGAGAACTGGGAAAGGTCCAAAGAATGTCGGGAAGCAACCAAATTCCGGCAAATTCATGTTCACATGCTGCTCGTTCGGCTTGAAAACACTGCGCAGTATTTTCTCAATTCTGTGTACTCCTCTGATGTGAAGGACGCGACCTACCTGGGTGTTATGCCGTCTGTCCTTCCAATATCTCGAAACTTGAAGCAAAAGACCAGGGCGTGGGCAGTGAAGGCATGGATTGAGCGTGTCCAGCCCAATTTTCACCCAGCAGTTGTGACTGGATGGTCTTCTAAGCTTCTGGGGTGCAATTGATCCTTCTGTACTCAAGAGACTCTTGAGAAGACGTGGTCGCGACCAGGTTTGATACCGCTGCTCCAGGAGTCAGTGATGATCCACGCCCAAGCTAAGCAGCAGCGCGATGACTTCCACCACTTCCATGTTCCGCCTCAAATGTGCTGCTCCTGAAGTATATAGTCGTATTGCTCGAACCCGTCATCCAAGTTGCGGCGCTGCGGCGCAAGCAACATCGTCGTGCGGTTCTCATCGAGACGCGTCGTGGGAGCTGCGTCGTCCGGATTCGTCGACTTCCTCTCGTGGAGAAGGAATGGATGGTGATAGGCATGCGCAGTCATAGTGAGAGGTCTTGAGCGGATGTGGCAGCTGAGGTAAACGAAGATACGATGCATAGTTTTGCGGTGCGGCGAGAGCTTGCTCGCCGGCGCTGGGCGCGGCGCAGCCTGCCCGTGCCTTCCAGGTTGGGAAGCAACGGAAATTAAGCGAGCTTTGTTTACAAGATCTTCTCGCGCCCCCCCAGCACACTTAGAAAGACCAAGTCACACCAAGATCACTAACGTCATCATGGTGCGCATCTCTCGCTCGTAAGTAACTGACCCTCCCCCATGCAGAACCAGATAACGCCGCTATAGTAAGCTAGCTGAACTTCAGCGAAACTATGACAGGAGGTTTGGTAGGATTGGCCGCGGCGAGGAAGCACGTCCGGAGGACATACCACTCAATCACTACGTCAGATTCAACCAAAATCCCCATGAGCACATTCGCCGGGGGGACTTCCTGCGGGAAAGCCTTGGTGTCGCCGTGGTTCGGGAGCTGGACGAGGCATACGCGTACGCACGCTTGCAAGGCGATCTCAATCTGCCCGATCGTCAGGTCTACTTCACCGACGGTTCAGCGTTCACACGGGCAGACCCGTTGTCCCCTTGCGTCGCTGCCGCGTTTGTCAAGTTTCCCTCCGGAGCAACCACCACTCACGTACAGATCATGAACCCTCATCCGATGGATCATGTTCCCGCCGCGAGCCAGGGCAAGCTCTCGTTCACGGTGGAGTGTGGTGGCCTCTGGCTCGCTGCCAAGGAGGCACTTCGGAGCAAGAAGGACAATCCCCACAGCGAGTGGAACCTGTGTGTGGCTCTCACGGATAGCCAGGAAGCTATCTTGAACGGTCTTTGCAGCTTCCAGAAGGACGCAAGCCAGGGTCTGCCGTGGGAGTTGATCATTGAGAGGACGCTCGAGTGCATCCGGAAACTTCGCGACCTCGGCGTGTTGTTCCTCGTTCACTGGGTCCCTGGGCACGTTGGTGTCCCGGGTAATGAGGCTGCGGATCGGTTGGCGGGCGAGACAGCCCGGTTCTTGAATGAATCTTGAGGCCACCACCTCGCATCTGCCAACCGCGTCTCGCTTCTTTCATTGGAGCCGCGCGCTACCCCTTGCACGTTCCTCTCTGCTTCTTCCTGCGAATGCCCTCACCGACACCGAGGAGAATTTTGACGTTTTGCAGACCGGGACCGTGACGACGGCGGATGAAGAGGAATCGATTCGGTCTCAGTTGGCTTCGGCTGGCTTGTGCCGGGAGATGACTTGTAAACGCACCCGCGAGGATGCTTGGTCCTTCGGGGCTTCAGGCTAGTGGGAGTGTCTGATGTTGTCCAGAGGTTGTGGTACGCTTTCTTGATTGTCTCCATTAGGCCTCCCTTCTGGCGTTCGCTAGAAGGGTTCACGGAGTACATGATCAAAGGCACTGACGAAACGAACATCGTAAGTCAAGTGCAACATATTTAGTTTCGGCTGGAATTTCAATCTGGACGTGTTCTTGCTGCTTTCCAAAAGCTTGGACCCGTCCTCTTGAACTTCCCACCCATTGATAGAGCTTTTGAAATAGACTAAATGTATTTGAAGTAATGAATCAATTTCAATGGTAGAACTTAAGCAGCACATGCAGTCTTATCATATGTAGTTTGCGGAACGCAACGCCAAAGGCAGATAGCATATATCCAGGCACTAGATAGACAGCATGATCACCTCGCAGCAGTCACTTGAGTGTCATATATCGATTTGGCGAGTCGCTTCCTCAGAAAATGATGCTTGGTGTAGTTAAACATGTATGGAGAGGGCATGCGGACATTGTTAGCCTTCATTGACTGCCAATTGCGAATGAGGAACGCCCAATGGGTACTTGTGCTTCAGTGAAGGTAGTCGGATGCACTTATATTAGCTGAGGCGGCGTCGGGTCGCTCACTGAACGAATGCTATGCGCTGAATCGTGCCTGCCCAATCTGCCATGTTCCTGCCTGTTCTGCGCAGCGGCGCGTTCTGTGTTGACGTGTGGTGGCGTTGTCGTGGAGACGCGTCGGCGGGTCGGCCGCTGTGGGAGGTCGCATAAAACACCGTCGCACCCTCGACCCTCTCTCTCTCCCCCACGACTTCCTGTAACCATGGCATACACGGAAGACATTTTCGATGAGTATGAGCGCTCCCTTCCCCATGGAAAGACCTGGATAACACCTACACCAGCATGAGCGCCGACGAGATCACCCGGGTCGCGCGCCGGCGTCGCCCGGCGCAGACGAAGAGGCAGCAGCACGACGCGCGGATGCGAAAGCGCGAGCGAGAGGGGTTCGGCGCCAATCACTCGGTGAGGGGTGACATGGCGGACCTGAACTTCGACGTCGTCAAGCACAACCCGGTCGACGCGAAGCGGACGGCGATGCGGGTCCACGAGCAGCCGCCGGACGACGAGACGATCGCCTTGTTCACCGACGCCTCGCTTAAACGCGCGCAGGTAGGAGGACTGGGTGTCGTTCGAGTCGAGCCGCGCGATCCTGCTGCTCAACAGGGCGCTACGCCGGGTGCCGCCGATGATGGTGGCGACAAGGCGAGCAAGGCTTATCGGCTGAAGGTCGTGACGTCGAGCTTGTTCTTGGCTAGGCATCGCCCGAGCGACTGCCCCATCAAGGTCCCGGTGCTGGATTCGGAGGAGGTCGAGCTGTAAGTCCTTTTTCCCTTTTTCTTTCCCCTTCCCTTTCGACCAAAGAGATGCTCTGATGTCCTGGTTCGCAGGATGGCCGACCTGAAGGCCTTCAAGTACGCCTGCTACGAGGTGGAAGCCAGGAAAAGCCGCGGTCTGACTACTCGCCGCGTGTGGATCTTCGGCGACTGCCTGGATGGCTTGGACAAGGTCCGCCTCTACAAAGCGGGTGATTCCGCGTGGGAGCGCCACCGCTACGCCTACATCCTGCGGCAGATCTTGGAGTGCGCCCGGAAGCTCAAGGAGCTTGGAGTGTACGTGAAGTGCCACTGGGTCCCTGGTCACGCGGGGGTTCCTGCCAACGAGTGCGCGGATTACGTCGCCGGCAAGGTCGCTGCTGGTGAGAAGTGGACTTCCCAGCGCGTCTACCGGTTTTAATCCCACCGCCTCCCACATGATCGTACACCTCCCTGCTTTTCCTTTGAGCCGCTCCTGGGGTGGGCGCACAGCAGCTCCTTCATGGCTCTCCTTCGAAACCGGACCCGTTCATCGCCGCTCCGGTCGCGCCTGCGCAGCTTTCGGCTTACCGACGCGCAGCGGGCTTGACACCTCTTGCTGTGGCTTTGAAATCTGCGTTGCTCTACTACTGCTTCCTGACTAACGGCGCGCCGGTGGCCTGGTTGTCCCTCGTTGGTGGCAATGGTTTACCGGAAGTCGTGCGCGCTCTATCTTCATCCCGCTGTGAGGTCCCCATTGCCTCCCCCTCTCCCCTCTCCCCTCTCCCCTCTCCTCCCTCCTCCCTCCTCCCTCCTCCCCCATCCCCTCCCACATCCTTTACTTTTCTGCCTCCCTGCACTCTAATGCTTTGGCTTTCCTGCCTTTACTCCCCTCTTCATTTCCCCAAACTAATGTGTAATGTGTAGTAGAAGGCCGGGGCAGCCTCGCTATTGCCGAATGCCCGGTGGCTGGATGGGCTCGAGAAGGGATGAGGTTCACTGGATTGCTTTACATTTTTGGTCAGGTCCCCCCCTCTTCTCCCCTTTAATGTTTAATAGTCATGTCTAAGTCACTCTTAGATTCGACGCAGCAAGGGTCGGGGATACCCGCAAATCCCGGTGGATGGTTGGCCGGAGGACAGGATATCTGGTTGGATGCGGGATTGGCGGGAGGCGCAAATGGAGACAACTACTTTCATTTGTGGGGTTCTTGAGCGGTAGTACTTACAAGAGCTGGATGGGTAATGTCCTGGGATCTTGGGAAGGCCGGTAAAACAAAAGCGAGAGGCTGGCAGCTCTGGAGGATTGTAATCCAGGTCGCGGTCAAGGCGCGACATGTTTGCTTGAGGGCTTTATATAGAAAATCTGCAACTTCAACTATCGTAATGAGCTGCCAGGTGCAATGATTAGTGAATGCTAAACAGTTCGAGCCGTATGGACAGGTGCAATTCCTACCGCTTCGGAATATGTCAGGTTCTCCAAATCGAGACTTCGTGATAGCGGTGGAGCGACCCGGCACGGTGTTGCAGCGCCGGACAGCGCGCACAGACCAGGTGCCTGTTGCGTGCAAGAATATATTGCTCAGCGCGGGCGCGTCTTCACTTCACCCGAAACACCGCAAACCACCAAAGACACAATGGCCACCGCTAAAGAGCTAAATGAGTCGTAAGCCCGCATCATCTCAAACCCATCTAAAGGGAGTTTTTAATCTACACATAGCAAGAGCACAAACACAAAAGCGACGGTACCTCGAAGACCTCTATGAAGAGGAGCGGGACAGGCGGTCCTGGCAGTTCCCAGAAGACACACCAGCAACGCACACCAACCAGCTGAAGCACGGGGCTTCACCTGGCGATTTCATGGTGCTCGGCGGCCAGGGTGTCGTGCGTCCGCTGTACGAGGCGTACGAATACGCCAGGCTCGAGTACGAGCGTCCAGACCGCCGGCGCCTCTCATACTGGACCGACGCGTCCTGCAGCCATGTACATCCCGACTCTTCAAAACCAGAAAACCGCGAATGGCGGTGGCACGCGACGGCGGTCGTGGGCCGCGAGGACTTTTGCGCAACCGGCAGCCTGGACTGGACGCACGACACCGGCCTCTACCGCCCTCGTCCGCAGAAGAGCGAGGTGATGGAGTTCCGCGCGCTCGACGCGGCGCTCGGCCGGGCGATGCAGAAGCTGCAGCGCGACCACATCGCGCTTGGCGGCCGCCGCGCTGGATGGGACACGTTCGCCGCCTTCACCGACAACATGCACAACATCAATATCATCGCGCATTTCCGCCGGCGTGACCGCGAGCACATGGCCAAGCCTTACGCGCCCGTCATCCTATCCATCCTCGCGAAGGTCCGATTCCTGGTTCTCCACGGCGTCGGGGTGCAGCTGCACTGGGTGCCGGCTCACGTTGGCATTGAGGGCAATCATCTTGCGGACGCGAAGGCGAGGGAGACTGCGTGGTTTGGGCAGGAGTGGGCGGCTGCTGATCGTTCCGTGGCTTGGATCCAGTCCCGGGCGGATGGCAGCGAGCCCACGGCTGTCATGCTTGTGTAGTGGCTTACAGATTGGTGCTGCAGCTGATAGCTAGCGCGAAGAATAGCAGGGCTCTAGAACATAGCTTAGAAAAATAACATACGTGGGTAGTTGAAGCTATCGTCCGGATGTGTATGTAGAATTTTTAATTCGACATTCTCGTCCGGACGATAGCTTCAAGTACCCATGACATGAGCAAAAAAAAAAAACAAATCCACGCTAGCCATCGGCTGCCAGAGGGGACTGTACAAACAGATGCCCTGATGGTGGATGCCTGGCCTGGCGGGAAGGCGCGGGCTGTGGTTCTCCATTTCAAAGCATTTCTGGGGATCTTCCGTGGATTACCAAGGCTCGCCGAGTCCCGGAACGAGTGGCAAGAGGTGGTGATAGAGGGATGGAGTTGAGGTAGGTCGAAATAGCGCTTCTCCGACACCGGCGGCCCGTGCACGGTTCGACGACCCCACAACGAACTCGCGCGTCGCCGCTGTTGACGCTGACAAGGCCCATCTCCGCCATTGACGCGCCCCGCAATGCGATACACTGAAGGCGAGAGCTCGCGCAGCTTCAAAACCACGCCCTGCCGCTCCCGCTGACCAAAATTTCGCTTTCTTTTCGTCCGACTATTACTGATCCGCGCGTCAGCAGAAGCCCGAGAAATTCCAAACGTCATTATCCGTCATCGCAGCTCCCCGCATCTCGCCGCTGCAGCTTTCCCGCCGTCGAATCAGAAGCCCGAGCTCCCGTCAAGCTCCGAGCTTCTTTTCGCCGCCATCACATCTTCTCCCACTCTCGACGCTCGCCGAGTCCTCCCCGCACTACATAATACACCATGAGGCCCATTCTCGCATTCGCAGCAAGAACCGCCGTCCGCTCGCGCTTCAACCCCGTTTCTTTCCCCGTCCTCCGCTCAAGAACATACGCAATGGGTCACAACATCCCTCCGGTGAGTCGAGCGACTTTTCTGCAGCCAGGCATTGGCTGACTCATGGCAGCTCAGCGACAAGTCGCTCCTCAAGACCAAGACGTACATCAACGGCGAATGGGTCGGCGCAGCCTCAGGCAAGACCTTCGAGGTCACCGATCCCTCGACCGGCGCTGTTATCGCTACCCAGCCCGAGATGGACAAAGCAGACACCCAGAAGGCCATTGACGCCGCCGCAGCCGCCCTGCCCGCCTTCAGCAAGCTCACCGGCCGCGAGCGCGCCCGCCTGCTGCGCAAGTGGTACGACCTGATGATCGAGAACGCCGACGACCTGGCCAAGCTCATAACATGGGAGAACGGAAAGCCGCTGGCGGACGCGAAGGGCGAGGTTACCTACGCCGCGAACTTCTTCGAGTGGTTCTCTGAGGAGGCGCCGCGCGTCTACGGCACCAGCATCCCCTCGACCGTTGCCGGCAACCGCGTCTTCACCCGCAAGGAGCCTGTCGGCGTGTGCGGTCTGATCACGCCCTGGAATTTCCCCGCCGCCATGATTACCCGCAAGATCGGCCCTGCGCTGGCAGCCGGCTGCACCGTCGTCGCGAAGTCGCCCGGCGAGACCCCGTTGACGGCCGCCGCCATTGCTGAGCTCGCTCACCGCGCCGGCATCCCCAAGGGCGTCGTCAACTTCGTGACTGCACTGCACAACACGCCCGAGGTCGGCGAGGTCATCACCACCTCGCCCATCGTCAAGAAGGTCTCGTTCACCGGTAGCACCAACGTCGGCAAGCTCCTCATGAAGCAATCAAGCAGCACGCTTAAGAAGCTGTCCTTCGAGCTCGGCGGCAACGCACCCTTCATCGTCTTCGACGACGCGGACCTCGACACCGCCGTCACCGGCGCCATCGCCAGCAAGTTCCGCAGCTCGGGCCAGACGTGCGTGTGCGCGAACCGCATCTACGTGCAGCGCGGCATCTACGACAAGTTCGCCACCGCCTTCGCCGAGAAGGTCAAGCACTTCAAGGTCGGCGGCGGCTACGATGAGGGCGTCACGCACGGCCCGCTCATCCACGACCGCGCGGTCGGCAAGGTCGCTCAGCACGTCGAGGACGCGGTCGCGCACGGCGCCAAGGTGCTCATCGGCGGCCAGAAGCTGCCCGAGCTGGGCGACAACTTCTTCCAGCCCACGGTGCTCCGCGACGTCACCACCGACATGCGCATCGCCCACGAAGAGACGTTCGGCCCCGTCGCCGGCCTCTTTCCCTTCGACACCGAGGCTGATGTCGTGCGTATGGCGAATGACACCGAGGTCGGCCTGGCTGGCTACTTCTTCAGCAAGGACGTCCAGCGCGTGTACCGCGTCGCCGAGGCGCTCGAGGTCGGCATGGTTGGCGTCAACACTGGCATTATCTCTGACCCGGCTAGTCCGTTTGGTGGTGTTAAGGAGAGCGGCTTCGGGCGTGAGGGCAGCTTTTTGGGTATTGAGGAGTACGTCGTTACGAAGACTATTACGCTTGGTGGTATGGGTCAGCCGCTGCAGGGTTCGTCGTAGGGAGGGTGAGGTAGCTGTGGCGTGAGGGGGATTAGACTGGAAGATACCATGATTATGGCCTGCAAGGGTCCAAGGAGGTATAACGGGAGATGGAAAATGTGGATATCATGCACACGAGGCGTCCGAGGCTTTGGTGGACTTGGCATAGTTTTTTCGTTTTTGAACAAGGCAATTTTATGGTTTGAGATATGACTATCATGGATTTGGGGACACTGTGATGATCGATGGGAGAATGATGATGTGTGGATAGCCATCCTGGCTGCTCGAACTAAGAGAGGGGGGTTATGCACGGTGAGCAACTGCTGACTATGTATATCTCACCTTCTCTGGTATGCGTGACGGGCTGAATATCCTGGCATCGAGGTTCTGCACCGGACTCGGCCAAGATTGGCCATTCTCTCCCAAGGTCATCGGCATCATTGTCTTCTTTGCTCTTTCCCTCCTGCTCGCCATATCTGTGATTGGTCACACTGCTGCTTGGATGCCAACGCCGTAAGATCTTTATGGAATGGAAACAAAGAAGAGAGATGGCGAGCTCCCTCGTTGTCATCTACACGGGTATGTCTGGCCGTCTGGCCTTGTATGGCCTCGAGGGGCATTGAATCTAGGCATCCGTCCTTGAAGAGGTCGTCAAAGAGTTCCGCATCGCCCTCCGATGTTTGGCGGGCGGGTTGCGGGGTTTGAGCGGGGTTCGGACAGGTCTTCCTTGACCCAATTCGTGCAGTGGTGTCCAGAGAATGGGTGGTTTCAACCATGGAGGGCTTGTATGGTTGGTCGTCGGCGTCAGCAGGAGGCCTTTTCGTTCTGCTGTACCTGAGACGGCGGCAGTGCTTCGCATCACTTTTCTCTCAACCTGACATGCGGGCGGGCAGGCGGGATGGGTGGAGGGACAGCTGTCTTCCAATACTCATTGATCCAACTGTGCAGGAGTCGAGCAATGTCGACGTCTTGCGGTTCACGGCTGGGCTTCCTGGTGGAGCGGGCTCAAGATTGCGTGGATGAGCTTACCCTCGATATCAGGCGACTATCCTGCGCCTAGGTCGTTGGTCGCGATCAACGGCCTCAGCTGTCTTGTGGAACTTCTCGGCGGCGGGCCGCCTGGGTATCTCTGTGGCTGCGGAGGTCGGAGTGAGCGTCGGACATGGCGCGTAGGAGCTTGTGAGGGAGCGCGGAGGAGCAGGTAATTTGTCTGTACTTCGGCCATGGCTTTCGGTGCATCTGGGAGCAGCGTCAGTTGGCTTTAGTGGCGTTGCGTGGCGGGAAAGATTGGCTTGGTTTGGAGTGCGGCATGGATGGGCGGAGCGAAGACTTGATGGGTGGCTGGTGTAGGTAGAGACTTGAGCGCGAGGCGCCTGAGACGAGGGGAGCTTTGGCACTGCGCGTGACTTGGAGAGTATTCTAGCTCGAAGAGGGCGATGGGAATAAGGAAGGGGCTGCGTGGGCTGGCGCGGCTGTGGGTGTGAGCTGACGCAGCCGGGTGGATCGTGTCGAGGGTGATGAACATCTTATAGCAATTCATGTGTCCAGGGAAAGGACAGAGCATCCAGTGCTATGCTCCACGTCTCTCTGGTGCGACTCTAACTGTTCTTGAGGCGCGCATTGGTGCGCGCGGATGAGGATGTGGAAGTGTCTGAAGTCGGCCAGCGGCCTCCGTCCGGCACCGGCACCAGTGAAGGAACGCTCCTCAGCGGCTTGCGGACACGGTCGCAAGATGACATGACGGCGTATGGCGGGTATGGAGCGGTGGAAATCATATACTAGTGGATAATTTATGTGGGGTATATAAACTAAACAGCGAGCTTCTCTTGTCACCGAAAGGTACCGAAAGGTAAAAAACCACTTAGCAGATTTGTGAGGGTTTCCTAGGAGCTTACGCACCGCTGCCGAGAGCCGCATCAGGTTCAAGGTTCGATTTCGGGGAGTGTGCCGCTAGGTTTTTGCCATTTGCTTTTTTGCCATTTGTTTTGTTACTATGTCAGGCAACACTGCCCAAAACGGCAGCCGCGCGTGTACCATGGCTTTCCACACGAGTCTATCAGTTACGACGAGCCAATTCCCCACACTGTAACGAGTCTTACGTCTTTTCTAAGTATTCATATACCATAGTGGCGACTCTGGATTTTCAGGTTGAGAAGATGCGTTGAAGTGCATCTGACGCCCTGTGGTCGAGATATTTCTGCTACACTAAGCTTCAGAGCTTCTCATTGGTGTTCCAACCATCCCAATCGAGTAGCATCAATCAGGTAGTCTAGATATAAGCACAGCATGAAGTACTTGTATGTTTTGCTGTCTCCCATGTTTTCGATGCCTTGAGTATGGAAGTGTTCGTCATATGGGAGACTGGCCCAGGTGAGGTGAGGCATTATCCAAATGAGAGACGCGCGCTGTGTGCCAGAAATGAAGCACGCACGCGACCAGATCTTCCACAGCCATCCACCATGGGCCGTAATGCTTAAATGCCCAAACTTCGTCCAACTCTCTACAACCACGCCGTCCGCCCACCGTTCAGACAGCCTCTTGCGCGGACACCAGCATCACCATGAGCTTCCTCAATATTCCTCCTCCTCCTCCTCCTCCTCCGCCGCCGCCGCCGCCGCCGCCGCCGTCTTCACCACCACCGCCACCGCCTCCTCCTCCTACTCCTCCTCCGCGCCCGCCGAGATATTCCGTCACGCAGCTCAGCGAACGCGAGCTGCCGTACGGCTCGGCGCCAGCGCCCCCCGTCCGCGGCCGGGTCATCATCCAAGAGCGGGCGCAAGCCCTCGCGCACGGCATCGCCAGCAGCGCCGCGCCCGACCCCGCCGACCGCACCATGTCGTTCTTTTCGGACGGCTCCTGCTCGCGCGCGTACAACGTACACGCCGAGGGCTACGCCAGCGCCGCCTTCGTCCACAAGCTGCCGCAGCAGGCCGACCAGGAGCAGCAGGCGCAGCAGCAGAAGCAGGACGAGGACGAGGACGACGAGGACGAGGGCCGCTGGATCGGCCACGGCCACATGCTGCCGCCCGACACGTGCCGCGACAGCAACAACGCCGAGCTGTGGGCCGTCGCGCTCACGCTCGAGTTCATCGTGCGGTGCCTGGCAGCAGCCGGCCTGCAGCCCGCCTACGCCGCCGTCGCGCTGTTCAAGATCCTGACGGACAGCAAGCAGGTCCTGCGCTGGCTGCAGGGCCGCACCGACCTGATCGACGACGGCGGCTCGGGCACCGCCTGCGAGGGCGCCGACCCCGAGGCCCTGCGCAGGGTCCTCTACTACGACGCGGCGCTGACACTGCTGCTGGACAAGGCGGTCGAGTACCGTTGGGTGCCTGCCCACTCGGGAGTGCCGGGCAATGAGGCGGCGGATAGGCTGGCAGGGGCCTTCCGCCCTGATGTCCTCTTGCCGCTGAAGTACAGGTTGCCGCCGGTCGCCGTCGTGAGGGCCGCCATGGGTAGGTGGAGGCCGTACAGGAAGCTGCGGGTTCTCGCCGTGCGGCTGGGCCGCATCAACGCCGCCATCGCCCTGTCGACGTCGGATGGGCAGAAGAAGGGCCTGCTGGAGGCGCAGAGGAATGTGGAGAGGGAGATTGAGGAGGTCCGGGAGCAGATTGCGGAGGAGTAGGTAGATGACGAATGAGACGCTTGCTTGCGGCGGGAGAGTTTGGATGATTAATGCTTTACTGATATGTGAACTTATATTCTCCCATGCTATGGGTATATGAAGCTATCGTCCGGACGTGAGTGTAGAATTAGTAATTGTACACGCACATCCAGACGATAGCTTCAACTCCCTATATATGTTGTTTGACTTAATGCAATGAAGTGTGTTCGAGGTAGTACTACCAGACCTTGATTGACTGTTTATCATTAAGAACTTCCATTTCCCAAGAGGGAGGGTAGCCCATGGCGATGGTTGCAGAAGTGGTTTTCACGGTGGACATTCACAGCCCGGGCAGCTGGAAGGGTCATGCGCCTAGACAGAGCGGATTTTATATCGACGCGGGACTCCATCCCTCCACCACCACCACACCTGCCTCCCGCCGACCATCCAACATGGCAGAGGCGTCGGGCTCCCCGTCCCCAGGAGCGCGCGATCCTCCCAACTCATCGTCATCAGCGCCAGCGCCCAGCACACCAATCCCCGACGGCACCGAAGAGCCGCCCGTCTCCGCAAGCAAGTCACGCCGTCGCCGCGGCAAAAAGAAGAAGAAGAAGAACGCTCGTAGCTCTTCCACGCGAGACATCGGAAGCGACACCGAGAGCCCGACGACTCTCCACGCGCAGGATTCCACACAGCTTGCCGATGCTTCTTCTTCCCTAGGAGTCGAAGCGCAAGAAGAACAAGAAGAGCGAGAGCCGCCCCCAGCGCCACCACCACCCTCGCCCATCTCCCACGGCCAATGGTCGCCACCTCTCCCGCCCCTCGGCAAACTCCAAGGCAAAGTCGTCATCGAACCCAACAAAGCCATCGCCGCCCAGTTCGCGCAGACGTACAGCGACCGCCGCTCCGACGCCAGCATCCTCCCCATCTTCACCGACGGCTCCGCGTCCTACATCATCAACAACGACGCCAAAGACCGCTTCTGCAGCGCGTCCACCGTCTTCCGCGCACACCCCACCAGCGACGCCTGGATCGAGCGCGGCTACCCGCTGCTCCTCGCCACGGACAGCCTGAACGCCGAGGTCTACGGGCTCGGGCGGGGTCTGCGCGACGGTAGGGACTACGTGCGCGCGCACCCAGAGATGGGGATACGCACGCTGCTCGTCTTCACCGACGTGATGAAGTTCCTGGAGATGCTGCCGCGGATCGAGGCGGGCGAGTGGGACGTCGTCAAGCGCGGGTACGTGGAGGAGTTTTTGGCGCTCGACGCGGAGTTGGCCGGGGATCAGATGGGGGTGAGTGTCGAGTATCATTGGGTGCCCGGGCATAGTGGGGTCGAGGGGAATTATCGCGCGGATCGCGCGTCGAGGAGGTGCAGGCCGGATGTCAAGTATCCGCACGTCTTTCAGACGCTGCCGTTCCCGAGTCGGGAGGAGCAGTTGCTTAATCAGCAGGCGAAGTTGGAGAGGAAGAGGAAGCACGAAGAGGATGTGAGCCGGGCAATGTCTAAGAGGAGCAAGAAGAGGGCGAGGGAGGAGGAAGAGACTTGAGATACCATGGCCGTACGGCAATGTGGAAGGCCCCAGGCGTAATCATGCCTCAACTCTTGCTGTTTTGAAAAATAAAAAAAAAAAGCAACATATGTGGGTAGTTGAAGCTATCTTCCTGACGCGTTTGGGGAATTTTTAATTCTACATTATCGTACGGACAATAGCTTCAGCTACCCATGGTATGAGAGAATTATGAAATTTACACTATTCTTCGGCTAAAATACTTCTTTGTACATCAAAAGGTTGGCGCAGAAGAAAATTCAAAACGACCATCTCATCGCCATGCGCATCATCTCTAAGCTTTTCGATCCTCGATCCGATCGCCCGGGTCGATCCGTTGGCGATCATGGGGTCCTCGACCGTTGTCCTGGGCCGGTCTCTGACAGTACTCCGAGGGTGTAACGCGAGCACACGACCTTCTTTCTCGATACGTCTTTGGTATTTAGGTTGCATTAGCGTATGTATTGCTGGTGGCTCGATGTCCTGGTGCAGCGGGCAAACAGCTGGTCGATCCCGTTCCTGATGGATTGTGGAGGAGTAGGTAGAGGGTGCATGAGACACTTGCTTTGAGAGAGTCTGGATGGACACTTTACAGCTACAGAGGTGTTGCTATTGAAGGATAGTGTGAACTCGTTTTTTTAGTCATGCTGTGGGGAGCTGAAGCTATCGTCCGGATAAGAATGTATTATTGTTAATTGTACATGCACATCCGAACGATAGCTTCAGCTCCCCACATATGTTGCTTTTCGTAAAGAAAATTGCCGAAGCATAATTACGCCATATTTCAGGGATTTTCTATTCTTAGCTGGAGTTTTCCGCTTTAATACCCCTCTATAGTGCTCCACTGCATACTCTTTTATTGGGTGTGAGCTCACTGATGTGCCGGGCTTGAGATGTTCCGCGTAGATACTGGCTTGTGTGCATGTTCCTCCTCAACACACACAATTGCCGACCTGACTGCGGGGTATGCTGCGAAAACTCCGGCTCCATCACCACCATTAGGTACCAGTGATACCGTTTGACCCCCCACTTCTTGCCACTGATCTACGTACGCGTCAGGTCTCGTATAGTGGTATTAAGGCTCCGGGTCCCGTATTCGGTCTGTGTGCTTACCTAAGAATAGCTAGTGATCCCCTCTAGCCCGACGCTAACGCCTCTAGTATATTAGTTATGGCGCTATTTAACGGTTTTAGCAGCCACCGCTAACCAATGAAAGAACGGCTCTATCTACGGCCTTAAAGGGCGTGGAAATTGAGGGGTGATGATCGTTTTCGGGGTCTGATTGACTGATGCTTGAGTCGCGTCGTCGGGGCGAAGGAAGCAAATTCCCTGATCCTCTGACTAGTGGTGGAAACGCACGCCTACTCGCCTTTCTGTTAATTAAGCGCCGGTTTTCCTTAGCAGCCATTTTTCTCGTTTATTCCTCCTCTGACACCGACCAGCCAAGCGGACAGTTCACGACACCCCGCCCGGTCCTGCGACTACGGAGTCGAATACGCACTGCACGGAGGATGGGCGGCGGCCTCAGCCCTCCACTGACCCTCCTCCTCGCATGGGCGATCGATCGGGAGAGGTATCCATATGGTGCGCGGCATGGCCACTTCATCATCATCTTGATGGCCGTGTCGCTTTTCATTACTCTCGTTGTAATCGCTTTGAGGTTGTGGGCGCGCTGTAGGATCAGACGCAACGCTGGGCTGGATGACTGGCTGATCGTGGCTGCAGTCGTAAGTGATTTCTGGAGAGCATCATCTATAGTTTCTAACGAAAGGCAGCCGATCCTTCTTGGCTACGATGCTTGCCATGTTTTAGGTATACACGACCCCTACTTTCAACGACCGCCTCGCTCTAACCATTACATTTAGGCTACTTTCTTTACGGTCTAGACCGCCACATCTGGGAGTTGACGACCGAACAAGCCATTCATAGCCGCATGGTTACGTGGTGTATAGCCGTCAGCTACATGCTAATCACGGCGCTAACCAAGATCTCGATTCTGACATTCTACCGGCGCTTAAGTCATGGCACCTACACCACGTCTTGGATCTGGACCGTGCGCGGCTTCATTGCCTTCGTCGCTGCTCTAGCGGTCACCTTTGCTATTCTACTCTGCGCCGGCTGCCGGCCGTTCAAGGCCTTTTGGCTCAGGGTGAACATAGAATGGGTCATGAACAACGAGTACACCTGCTTCAACGAAGGCGTCAACTTCATCATTTTCGCCGTCATCAACGTCATCACCGACGCAGCCGTCTGCATCCTCCCGCTACTCGTCCTGCGCCGGCTACAGATGCCAAAAAGGCAGAAATGGGCCCTGAGCGCGCTCTTCGGCATCGGATTCTTGTAAGCACACCCCGGTCAAGCCTCTCTTCCGCCCAAAACCAGACCACTGACACCCCCTTTCCCCCGCACTAGCCTCTGCTTCTGCGGCATCATGCGCCTGGTCTGGCTCTACATCGTCTACTACACGACGTACGACCTGACGTGGACGACCAACTACATCTTCTCGTGGACGCTGGTCGAGACGCACTTCTCCATCGTCTGCGCGTCGGCGCCGGCCTTGAACGTCTTCTTCCGCCGCATCCTGCAGGCCACGACGCACCGCGATCCGAACAGCAACCCCTCGCACCAGCGCAACGTGTACAGCACCATCGGCAGCGGCTCTGCTGTTGGTGGTAGTCGTCCTCGGCTCAACGACGACGGCGGCGAGAGCGGTGAGAGTGGTATTTATATGGCCGACATGATCGCGTACAAGGCGGCCAAGGCGGAGGCGAAGAGGAGGGAGAGGGCGTCGTCGCTGTTCTCGGTGTCGGAGGAGAACGGCAAGGATGAGGGGAGCAGCAGAAGAGGAAGTTCGATGACGGTTACGCACGAAGAATTGGACGCGGATAGGGTAGCGAGAGAGAGCGATGATACACTGCCGGCGGTTGAAGAAGAGCAACCGCGGAGTAGCAGAGGGAGCACCGACAGCATACTAGAGACGCATCACGTTGTTGTTGGAGGATTAGGTAAATGAGAGAAAGCTTTTTCTTCACCGCCTCCGTTGGCTGTAGACGCCTCATGTCGTATATTTTCTCCGCCCAAACGCCACAACCACGTGGAAGCCCGCATTCTTAGCGTGGATAAGTAGCGAGATCGGCCGATCCTACGGTAGAGGATGTAACGGCTGGGCTGGGGCTCGCTTGGATCTGTCTTCCTAGCTGCAGATCATCCGGCTTGCTGCTATTATTGCTTCCATGGTTCCATCACGAGGCCGACACACAGGGCGGATGCTCGTCTGTCCAAACGCAATCGCGCGGGCAATTGTCCTAATTTGAGATTGCATAAGCAGGTCAGGCGCACGATTAGTACTGGACGATCAATTGATCGAACTACTAAAGTAGGTAGGATGGTGAGAAAAAAAGGGACGGGTGTTGGAAAAAAATAGGGGTAGCGCGGTCAACACTATGGCCGGTGCTTTCCCACCTACCTTACTCGATATCTGACCTACATTTGGTCAGTCATAGCCAGTGCTCCGTACATTGAATCGCGTAGTTCACGCCATGTCTCACAAGAATTGCACGCGCCCAAAAGGACGGACAACCATCCGCCCTGCCGACACTTCAGCCGCACCCAGGCACACACAGTCGAGTTAGAGAACAAGCAGTAAAAAAGAAACCTCTAGCGCCACGTGGTGAAAGCATTTCCACCACGCCAAGCTTGCAGACCATCTAATCAGAAATGTCGACTTCTTTTTTATTTCTCTCGAAATGTCCGTTCTAGGTGTCCCAAGAAAAAATCAAACAACCAACACCCCCTCCAACCTCAAATCCCTCGAACTCGCCGCCACCGCGACCGCAAACTCGCCGGACGGCAGCACCCACTGCTGCTGCTCGACACTCCAGTAGCTAGCGTCCTTCTTCCTCAAAACAAACTCGACGGTGCCGCTCTCGCCCGCGCCCAGGGCGATCTTGTCGAAGCCGCGGAGCTGGCGCGGGGGCGCATCGGCGCTACCCTCCGGCAGCGAGAGGTAGAGCTGGACGACTTCGGCGCCGGCGACGTCGCCGGCGTTGGCGATGGTGGCCGTGACGGTGGCGAGCGGGGCGTAGAGATCAGAGACGGTCGAGGCGCCATGGCTGTAGGTGGGGGCGTAGCTGGAGGAGCTGTTGCCCGCTGCGGCGGCGGAAGTGACGGCGAGGTTGGAGTAGGTGAAGTTGGTGTATGCTGTGAGCTTTCAGTCAGCCATCTGTCCATCCATCCGGAGAGGGTACGGGGGTCCACTCACACAACCCAAACCCAAACTCAAACCTTGGCTCAATCCCCGCCTTATCAAAATGCCTATAATCAATATACAGCCCCTCCTCAAACCCATCATCCACATCCGGCCCATCGATCTTGACCCCGTAATCCGCCTCGGCCTTCGCAATCGTGTACGGCAGCTTCCCGCTCGGACTAACCTCGCCGTACAGCACATCCACCACCGCATTCCCCTGCTCCTGCCCGCCCAACCCCGCCCACACGACCGCGACGACGTTTTCATGCGATAGCACGCTTTCGAGAACGACGGGGCCCACGGAGTGCACGACGACGATGACGGGCTTCCCGGCGGCGGCGGTGGCGACGGCCGCGACGAGGTCGTTGCCGTGGTGCCACGGGTCGAGCGAGAGGCGGTCGCCCTCGCTGCCTTCGACGACGAGGTACCCCTCGCCGGCGTCGGACGTGATGAAGACGAGGGATGTGTCGGCGGCGGCGGCGGCGCTGGCGCCGGCGGTGGTGTCGTCGGTTGTTGAGGGGATGATGGTGGTGCCGTCGGCGGTGGCGCGGGTGGTGAGGGCGTCGAGGGGGGCGATGAGGTACTGGATGGCGGGTTAGCGTGCGGAGCGGGGAGATGGTTGAGGATGGGATGGGGTGGATGGTGGGTCAGGGTCTGATAGGTAGACACTTACCGGGAACTCAGCCGTGCCGGAACCCCAGCCCATGGCCAGGGTGCCGTTGTTGCACGCGCGGTCGACGCAGGCGTTCATGCCGTCGGGATTGACGATTGCGTCGTAGCCGATGACGGCCAGGCTCTTCGGCGCCTTGAGCGGCAGCGCCTTGTTCTCGTTCTTCAGCAACACGATGCCGTCCCTCGCGACGGCGCGGGCGATCTCGTTGTGCTGCGTCTGCGGCGCGGGGTAGCCGCCGGCCTGGCCGGGGGAGGCCCACGAGTTGAAGGTAACCTCCGGGTAGTCGGGCGTATCCTGGCCGACGGCGTACCAGCCGGCGAGGATGCGCAGGACCATGTCGTCGAGGCGGCCCTGGGTGACGTTGCCGGCCACCTCGATGGCGGCGGTCAGGTTGGCACCCCAGTACAGGCTGCCGGGGGTCTTGTTGTAGTCGGTGCCGGGCATGGACATGTCTAGACCGGCGTTGGCGGCTTCGACGGTGCTGTGCTGCGCGCCCCAGTCGGTCATGATGAAGCCCTGGAAGTCGAGCTCCTCCTTGAGAAGACCGTTCATGGCTTTGTCGTTCTCGCAGGCCCAGGTGCCGTTGAGCTTGTTGTACGAGCACATGAAGGACGTTGCTCCCGCCTTCACGGCATCCGCGAAGGGCCAGAGGTAGAGCTCGTGCATGGAGCGGTCATCGATGTTGGACGAGATGGTCGTCCGGTTCAGCTCTTGCTCGTTGCCGATGTAGTGTTTCGCGCACGCCTGCACGCCGCCATCCTGCATGCCAACGATCGTCTCGTGCATGGAGATACCGGCGAGGTAGGGGTCAGGCCCGAAACCCTCCCAGTTCCTACCGGCCTCGGGGTACTATTCTCCCATGTCAGCCGGAACATTCTCTGAAGAATCCAATTCGCCTAATCCCGGAAGCACTCCATTGGTTTCCCCCCATCCTCTCTGTCCGAAGCCACAAGACATATAGGAGCTGAGAGGGACCAGGGGGACCGATAAAGTAAAAAAAAAAAAAAAAAGACCCCTCTAAAAATAGAAACAGAACTCACCTTCCCCAACGCGCCCACAACGGGGCCCAACTGCACATGGATCCCCAACCCCTTGGCCTCCTTGCCGAGCGCCAGTCCGCGCTGGTAGATGAGCTCGCGGTCCCAGGTGCTGGCGGCCTGGATGCCGGCGGGCAGGGCGGAGACGTTGGCGGCGTAGCGTATGCCGAGCGGGCCGTCCTGCAGGCACAGGCTGGGGTACCCGATCTTGGGCACCGCGTACGTGTTGCCCACGCAGGGCCCGTTGCCCCACCCCACGCCCGTCACGATGCCGATCTTTTCGGTCTGGTTGAGCTGCGCGAGCGCCGCGCTGGCTTTGGTGTGGGCGGCGGCCCAGTCGATGTTGGGCGTGTGCGCGGCTGTTGGGTAGATGGTGTTAGTCTCGTGGATTTGCGTTTAAGCCCTTCAGTACTTGGGTCTTTTCCCTTCTCTTTTTTTTTCCTTTGTTGTTGACTTCTTGCAGTGTTGTTAGTGAGGATTGAGGAGCTTACTTTGAGCATTGGCGATGGTGGCGCCAGTGGTGGCGAGCGCCACAGCCGTGGATAAGCCTTTCATGCTGAAATATTATTCCTTGCGACTGAAGACACGGCTTGTAGGCGGACTAGGCTGGGCGGAGGAGGAGCACGTATATATACAGGCTGTCTTTCCCCTTTCAATGCGGCTCAATGAGTACCGCGGAATTGACTCTTCGGGCAAGCATGGTGCAAGGTTTTTGCCGACTCGCGGACCATGTGGAGTGGCCAAGTCATTGCCGCACGCGATGCGTCGAGACTCGCGTGAACAAAGGCCATTACTTCTGCGAGTCGAGCGGGGATCGGCAAATAAAATACCAGGGTGGCGGCGGGCGTGTGGAGGAAACGCCAAGCGAGCGGGAATGAGGCCAGGAGGTCTGGGCGGGCGTCGGTTGCGTTGCATTAATTGGTGGATGAATCGGAGCGGGACAGACCGTCCGCTGTGGAGCGGTGGTTTGGCGATGGGGTAAAAGGAGGGGCACCGCCGGAGCGTTTCTTGGACAGCCGTCGGCTTTGCCGGCAAGCAGGGGTGCGCCGAAATGCAATCTCCCACCTTAAAGCCTAAACTCGGCTGCCCTTCCGAATTCGTGTCCGGAGAGCCAATACCGCTCCGGAGCTGTTGTTTCGCGTGTTTCGACGACTCTTGGGTCATGTTTAAGCTTCAAAAAGACCGGCATGTTCAGGAAACAGCCGGTGAGACCGTCATGGTCCACACCAGACCAAAGACAATATAATGGATGCGAGCTCGTCACCTTTGGTCTTGCATGATATGCTCTGACACACATCCAGATACGACATTCCAATGGGACCGCTGTACTTACACACGTGTTTTGAACTCACCGCCGAATGCAAACCCACCGTACCGCATCAAAACGGCCATTGAGCGGACCCATATACAATATATTTCTTCTTAGCATCGCGACATTATGCTCGACGTTGTTAGTGAGCTAAGATGGATTCAGCGTCCGGTCTCTTCATCACCTCGACTGCTTCAGGAAGGACTGCGTACAACCGAGCTGGCCCGTACGTAAACTGAACAAACTGGATCATGCTGGTTTGTTGAAAGGCTGACCTTGCTCTTTCTCATGCTCCGTACCTGAACAAATACACTCTTTTCGCCATTGCCTTCGTCCGATTCCGTTTTAGCCTTCCGGACCACAACCACTGCCGAACTGCTCAATTGTTTCCATTTCCATCATGCGCATATCCCAATCCTGACCGGAAGAAAACCCAACAAGCAAACCCCAGCCCAAAATCCCGCACCCACAGTCCTTCCCATCCGCCCACCATCCCTCCTCCACCCCAATTCCATCACGCCCCCAACTCCCCCATCAACTTCGCATCCACCGTCTCCCACGACCTCGTCACCGCACCCAACGGTATCCCCGTCCCATAGACATGCGGAAACAGCGCCCCGCCGCGGCTGGCCTCCCACTTGACCGCGTCGCCCAGCTTGCCCAGGTCGACCTCGGCGACGACGAGGCCTTTCTGCCCGGCGAAGTATTTGTCGAACGTCTCTTTGACCGTGTCCGCCGCCGACAGGTGGATGTAGCCGTCCGTCAGGTCGATCGACGCGCCTGCGAAGGTGCCGCTGCGTTGCCAGGACGCCCATTGCTCGGCCGTGAGGATTTTGAAGGCGGTGGGGAAGGGGGCGGGCGTGGTGGTGGTGGCCATGGTTGGTGGATGTGGTTTGCGGTTTTGTTGGGTGGGAGGGTTGGGGTTGGTTTTTTCGTGGGGCGGCGTGGTGGAGGAAGACGCGTTTTTGTCGCGGTGGAGCGGGGGAGGGGCACGGCACGGCGCGTTGTCAGCGCGGCGGAGAAAGGCGATGCGCTTGGCGCTGATTGGTCGTAAAAATAAGCCTAGTTTGTATGCGCCTTCTTCAAGCCAGGGCCAATAGCATTGGGCTCGGTGTGATGTGGATCAAATTGAATATCCACGACGATTGACACGGGAGCCGCATGGCGTCTTTCCGTTTCGTTGTAGATGGCAATGGCAATGGCGATTGCAGGGTGCTGAGTGAGCGGCGCTGGCACAAACCGCCGGAAACGTACCGGCCACTCTTCCGCGCCTCCCTCTTCTCAGCGTTGTGGAGACTACTATTTATTGTAGCTGGAAGGAGGCAGACACGTTAACATATTCTTGAGTGATGCTTATAGGAACATAAAGAAGTGAGAGACGACTCAAGCACTTCTAAAGCTCAAGCAATTTCTCCCGAATCTCCTGCGCGTTTAAGATTCAACCTCTATGCCGTATCGCCTCCATCGTCTGACAAAGTGCTTCCTCAAGTCTCCATTTATTCAAGACATGTATCAGTTCTTAATTTGCCTATCCTCATTAACGCGTATATCTGCCCCGTTTCATTTCTTTTTCTTCAACGTCAGGTTTAACGCGAGTATATTTGCTCTTTTTAAAACACCAACTATGCAATCTATTTCATTCGGTATCATAGCATCAGTAGAACACATGTCTTTAATCAGGTCGTTTTGCCATTTTTCATACTATATCAATGGCTATTAGCACGTACTGAAATTAGCACGGCGTCGTGCTTTTTTTAGTCCCACATTATTCATTGATTCAAGTGGACTGTCTAACAATTTGTTTTGCCTGCGCTCTTTCATCACTGGCTGTTTGGAATTCTCCACATCCATTCTCTCTCTTTCTTCACTACACCATCGTCCGCTGTATCTCTTATCGGATTGATATCTGTGCCATTTCAGTGCTTGCTCAAAAGAGCTTCAAATTCATAAGGCTGTTCCTGCTTGAGAATGTACTAACCTTTCTGGATCATGTCTCGCCACGTTGATCAACAAAGCTTCCTCACTACAACCAATATCTGTCTTCAGGAAATCGAACACCCATCGATCTCTTGAATTATTTAACGCATGTATAAGGGGCAGCTTCCCATTCGCGTCTTCGATCTCCAACTTTGCAGACGCGATAGCAAAGATGTACTCTCTGATAGGTCTAGATCCTTTTTCTGCAGCGTGAGAGAGTATGCTACGGCCATAGTTGTCAAGTATGTCGATCTTGGCAGATGCCTCTTGAACAAGGTACTTTGTCATCTCCACGTTCGAGGCTCGTAACGCGTGGAAAAGAGGTGTGTATCCGAGATAGTCCTGACTGTCGACTGATGCGCCGTGCTCTAGTAGAAGCTCCGCGATTGCCACGCAGCCCACCCTCGCAGCGACTGCCAAAGGTGTTTCGCCCATTCGGTTCTTATGCTCCACGTTTACAATTCCAGTATCAAGCTGATTTTTCCTGTCATCTGCCCTTTTGTACGGTGCAGCAATGAATAGTGGAGCTCGACTACGGCGGTCGGGGTAGCAAACATCAACAATATTCGTCCGATGTGTACGGCACGGCCGATACGCCAAGGTCGATAAATTAGAGCACCACGAGCTGTCCAGCGTTTTTTTCATTAAGATATCCACAGCTTTTTTCTGGTCGTATTCGATTGCATAGTGTAGTGGAGTCCTGCCGTCATTATCGGGCCAATCGAGATCGACAGTCCCATGATTTAGGCCTTCCCATATTAGTGTCTGTGCAACATCTCCATTGCCGTTTTGGAGTGCATGGTGTAGTGGAGTCTTGCCGTCCCTGTTAGGTCTATCGAGATTGACAGTCCCACGATTTAGGCCTTCCCGTATCAATGTCTTTGCAACATCTACACTGCCGTTCTGAAGTGCATGATGCAAAGGAGTCTCGCCGTTATTATCGGGCCGATCAAAGTCGACAGTTCCATGGTTCAGGCCTTCCCATATCAATGTCTGTGCAACATCTTCCATGCCGTATCTAATTGCGTAGTGCAGTGGGGTCGTTCCATCGTTGCGTGGATGATCGATATCGATACAGCCGCATTCCCGTGCCTCTTGTATCAAGAACTTGGTGGCATCGCCTTTGGATTTTCCAATCGCGCAGTGTAGTGCAGTGTTTCCTTGACCATCCTCGACAGAGCAACACCTTGGATCTTGCCTGAGAAAATATCTCAACGCACTAGTAATTCCCGATGCTGCAAGAACATGCGTAATTGATGAAGTTTCGGTCAACGTTAATTGATCATGGTCAATCATCCCTAGGAGTACGATGTCTTGCCAAGCACCGATTAAGTTAGTGTTGAAGAGATTTAGAAGATCTGATTGATCCCAACCACATTTTTCCACGGCCTCAAGATGGTGGCACAGATGTTCTGAGCCATAAACAGCTACCGGGATCGTCTTCTCCAAGTGTTCTCGCAGACTTCGTTGGATATCAATTCGACCAAATCGCCGGCACATGGACAGCAAGGACTCACAGCAATCTGGAAATTTGAAGGATCTCCTCTCATAGCCATTGCGATCAATTGCAGAATGAGTAGGATTAAATTCAACGCGCCTGTCTGATTTTGACAGAAGACGATGCGTCTCAATGAAATCCTTAGTATCTTCCATAACCATGGCCGTCATACACGTCCGTGATATTTGAAAGTGGCCGAGACCTTTCACCTTCATGGTCTGCTGAAGTGGCTCCAAACCGGCTATTTCAGAGCCAGCTAAATCCGCCAAACCACCTTCTAGTAGAAAGTCATACACAGACTGATGGGTGAATTGGACGATCTCTTTCGAATTTTGACGCCGTACCTCGGCCAAACCTCTTGATAGCTTTGTGACTGTAACAACCATCGCTTTGAGAGTTTGAAAATCCCGGTATTTGCTAGGCTCCACAATATCATGCTTTTCCGGTCCAAGCACGAGGGCATGCTTTATTGTAGCCAGAGTCAGAGGACCCTTCGAGAAGCAAAGCCATTGAAATAGCTTAAGCGTCAAAGCCTGTTCCTTCGGAGAATACTTTGCGTTTCCTTTGCCGTCAGGTCGATTTGGTGAAACCAGCTGGCTGTAGAATTGATGGAGATCTGATGGAGTCCTGGAAATTTGCTCATGAATGTCCACCATGGTGTCCATTTCCGTGAACATCCTGCCGACCTCCTTAATCATGAGATTGGCCCACTGGAATGTTCGGCCTGTTTTGCTAATGATCTCGTTTTGCACTTCTTTCAAAACTCCGTCCTCGATCCCTACACTTGGATCAGGCTTTAGCTTGTCGCTAACGAAAATGGATAGGTCCTCTTTGTTGTGCTGATCTACGTCAATTATGGGATTTTGTTCCTGTCCCACAATGACGGGATAGGGGCGACAGGAAAAGCAGATCCTCAGGGAGCGATGAATGCCATCCGTGGCCTTCTTTGCACTGTTCTCAATGCTCCGAAAGAATCGCATCAATTCCATGGCATTGACCTGTCCAGCTTCATCTAAGGCGTCCGCTAAGAGAATTATCGGAATCCCGGCTGAGATGGCCTTGAAAATAATAGATGATAGAAAGTCTCTGAGCTCCTGCATTTCCCACCCGAACTTTTCGCCCAGTCTTGATCGATCCTGGGCATACTTTTCGAATATGTCATGGCAGAATTGTGGGATCTCTGGCAAAAGCTGGTTTAACAAAACGCTGTAGAATCCAAAGAGGGAACGATGAACTTCTAAACCTGTGCCGTGGAAGAAGAAGGAAACCACTACTGGGCTCGCAATATTGGGGTTTTCGCAATCCAATGTATCGGAAAGATACTTCATCAATGATGATTTTCCAGATCCTGGCTGTCCTCGTATCCATAGGGTTCCGGTGAGACTTCTTTTCCATGTCTGGAAGATGGGGTGGCTCTCAATCCATTTGCAAGTGCCGGCTACCAAATCGATGCTGCGCTTCCGAGATTCCTGGTTTGCGATAGCTAAAGATCTCACGCACTCTACAATAGTTACTTAGTACTGGTAATGGATGATTTGATTTATGATTCACTAACCAAATTGCGCTGAAGTCAGAGGAACGCAGATTCTTCCTGAGACGGATCAATACCCTTCTTCCTCTCGGTAGGCAGATTCAGACTGTACCATTATTGTTCCTTGGAATATCTTCCTTGATGCGTTTCAAATGTCCAGACACCATTGCGTAGTAAGGGTCTTCTTGATGAGTAAACTTGACGACTTCAGAGTGCGTGCGATTGATCGGCTCAACAAAGTGGTGATCCTGTTCCGAGGAGCGAGCACGACCATTTGTAGCAGAGTGCGGATCCACGAGCAGTGCGTCCGGTCCCGTCATACTCCACCCGGAGTCCATCTGACTATGCTTAGCGCAATAATATAGATGGAAATATGAAATCCGTGCATACCAATCTCGCTGTTGGCGACTCCTTTGTCTCATAGTACCAGTACTTTGAAAACGATTGAGAGGCGATATCGAATGGTTCTTTTTGCCGGCGTAAGGTTTCTGAGGTGCCTTTGAGCGATTTCACAAGATCTTCATTTGGTTTGCCTTCCACCATGGGGATGAGCGACTCGATGTTCATCCCTAATGTCGGAACGGCAAAGAAGAGGGCTGCCCGTAAAGCATGGAGATTTGCCTTATCATCTTCTGCTTGAGATTCATGCATATTGATGATAGCCTTCCAAATTGATGTCAATTAGCACAAGAACCGCAAGAGACACTATTGACGTACTTGCTTGACAACTAAACCACCCAGACTATGTCCTATAAGAACGAGAGGCTTCACATAATCCTGCAAAGAGTCAGAGAAAGCCGATTAAGTATTCGTGGTATCTTACGTGTCTAATTGACCTGATTTCTTTTATCGACTGTTGTAACTGTATTCCAAGGTCCGTGATGTTCTCGAAGGATCTGCTATTGACTGACTCGGCATCGTAGCCGTATATAAAAATGCGAGATTGAGGTAGATCTTCGGGAAGAGCGTCACGAAGCCACATGAAGGACCTATCCTTGCTCTTAAACGACCCAAACGCATGGCCACCAAGACCAGATACGGCAATACAACTATGCCAGGTCAGCAGATTCCGAGGAATATGGATGTCTCTTCTTACTCCAGAACACAATTTGAGTCAGAACCAGAATGCAGAGGCGTGAACCCGCGGAAGTGGGTGTCCAGAACCAATTTGTCGTTCACCATGGAAACCCAATAAGTCTCTTTCGACGATCTTAGAAATTCAGGAGTTCTGTTGAAGCTGACCGTGGCGATTTTCTTCTCTGGGCGGCGTGGATTTGCTGCAAGCGAGTGTACCTCCACTCTTATCGATTCAGGTATGTCCCAAGCTTCCCGTAGCAACTTCGGGATCTCCTCAATGTTATTCTCGGCGCTTATTCCTTGAAGTCTATATGTCGTGGGTGATTTCGCCGTAGTTCCATCAGTAGATGTACCATGCTTGCGTTCATCTATGGAGTGGTCAAGTGAAACTGAAGGCTTATCGCCTACATCTTGCGCGTGAGGATTGGGGGTACCAGAGAGAAAACATAGGTGATAAAAAGCCCCTAGAGCGATTCCGAAGACAAGGAGGTTGACGAGTGCTGAAGCAAGCAATTCTTGCATAGCTCCGCGGATGGGGTGCGGTCGAAATGTAGTTGGAAAAACACGTGGGATAGGCGTTTCATTTATCGCTGGAGCTTACTCCCGCTAATGCAAGGGATATTCAGGGCCATCTTCCCGCGGATGGTATCTCATTCGTTAGTTCTCAGATCCCTGTCAAGAATCGAAGATGCCTTATCCTATGGGTTGAAGCAACCAGGATCGTCGGCGAGGCGCAGCAAGTTCACCGGTAGGCTTTTCACTGCCACTCAGGCTATTCAGTCAACTTACTGCTGATTGTTCGCCATCTCTCGTTTGTTGAAGCGAGTTGCGGCTGAATACATTACGCGCCATGCCCCATTATTTCGAGCAATTTGGCGCTCATCATTGGATGGCGGACGCGTCGAAGAACCCGCATGCGACGCGCTTACCTCCTCACCTCGACTTGACTGTGACGTGTCAACGGTTGCGACGCTGTTGCCTGATGCCACTTTCCTCTCTATCTCTCATCCTCCACGCCCGCCTAGAGCAAGATTTTTCCTGTGCGCCGACGGGGCGAAGTGGTCAGTCTGCCTTGCCGTATGCCTGAGCCAGCACGGGCGCGACTACTCCTCAAGGTCGTAGGGGTCTGGTGGCCGATGTTCGTGTCGCTCGGGCTGCACCACGCCTTGGCCAACAGTTTTTCGTGCTGTCGGGCATGTGGCACAGCACTCCCGGGATCGGTGTGGGGCCGCGTGGGTAGTGGGGTTTCTACTGCACGTGCTGGGGAATGAAGTTGCTACAGGGGTCGCATTGTGAGTTGACCGCGGCTCGAAAATTGAGGAAGACAGTGTGTTGGTGAATAACGTAAGGAGCAGAGAGCACGCGACCCAGGGGATATAAACTCTCTAAGCACAGGGAGCACCACGCTCGAAGTAAGGAAGTCTATGCAAAACAGCAGAAGCGAGATAATATGACTTGTTACACAATGAAAAGCGCTCATTTTGAGCCTCCGAAGCCTTCCAAAACTCACGCTAGGCATCAGCTATAGTTACCTCTGCTTCTCTCGTTCTTTCCACCCTTCTTTTTCCCAATACCCACTTTTGCCCCCAATTTCTTAGCAGAGGGGTACCAGTCCTACCGCTCCCATGGTCCATAAAAATTCCCTCCCTCTCCTCCTCAGATGGCGGAATCTCCTCCTCACCCGCACACCGCACCAAAGCCATCGAGTGCCACAACGAACCAACTGACGTCCGCCCGGCACGAGATCTTCCCACGCGCCACCGTCGAGGCGAACTGCCCGCCGGTGTGCCTGGCCGTGTACCCGGGGCAGCACAGGCGCGACTACGCGTCATCGAAGGTCGTCGGGATGCGGTGGCCGATGTTTGCGTTCGCGTTCGGCCCGGGCCACGTCAAGGTGGCCAACAACATGTTTTTCGTCACGGTGCGCATGCGGCCATGCGGCGCCCCGATCGGGGTGAGGTTGTATGTCCGGGAGAGGCTCGTGCTGGGGATGAGGGCGCTCGGGAACTTGCTTGGTGGTTGGGTTGTTTGTCGGCGTCTTGTGTTGTGCGTGTTGCATGCTCTCTCTCTTCTTTTTGTCCTTTTTCTTTTACGGGGCTTAGTCTTCTTTCGGGCTAACGTGCAGGGTTCTGTAGGGTGCCTACATGTGTAGGGATAGCTACATGTACAAAGACAGCTAGTCATCCTGACTAATGGCGCGTGCTATGGGCATGGTATTGAGATGAGGGGCCTACGTTGCAGCGCGGCTCGAGAGACGAGGAAGACAGTCTGTCCCGGGATGGTATGAGAAGTGGAAAGCACGCGAAAAAAAAAAAGAACCGTAACTGCTGCAGGAACCGAAAGGGAGCATATGGATATCACGTCCAAAGCAAGGACGTTTGAATAAACACTGTAGTGCGCCGGCAAGCATGGGGAAACCTTAATTCTTCCCCACCTAAAGTCTAATAAGTATATAATCCATAATAGAAATCTAATACAAAACAAAGGGTATACCAGAACAGCTCCTCTCCGCCATCCACAAAACGCAGCATCATCTATTCTCGCGCGCCGTCTCTACTTCAAACTCTCACACTCCCAACACCGGCCGGCACATCCCCCTCCTCCCACGCGTCCCTCACAAACTCGACCGCCGTCTCAAACGTAACCTCGCGCGCCCTCTTCTGCGCCTCATCCAACCACCCCACGGGCATCTGAGTCCACCCATGCTTCATGCCCTCAAACCGCTCAACCCTCAGATCCCCTCCCCTCCCCTCCTCCGCCACCTTCTTGACCCACACCTCGCTCTGCTCCGCCAACGAGTCCAGCTCAGGCAGCACGAGGTACATGCGGGCCTTTGGATGCAATCCGCCATTACGCAGATCCGCCAGGCCAGGCGAGGCGCGCGGGTGTGCCGCCTTATCGCGCGGGATGTACGTCGGGTGCAGGAGGTCGAAGCTGTCGCCCCAGAAGCTCTTCGTGAGGGGCAGCTTAGGCGGACGCGTGCGTTCCGAGGGCAGCTGGCGTGCATCAAACGACGGGTAATACAGCAGCAGCGGGATGCTCCTCGCAAAATCCGGCGGGATCCTGCTAGGCCAGGGCTTGTCCCCTACTTCCGGGCCCGGCTGCAGCGACAACGCGAGGTTCAGAGCGAGGTTCCCACCGCTGCTGAAGCCCGAGATGCAGAGACGCGAAGTATCCAGTGTGATATCCGGCCTCGGCGCGTCGGGAGCGGGGGGTTTCACGTTGGCAGCGATGCCGTCGCGCAGGGCCTTGTAAGCGGGCGAGGCCGGGTCGAGCAGGGCGCTGAGCACGTCCTCGCCGTCCTCGATGGCGGACGGGAACGGGTCGATGGGGCCGAGGCGGTAGTCGACCGAGATGGCGACGCAGCCCAGGTCGCGCGCCATCTTGGCGCAGAAGGGCGACTGCTCCAGGCACGACCCCATGACGAAGCCGCCGCCGTGGAAGTCGAGGACTACCGGGTAGCCCGCGGGCGAGGGGGGTGGCGAGGTGGGGACGAAGACGTAGACGGGGACGGTGTAGGCGGCCGGGTTTCGGGAGGGCAGCTTGAGGACGAACGGGTGCGGGCCTTCGGGCGAGGTGAAGCGGAGGGTGAGGTCGGGGACGGCGCGGGGGAGGCGCAGGACGGCGGTGCGCCATTGCACGTCGAGCGGCTGCGAGAAGAAGCGTTGTAGGCCGGACATGGTGGAGGTGTGGTGTAGTTCGGTCGGGTGGGCTGCGAGGTGGATGTTCAGGTTGTGGAGCTTAGGGAAGCTGGGCGAGGGAAATATAGGTGATCTACGACCAGGGAGCTCTTGCCACGACGCGCCATCGCCATCAAGGACGGCGGGCTAGAACCGGTCAAGCAGCTGCTGATGAAGACGGTGTGATTTTGGCCGCTGGATGACCTCATCATGCAAGATCGCTTGGCGCAGGGGCCGCCGATCTTTTCCACGTTCGGCCGCAACCTTCACCCAACTTCATCTTCTTGGTCACTTTGCATTTTCTCCTGCATCTCCCTTTTAATGTATGTTTCTGCCCGGTTGTGGTGACAGAATTAATGAGGCTGATTTGCATGATAGATAAATAATCCTTCGCTTTTCTTCACGAAAAAACAAACATATGTGGGGAGCTGAAGCTATCGTCCGGACGTGCATGTATAATTGTTAATTGTACATGCACATCCGGACAATAGCTTCAACTGCCTATGTCATGAACAAAAAACAAATTCATGCTAACCATCGGCCGCGAGAGGGGACTGTATCATTACTTAGCCGTGGTAACAATTAATGGGACTGATTGGCATGATGGATTCCTAAAAATAATCCTTCCCAACCTCGCTTCACGTGGAAGTTGCCATCTGGATGTTCCTGAATCATTATGAACTCTATAATTCCATCTAGACAAATGTTATAATACTTCTGACAAGCAGCATGACAGGCACGCTTTGTCTAAGGCTCACGGGTTGCCTGATTTGCCTGGCTTTCCCTGGATTGCTCCGACGCTTGCTACCGATCATTATTTCGTCCCGATCAAACCGGGCTTAGCTAAGCTTGTTTCGCGGTAGTATATTATCTCTCTCCGCCGCATTTATGGATGAAGTATCCTTTCTCATTTTTAAGTATTCATCAAGATCGGTAGAAACGAAATCAGCGCGTCCAACAACCACTTCTACAGTTTAAGCATCATACAAAGGAGGTATACATATATTATTTGATATCTCCAGTCACCTCGCCGCCGACACAACTGCACACATAACCTCTACTACTGTCTCGAGACGACCATCCACCCAATATCGCCTCTATCTATATACTCGTTAAGCATGCCATCGGACGATATACCCTTGGGAAGCGCGGCTCGCCGCCCTCGGAAGAGCGCGCAACCCCCAGCAGCAACACGCCGCCACCGTCAACAACGATGCCTTCCAGCCAACGACCTACTGTCGCCGCTCTGGAAGCGCCACTCAAGGAGCAAGAAGAGGACGCTTCCCAGACCGTCTCATCTCTCGCGAAATCCGCAATTCCCACATCCTCACCATCCTCGCTACATCATCCTCCATTTCCAGAGCCTTCGTCAGCCGCCTCCGCAACAACAAGGTCGTCTTCCACTTCGTCGCCTAGTCCCGAAGCTTCCAACTTTCCCCGCGCACTGCCAGCATCTCCAACCAACCGCCAACGCCCGCCGCTGCCCCCGCTCGGCAAGACCCACGGCAAACCCGGCATCGAGCGCGAGCGGACCAAAGTCCCCGCCTTCGAATACCGCTTCAGCAACCACCACGAGCCTGACGGCATCTTGCCCATCTTCACGGAGACGGTTCCGCATCTCCCTTAATCCACTCAACGCACCGCTCCCGCTTCTGCAGCGCGTCTTCGGCCCACCTTCCGCTCCCACTCACACAAAGCGACGCGTGCAAAAAAGGCGGCAAGTATATACCCCATCTGAGCAGCTTAGCGATGCATCGCCGGTATAGTTGCGGATCATCCGAACACATTCAAGGATACCTTGCTGAAAATCATCGACGGCTTGAAATTGACGGTGATGACGGATGAGTGGGACGAAATTTTGAAAGAGCGAAGCCACGAAGAGTTGGCACAGCAGATATACGAGCTTACCGAACCATCGTTCAAGAGTTTGCTATCATCCGGAACTACTCCCCAGATCGATGATCTGCTGAAATTGCCTTAGGTTAACTAGTTGCAGTTCGGCTGCGGGTCACTCTTAGCCAATAGTAGGGAGAGGGTACATTCGGAAGAGGCAGAAGGAGAAGACAAGAACGCCAGGAGACAGATGACGAAGAAATGAGACATTGTAGGGTAGATGAGGCTCCTGTCCGGACGGTTTTGTTCACATTCCTTATTCAAACGGTTATATACCCAAGCGGTAGCCAGGTACAATCCAATGCAATAAAGTACTTCTGGCATCGTGTGGTCGAGGTAGTACTGCCAGGCTTTAACCATCTGTTTATTGTTGGAAGCTTCTCTCTCCCAGAAGAGATTAACCCATCGTGATGATTACAAAAGCGGCGTGCCCAGCCTGACAGGATAGCTACTCTTGTAATGACGGAGGATCAGAAAAAGTGTCTCTGTGATAGTGCATTGGAGATGGGAAAGCGTCCATTATCTTATGGAGTAACAGTGAACCGCTGCCTACGGATCGTTCAGCACATGACTTATTTGTAAGTTGATCGGAAGTCTATAAGAGACATAATTGACGTAATTGGCAATCCGGTAAGCCACGGTGGACATTCACAGCCAGATTTCAGCTCCGAATTGGGAAGGTGGAAGGGTCCTGCGCCTGCACAGTGGGTTTTATATCGACGCGCGACACCATTCCTCCTCCACCCACCGCCTCCCGACCACCATCCGACCACCGTCAGCGCGATCGCGCCATCCAACATGGCAGAGGACGACATCCTCGAAGGGACGGTCGGCCCACCAGATCCGCCGTCACACAGCACACCTACACCCAATACCGACGAGCCAAACCTCACTCCGGATACCTCCCGCGCTTCCCGCAAGAAAAGGAAGAGGAAGAGCAAAGCACACAGCCCATCCAAGACGAACGGCGGCAATGATACCGAGAGGCCAGCAACTCCCCAGCCGCACGAAGGAGAAGAAAAGCCACCACCACCGCAGCCGCCCCCCTCGCCCGTCTCGCACGGTCAGCCGGACCCGCCTCGCCCGCCTCTCGGCAAACTCCAGGGCAAAGTCGTCGTCCTCAAGGACAGGGCCGAAGCCCTACGCTTCGCGGAAAAGTACAGCAACCGCCGCGACGACGGCGACGACGACGAGGACGAACCGAAAGCCGCCAGCATCCTCCCGCTCTTCACCGACGGGTCGGCGTCGCACCAGGTCAACGACGCCAACGACCACTACTGCAGCGCCGCCGTCGTGCACCGCGCGCACCCGCAGAGCGACGACTGGCTCGAGCACGGCTTCTCGCTGCTCGTAACCAAGCACAGCCTGAACGCCGAAGTCTTCGGGCTGGGCCGGGCCCTGCGGGAAGGCAAGGCATACATCGCACTGCACCCGGAGATGCAGATACACACTTTGTACATCTTCACCGACCTGATGACGTTCCTGAAGTCGATCTGGAAGATCGAGGCTGGGATCTGGGACGTCGTGGATCGCGGGTACTTGGAGGAGTTTCTGGCGCTCGACGCGGAGCTCGCGGAGGCGGGCATCCACGTCGAGTATCATTGGGTCCCGAGCCATAACGGCGTCGAGGGCAACTGCAGGGCGGATAAGGCGGCGAAGAGGCACCGGCCTGATGTCCTGTACCCCCACCTCTTCAGGACGCAGGCGCGTGCGACTAGCAAGCAGCAGAAGCACAAGGCGCTGGCGAACAAGGTGAAGAAGAGGAAGAACGATGAAAAGGAGAGTGCGGGAGTTTCCAAGAAAGGCAACAAGAGGGCACGAGTAGACTCCCAAGAGTAGCAACACTATTGTTGCGGTACTATAGATGACAATGACCAAATTTGATGTCTACAATCTCCAAGGTGTTGATCCTGTTTTCTCGGTGAAGTAGTTGTGAACGACATGGAAATGCCTTAAATGCACGTAGTGCTGGAAGCGAACTGATTAAAATGACGAGCAAGACCTACCTAATCCTATCACGGGAAAGCGCGGCGTAAACGTAGAGCTGACGATAGAGGGAAAAAAGGTTTTCGCAACGAGCAGTTTGCTATGGAGAAGCAAGGGAGCAGAAGGAATTTCATACAAGAGTGTGGTAAAATAAAGAACAAAAAGGGAGGGGCCACCCGAAGGTGACCATTTGGAAAACGCCCCTAATACGTGAGACAACCAATGCCAGTTACGGAATTCGAACACGTGTTCACTTCGGGTTCCTCCGAGGTAGGAGTCAAAAGTCCTCGCTTTTGCCTGTTCCCCCAACTAAGCTACAAGAGCTCATGGTACTGCTGGTGATGCTGACGCCACCCACTAGCCCGGCATATATGCTGAAACCCTACGCGTCACCCATAGCACTGCGAAAGTCACCGGCGCAATTGGACGCAGTGCGGTGGCTCACCTTTGTATCTCAACCGCACCGGAAGCAGTTCATCTAGATATGGCTCTCTACCAACTTCTGCGTCTGCGACAATTCACGAATATGTCGCGCGGCCCCGCTCCCCAGCCCTACCTTAGAAAAATAACACATGTGGGTAGTTGAAGCTATCGTCCGGACGTGTATGTAGAATTAAAAATTCGACATTCTCGTCCGGACGATAGCTTCAGCTACCCACGACATGAGCAAAAAACAAATCCACGCTAGCCATCGGCTGCAAGAGGGGACTACTAACCAAGAAGCAGGGTAGAAGAAGCCCGACACGTTGTCACCGCCGCCACGGGAACCAAGCCGCCGTTGTCACGCAGACATCCGGTCAAACACCACCTCCCACCACATGCTATCTATATGTGCCACCGAGAGCAGAAAATCACATCTTAACTCAGAAAGACAAAGCATTCTTCCCCGCTGAATGTCTGGCTCCATGATTCCAATTGTAACGCAAGTCCATGCAAATCAAGATAACTTTTCTATGTCCCTGGGGCGGCAACTATCCAAGCAAGCCAGCCGAACCCCACCAAATGCTCAGCAATGCGAACAAGCGACAACAAAGAAAACCCTGATGACCGTAACAACACACACACACACACACGCACACAATGATGTAGCCGTCACAAGGACGAACAATGCACGCTCCTCCGCCTCCCCCCACGGGCAACACAACAACACGGGGTATTACGCACACAAAAGTCCCTCCGTCCAGCCAAAACGAAAACACAGCACAAGACCTCCCCGCCCCGATCACCCCGTCCCTCTCCTTCCATGATACCCAATCATCTCGCATACCCAGGCAAAAACTCGCCCTCCCTCTCCCCCTCCGCCTCGACCGAATCGTCGTCGACAAAATACTCCATCATCCGCCTCGGCATCTCCTTCTCCCTGCCCCCCGCCAACCCACCACCGCCGCCTCCTCCCCCTCCCCTCGACCCAGGCGGACTCCTCAGCGGGCTCCTTAGCGGGACATCCGGCCTCGCCATTCCAGGACCATACTCCTTCCTTTCCGGGCCCCTCCCTCTGATGACCTCCCCACCAACGCCAAACTCCTTGTCCCCGCCACCACGCCTCCCCTGCGACAGCGGCGGCGAGCGCAAAGGCGGAGGAAGTAGATCATGGTCATCATCGTGGCGGTGGTAATCCCTCCTCCCATCCCCATCTCCCCCACGACCACCGTCCCTGCCATCACCATCATCGCCATGCTGCTGCTGAAACAACAACTCATTCCTCTGCTGCCCTAGCACGCGCTCGCGCAACCCACCGTAGCGCATCTCGTACTCCTCAAACTCGCGGCGCTGCGCCAGCAACTTCTGCTCAAACTGGTGCATGCGGACCTTGCGGTCGCGGTCGTTGAGCAGGCGGCCGTCGAGCTCGGAGATACGCTGATGGTGGCCGTACTGCTGCTGCTGTTCGACGGCTAGATTGCCACCACCTCGCAGCGGCGGCGACATCGACGGCGGCGGATAGAGTCCGCCAGCGGCAGCATCCCTGTTGTGCTCACCCGCCCGACTCACCCTCCCACCATCATCGCCACCACCGCTAACCGCCACCCCAATCGCGCCCTCGGCCCCCAGTTCCACCGCAACATCCGCATTATTCCCCTCCCACCGCAGTGGCGCGACCCAGCAGTGGCTCTGGCGCTGCGACGCCTCGCGGACGGACACGGCCGAGGGGACGCGGCGGGTGCCGGTGAGGCTGCGGGAGGGGGGCCACGGGGGGCAGTTGTCGAGGGAGGGGGAGAGGAAGTATGATGAAGTTTCGGGCGCCGCTGATGAGGACAACGACGGTTTGTATTTGATGCCCTCGGTGTCGACCGAGAGGGTCGACAGGACCTGCAGGATGCCGTAGAGCAGCAGCCAGCGGCCCAGGCGCGCGTCGGCCGCCGGCACGTCGCGGAGCTCGGCGGCGACGGATTTTTCGTATTCGAGGAATTCGTCGCGGAGGTCGTTGGCTGAAATGGGGTGGAGATTATTAGTTCCGTGTTGCTTGTGTCATGTAAAATGAAAGGGCTGAAGAAGAGGGAATGCGTAGTGTCAGACAACAGAGAAAACTTACCTTCCAGCATCATCCCCAATTTGTTGATGTTGGTTGCATCGCCGAAAGCCAACGAGATCTTCATCTGCTCAGAAGGATCTCGTGCGGTTACCACCTTCTCCTTCTTCCCAATGCCAAATATGTTTTTCTTCTTGGCCGGTGCGGCGGTGAGCGAAGACACCCGGCGTGGGAGAAGCGGGTACGGGTGCGGGATGTGAAGATAGGCGTGCTGATTGTCGAAGCTGATAAGCATATCCGTGATGGGCATACCCGGCAGATCTGGCGAGAAGATATCCGTCATGGCCGTCTTGCTCGCCATTTCCCACCTCCGCGTATGTCGAGCCTCGTTATCCGTCCAGATGATGTCGCGGTTGACGAGAATATCGTAAATAGCTCCAAAGTCCTCTTGGAGCTTCTGAATAAGCTCCCTGGTGACCCAGTGTCCGTGCTGATTGGTCTTCGGAGGCCACTGCTCATACTTCTGGGTGAAATATCGCCTGAGCCAGCCGCGGAAAGCCTCCGATGATCTGAAGGCTGGGCTATTGGCGACAACGTTGGGTAGATGCCAGAGATCCGGGAACGAGAAGGTGCTGAGCTTTTCCTCCGCATTCAATATCTTGATTTGCATGCCGTTGTATGCTTTCTCGAGATTGTGCCGCGTCACAGGCGAGAGCCTTTTGAACTCTGGGCGTTCAAAAGAACTTCGATTTAGCATCCCTACTGCGTGAACAAATGACTCGAGATAACCTTGGTCCCAGCCAACATCCAGCTTCTCGCTCCAGGCAAGCAAGCTGAGCGCATTCGTCAAGCTGCCTCTGACATCGTCAAGACGTCTCCCAACAACGTAATCGACGATTATTGCGGCGACGTTCGGGCGTCTGTTGGGTTCGTTCAATTCGTACATGATGTCCATGACCATTTGAAGCTCTGACAGCATTTCAAATAGATCGGTTCCAACGATGGGCTTGTTGTACAGCAGAGCGAGGAAGTTCCTGGTTGCGAGGTGGTGCCGGCGTTGTGCATGAGGGGTTTTGATGTACGACGGTGCAGGGAACCAGATTTCGTGCGTGACCTCGACCTCCTGGTTACTCAAATCTGCCGAAGATGCAACGTCGCTCTGGGTGCGTGAACGAGGCGGTGTTGGAAAAGCTGCAAGATGAGGATTTCGCAACAGTGGATTTCCTCCGTAGGTACTCTCCGAAGACCGCACGGATTGAGGAGCCATTTGTCGAGTGGGCGACATGACACGATCCGGGATGTCTCTTACGGATGATATTGTATCTTCGTCGAGATATCCCAGATTGGAAGAAGTCAGAGGGTAAGCTGGCGGGGAGCTGGCGGAGCCTGCGATGCTCGGCGGTGGGGAGTAGTCCTCCTGATCAACTTCGCCGTATGTGACGAGATTGCTCAAAAAGGACGACCGTGCCTCTTGAAGCTTCTCAACGTGGACACGCAGCATGGGACGGGTTTCGGTGTGGCTATTGCTGTCTTCACTGAAATAGACAAGGCAATTTCCGGAGGGCATGTTCATGTCGGTATCCTGAATTGATCAGCGTCAGACAGTGCAGAAAAGACGCAACCCACTCACATGCTCGAATCCTCTCCATCGCTGGGTTGGCTGTCCGTTTCCATGCCAAATCCTCATGTTTGCCCAGCCCTTTTCCCGGGATAAAAGATGTGGCGGCGCACCCTTTGGAGAAGCCAGGTCGGATTCGTAGCTGGTGTTGGAATGATGTGTCTCGGCGGTCGACTGTGCAGTCTTGGGCGGAACTCCACCGCCGCGACCTCTCGGGGCCGCCGTTTCCTTTCCCTTAACTGCATATTTCTTAGGGTCCTTTGGATCTGTGCTAAAAAGGCCGGGAGTGGCAGCTCTGATCTTGTCGCTCCCCCTCGATCTGTCGGAGCTGTGGGTGCTGACGCTCGCTGCGGTGAAGGATCCTCGACGGTGTGTTGAGGCGCCTCGAATGGGAAGATTCCAGCCAGATTCCGAAGGAGGCCTGGCGAGCTCTTCGGCAAAGTCTTTCGCCTCTTTTTTCTTCTCTGTCTTTTCGATGTTCTTCTTGATAGCCTTGCGGCTCGTTGCGCCGCGACCCGACATGGTCGCGGATTATTTCTAGTCGTTCAACCCTAATTCAGCCGTCTGACGGGAAGGCCAAAGTTACCAAACGATTGTGAGGGAGCAAAGCGCAAGTTCACAAGAATATGAAGTTGAGGCACGGTCGGCTGACGGCGAGGTAGGCTTATCAGCTCGAGCGATGATTTTCGGTGGGGCCAAGAAATGGAAGCATTGGCAGCCTGATGGAAGCAGATCACATGAATTCAAACAATGCTGAAGATCCAATTCGAGGGAGGCGCATGGATTCGTGAGCAGGCTCAATCCGTTTCCGGCGGAATGGATGCCAATGTATATGCTTGCTTATGCAATGAACTCGCAGGATGCAGGAAGAGGGCTGCGTTCAATTGGGGCCAAAACGAGGAACACGCGTCCAAACCGAGGGGAAATAGGCGTGAAAAGGAAGCGAAGGCAGGCCCTTTTATTACTGAGAGACAGGTGGTATGAGGTTTAAATACGGTCGAGTCAGACGGCGAAACCAGCGGGAAGGGTGAGGGCCGAATTGGGTTTATGGTTAGCAGCACAAGGCTGAAACAAGTCCGGGGGAGTGCCGCCCGTCGGGCGATCAGGCAGGCAGAGAGAGGGAAGAGGAAAGCAGAACGACGATCGACGACGAGATGAAGAAGAGCAGCACGCGCAGCGGAGCGAGTGGGCCAAGATGTATATGAGGCCGGCGAAATCCCTTGCGTGGCGCTCGAATTCGCAGGTTAACGTTCCACCGCATCCAATATGCGTGATAACTGACAGGGCACCAACACGGGCTGGCCGTGGCCATGCGGCGCAGGACAGGCACAAATAGGCCAGTGCGCGGGGCCGAGTCGCGACGAAGCAGCGCTGTTCGCTGGGCTGCAGAGGGCGAGCGCTGAGTGGGTGCGATAAGGAATTCCCCAGAGCGGCATGGTGTCGTGCCGGTGCGTCCGCCGGCCTCCGGCAGCCTACCACGAAAGGGGATGTCTCCGCGGCTTCTAGCGTTCGCTCCCGTCGGTTCGGCAGAGATCGCGCAGGGTCGTCTAACGGTGGCGTTCATATAATAGCGCGCTGTGCCTCGCAAAACAAATTGCCATCATTACCACCGCATCCTCTGTTTCGTCGCGCCTTCTCAACCTCGTCATGTCGCCGCGGGTGACGCGTGCCGCCGTGTTTCAGCGGCGAGTTATTCACCGGCCAGAGCGGGACGCAAACGCTGTGTGATGCGACGCCAGCCCTGCGTCAGCCGCTCGGCGCGCGAGAGGAGAGCTCGGCGGCGTCCATGGCGCAGGCGAGCGAAAGGATCGAGCTGACGGCAGTGCGACGGGGCCCTGACTTGTGGCAGTCACGCAGGCGGGAAAAAGCAATGTTGGCAGAGTCGCGACGTCTGTGGTGGTTGGTTTCGGGTGATGTGGAGGTGACAGCGGCGGGCCTGAGCGCCTGAGCTTCCCCCCGCAGCAGCTCTCCCGTCGGCCGCCCACCACTCACAGCCCGCGCAGCCTCGCTTCCACGCCGCGACCAGTTGTTCGCCAGCCTCCTCCCAGCCCTCTCTTTGCCCGCCCTCCGGTTTGTTCGGCGCCTGCAGCCTCCGCCGAAAATCTTGGTCTGGACGCTGCTGGCGGCCTTTTATTAGTGCTACGTCACTGTCCCGCCCAAATACAAAGCTTTCTTCCTCCACTGCCGTCGCATTGCCGTGCCTAACCTCCTCCTGGGTGCATCCCTCTTCCTCTAGCAAACATTGCTGCCCGATGGGCATATAACCACCACAGGCCTTTGTTTTTCCCGCCAACTGTCGCCCTCAACCAGCTCAGCTTTCCGACTCGCTGTTGACCGCCGCCGCCATGTTCTCCAGCTTGCTCTTCATCTCGACCCGGATCTTCCAGATCATCACCCTCATTCCCACTCTGGGCATGCTCGCCTGGTTCGTCCACGGCTACGTCTCCCAGAATGCTCTCACCCCGGATTTCATCCTGATCCTGTTCATCGCATCCGTGCTCGGTGCAGCATGGTGCATTGCGACGCTGGTCGCTTACGCGCGCGCTCGTTACTCGGCCCTCTTCGTCGCTCTGGTTGACCTGGGTTTCCTCGGCCTCTTCATCGCTGCCGTCTACGAGCTGCGCGGAATCGCCAGCGCCAATTGCAACAACTTCAGCAGGGACCCTTACTACATCACCCTCGGAGTCGTCGGCGGTCCTGGCCTCACCATCAACACCGAATGGTCGTTCCACCCGAACAAGGAATGCTCAATGCTCAAGGCCTGCTTCGCCTTTGGCATCATGAACTGCATCTTCTTCTTCACCTCCTTCGTAAGTTGCTTCGAGATGGGCAATTGCTGAACCCAGTACTGACTCTGCCGCCCAGCTCCTCGCTCTTTTGGTGCACCGCCACCACCGTGACCACGACGTCGTTGTGAAGCGCACCACGCACGTTTCTCGTCACAGCCACCGTCCCAGGAGCCGCGACTACGGCTACTCGAGCAGCCCGCGCCGCTCTCACCACAGCTCCCGCAGATACTACGTCTGAGACGACTCTCTTTCCCCGGACATAACTTTCGGTTTTTTTCGGCGCAGGCGGCATTTTGCAACGCAAAAGAATGCATCTCCTGCAACGACGTAGATGAAGCGGATCCTCAAGGCCTGCCACTGTACAGGCGTCCATTTGGCGGGTTGAATGCCCTTTTCTCTTCACGATAACGATTTGGCCATACGACCTTTAAATATACCCCGTAATGTAGATAGCCGAAGACTGTCCTAACTCTTTTGGGACAGCTATGATGAGCTACGAAGGCATGTAGTCTGCTTTTTCTCGTAGCGCCGGACTCCGCAAATGCGGGGCGCTACGGCTTGATCCAAATTTGATGACCTCTCCACGCTCTATCTCTTATCTCGATGCACAATAAAGCTCAAACTATCCAGATTCTCTCGTCTTTAGCTCTATCTCTGTCTGATTCAGCTGAGCAGGGTGGCAGGAATCACTTCTCCCCCAACCGCCTATTTCCGACGCGACGGTTCCCCGCTCACAAAAATGCGCTAAAGCGGCATCTCTATGGGAGATCAGGGACCGATGATATATTGCTCGCAGCTCGTTGGTGCGTTGCAACGGTCGGAGCGGCACGATCCATGTCGGCCATCCATGATCGTCATCATCACATGCGAAGCGCTCAGACCATAGGCTCTCCACGACGCTCATGATGACGAAAAGCACTGCTGCCATGGTTCATGGCATGTACTGTCAACAGAACCAATTCTTGGGGCCCAACAAGTTCCCGTCTTTCATAACTACTACTTCTGCCCCCCACAAACAACAAATCCCCCTTTCTCATCCGGAAGACTGCCCACTTCCAAATCCCTTCAAATAGCCTCCCTCCCCACCACCAAAGCCCACTCCAACCAACCAAAGCCAAACCGCACCCATGCCCAAGAAATCCCACTCCCAGAAACAACAACAGCAACACCAGCAACAACAAGCATCCCAAGACACCTCATCCTCCAAAATGCCCCCCTCCCCCAAACCCACCAACGTCGACCCCTCCGCTCCGTCGTCGTACGCCAACGTAGCCCACGTCGACCAGCACACGCCGCACGACGTGCCGCCGTCGCCGCCGCAGAGCACCATCGACGACGAGAAGGAGCGGCTGCAGCAGCAGGGGTACGAGCTGGTGGGGCGGGCGATCGAGGCGTACCCGCCGGGCAAGTCGTACGCGACGGGCATCGAGGAGGCGCCGCTGACGCTCGAGCACTCGCCCTACATCCCCGGCGACAACGAGCCGCTGCTGGACCCGGGCACGGCGCGCGCGACGACGGCCGCCAGTAAAGAAGCGCCGAATGGGACGGTCGATGGTGGGTGGGCGAGGAAGCATCAGGATAAGACTGTGAGTGCTTGCTGCTGCTGCTGCTGTCCTTGGAGTTCGCTTTTGCTTTTGCTTTTTGCTTTTGCTTTTTGCTTTTGCTTTTTGCTTTTGCTTTTTCTAGTGCTGGTGCTACTACTACTCCTATTCCCGCTCTTTGTCCCGTCACTTCACGATACCTACCCCACCCCCGCACAAACTAATTCTCAACACCCCTCACTGACGTCACCCACACAGGTCCTCCAACAGCACGTCCACTACTTCGACGCGGACCAAGACGGCGTCATCTGGCCGCGCGACACGTACATCGGGTGCCGGAAGTGGGGGTGGTCGCTGCCGCTGTCGGCCATCGTCGCGGCCATCATCCACGGCGCGCTGTCGTACCCGACCGTCCCCTCTATCGTGCTGCCCGACCCCTTCCTGCGCATCTGGGTGGCTCGCGTGCACAAGCAGAAGCACGGCGGCAGCTCCGACACGTACGACAATGAGGGCCGCTTCCGTCCGCAGCAGTTCGAGGACATCTTCGCCAAGTACGATGAGAACGATAAGGGCGGGCTGGATGTATGGGATCTGGTGAGGCTGTGGAGGGGGCAGATGCTGTTGTTTGATTTCTTTGGGGCGCTGGCGACGGCTTTGGAGTGTGAGTTTTACCCCCCTTTTCTCCCCCGTTTGGGTTGTTGCAGGTTGTCCTTCCTGTTTGAGTTTGTGTGCATCACCGTATGTGTATGATGGCTGACGTGGATACGCAGGGTTCGCGGCTTACCTTCTTCTCTGGCCCGACGACGGCATCTTGCGCAAGGACGAAGTCAGGCGCATCTACGATGGCAGCATCTTCCAGCACAAAGCCGACGAGTATGCCAGCAAGAAGCGCAAGCAGCAGAAGCAAGGGGGTGCTGGAAGGAACTTGAGGAAGCAGGCTGGCGCTTGGTGGTCTCAGACTTCGGCCAAGGCTGCTTAAACAGTGTCTTACACCCCTGCCCCCAGGCGAGCCAACTCTCAGTCGGATCAAATACGGCCCTATTCAATGCTTATCAAATAGCAAGCAGATCTATCAAAAGTAACAATCAGGTAATACAAAATTTAGTCTATTTATCATTACATTACGGCATGTCTGCATATGTTCAAGCTGACAGATATCTTAAACTACTGGCGGTGCGGTTGAGAGCGGCAGTGCGTGGCTTACCTTCTATTTCAATGCAGGAGATGGCAGCTCCGAAGCAAATCCTCTGCAGGATTTGTCGTCCGCACTCAACCACAATCCAGATACGGCCAGCTCATTGGTGCATCTTCCCTGACCCCAGAGATTTCATTATCCAGATACCAGTGAGCCGCACTACCATTTTTTTCCTTTGGTTTCTCCTTCCTCAGCAACTTTTTCTTTGGCGAACCCGAGCAAATAAGGTAGCACTGATTGAGGTCCCGTCACTTCAGCCGCATGCCATCCAGTCTGGGGCTCGAGCAGTTCCACAGGCACCTCTACTTTCGTCACTCGATCAAACAGCACCATAATACGCTCTCTTCGCAATCAACCATCCCCACAAAACTGAGGAGAGACTCCAGGAACATTCCAATATACACAATTGAAATTCTTTACAACAGTGAGATTTTCGATAAACCAGGGAAACCAGGATCAGGCAGAAGAGCTCCTGATTCGACTCTTCCACTACTGCCATTTCTTCCGAGGTCGAGTGCCACAACAGGCACAGATTTCCCCATGGGTGGTGGTCCCGCGAAAACCATCACAAGTCGCCACTGAAAGAGCCCAGGCGTAAATCACTTCCATAACATGTCCATCGAAAGTGTCGGCGAGACTTCCAACACGGTAGGGTTGCATGGACAGCTTTGGCAAGGCTCAATGCCAAGCTATGCATACACTGCAATATCTTGGTACATACGCCGATGTTGAGGGGGAGCAAAGTGATCAGCACCAATGAAGGCGCTTGAGAAGCCCACGATGGTCGGCCAACCTGACGTAGCAGTCGCACATGTACGTGAGCTGATCTCCAGATATCTAGCCGCATTTCCAGCTACTTCTGCCGACTGGCTCGCTGAAGCTGGGCGCGCCGATCCCGTATCGCTAACGTCGTACAGAACCACAACATCAAGCATCGGCCCGCACCGCTAGATTGTAGTAGGGAGTAGATACGATGGAAAAGATGCATCGATCCGTATTGCTAGTACCTACTGAGCAGCAAAGCATGCCTCTCCCCGGGCTCCATCCCTCGCAAGTGCGCATTCCACCCCGTCGTCAGCGCCGCATACGGCTTGACGATCTGCGGCCCCAGCCTATCGTAGAGCGCTGTATCCCTCGCCAAGGCGTCGATGCTCTCCTCAACACTCTGCGGGATCCGCGTCGTGATACCCGCCTTTTCCCGCTGCGCCTGCGACAGCTGCGCCGCGCCCTCGACAGGACACTCCGCCGGCAACTCCATCCCGCGCTCCAGCCCGTCCAAGCCCGCGGCCAGCATCGCCGCCATCACCAAGTACGGATTCGCCGTCCCGCAGACGCTCCGGACCTCGAACCGCGCCCGCGTGATCCTCCGCAGCGGCGTCTCGCGGTTCTGCGTGCCCCAACAAACCCATTCCCCGCAGCTGTGCATGCCCGCCTTGACCCTCTCATAACTCGCATCGAGCGGCAGCGCGAAGGCCGAGATGGCCGGCAAATGCGCGAGGATCCCGCCGAAGAAGGCCGCCGCCGTCTCCTCGTCCTCGACCTCGCCGTCGCCCTCGGCCGGCCCGTTCGCCGAGAGATGCACGTGGGCCCCCGTGCCGTGCTGATCCGGATGCGGTCGCGGGTGGAATGTGGCGGCGAGGCCATATTTCGCTGCCGTGGCGGCGATGATTTCGCGCGCCGCGACCAGCCCGTCGACGGCCTGCAGCGGCGGCTGGGGGCCGAGCACGAACTCCCACTGGCCCGGCGCGGCCTCGGCGTGGAACTGGTGCAGGTCGACGACTCCGGGGCCGGCGTCGCCCAAGGCCTGGGCGATGGCTTCGATGGCGTCCAGCATCGCTGCGTCCGCCGCCGTCATGGTGCTCCAGCCGTGCTGCTGGTGCTGCTGCTGGTGGTGGTCCAGCCTGCTGCTGCTGCTGTCCGTCGTCGTCGTCGTCGCCGGGGTGAGCACGACCTCGATCTCGAAACCGGCCAGCACTCGGATGCCGCGTTGGGCGAGGAGCTGCGAGCAGAGGTCGCGGATCTTGCTCCGCGGGCACTCGGGCACCGCCGCGCCGCGAGAGTCGACCCAGGACGTCATCACCTCCAGTCGGTGCGCGCTGCTGCTGCTGCTGCTGGCGGCGGCTGCTGATGCTTGGGGGTACGCGGTCGCGAGTTCTGGCTTCAGGTAGATGGCCCCCGTCAAGTTTGCTGCGACGTGGCCGTGGCGCGTCATGGTTGTGACGAGCAGGGGCACCTGCACCATCTCTCCTCGAGCCATCATGGCGACGAATCGCGCCACCGGCAGCATCCGCACCAGGTACAGGCCGTTGTATGGCATGAACCGCAGCCAGACGTATTTGACTTCGGGTGCTAGGCGGAGCTGGGTTCCGTTTGCTTTTTTTTTCAGGCGGTCGTTAGCAGGAGTGCCGAGTTTGAAAGGGATCAAGCACTTCTTACTCTTCTCCATGGCGGAAATTCTCTTCCGAGCTAAGTCGTGTAGGTGATATGATCTAGTCTTTGAGTTGATGGCTGCTTTGCAATTCAGCACAGCAATATATATTCCTATGGATAATCTGTTCCGTCTGTCCCGATCGTCAACTGCAATCTACATGCACGATTATCGTGCAGTGCATGGCATTTCATGATACACAAGATATTCAATAATGTAGGCGTAGCTTATGTTGTACAACAATAGGTTGAATCTACGAAACCCGAAGATCGGCAGGTTGTAGTGGTTCATCTCATGCATTAGAGGATTTCCTCCGCAGATCCACTACCACCTCCACTTCCACCTCCACTCGGTCTAGCTCTTTCCAAATTTAGAAATACAGCCCCCTCTCGCAGCCGATGGCTAGCGCGAAGAATAGCAGGGCTTTAGAACATAGCGTAACTATTCCCCAGCTGTGCCTTAAAAAAAATAACATATGTGTGTAGTTGAAGCCATCGTCCAGACGAGAATGTGGAGTTAAAATCATACATACGCGTCTGGACCATAGCTTCACTTACCCATCCCATGGGCAAAAAACAAATCTACGCTAGCTATCGGCCGCAGGAGAGGAATGTATGCTGAATTCCAACCCTTGCTAATAGCTAACTACTCATGGTGTTGGATTTCTCGACCAATAGATAAGCTTCGATAAGAGCCTATGGACATGGTCATGGTAGTAGATCTGCAGGGCGGAGGAGATAATTCGACCTCTCGCTACTACTGGCTCTTCATACGACCAATGGCAAATAGTGGCTACATTTGAACCAAGGAAGGTGGGGTATACTCAAGGCTGATGCGCTGGCCTTCCCTTTTGCGATTCGCGCATAAATACGGGCCGCAAGTGTTTCACTTCAGCTGAAAAACTTCCACGGAGCTTGGATCTTTTAAAATCAACATTTTCGCCATTTCTGTCTCATTACCCCTCCCCAAACAGTTACTTCTTGTTCCACTCTTGGCAGCTCCATATTCTTCATTTGACTGTGAATAGCCTGATCATCTGCAATTCGTCATGTTCCGTTACTTACTTCGAGAATTTCACGGCCTGCTTTGGTGCTACATCGAGGCGCTGATACGGTTTTTCGCCGCCATCATTGTGGTAAGCTGGTACTTACTAATAGACGGGAAAGATCACGTTGTAATGATATCCGTAGGATTGTTTTCTTCCACCATTCAAGCACCAACGCCTTCAACAAAACGACAAGTTTTTCAGACTCGTGACAATTGAGCCGCGTAAATGGGACTTCTTGATCCGCTGCTCTGTTGAAGAGGTAGAGATTGATAAGAAGATCAAATACGAGGCTCTATCATACACCTGGTACATCGACAGAGACATGGGAAGCCCCATTAAAGGACGAATGCGGACAATAATCTGTAACGGAAAAAGGCTCAAAATACACCAGAATCTATACAATGCGTTGCTACAGCTACGAAAGATGAATAGAGGCCACCGAATCTGGATCGACGCCATTTGTATTGACCAAGCAGATGGCAAGAACATGAGCGATGAAGAAACAAAAGAAAGGAGGGAAGAGAAGAGTGCACAAGTCAGAATGATGAAAGCCATATTTGGCTCTGCCACAACAGTCATTGTTTGGTTGGGAAGATCTACCATCGTTACCAGCATGGCTGTAACGTGGGTACGATACTGGGTTATGTCATTGTCAGAACCAGAAAAGCACAAGCTCTTGGCGTCATATCGGGAGTTTGCGAAGAATCCTCGCAACTACAAAGCAGGTTTTCACCTCTTGAAGAACTGCTGGTACATTCCGGCTTTTCACTGGATATTCGGCCGGGGTTTCTTCGAGCGCGTGTAGACGTTGCAAGAGGTGGTTCTGGCGAAAGAGATGGTCTTTCTATTGGGCGATCAAGAACTCCCCATCCTCGAGCTGGCCAGTAAACTTGAGTCCACAGAACTTAGTTACAAAAGGGCCGAATCGCACAAGAATGGCCCGGATCTGCTTGCTACTTCTTTCAGCCTAGCACTGTGCAACCTCAAGTTTGCACATGACACCAGACAACAATTTCTAGACGGCACACCATGTCCTCTGGAAGACGCCATCGAAGAAATCAGAAGACGGAAAACTACCAAGGCTCACGACAAATTCTTCTCTGTTGTATCAATCTCTCCTCCGATGGGATATAAAATAGACTATAAAAGGCCGATTATTGATGTCTATTGCGACTGCGCCGCGCAACTCCTTCAAGGCCCCACCGGCATTCAGCTCCTCTCACTTGTTGGCCAATTGAGATACGGGTGTACAAGTCACTCCAAGTTTCCAGTCGCCACTACCAAACGATTGATGAAGAACATCGACTTGATCCCAGAACTGCCATCTTGGGTACCAGATCTCATCACCGAAATTCGGCCAACTCCCTTCCGCCACCTTCTATGGCAGACCAGCGCTGATTACTTCAAATCAACTAAATCAATGGGGGCTGAGTTCAGCCTTCACCGCGGTGGTCGGTCCCTGCGAGTCAAAGCAACGATCCTTGATGTCATCGAACACACCGGAGATTGCTTAGATGTTCCAGGACTTAATGTCACTTGGTCCTTCTTATGGCTTCCCATGCTCATAGGAAAACACTACCGGCCCACGGACGAAGACACAGTCTCTGCTTTTTGGAAAACTCTGGTTTCTGGAGAGAAATATGCCATGAATTGGCGTCATGAGGAGCTTCTCCTGGAACTCACTAATAAAAACTTCACCGAGTGGTTTGCTGTCATGGCCGAAGAAACACCCTACTATGGACCAAATTCTGGCAGGCATATACTGGCAGAGAACGACATGCAGTTCAGCATCAGAGAGTACATAGAACTCTGGTACGAACCTAACTTTATTTGGTCCAACATCGCACGCAGGGCTATGGCCAAACGTAGGATTAATGTCATTAGGAAATTCATCGATATGTTTGATTGTCACGAGTACCCTCTTCGTAAGACAATTGAGGAGAGATACGAACGAAGGCGCCAGCAAAATTTCCACGAAGCCAGGTATTACGTCGGTTTTGAGCCCCGACCTAGCGAATCAATCAATCCTCCAATTTACCAGAATGTGTTCGAAACGCGATATCTGCACCGTCGTCTATTCCTGACGAAGAAGCAATACATGGGCACCGGACCTTGGACGATTCAGAAAGGAGACGTTGTCATGCTTGTTGCGGGGGCAGAGCAGCCTTACATATTCCGGCCATCATACAAGGGCAAAGACACCTGGGAGCTCATCGGGGAGGCTTACTGTCATGGCTTCATGTTCGGAGAAGCTCTAGATCGACCAGATTTGAAGTTCGAAATGAGAGAGATTGTCTAAGCGATTTCATTTTGGCTAAGCAAAGTTTGACGATGGTGAAGGGAATTCTCGGCTGCTTGTGAAGTGCTTCTGAATGGTTGATATAAGATTCTGTCATTGAGTATTCCGTATATTGAAGCTTCTATACAATCATCAAAATCCTCCACATCTTAAGCCGCCATATCCGCCAATTTAAACTACCCAATGTACCAAAGAAAGGTAACACATCTCTATCAACTTTTCATCCACCATTATCTCCATGGCTACCATTTCGCCCTACAGCAGTTCCAGCCGGAACTTTTTCTTGTAGTCATTCGGCAGCATGAGATCCCTCCAGGGGATTCCTTGAGCTCCTCCACCCTGCTTTCCCAAGTAGGTTCCTGTCTGCTTCCTCGTGTTCCAGACAACCGTAGATCTTTCTACCGGCTTTGCTAAGCTCAGGGAAGAGACAGCAGATTGCCATTCCTCATCACCCGAAGAGTTTTCCTGCTCAGCAAAAGCATTCCGTCGGCTTGACGGCTCTTCCTCCTGCGGCAGAACCGCAGCCTCAACCGCACGCTCCTTACCCTTCCTACTCCCCTGCTGCTGACTTCCTCCCGCCACCACCAGACCCCTCGCACCCTCATCGACCACCACCTCGCCATCAGGCAGCAACCCCTCGATCCGGACCTCGCACATCCTCGGCGCCATCGTCTCCCGCAGCGCCCTGACGAGCCAGTCCGCACCCCACACCGCCCGCAGGCCGGTCTGGCTCGCATAGTCTCCCCGGACGAGGCAGACCACCCGCCCGCCATAATTAGTCGATCTCGGATGGGTGTCCCTGCTGCTTCCAGCCCGCTCGTCGTCCTCGACCCGCATCCATCTGAAGTACCGCTTCCCCTCGCCACTACCGCATCCCTCGCCCCCTTCGATCCGAAGCACGAAGCTTTTCAGCCCCTCCAGCACGTCTTTCGGCTGCGCAGCGGAGCCGACTCGCAGCGAGCGGCGGCGCTCGTCTTCCTCCTCTTCATGCTCCGTCTGCTGCCTCTTGTCTTTGGGGTGCGAGTGGTGGTCGTGCTCATCGCCGCCCTTCTTCTTCCTTTTTCCGCCACGCAGCCGAGGAGGAAGGACTTTCTTCCCTTTAGTCCAGAAGCGGTGGAGCGGCAGCGTCTTGTTCTTCTTGCTGCTCCACCACCGGCGCAACCACTCTGGTAGCTGGCATCTGCGCCGGCGCCACCACTGCGTCTCTTCGGTCGTGGCGTCATCATCGTCGTCGTCGATGGAGAAGCCGCTGTGGTTCGCTACCGCGTGGTTGATGTCGTAGTCGTCGCCGCAACAACCACCGCCGTGTTGATGTCCGCTGCCGTGGTGGGCGTGTCTCTTGTCCATAGCCGCTGTGCTGTTGTGGTTGTGCGCCGTCTGCCGCTTCTTCTGCTGACTGCGTCCTCGGCGCTTGTGAAGGGACGATTCGCTCTCGGCGAAGAAGAAAGAGGAGCTCGTGTCTGTTGCGTGGTTGTCGTGGTGGTGGTCGCGGCTATCATCGTGGCCGCAGCAGCCATCCGAGCAGCAGTCCTCGTCCACACTGCTACTGCTGCTGCTATCACTGCTGCTGATACTTCTGCTCTTGCGCTTATGATGTGCATGACCACATCCACCGCCTCCACAACGGCTCCGGCGCCGCGGACCCTCCTCATCCTCATCAACGCGCTGCAGACTCTTACCACGATGCGGCGCCCGGTGATGCCCACGCCCATGCCCATTCTTTTCCCCACCACCACAGCAATCCTCATACTCGACCCCCTCGTCCCCTCCGGAATTAAGCATCATGCTCCGCAACCCGCGCGACGCGACGACAGCATGGCGCGGCGTGAGCGCCTCGAAAGCATCGAGATCAGTCGTGCTCAGCACGAGGCTGCCCAAGAGCGGCAGGTAGTTGGCGTGCAGCGTCTCAAGGAAGCGGAAGAGATCGGCGGCGGAAGTGAAGTGGAGCGTCGTGAGGCCGTGGAGGGTGCGCAGGACGCGAGTGGAGAAAGCGCGGTTGACGGACAGGAGGGTGGAGAAGGGGATGGGCGGGGGAGCGGAGATGATGGAGTGACGTTGGCGATGGTGAGGGTGTCGGCGGGAGAAGCGGACGCCTGCGTCGTGGCCGTGGCTTTCTCCATGGTGAAGACGGCGAGCCTGGAAGCGCTTCTCGTCGCCGCCGAGCCACTCCAGCCGCAGCTCGTCCGGCTTGCCCCACGCGAACGCGATGATAGCATTCTGGATATCCGCCGGTAGGCGTGCCCATGGAAAGAACGTCTGGCCGAGCTCGACGCAGGGAGTAGTATTGGATCGGACGTTGTTGTCGAGCACGTGGTAGAGGTGCGCGCGCTGCACCCGCTCCGCCACCGGCTTCAGCATGTCCCGCCGCTGGTCCTCTGCCACCCGCTCGAACCACTTCTTGTCCGGCACGTACTTGCGCTTGCGTTTGATGAAGAGCTGAGGCCGACCACTGCTACCGCCGCCGCCGATACGGCGCCGGGGCTTGGGCCGCTTGAGTTTGGCTTTGATCATCATCACTTCCCAGCTGCCTGCGGGGAGTACCCAGTATTCGCGCGTGCGGTTGTAGCGGAGGTGGTCGCTTTGGCGCGGGATGATGCGCCCGCGGAAGGTGGTGAGCGTGTCGTCGAAGCCGTTGCCCCAGGCTTTGAGCCTCCGCATGGCTTTCGCTTCGGATCTTGACGGGTGAAGCATTTGGTTCAGAAACTGTGGAGCCATGGATGCTGATGAAGAGGCGGAGGCCTCAGTGTGTCGAGAAAGGTGTGATGATGGGAGTGGACACAAGGAAAGTGGTGTTGAAGTGATGTGTATACGCTGGCAAGAGGCGCGGCGCTTTTGATCCATGGATGACTGCACCTGACACTGCCTCTTTAGCTGCAGTCCAACAAGGTGCAGACTGTCATTTGGCAGAGATTTCATTCCGCGTTCATATCGCCACTTCCTGAATTAGTGCGCAATACGTGCTTTTCTTGAAGCAAGCCAAAATTGTTCATAAACACTGAGATCGGATCAATCCGAGAGAAACAACTGAACATCAATATTCCGGAAACACAGAGAGACCTACAGAGAAACTCAATTAATCATGCTCCAGTGAGCGCAGACTAGCTGTTATGACTGCTACACTGCTCAGAAAATACGCCCAAAGCAGTTTCCTGGTACACGTTTCAGTGAACATTCATGTGCGATGGAACAGGTAGGGAGTTATTACCCTCGAAGCCCTTGTCTTCCAAAACACACCGAGCTAAATCTTCTCCAAGTTCATCATGCTGAGACCCCCAAAAAATTCCACCTATCCGCAAATCATCCCCCATCTCTCACCTCAAGCACAACTTGGTCCCTCCAACCCTCCCCTCCAACCAAGCCACCCCTCCCTCCCCTACACCGCCCTCGCCTCCTCCCCCGCCCACGCCCTCCGAATAACCTCCCTCACCCCCTCCCTCTCCACCGGTCTCGGATTCCAATACGGATTCCTAACCGCGACATCCGCCACAACATCAATCCCGCTCTCCTCCATGCCCAAATCCCTCAACGCCCTCTTGACCCCCAACCTCCCCAACAACACATTCAACCCCCTCACCGGGTCCCCCTCGCTCCCGGGCAGCGCGTCCGCCAACCTCTTCAACGTCTCCTCCGGCAGCGCAGGCGCGTTGTACGCGAGGGCGTGCGGCAGGACGATGGTGTGGGTCTCGGCGTGGGGCAGGTCGAGGGTGCCGCCGAGGGCGTGGCAGAGCTTGTGGTGCAGGGCCATGCCGACGCTGCCGAGGCAGGTGCCGCAGAGCCAGGCGCCGTACTGCGCCGCGGTGCGGGCGGCGGTGTCGGACGGGTTCTGGATGATTGTCGGGAGGGAGGTGGCGAGGGCCTTTGTGCCTTCGAGGGCGAGGAGGGTGATGATGGGGTTGGTGTTGCGGGCGTAGAGGGCTTCGACTGCGGGGGAGGACGTGTTAATAAGCCTTTGTGTGTGTGTGTGTGGCTGGAGGGGCGAGACGGGGGGAGTCCTGGGGATGCTTCTCTCTCCTCAGAACAACATACCAGCATGCGCAATAGCATTAACCCCACTCGTCGCGCTCAGCCCCGCCGGCAGCGTCATCGTCAACTCGACATCGTAAATCACCGTCCCGGGCAAGATCTTCGGATCACTCCTCGTCGTCTTCGCTTTCTTCCCGCCTTCTCCCTCCTCGCTCGTCTCCCCCAGAATCGGCGTCATCTCGCTCCCCGCATACGTCGTCGGCACGCACACGTGCGGCAGCCCCGTCCGCACCGCCAGCGCCTTGCCGAGCCCGATCGTACTCCCGCCGCCGACCGACACGACGGCGTCGGCGCGTGACTGGCGAACAACGTCCAGCGCGCGCTCGGTGACGGACGTCGGCGTGTGCATGGTGGCTTCGGCGAAGATGCCGGCGGGGGTGATCGGCTTATCGGATTCGGAGGAGGAAGAGGCGGCGAGGATGAGGGATTGGAGCGACTGCGCTTGCGAGAGCTGCTGCGGCGTGCTGAGCAGCAGCGGTGCCGAGACGCGCAGGCGGGCGAGCTCGGCGGGGAGCTGCTTCAGGGTGCCGGGGCCGAAGATGACGCGGGCCGGGTTGGCGTTGTACTCGAATGGTTGCATGGTGGTGGTGGTGGTCGTCGTCATGATGGTGGTGTTTTTGCTGTTGCTGGAGAGGAGGAATTGGGTTCTGGCATCTTGAGAGAAAAAACGCCGTGCGGGGTCGTGGACTGATTTTGTAGACAAGTCGGACGTGGAGCAACTTTTTCTTTTCTGCTGCGGAAGAGGGGTGCGGCTCCCGTCTGCCGATGACGACGATGGAGGGGCAGTTCGGGAGTGAGGTACCTGGATTGATGTGGGGAACAAAAACCCCTTCCCGACACCCCACCACCAAAGGGGGCCGTGACTTCTGCCGTTTGCGCCATCCGATTCGCTGCCGTCTTTTCGTACTTTGATTTCCTCTGCTATGCTAATGCTGACAAACGTTCAATAGCACCCTTCGCGCGTGATTTTTTTTCTTTATTTTTTAAAATCAAAGAATAGCTGCAGAAAGCTAACCGCGGTTTAATTCCGCCCTCCCTCAACCTTTAAATAAAACAAATGATTTCTAATGATGTTTTTGTGTTTTATCATCCAGCCTTTGCATGCGAAAATTGAGTTTAAATCTACCAGTAACCAGTCGCTGCTCCACCTAATCCCCAACGCTTTGTTCTAGAACATTGATCCCAAAGAACACTCTACCATGTATTCGCGCTAAGCGTATAGCGGCAAGTCTTACATTGTGTACGGTTGCCAATAAGAGGACGCACGAAAATGACTTCAAAAAGAGACATGTTACTTCGCGTTGCTTCGAGAAAAGAACGTTACTTCGCCCAAGCCTGGTACTCGTACCGGAAGACTGGCACCCTAACGGTGTCAAGCGCAACGCCGCCACGCAACGGCGCCTTTGCGCACCTGAGACTAGCTACACCAAACGTCAAATCTGAAAGGCATTGTCCGTGAGACAATAAATACCTGTAAAATTGGTAGTGCGATCGCATTGCTACCGACGAACTGTAACATGAATTCGAGGCAATGCATCACATGGACAAGCGATGAATGGCAACAAAAATATCAATAAGAGCCAATCCATTTCCTTTCTCTATGTAGCAAGAGGTGGTATCCTTCCGTAAGTCATTAATAGGGGTGGGTAGTAAGCAAAAAGAGCAAGAAGAAAGCAGTCTATCCCGAGCCACGCATCTGTAAGCCCCGCCCATATGCAGTGGTGATCCCTATTATCCCATGCCAAGTCTGAATCCTTTTGTACTTTTTTGATCAGGAGCACCAGGCGCCGAAACCTCTGTGAAAAAGAAAAGCACGAACCCACCAGAACCTCGTATCGTACACGCCTCTTCACTTCTCCTTCTGCAGGCTTACGCCCACTTGCCAAGCAGGGCCATCAGGCCGGCGCCCAAGCACATCAAGACGAAGGCAGAGATGACCTTCTTGATGGGAGCCTTGGCCATGCTCGGGGAGAACATGAACTCGTGAGCCATGAGCTCGACGAGGCCGGTGTAGATGAGAATACCGGCCGAGATGGAGTCGAAGACGCCGTTGGCGATGAGCGAGGTCTGGCTCTCAGGGGCGAAGCTGCTGCGGACACCGAGGCCGATGGCGATGGCAATGGGAGTCGAGATACCAAAGCCGATGGCAAGCAGGTAGGGGGTCCAGCGCTTGCTCTTGGGCCAGGGGACGGCAGACAGACGAGAACCGAGACCGAGACCCTCGAAGGTCTGGTGGAAGACGAGGACGATGTACAAGGTGGTGAACTCCTCGCCCGAGACGGCGAGCGTCAGGCCGATGAAGATCGAGTGGAAGATGACGCCGAACTCGAGGATGAAAATGGCGGTGAGCTGAGCGGCGTATGACTCAGGCGACAGACCCTTGTTCTCCCAGTCCTCTTTGAACTCCTCGTTGGCGGCGTGTTCACGGCTGTGGCCGAGGTGGTCTTGGCCGGGCGTGGTCGCGGCGGGTTCAATGCTGTCGGCGCTCTTGTGCATATCAACGTCGTCCTTGGTGGTGGCCATGGCGTGACCGTCGGCCTCGACATCTTCGTGGCCATGGTCGTGGCCGTTGAAGTGAGCGTAGCGCATGGCGATGAGTTCGACGAAGAAGAGCACCATGACGGTCATGAGGACAATGCCCTCAGCCCAGTCATACTCGGTGATGGGGCCGGTCAAGCACTCATTGGTGAGAGCCTCGACAGCGGGCGCAAGCAGCTGGTAACAATGTTAGTAACTGATATTCAAGTCCATTTTGAGGGGTTCAACTTACATGAATGAAGGCGGTTGCAATGATGACACCGGAACCGAAGAACTTGGCGACGAAGAAGGGCCACTCGGGCATGCTGGAACCCGCATGGCGGCGAGCCCAGACGGGGAACCAAGCACCTGGTCGAAAGTTAGCATCTGGAAAATTTTTCGGGGCAGTGGGGATGAGTACTTACCGAGTAGAGAGCCAATCAGAATGACGAAGATGGATGAGATCCTCACGCCCATTCTTCCGTCGTACTCGTTGCTGGTGTCACAGTAGCCAGGAGTACCAATGAGGTCCTCAGGCACGGACCCAGAGGCGCCGGACTCGGTGGAATCCTGGCGCAGCACCAAGTGTGCAACGCCGAGGGCATTCTCAACGACCGACATGGTTGCTGGGGCGGGTAGATGCGTGTCTGTGTAACGAATTGTAGGTGGCAGCGGGATTTTGTTAAGGTTTGAGCCTGATAGTGGGGAGGTATGTGCTTCGCCGATGCTCGAACGAGGCCGGCGGTCAACGAAGGATGGCAGGCTTAAGAGGTCTTGGATTGCTCGTCGGGGCGCGGCGGCGGCTTGGCTTTAGTAGGAGAGTGGAGGACGTATGTCGCGGCTGAAGATGGCGTATAACACTTGAGCACCTTGATGGTTTTCTGACGCTAACCGAAACTGCCGGCCCACTCATTCACCATGGCAGAGCAAGAACGCCCCGCTGGCTTTTTATAATGCCGCGCCTCAAACGAGCGCCTGACGTGGACTGGGCAGGGTGCGGTCCCACGGGGACGCTGTCCCGTGGTTCGCAACACCAGTGTGGTGTATGTATGGGTGTGCGGTCTCGCTGGAGTCGCTCGCCAGTCGTATTTTTGCTGACACAACAGGGCCAGCCCCAGTCCAGCACGGGCCTGAGGCCGGCGATCCCCGCCGTCAGCAGATTTTGCTCCTCCGCCCGTCGCTCGTTTGAGGCCCTAAGCCGCGCTGCGAGACACCAAGGTGCTGGAAGCCATCCATGCTTTACGCCGCAGCAATGCAACGCTCCGGCAGAGATGAGGATGACTCCGATGGACGCGAGGCTGGCTGGGCCGATGTGCCGCGAGTCGTGCCTGGCGCTTCGCATGCAGTACCGCCGGTGGAGCTGCGAGTTTTAGCGGTTCGCTCCCGCGAACCTGCATAGGGCGAGGATGTGTGCACTACCAGGTAACCGGGATGCGACCGTGGTTGGAAGAGTCCCAGACGACGGGCGGGCGCGTGGGTTCAAGGCCAGTGTTGCCTGCAGCGGGTCAGCTCGCACTCGTGACTGGGTTGGCCGAGATACACCGAGCTGAAGGCGGCGCAGATCCGAGAGATGCAGATGGAAGCAGCATGCTGACGACGGCACGTCTTCCCGCGATTCGTGGCCGCGATCGTGTCGTTATGGAGATGGAACGTCATGGAGCCCGGGAACGAAGCTGGGAAGTGACTCGGGCGGGGCGAGGTTTGGTGTTCTTCAGTTATGCTGCCAGCCATGCCAAGGCCTAACCCACGTCGCTACCCGCATTGTCACCTTACTGAAGTAGTCAATGAGCTGCACTCAATTCCCGATGCTGGATCCAAGAAAGGGAGCTAGGTTCGGGCCTTTTCGGTGCTGCGGGTCGTTCCTTCGCCAAAAAGCTTTTCGAAGCTTACCCTGCCGAGGCGGCAGAGAGGCTTTATACGAGCTTTTTCACAGCTTGCTTTGTGTCAGACAGAGCAACCCCCGTGGAGCTTAATACATCCAAGTATGCTTAAATGCACATCCTCACACGTACACGTGATGCGTCATTATGAATACACCAACATTTGTGCAGCGTGGCAATTGTTGCTCCGCAATGGTAACTGTAGGATTTTCTGCTCTCCTTGTCCCTCGAAGCTTGCAGGAGTACGGCAGCCGTGCATAGCCAATGATGTTTTTCGTCCACACATTGGGTTGCAGAATATTTATTCCTCTGCATCTCCCGAAACATACTCTACTCCTTCTTCATGTGCATTGAAGTGTGTTTCCTAATGCAAAGTACGTTTTGGTATTGTACAATCCGTGGACTTCCGAGTAAGTCGGTGCAATATCTCTGGCGAGATCAGCTCAGGAAGGCTGCACGCGGGTTTGGAAGATTTGAGCCCCATAGAGAACACTGGCCCTTCAGGCGATGGGAGCAAAGGTCCTGGCATAGATGTGGCTTTCATCACCGCACGAATAAATCAAAGTATCAGAGACAAGTATCCTTCACAGTCCGGGCGGGGAATGTCTTAGAAAATGTACTTTTTTTTCACCTGTTGTGGATCTAATTGTGCATATGGATGAACCCTCCGGCTTCCCCGCTGCTGTTGCTAGGCGAGGTTGCAGCGCTTTTCATGTCGTATGACCCGGCCTTGCATGATGTGCGTCGGCGCAGAAAGACAAAAAGGAAATTTGCTCCAAATCCGACTCGGAGCAACCGTGATACGTGTGCGCAAGGAAATTTTCGCGGGATGATGTAAGCCAAATCATGCCGCCGAGGGTATCTTGACCACGTACGTCAAACTGTCCCTCCCTCCACGAACGCCCAAAAACACGAAACCACCCGTGCCCGAGTTGCCGACCAACCTGCCCTACGTACGCCTCAAGAATGACAACCTGGAAGACTTTTTGGTGGGGGTCCTGTTTTTGTAGATGATCTTCACGCCCTCGTGAAGTTCATCCAACTTCCGTCGCTCCGGCGACCTCGGGTCCATGCCGAAAAGGCTTGGTGAGACGTCCTGGACGGCTAGACCGGAATCAATCTGTTGCGGGGAGGAGGCGAAGTCGCGTTCTATGAAGCCGTCGGTAGGAATCTGGAGTTTCAATTTCCTCGCGTCCTGGGATCTAGTGGGTGTTGCGACCGGCTGCACTGCCAGAGGGTAGGTGATGGAATCGTCAGGTTCGGTAGCAATGTCGCTGACTGGAGAGTGCTCCAAGCTTGTATCAGAGTCTGTCGCGGAGTAAGCGAACACATGCCGGACATGGGGAAATGGCACAAACCTACCGGCCTGCTCCTTGGCCTTCGACACCAGGGAATCCAGCTTACGTTTCTTGCGGAGAGGCTTGGCTGGCGTCGAAGGTGCGGAATGAGAGATGACAACCGTCGTAGGCTTGCATTGCAGAGCCACTTCGGCAGTGTCAACGACGACGTCCGTACAATACTGCTCGCCGCAATGCTCGCATGGCTCGAGACTGGCAGTCGGTGACTGGGAACGGTCGCGGCTGTCGTTGTTGCCGTTGGCCTGGCTGCTCTTAGGAAGCTTCTGGTTGCTTTTGTCTGACATGGGGGTCTGCATGGCGACGAGCCGGATGGTGTGGATCGGATTTAGCTGTGCGATATTGGTGGTTCGCGCAGTCGGAATCGGATTATGCGCGGATCGTCAGGTCAGGCTCCACTGACACGGATTTTGGTTGGCTGATGGAGAAGAGCTTGGAGTGAGGAGGACTGGATGCGGCTGCTCGGCTGGTCCAATGAGGTCCAGCCTCGTTCCGCGGCGGTCGTGTGCAGAGCGTTCCTCTTGGCGAGTGACTGAAGTGGTGCGTTGTGTTCAGTGAGGTCGCATGGAAAGGAAGAGGTGCGCAGGTGGCGAGAAGATAAGCTGCGATTGGATGATGATTGCGCTTGTTGGCACCCGTGAGGCAACCGTTGACGAGAATTCACAGTGTTGAGTGGATTGCCTTTCGGGGCAACAGATTGCGCAAGACAGGTGAAGATTTTCCTAAACAAACGCATGAGCCCAAATTCAAGTAAGCTTGTGATCAACAGCGTGCAAGCGACTGAGAGACGAGTGGCCCAGCAACCCAAAGACGTGTTGACATGTGAGGTCTTGCACGCGGCCTCATCATAATCCTCCAGACGACAGCCGCACAAATTTGTGCAGTTTGCGAGACGTGTTTGCAGCGTGTTGGACCATCCTCACCACGCCCTTATCCCTCCTGGACACTTTGACAAAGTTTGATAACGCGAATCTGGGGAACGAATGGCGGGCCTCTGTGCCGGATATTTTTAGTGCCATGGGTCATTTCCGCCGCTTGCGCTGGGGTATATTTCGAATTAAGCAATGCTGAGAAGCCTCCGTAATCCCCGTCCAGATGACTGAAACAAACCATCATGTCGCTGGCCAGCATAGCCAGTAACAGACTCCAATGAGCCGCTTTTGATGGTGTATGAATGCACCCAGATCATGAAGAATCTCGAGAAAGACAGCGTTTTGGATATGCTCACCTTTAATTTTAGCCAACGCAGATCTGGGGCTAGACAGGCATGGAGATCCGGGGTAGCGGATTCCTGTACAACCTATGAAGATAATTGGATCGGCTTTTTGAAAAATAAAGACGTTGTCGGGGGTTTCCAGTAGCGAATTGAACGGCAAATGACGGACGCAAAAGTGGAGGCGCTCAGCGAGTTGAAAAGGCAGGCGGCGGCGGAACGAGCGAGGCGCAGGTCCATTCAACGATAGTGCAAGGTAGAACACGAGGTTCCCTAGAAGGACGTGCAGACAAGGTAGATGGAAGAGGAAATTGCAGGGCCTGCCTGACCTTTCCGTGTGCGGAAAGTAAAGAAAGTGAGGTGCCAACTCATCAAAGCAGCGGGTTTCCCGAGGAAAAAGAACACGTCAAGGCCGGGAAAAAAAAATTCAGAGACATGAAGCAAGGGCAACGCAAGAGGCTGAGCTAGCTTGAGCAACGCTGTTGGTCGCGTTTGGCTCGTGCGAACGGGGAGAAATGCGAGTCGACGGGAGAACTCTGAAGAAGCGCTTTTACGTGGCCAGCAGTCGGGGCCTCGCTCTGGCATCTTCGGGGAAAATACTACTGCAGTTTTCGGGGGATTGAGGCGCCGATGTGGGAGGGCCTAACACCTAGTGTGCGTTCGCGGATGAGCGAGTGCTTCATCTTGTCTTGTGCGAATCGCCGGAGGAAAGCGGAGGGCGCGGATTCGTCGACGGTTGCAGAGAGCTAGAACAATGAGAAGCGGACCAGGCTTATCCGTGGAATATGACTCGCAGTAAAATGTCTTGCATGCCGTCATGTGCAAAGAGGCCGTGGGCAGGGAGGACGATAAGAAACATCCAGGAACGGCAAAGCGCTGCTGGCCTGGCTGACTACATATCTGCGACAGTCGAAGGATTCAGCTTGACTGCACACCTTGTTTCCAGACGTCGACAACCGCCACAGTTGATTGCAGAAGACCTGGACCTTTGGCGCCCCGCCCAGGACGCCACGCTCTGCCTCGGTGGGCAATTGCAGCAGTAATCCGGCAGTATATTTCAGTGAGTCTCCAGCCACACAGTACAAATGCATCCAGATGCTGGATTTATGGAAAGATGTGAGTGGGAAGGCTAATGTCTCTCGCAGGCCACGACCGTTGCGACCGTTACCGGAAGTTTAAAGGCCGGACCGCCTGACACTGACGCCACAACAATGTAATGGAAGACGGGAGCTGCGGGCGCGACGGGCACAACCCAGCAATCAGCGGGGCCGTATGCCGGAGCTCGACACGCAAAACGACTGCGCACCGCTGCTACGGGCCCGGATGACATGTGCATTCCATCAACACATCGCGAGGCATGCTATTTCGAGGCGCCGACCCCGGCCTGGCGCCGGGCACTCCGCTGCAGCTGCGCGCTTCAACACGCCATTCGGGGAAAGCGCGGCAAAGTAAGAGATGGGAATGTTGATTTGGGGTGGCGGAATCGATGGGCAGGAGCGAACGGGAGGTCCTGGCTGATCGCCCGATGGACGCACAGACCACCGCTTGCCGGCCAGAGCTAGCTTCATGACGTACTCTGTACACAGCTCAACGCGGGGTGGCTGGATCAGGCAAGCTTCGCAGGTACTTGTTGGACCTCTGCTGCCTTCTCCGCTTTCTCCTCCCCAGCACATCTCCGCTCCCTCAATTCTCCCTCCACCGTGTCCTCAGGAGACAAAGAATCGCCCATCATGATCCACCCCGAGCAGGTTGCCGACATGCTGAGGAAGACGTCGTCGTTGCTCGTCCCCACGAGGTAAGGGAGCTTCCGCTGCTGCCTGCACTGCTTTCGGCCCGTTCTGACTTTATGCTAGCACCGCCTCGCCTACTCCCATCGACCCTGTGCCGACCGTCGTTCGTGAGTGTGCCCGAGCAGCCGCCGCCTGCCTTCACTGACCATATTGTAGCCGACCACCCGCACTACCAGAATGCCGGTGAGGCCGGCGCCAGGACGCTCTGGGTCGTCTTTGTCCTGATGCTGCTTGGCACCATCATCTTCTCGGGCCTGTCTTGGACTGTCCCCACGGTGAGTTCGAATTCGAGCCAGCACCCGCATCCATGTAACTGACTTTTGCAGTCTCGCCGCCTGTACCATGTCGTTACCACCCTGATCACCACCGTTGCGGCTCTTTCGTACTTCGCGATGGCAACTGGTCATGGCGTGACGTATCACCACACCAGGATCCGCGAATCCCACAAGCACGTCCCCGACACCTACCATGATGTCTACCGTCAGGTCTACTGGGCTCGCTACGTGGACTGGGCCTTGACCACTCCGTTGCTGCTTCTCGATCTTTGCCTGCTGGCTGGAGTCGACGGCGCCCACACTCTGATGGCCATTATTGCCGATGAGATCATGATCCTCACTGGTCTGTTCGCCGCCTTTGGCAACGAGGGTACTCCTCAGAAATGGGGCTGGTATGCCATTGCTTGCATTGCCTACCTTGTTGTCATTTGGCACCTTGTTATCCACGGCCGCGCCAAAGCTTTCGCCAGGGGCGGCAACGTCAGCAAGCTTTTCGGCTCCCTTGGTCTCTTCACCTTGATTCTTTGGACTGCCTACCCCATGTAAGTTGTTTTTCCCCGTAAGCACAATTGCTTGGCGCTAATGTCACACAGCGTCTGGGGTGTCGCAGACGGCTCCCGCAAGGCCACTGTCAATGACGAGATTATTGCGTATGCCGTCCTGGACCTTCTTGCCAAGCCAGTCTTCGGCCTCTGGCTCTTGCTCAGCCATGCCAAGTTGCCTGAGACAAACGTGGAGCTCGGTGGCTATTGGACCCATGGCCTTACTGGCGAGGGCTCCATCCGCATCGGTGACGACGATGAGGGCGCGTAATGGTGCTCTCTCAGACATCAAGCACGTGATAGCACCCTTGCTATCAAAAACATCCCGAACATTACCACATCACCTGCAAAAGTTTGAGGGATGCGCAGGACAGACGGCCAAAGTGTGAAAGCACCACTTGCAAGAAAATTGGCATCTCATCACTGTATTTTCAATCACCAGCCCAGTGAACACACCCTTCTCAAGAAGCTTATTAGTGCTTGTACCTAATTAATCGATATGGAGTACGGAGTAACTCACGATCGTGGGCCAAAGTCTCGTGCATCAAGTGAACCGGAATCTCTAATTCAAAGGCCGCGCACTTCCGAGAATAGCCTTTTTCCTGGGGGACGTTCAACCATTTTTTCCGCTTGGCTGTTGCCTGAACCCTGGATCGCGGCGATCTGAAGTGCGGGGGAGAGCAGGGATCTGGCTTACGCCATGGTCCCCCCTTTGTAAGCTAACTAGATCCGTGAAAGAAGCATCTAGCAGTTTTGCTAGCTGCTACAATAACAGGATTTCTAAAAATCAGGACGCACTGCACATGACAAATGTATTGCCGAAGACGACGCTCTGGACGAGGTTTCCTTTGATCTCAAATTGTGCCAGCATCTCTGAGGACTGCAATGACAATCACTCCGTTGGAAATATTGATCACCGCCGAACCTATCGCGTTCATGCGTCCAGCAGATCTTCGGTGCAAGCACATGTAAGAGAAAAACAAGGCATTCGATGGAATCAGCCCCCGTCCGACGCACCTCATTGGCTCTGGACTTTCAGCCACCCCGGCTGGCAATCCAGATGTGCCTGCAAGTGCAGCGGGTGGGTGCTGCACGTAATCACACAATGCATGCAAGCCGCCTCTTCCAACCACGTATGTGCGCCGGCGTTGGGAAGTTCAACAATTTTCGCAGTGAACATCACGGGGCTTCAATTCATGTCGAGTAGGAGGAGGATAGCATCCAAAACAATGCTTCGGAAGCAATCAGCCGGTCAGCCGGGTGCGGCCGGAAAGGATTGCAGCCGGTGGTGGTGGATGGCGGGTGGTGTGGCTGGATCCGAAGCACGATGTCGGCTTTGTTTGACTAGTGCGGTAGTAGTGGTTAATTGACTCTTTTTATCGTATTCTGCCTGGCTATGTTTTGGCTAGTCTGCTTATGCTTGCGGAGGACTCGGAATTGTTCTGAAACTGCTAAACGTGGGGAGAATAAATTGGGGAGCTGATAGCTTGTACACCCGTGGCGGCTGACCTGTCAGCCATTCTGTCAGTTGCAGAGAGTCTGGACATCGATCTAGCGTTTGCTTCCCCACACAGAGCTGCACAGTGAAGCGGAGCGAAGCGGACGGGTGTTGTATGTTTGAGACGGTGGAACGGTGACGGGATCTGCATTGCGGCGGGGGCCAGCAGGAAATGGGACAAGCATTGAACAAAGTTAAGGTTGGGAGGAAGCTGGTGCCAAAACGCACGTGTCTCGATGAGGTAGCATTGTGGCATCTTCCACAACCAATTTTCTGTTTCATGTCGTTTGATTAACGAGACCGGGGCCGGCCTGCTCGAATGGGGAACTCGTCGTGCCACTCACGACTCGGTCGTGGCGTGTGCGCGGGTTGCGGTGTGGCAGCAGCTGATGAGCTACTACCCGTGCAGGCGTTGCTTGCCCAGCGCTTGACCTGGAGCTTGATTCAGCCCTACCTGTATACCTTCCGGCCCTCGTACAACCATGATTAGTGGGTCGACACCATTCCAGGCCCAGCGGGAACGTCGGCAGAAGAAGAGTCGTGGCTCTTGTTGTGGGTGATCTGTGCCCCCCTAAGAAAGGAGCAAGAGAGGGTCTGAGAGTGGGCTTTCCGCCCTTTTCGTGTGGCGTACGTGCGCGGCATTCCCGTCCTCGTACCGTGGGAAGGAACGGCTCAGGGCAGCTGGGCTCCTGTGGGATGGAAATGACCCTTCCAGGTCACCGCGGCATTAATTCGCCCAGAGGCTACATATAGTATTCCGCATTCAGCTTTCGAGTCTCACTCTGCGCTGCGACTCCCCTGCTGAAGGATACAAAGAAGCTTCCTACGATACGCTTATATCCCTAGAAGCAGCACGACGCTTGTCGAGACCGACCTCTATTCCACTCGTTATCGCCTCGAATATCACCATGCAGAACATCATCGTCCTCCTAGTGGCCGCGCTGTCCGCCAGCAACGTGTACGTCTTTCCGCCTCATCCATCTCACTGTCCAATGGCCGTCCACGACTGACAACCACACAGGGCCGCCTCGCCCATCAACAGTACGCCTACGCCAGCGATTACCTCCGCTGCGGAGGGCACGTACCCTGCCGCCGCCACCACTACGCCAGCCCCGACCACTGAAGGCTGCACGACCAGGCTCTTCCATGGCGCCAAGTTCGGAGCGCTCAACAAAGCGACGTGCACGTTCTACGAGTCCTACACCACCGTCACCGAGTATGTCGATTGCGGCGGCTGCACCCTGGAGATGGTAGCAATGGGTCCTGGACCGGTAAGTGGAAGAGAGGAAATCCTCATTTTACGCTTTTTCATGCTGGCACCGTCCTTGTTTTTTGCGTCAAGTGACGCCTCTGTTTTGCCCTTTTCTCATTTCCCATCTGTTGCGGAAGTTGTGGAGGAGGCGATCATCCGCCTCGACCGCTTGAGATCCGCGCGCTTTCATCTTCTTTGCTTCATGCTTTGGCCTCTCTCTCGCCCAAAAATCACGTCACCTGTGCTGACGAAAAAACGTTATGTCTAGGCCGTGCATTGCAGTGCCAACACCCAGCTGCCGCTCGGAACGGAGACGATGACGGCTTGCAGCACCACCCCGAACGCCGTCGCTGCTGCTTCGACACCGGCACCGACGACGCAGTAAGGGGGGAAGAAAGCATGATCCAGGACCGAACGCCGACTACTGCGCACGATGATGATCCAGAACTTGAACGATTGGAATGAAACGGGGCATGGAAGAAGCTAATGGATTGCGGGCCGGGGAGAAGCGGAAGGACGGGAGAGCGCGCGGGCTACGGCGGCGGGGGCGGGCGCGAAACGGCGACGGCGACGACGACTGACGCCGCGCAGCGCTCAAAGGGCGACAGATAGATATAGATCGACAGGGCAAACACTCGGGCCAGAGCAGCGTGGCGGAGGGTTCCGGTGGGACATTCGTACATTACTTCTGTTGTTGGCAGGATAGCCAAAATTGCAGGATACCGGAACGGGGGCGGCGGGCGCTCCAACACGCGTCGAACGCTCACGCGCCGCCCGGGGACAAGCAAGTCAGTCACAAGTCACAAGTCACATATCCGTTCCTTTGATGTCATCTGGTGGGTGAGATTGGAATGTGATGTGCGGGCGAGCGTGGCAAAAGATGTTGATCGCAGCTCTACATGAGGCGCAGGGCAGGGCGGAAAAAGCGGGCGCGGGTGGTGCGAGAAGGCGGACGGAGGCGGGCGGGCGGTGTGGTGCCTGGATCGTCAGGCCAGACCAGCCGTTTGCGGGGCTTGTTTGGACGCGCGCGGGGCAGCCGGATCCTCGAGCTCAAGCTTGCTTCTGGGCGAAGCGGCCAGCGCACGGAAACACCGCCTCGAAAAGCACAAGGACACGACAACTGACCGCCGCGTGGTCGTGTGTTGTTTTGCGTCCAAGCCACTGTCACGGACCCCGAAAGCCCACCACAAATTCCGCTCCGTCGCCGCCTCGCTGTAGCCTACAAGTCCCGCCTTTGCTCACCTGAGCTCCCGCTTTCTCCGCATTCCTCACTGCTACCACTACTACCTCCTCGCCCTCAAACCACCGCAGCAAACTTTTGCAACTTACACCCGCAACAATGGCCACCGAAGCTGAGAATGTTCCCGCCGTCGACGAGACGCCCATCTCGCCCGTCCGTGGCAACGAGCGCCGCAACTCGCTCGAGAAGCACCTGCAGCACCGTCCGGATCCCCAGGACCTGAAGAACAGGCACATCCTGCTCGACACCAGCGCCGCTCCGTGAGTCCTGACAGCTCTCCCGACCTGCACAAAATCCCCGCCGACTACACCCTTTTTTTTGGCGGGGTAAAAAAATGAGAAGAAAGAATTCATTGTTCGTACTAATCCTCGCGACAGTGCCCTGCAGCAGAAGCAGCTGGAGTTGGAGCGCCAGAAGGTCAGCGACAACCTCAAGAAGGGCCTCGCACACCGTCCCGACCGTGAGGAGCTAGTTGAGCGTAAGCACGCCCTTCCCCCTTCAGTCCCCACATTCCTACGTCAAAGACCGTGCTCGGACGCGGCTGTTTCAAGGCGACACCAACAACGACGGGGTCCCCCTCATTCCAGTTGTTTGGCTAACACTTGCGCTCCCTTTAGGCCACATCCTGCCCGACTCCAACGCCGCGCCTGCCCTGCAAGCCCACCAGGTTGAGCTCGAGCGCAGCATGAAGGCCGACAGCCTGGAGAGTGCGCTCAAGAGCCGGCCCGCCCCCGACGAGCTCGTGAACAAGGGCATCCTGTCCGAGAACCCCGCCGCATAAGCTATATCTCCATTGGCTTGCTATACAAACTGGGAGGAGGGGGAAATGCAGTATTACTGGCATGCATGATTGAATGGTCATTTTCTTTCTTTGTTCGAGAAGCGCTGCTTTTTTTCATTTTCGAATTTTCCTCTGGATAAGGGGTAATCGAGCTTTCATGCTTGCATGGCTCTTTTTTCGCCTGGCTTCTTGCCTCCGGTTTCTACTCTCGGACGACCGCGCGCGCTCACGATAGCAATCGATTAATCACCAAAGGAAGTAACGATCGCGCTTGTTTTCTCCACGAACACAACGGGGCGCAGGGCAGGAGTCGATTGTATTAGTTGTCGATTAGCTATCCCCAATAGCAATTGGATTCAACTACCCACGTAAGCAGAACCGTAAGCAATGTCTGTATATGTTTGTACGCTTCTAGATTTCCTGTCTACGTCTGGAGTCTTGTTTCAACTGTCTGTTTTAGAAAGCGTGTGGCATCTTCTATGATGTCATGATTGTTGGAGTAAGACGAGAGATGCTGGAGACGTTAAGAGGATCAAGGAATGGTGTGATTAGAGTGCTGACAAGAAGCGTTCGGAACCAAAGTCTTAACATTTTACTAATTTAAGGCAGTAAGCAGAAGGTACTTGGTAATAGCACGACAAGTCCTATTAAGATAACACCGCTAATCTCTATATACCAACAGACCTCACCTACAAACGCCCATCCTCTCTCAATCCATCCAACCAACACCACACCCCTCAACGCCCGCCGCTACCCGCGAAAGGAAATGAACTAGAAAGCAAAAGTCATCCAAACATCAACCTCGTCATCATCCTCAGATGTTGCCCGTGACACCCGGCTCAATCCCCTCAAGGATATCCCTCAGCTCGGCCCACACCTGCTTCTGCAGCCTCCCGCCCTCCTCGCTCAGCACCAGCGCCGCGGGCTCCTTGGGCACGCCATCGCTGACGTACTGCCCGTGGAAGTCGGTCCCGGCGGCGGCGCAGTGCACAAAGTTGCGCGCTCCTTCCTCGGTCGTGCGCTCCAGCATGGCCTCGATCAGGCGCATGCCGCGGCGGATGGCGAAGGAGCCCTCGTACGCCTCGCGGCGCAGCTCGCTGGTGCAGAAGCCCGGGTTGGGGGCTGAGATGACGACGGGGTAGGGGTTGTTGTTGTTGTTGTTGTTGCTGTTACCCGTCAAGGCGGCGAGCTCGCGCACGACGAAGACTTCGAGCAGCTTGGACACGTTGTAGCGGTCCATCATGTCGGACTTTTGCTCGTCGCGCAGCGCGGCGAAGAGGCTGCCGGGAGCACCGGCGGCGTGCTTGCGCTCGGCGAAGTCGGTGAAGAAGTGCACGTCGGACGAGACGATGACGAGGTGCGCGAGGCTGCGCGTCGCGGCGGCGGTGCGCTTGAGGGCCGGGAGGATCAGGAGGGAGAGGAGGAAGGTCGATATCACGTTGGTCGTGATGGTCGACTCGTGGCCCTCGGCCATGGAGAAGTTCATCGTCGCCATGCCCGCGTTGCAGATGAGTGCGTCCAGGCGCGGGAGCGCGTTGGCGCGCGCGGCGAAGGCGCGGACGGAGGCGTGGTTGCACAGGTCCAGCGGCCAGACTTCGATGCGGGAGCCGTCGTGGCTCTTGTTCTCGTCGGCTGGGAGCGATTCGAGGATGGATTTGCGCGCTTCTTCGCCCTTGGCGGTGGAGCGAGAGGAGATGATGACTTTGGCGGCGCCGAGGCGCGCGATGGTGCGGGCTGTTTCGAGGCCGAGGCCGACGTTGCCGCCTGTTACGATGACGACGCGGTCGGCGAAGCTGGTGGTTGGCTCGGGGACGGTGACGCAGAGTTGGGATTTGAGGAACTCGTGCATGACGCGGACGGAGGGGGCCATGGTGATGGTGGGTTTGTTGTTTGTTCTTGGGATTGGTGGTTAGAAGGTCTGAAGTCCGGTTGATCAATTGATCAATGGGGATTTTGCTGTTAGAGGAGTAGATGGAAGCTCTGGAAATCTGGTGTTGGTGCTGAGTGCTGAAGTTTACTCTGAATGCTGCAGAGACGGAAGATTATATAGAAAATGCTCTGTGTTTCTATAATCAACTTATCTCCACCAAGCACACACACCTATCCGCAGTCCTGATGTTATCTCCTTGCCCAGAATGGCTGAGTGAGCTGCTTAGACATGCTGTCAACCATTAACTCCGACTGGGCAACAACACACTCTCAGCCGGGACCCGCGGGCCCCGGATCCTTTTCGGCCTGAATATTGCACCGACTGCAAACTTTACAGCTGCATAGCTGCCTGAAAAAATAATTTGTTAGAGAAATCCCTTCCTGCGAATCTTCATCGCGAACGCGAAAACTCCTGTGAAAGAGAGTGGAAGATCGTGTGTTGCATCAAGCCATGTCCTGCTCGTTCTTCGTCCGTTGCACGCAATCATCGTCGTTACTACCATCTAGGTATACTTTCTTGCTATAGGGTAAATAGCTACAGAGTGCCTATTTTTTTCACCGCCTTGAGCCCAATGAATCGTGATAATTCGCAGTCCGTTCCAAGAGCCAAGCAATCGTACCTACCTAATCTTTTCTTATCCCCGTTTTCTGAGCGAGGTGTACGCACACAGATCTTGCTGCCTGAAGGATTAGGATCCACCAGGATCTAGGGTGAAAGCCAATGGACGGTCGGCGTTAAGAAACGGACATGGCTCCGCCCCCACGACTAGTGCCAACAACAGCTACAACTCAGCCACTGTGGCTTGCAGCTATGCTCAGCTGTAGCTTGCGACTCCTGTCAGCTTACTATAGCAATACATATGTGACGGACGCCGCGGATGCCGTGGAGGCCGCGGTGATTTTATCAGCTATGGTTTTCTATGGTGTTGTCACTTCCCAAAAGCTGCTGCCTTGTGCGTCTCCATAGAGACATCTTACAGGATTGAATTGGAGGAGCATCGGCATTACTTTCGAAAAGAAGAGCCGGGCTTTTCGCAAAACGACTTCGACTGCAGCAAACTTTCACAAAACTTATTGATAACGAGGAGCAGTGGATACCAGGCGCATATCATCATCGATTGGATATATCTCCAACACATTAACGATGTCGAAAGTGCACTGCCGCAACGGCGCAGGTGACTAGCGAGGGTTATTAACATCATCATGATCATCAATCCTCTCCTGTCAACCAAGAGAGCGCGACCGGCGCTTCATCACACAAAAAATCAACGCAACATCCCAACGACTTTTCTTTCGTCTCTCCCCAACACTCTAATGCTGGCGCGCCTCAGATGACACAGGCGCGATCTCAACCTGCTCGACGCCCGACTTCTCATTGGTGGTGGCGGGGGGCGCGGGGGAGCCGCGGCTATGGTCGTGGGCTTCGATGTCCTTGACCAGCTCGGTGACGCCAAAGAGGTCGTCCATGCGCTCGAGCGACAGGCCCTTGGTCTCGGGGACGAGGAACCAGACGAAGACGAACATGGAGAAGCAGAAGGTGCCGTAGGTGAAGAAGCAGCTGGGTAGAAAGAATCAGTCAGTCGTTCAATAATGGCACAGAAGAGCAAAAGGAGAAGGAATGTGGACAGCAGGAAGTCGAGAAGGAAAAGAGAGACAGAAAGAAAGAACTCACCCATAACCCCCCTTCCCCATCGTCGCCAACATATTCGGCGTCGCGCGCGCCACAACAAAGTTAAACAGCCACTGCGTCGCCGCCCCCAAGGCCACATTCGTCGAGCGCAGGCGCGCGGTCGGGATCTCGGAGATGTAAATCCAGCACACGGGACCCCAGCCGAACTGGAAGAAGCCGGCGAAGAGGAAGATGCAGACGAGCGCGAAGTAGCCGGCCGGCGGCACGGCGGCGCCTTCTTTCGGCGGCGCGACGCGCACGTAGATGCCGATGTAGTACATGCACGCGCCCTGCGCGATCGACGTCCACAGGAGGGAGCGACGACGCCCGAGGGAGTCGGCAACGAAGAGGAGGAAGCACGCGCAGGTGACCATCTTGACGATGCCGTAGATGCCTGTGGCGAAGAGGCCGGTTTCGGCGGAGGGGATGCCGAGGGAGCGGAAGATTTGGGGGGCGTAGTAGTTGACTGGGTTGAAGAAGACTTTGTTAGTTTTTTTTTTTTTGTTTTCCCTGGGGGTTTAGGGGAAGAGGAAAGGGAGTGACGTACTGGCATTGGTACCGGTCATCTGCTGGCAGACCATCAGGCCGACGGTGAGCAGGGCGCGCTTGCGGTTGCCGGGAATGAGCCACATCTCCTTCTGCAAGTCCTTGAGCGAAGCTCCACCGATGAGGCGGCGCTCGTGCTCAAGTTGCTCGGCGATCTCGGTGAGTTCGCTCTGCACGTAAGGGTGAGAGGCGGGCAGCTGGCGGATGCGGACCAAGATGGCGGTAGCCTCCTCCCAGCGGTCCTGCTTGGCGAGGAAACGGGGCGACTCGTTGCAGAAATACATGGAGACGAGAAGCAAGACTGCAGGGATAGCCTGAGCAGCGAGCGGAACAACTGTGAGAGCATGTTAGCAATTGTTGTATTAAAGGGGAATGGCTGGACTGGACATACTGAAGGTGGTGTCGCCGTGCAAGTGCTTGATAGAGCCGTAGTTGGTCCAGAAGGCCAGCATAGTACCGGTGGTGATCTAAGGGGGTCAGTGTCGATTCGGATCCGGAAACTTTGCAGCACTCACGAAAAGTTGATAGATGCCAGTAAGACCACCGCGAATGGCGCGAGGTGCGTTCTCGGAAATGTAAAGGGGGACAACCATAGACGCAGCGCCGACACCTAGACCAGCAATAAATCTGGTTGGATATAAGTTCGTCAGCAGTGTGTTCCCGAGTCTCCGCGTCTATCGCATGACCGGGATTCAATAAGAACGTACCTTCCGATATACATGACAGCCAAGTGGCCTTCACCAGCAGCCTGCATAATGCAGCCGACGATGGCGACAACGGCTGCCAGCAACAAGGCAGCGCGGCGACCGAACTTGTCGGCGAGCCAGGAGGTGATGAAACAGGCGGCGAAACAACCGGCTTGGAGGGTCGAGACAATGTTTGCCGACAAGTCGGCGAGTCCAGTCTTGTCGAGATGGGAGAGGCCGTACTCGTCCTTGAAGGCGGGTAGCTCGAGCACGCCGCCAATGATGCCAATGTCCATGCCGAACAGCATGCCGCCGAAGCAAGCGGAGCAGGCCAGCATGTAGACGCGCCAGCCGTAGATCTCGGTCGGGTCCGACTTCATAGCATCGTTGTGCACGACGCGCTGCAGGAAGTTCACCATGGTTGCGGTGTTGCGGTGACCTTGCGGTCAACTGACGGAATGGAAGGAACCGAGAAAGGATGAGAGAGGGTGTAGAGGAAAGGGGTCGAGCCGGGCAATAAAGGGTGGGGTTGAGGAGCAGGCGACGGTGGGGTGATGAGATGGGAAACAGGGTGAAATATCAGTGAAACGAAACCCCAGGTTGCGGAGAAGTTCGCGCCGGAGAAGTGTAGGACAATAGAAGCTGTCCGCCGCCGTTAGAGGTAAAGCGTGTGCCCAGGATTGCCTCTCCCGCCAGCCAAGGCGCGACGATTCAGCGTTGCGACAAGGCCCAGAGCGCGGCGGAAACGCGTAATTTGTGGGAAATTCAGGCGGGATGGCTTACCAAGCAGCCTTCGAACTGCCCCCAAGACTGATCGGATTCTCCGAAGGAAGCCAAGTATCACATGGGACGAAGACAGTTTAGGGCGGAGAGTAGGGAAGCTTGAACTTATCTCTCAATCAAGACGTGGAGGGGGGTGCTGGTATTAAAGTAGATGTACTAAGCTGGGCGATGGGCGGGAAACGGGCGCGATAGTAGCTGCATGGTATCGGGAGGAGGGGCGTGCGCATGCTCGCGTGCAGCTGTACATATGCTTGCTTTTCCGGGGCAGGAAAAAGCGCCCTAGTTTGTCTCCGCAACGGCCGTATTACTCGCAAAGGGAGAGTGCGTGGACTGGCGATCACTGATGTCCGGTTCCAGAATGCAAGCCCGCGCTGTACGACATGGATCGAGTGGCTGGAGCCGCGTGAGCAGAGGTCGCTGATATGTCGGTGGATGCAGACGGAAAAGCGACGATAGTGTTAAGTGGATGGCAGATCTGGAGAAAGTGGAGCTAGTGGATCCATCTCTTCCCCGGCCGCCACCCCCAGACTCCCCCACCACATGGTCTCGGCACTTCGCCTCTCGATTCGCCCTCCACTGCTCCGGCAAGCGAGCCCGCCCGTCGACGAATCCCACGACGCCCCCTCGCGGCCCCTCACCCCATGCTGGTGCCCGTGGAATTTAGCCGATACGCGGATAAAACACTGCCGAACCCTGAGCTGGTTAAAGGAGGCGCTGCCGTGACCAAGTACGATTCTCTTGGTGTTGTGCCTGTGCAATCCTTGTGGCGACTTCCTTTTTCCCGCACATATCGACGCCTCCAACGAAGACCAGCCAAGGCTTGCTCCACGACTGCTTTGCCTCTTGATTCGCCTAGGCTTTCTCCGCACTTTTCGTCGTCTTCTGTCATTGGTGGACTGCGGGTCCTTGCGTTCACCGTCTCCCTCACTGACTCGGTGTGCTTGACAAGAGTCGAAAACGATTTCTTAATAAACTTCGGTTTTGAGACACCAGACAAGCTGGCAGTCTATGCGTCATCTGTGCGCTCGGAGCAAGCCAGCCAGAAAGTGAGTACAGCGGGCCGGACCTTTTTCAGCACTAGCTTTAGGTACGTTTCTCCCTAAAAAGTCCCGGCCGGACTTGCCGTCATCAATCTGACAGGCCAAATTATCGCCAATCTGGCGACCACCACCAAGTGTGCTGTGCAGCCCCGTCTGACCCGGAAATAGCATCCGAGCCTCGCTGCGCACCCGCGTGTTTCAGGAACTTGAAACAGCCGTCCCCTGCGCATCATCATCAAAGCCTCGCTGTCGCATCCTAATTTCCGAATCGGGCCATCTAGTCCAAGCACCCACCGACCGAAAGCGGTAGAGCAGCAGCAATTCCTGCATTATGTCAGCAGCGACCAACAACCACGGCCTCGCAGCCGCCAACCGGCCCTTCCCTTTGCACCCGTTCAACAAGAACCCCATGCGCACGCGCGACGACGTCGTCGCAGCGTGCGCGTCCCTACTCGACCCGCTCGAGGCCGGCACGTCGCCGGGCGGCGCGCTCGTGCGCGTCGGCGGGACGGGCACGCGGTTCGACGAGACGGCGGCGCAGGGCGAAGGGTACGCGCGCCCGCTGTGGGGGCTGGCGCCGCTGCTGGCGGGCGGCAGCGAGTACGCCGGCACCGAGCGCTGGGTGCGCGGGCTCGTCAACGGGACGGACCCGGAGCACGAGGAGTTCTGGGGCTACATGGAGGACCTGGACCAGCGCATGGTCGAGGCCTGTCCGATAGGCTTCACGCTGGCCATTGCCGGCAAGCACTTCTGGGACCCGTTGACTGAGAGGCAGAAGAAGAATGTTGAGGCGTATCTGGGGAGCATGAACGATAAGGAGATGCCCAATACGAACTGGTATGCCGTTGTCTCCTCCTCTTCAGCTTTGCCATGAGCCCTGATGTACATTTCCTTGATATCTTTCTCCCACACTCCAGCCAACCCTTTGTTCACTACCCATCAACTTACCTAAACTCATGACCCATCCCACCTACTAACCACCACCACCCAGGCTCTGGTTCCGCGTCTTCGCCAACCTCGGCCTCGCCAAAGTCGGCGCCGCCTACTCCTCCTCGCGCCTCGAATCCGACATCAAGCACCTAAACACCTTCTACCGCGGCTCCGGCTGGTCCAACGACGGGCCGGCCGGGTACACGCAGATGGACTACTACTCGGGGTCCTTCGCGATCCAGTACCTGCAGCTGCTCTACGCGCAGCTCGTCGACGACTGGGACAACCGGGACCCCGAGCGAGCGGCCGAGTTCCGATCACGAGCGCAGCAGTACGCGCTGGATTTCGCGTACTACTTCGACGAGCGCGGGAGGGCGCTGACGTTCGGGCGCAGCCTGACGTACCGCTTCGCCATGGCGGGCTTCTGGGGCGCCGTGGCCTTCAGCTCGACCGAGCTGCCCGCGCCGCTGTCGTGGGGCGTCGTCAAGGGCATGCTGCTGCGCAACCTGCGCTGGTGGGCGCAGCAGCCCGACATCTTCCAGCCGAACGGCATGCTGAATATCGGGTAAGTCGTGTCCTTTGAATCGAAAGGGGGGAAAATCGAGGGGACCCCAGCTGACCAAGCCTCAACAGCTACACCTACCCAAACACCTACCTGGCCGAGAACTACAACTCCCCCGGCTCACCCTACTGGTGCATGCTCTCCTTCGCGCCCCTCGCCCTCCCCGCCACACACCCCTTCTGGGCGTCCCCGGAAGAACCGCACCCATGGCACTCCCTCCCCCCCATCCGCCAGCTCTCGGTGCCGCTCCAAATCGTCAGCAACCGCGGCGGCCACGCGCTGGCCCTCAGCAGCGGGCAGTGCTGCCACTACCCTCTCAAGAACCCGCAGGCCAAATACGGCCGCTTCGCTTACAGCGCCGCCTTTGCGTACTCCGTCTCGACCGGCGCCTACACGCTCGAGCAGTGGGTGCCCGAGTCGGCGCTCGCGCTGTCTGACGACGGCGGCGAGCTGTGGCGCATGCGACGCGCCGTCGATGAGGCCGGGTTCGAGGAGGATCATGGGGATGGGGTGCCGTGCTTGACGTCTGTGATGCGGCCGTGGAAGGACGTCGAGGTGCGCACTTGGCTGCTGCCGCCGGCCGAGGCGACGCCGTACTGGCACCTGCGCGTGCACCGCGTCCAGACGGGGCGAGAGTTGTTGGAGGCCGAGGGCGCGTGGGCGGTGTATGGCGTCAACTTGCGTGATGGTAGGCCGCTGGGCGCGTACGATGCCGCCGCGCACGAGGGCCACGTCTGCGACGCTGACAGTGTGCTCGTCGTGTCGCCTAAATCGGGTGCGGTGGGCATGGTCGACTTGCTGCCGCGGGAGAAGACGGGCCGGAGGGGTGCGGTCCTGGACGCGGATGCGAATTCGAATCTTGTGGAGCCGCGGACGGTGCTGCCGATCCTGCGCAGCGAGCTGAAGGCCGGGGAGACGCGGTGGTATGCCACTGCCGTGTTCGCCATTCCGGAGAGCGTGCCCGAGTGGAAGGAGATATACCAGCAGCACTGGCAGAAGAGGCCGTCGCTTCCGGGCTGGTTGTCTGAGAAGATCAATGCGTGAGCTTTTGGCGGAGTGATTCGGCAGTTTTGCAACGGGAGTCAAGAGGTCGTCAATGATCAAACAAAGCTCGACTAGATTGTTAGCCTCATTCCCAGCGTACATAGACTAATGAACAGTGTAAATGAAAAACAGGAAAGCTCCAATGTGAGCGAAGAGCGCACGGCTTCGATTGGAGTGTTAAATGCTGGGGTATCTCGAGATCAAGTACAAGTATCACAGACACCCACCCAAGCAGGATGCACGGACTCTGTTAGGAAGGAAAGAAAAGAAATGTGAGGATGAGTGCAACGAAGGGAGACGCCAAGCCCGCTGCTAGTTTCTTTCTCCCGAGTAAAAACCAAAAACCAACCTGTCTGTCCATCTCAAAATAACGCCCGCTGCCAACGTATGTACTGAAATGAGAGTTCTCCTAACCAATCTGGAACTCCGGGCGCAAAACAAGACTGACGAGTGCACATGGATAAGACGAGAAGCGAAGAGTGATCGTGGGCCGTAAGCGAGAAATGAAAATGGTCGACAGCGATGGCCTAATCGCTATCACCTTGTCCGGTGAAGTAATCCGTCGGGGCTTTGGGACCCCGCATGTCGATGCCGCTGTCGCGGTCTGTTCTTGGGATTTCCATAGATGCTCTGACAGTGGCACTTGCACTTGCATCTGGACGTGTCCAGGGGCTCAGGAGTGATCCTCCATGAGGCTCCTCATCCTCTTCTGAATCCGATTGATCTTGTTCTTCGGGACTGAGAATGCGTCCACCCAGCTTGACATCGCTTACGCGGATCTTGTAGTCCAGTGCCTTCCTCCCTTCTTTAATCAGATCTTCCGTGACCGTAAGGCAGCGTTTTAGGCTCTGGTTCAACTTCTGGCTGTCAATCAGGATTTCCTTGTGCTTGGACAGGTCTAGTTGGAGGCGTTTTTGGTCTTGGAATCGGTATTTGGCATCCCTCTCGGCTAGGGCGCTTGGGCTTAGAGAGCTTTCATCGAGTGAGGATTCACTGGACGAGAGCTCTTCCGGATCCTCCTCATCCTCTTCCTCCTCCTCGCCCTCGCCCTCGCCTTCCAGACCCAGGAATTCCTCATCGGCGAACTCGGCCGTCTCTCCTTCAGTGAGAGAACCCAAAGCTGAAGACTTGATGTTGCCGTTCGATCCCAACCGACCATTCCTGCTCATCCGTCGGAATCTCTTAAGCTCAGCCTTCTGCTTGCGGACTTCCCGCTCGAGTTGTCGGTTGATGGCCAGTAGAGAGGAGTTGCTGATCTCCAAATCCATAACTTTCCGCTCTCGTCTCGCATTCGCAGCTAATTCATTCATCTTTTGCAGCGCGCTCTGCGGCTGCTGTTGCTGCGGCTGCTCGGTGTCATCCGACGCGTTGGGACTCTGCAATGCCGGGCTCTGTGGTAGTGAGAGCGGAGATTGCAATCCATTAGGTTCCTTTCTTCCTTCATTATGTGCGTTCGACGATGCAGACATTACTGTAGAGGGCGATGTTATATCCACCTGCAAGGGGCTGGGTGAGTGGTCCGCTTGGCCCGAAATCCTCCGATTCGAGCAGACCGAGTCAATCGATGACATGCTCGAGCTCTTGTGGTGGCCCAGTTGCAGCCCGCTGTGGTCGGTGCTCGACCTTCTTCGGTGGCCCGGTGTCGCATCTTTGGCGTCCGTGTTGGAGAATACCGACACTGCGGATGGCGGTCGCGAGTGGCCGTTTGGCCGAATAATCTGCGAGGCCCCTTTCCTGTAGGATAGGTGCACGGCATCCTTATTCGGAGACACTGGACGCTGCCCCTCCTTGCCGGCCGAGTGCGGATGGAAATGCGGGTCCGGGGTGGCGGAGAGAATCGGCGGTGAGTGCAGCGGCGAGTTGATACTGCGGTCGTTGGGGATGGTATTGGCGTGGAAGAACTTGCTCTCGATGTTGGGCGGGCGGGTCCTCTCGGCGGCCAGTGTAGGAGGAGACTTGAATCCTGCTGAAGCGTTCCTCTCGCCTTCCCTTGGTCCGGTAGCGTAGAAGAAGTTTGTCGACTTCTTGGGTCCAGCGCTAGGATTCGATGTGGGCTCATGACGTTTCGCTTCGCTGGCGTGGAAAAACATGGACGAAGAGTCTTTTCCGCTGTATCCCACCTCGCTGCTGGGCCGCGAATTTCTGCCACCTGGCGCAGCCAGGACGGGTGCAATGTGCGGACCATCGATGCCGCCCACAATACTCCTGGGCCTGCCTCCAGGGGCGCTCCTCGGTATTGTGTCGGCGAGGGTCAAACGCGGTGCGGTGGGGGTATCGGGAGTGCCGGTTGGCGTCGACTGGGTGCTGCTGGCGCGGGATTTGCGCGCAGCTGAGCGCGGCGTCACATTGCTCAGGTAGGGCGACGGCGGCTCGTCCCTGGTGCTCGTGCGCGACGCGGTGCTGGAGACGCTGACGGTCGAGCGTGCGGACGACGACGGCTGCGCGGAGGCCAACTTGGGGGTGAGTGGCGCCTTGTTCGTTCGGCTGGAAGCAAGGGTGGGCCTGAGAGTCTTGCCATTGTTACTGGCGGAGCTGATTCTGTCGGATGCGGGCATCCTCGGACGGGCGGCGGTCGATTCGCAGTCTATCGGCAGCCGGGAGCAGCTTTGTGCACATTGCACATTGTAGGAACGCGGGTAGGTCGGCGGCGTGGGCGCGGACGAGAAGCAGGTAGCGGATGGTGGTGGCGGTCAAAGGCTGGACGAAGGCCGGTTTGTTTTGGTTGCGCTGGGCAGCAGGGCCCGAGGCGAGCGATGTGACTAGTGACGAATTTGCGGCAATGCCCCGCCCTTACCCGTTGCGGCAGCAGATTTGCGCTTGGACGAGAGGCTGATGGGGTGACGGCAGGATAATAAAGGCTGGTGGTGAAGGGAGAGATCGTGAACGGGCATTAATTGCTATTACTCCTTAGGGTGGTGTGAGCGTGCCGGTCATTTGCGCGCGGTACGCGGTATGGCCTACTCTAGGGCGTCAAGCCGACCGGCAGCCTTACGCCGGCCGGGGCGTAACCCTGCATCCTCCCGTCATCACCGCCCACGCGCGCGCGCGGAAACACGAGCAACCATGCCGCCTACACCCCGCGTCTTCCCGACATGAGCCATGAGCCCACCAACGCGCCGCCGCACCACGCGACGCCCAGCGGCCCCCAGCCTCCCTCGCCTCCGCCCCGCGAAGAGGCCCGCGATGCGGACGGGTCGCTGAAATACCACCTGCTCGGCCCGTCGCTGCAGAAAAGCGGTCAGGACGGCGTCGACCAGACGAAGGCAGGCCTCCTTTTCCTACTCACGATGAAACGCCGTGGTGGGGCTGCGCGCTGACGCCGCCTCAAACAGGTCGCAGAAATTATCTACAATGCCTCCAAGGGCTCCAAGTTCTTCAACAACGAGTCTGTGAAGGACCGGGTCCTAACCGAGAAGATCGACCGCATCCTCGCCCGCAAGCGTCAGCTCGAGCGGACTGATCTCTCGCATGATCTCCGTCGTGCCGACGCCGTTGTCGCCGAGCTCGAGCTTGGCCGCGATCTTTCGCAATCCATCGTGCATCTAGACTGCGACGCCTTCTATGCCGCCGTCGAGGAGCTAAACCGGCCGGAGCTGAAAGATGTTCCGTTCGCCGTGGGGAAGGGGGTCTTGACCACATGCAATTACCACGCCCGCAAGTTCGGCTGCAGGAGCGGCATGGCTGGCTTCGTCGCCATGAAGCTGTGTCCGCAGCTAATCTGCCTACCGCTAAACTTCGACAAGTATTCCGCAAAGGCTCGGGAGGTGCGCGCCGTGATAGAGCAGTACGATCCGCGCTTCGAAAGCGCTAGCATCGACGAGGCCTACTTGAATATCACCGCGTACTGTGAGGAACACCAAATGGACCCTGAGGACGTTGTGCAACAGATGCGCGCCGAAGTGCATGAGAAGACCAAGATCACTGTGAGTGCAGGCATCGCCGCGAATGCCAAGCTAGCCAAGATCTGCTCCAACAAGAACAAGCCTAATGGCCAGTTCCGTCTGGCTAATGATCGAGCTACTATCATGGCCTTCATGAAGGACTTGCCCACGAGAAAGGTCAACGGCATCGGGCGCGTCTTTGAGCGAGAGCTCGACGCTATCGGTGTCAAGACCTGTGGTGATATCTACGAGCACCGCGCATACTTGCCCAAGCTATTCGGTGAGAAGGCCTTCCATTTCCTGATGCAATGCTACTTAGGCCTGGGGCGCACCAAGATCCAGCCCGCCGAGGAATATGAGCGCAAGAGTGTCGGCACGGAGAGCACGTTCCGCGACATGTCAGACAAGGATGAATTGCGCGCCAAGCTCTGGCACACAGCTGAAGAGCTTGAAAAGGACCTCGAGAGGACACAGTTCAAGGGCAAAACACTTGTCTTGAAGGTGAAGCTGCACACCTATGAGGTCTTGACCCGACAGACTGCACCGCCTTTCGCTGTGTATCGCAAGGAAGATTTGTACAAGTATGCGTTACCGATGTTGGCAAAGCTTGAGAAGGAGATACCCGGAATGACGCTACGGCTGATGGGCTTGAGGGTTACTCACATTATCAGCATGAAGAAAGGGCCAATCGACTTCTTTGGTCTGAACAAGCGTACTACCGCAGAGTCCAGCACTAGCCAACAGCAATCAACTAGTCTGGAGAACGCCAAAACTGGAGACGAAGGGGAGTGGGAGGTGTGGCCTGAGGAGGAATTCGAAGAGGCAGCACGACAAGAGCGTGAAGCAGATTTTGTAGAGACGTTACGGCTCAGCCAGCAAGAAGATCAGAGCAGGCAAAGACAACCGGGAGAGGAGAACCAGGACCAGTCTTTGGATCAACCAATGGAAACTCATTGGGACTGTCCCATCTGCCTCCGTCCTCAACCAGCAAACGATCGTGCCTTCAATGACCACATCGACTTCTGCCTATCGAAAGACGCCATCAAGGAGACGGTAAAGGAAGTCAACGAGTCCGGTACACCGCCACCACAACCTCAGTCAGACACGGAGCCGGCCAAGCCCAAGGATGCGTTCGGATTGATGGGAATGAAGGCTGGCTCGGCAACCAATGGTAAGAAGAAAAGAGGAAGACCGCGAAGCGACGGAGTTGGTTCCGGCCAGGGCCAGAAAGATTCGAGGAAGAGACCTTTCTTTGGGTGAGACCCTGCACCCTTGAATTCAAGATTTTCATCATGTTGGGATGCATAATGGTAGCATAGGGCAACGGCGCCAAAGTTCATTGTTGGCATGAAATGCATTAGCATAGGAGTCAAGACTGTACAGCGAAAATTTTACCTTGTTTTCTTTTTCTGCCGCCAACCGAGATCTCTTTTTTTTTCCTTTTCGCGATTCCTTCCATGCGGCTCGTCATCACTGACATCACCCCACACTCACCTGTCCATCCCCCGCCTCGAGGAATCCCCACTTCCCACACTCCAGACCCACCAGGAGGCCCCATCCACCGATGCAAAAAATCCCACCCCCATGACCCTTGTTCGTTTTTTTTTTTCTCCGCGCTCGCCCCACACATTCGGTCAGGATCACGAGCTTGGCCTACTCACGCCACCACCTTACCTTGTCGATTAAAAAACTCAAGATCCTGTACTCGGCCCGTGCGTTTGGTTCGGAGCGGGCCGGGATGGGGTGTTCGCAGACGTCAGCCCGCTCACCCGCCCGCACCGTTTCGTTTCGAGGGGAACGGCATGCGGCTCGCGCTGACGGTGGCTGCGATGACTGGCGCGATTGGCCGGGCGCTGATGCAGGAACGTGCAGGCATTTGGCCTGGCTTTCGTCATTAGTGCGGTGCTTTTGCGCTCGCCGTTGTGGAGTGCTAGATTCTCCCGGCACTATGGTTCTCACATTAATGCTTGCTTACGCAGGGACCTGCGATTGCTGCGCGTGACCCGACACGCTGTCACGGTGGTTCTTGGGCAAGCGCGCTTTTCTTTCTGAGCGCAAGAGTTTGGAAGTTGGTGTTGGTTGTTCTTGTGGCGCGCGTGTGCAGTGGCGAGAGATGGAGTTTGGGTACTTCGCAGCGACGTACACATGTCGAAGATGGGCGATATCCTAGCCGTCCGAGGGCCATGAGGACAGTTGCGTAAGTATCTTAACCTCGATGTACTGGTGATATGAGCGTCGCTGATTCCCTGCCTGTGCTTTGTTAGAATGAGATGCGCATGTCTCTCTGCTGACAGCTACGGTAGACGAATGCAAATATTATGTTTGCAACATGACGTAGCAAGAGCTACCAAGATCATCCAAGTGGTTTGCATCGGACGGGTGCGTTTTCCAGGGGGGCACCTTCAAGTTCCCTCTTTTTTTTACATTCTGGTACCGCCCAAGGCTTATCCAAGTGTCAGTAATATTATCAGTACTGCCTTGCTTTCTGTGCATGGATGGTACTTGTCCCGCCGGAGAGACATCATCCACTCTTTCGGTACGGGACAGTGACCATTCCCCGCCACTCATTGATCTCATAATGTACCTCGGAATATCGTATGGATACCAATACTCTCAGGTCTACCACCCTTACGTGCGACAGACTTCTCGTCTCGGATGTCGAATCTGATAATTCGGTTGTGCTCAAGGATGATACACCTAGCAATTGGGGTTCCTTCAAGGATCCCGGCGGGTATCCGTAGCCGATTAGCCTTCCTGAGTTCGGCAGCTGATGGTGTTGGATAAAACAAAGCTCTGCGCACACGACAAAGCCAAAATCTCAGATTCTGTCTTCTTTAGTCAAAATCCAGTGGCTGGGCAGGTAGTTACTGCACGTTCGCCTCGTAGACCACATGACCTTCAAGCTGGCGCTGCTTTTGTGGGGCTTCTACTTCCGTAGTATTTCTCCAGGCAGCAGACCCACATTGCTGGCCGACATTGGTAAAGTAGCCGCGCTCGCTTCTCACCACGTCAGTCTCGCTTTGGAACAACCCCCCACCTTCCAGCCTTTTGCCGTAACTTCATCCACTGATTCAGACGTGCGCAACCTTTTACAATCGACAAGCCTTTCGGCTACTTATACTTTCTTGTCGCCGAGATCAGATCGCCCTCTTCGCCACGACTCCGGTCCGTTCCATTCGGCTGTCGACTATGTTTATTCGCATCCAGGATGGCCACTCCTGACAATCCATCAAATTACCAATACAAGAAGCTCCAGGACGGCCATATCCGGCTTCTCAAACTTAGGCCCGGCCCGCGCTCTGGAGCGCCCGCGATTGCGGAGATCTTCTCATGCCTACTGGAGGAAAGTCCCGAATATGATGCGCTATCATACGTGTGGGACAAACCTTTGTGCATCCGAACCATTGTATTTGGAAAAGCCGGGCAGATCCGCGTATCTGCTAATGTTTTTATGGCGTTGAAATGGCTGCAACAACAGACAAGTGAGCGACTGATGTGGATTGACGCCATTTGCATCAATCAGGGCCAGGGAGAGGAAGCCACAAAAGAGCGTGAGGCTCAAGTCAAGATGATGGGCAAGATTTATGCCAAAGCGAAAACGGTGATAATGCACTTCGGCCCCTCTGCTGCCAGATATAATGGAGAAACCATCGAACGGCTAATGTCATGGCTCCATAGCCAGAATAATGAACTTCTTCACGACGTGCGTACTTATGCGGCGACGCAAAGACTAGCCGAAGAGGAGTATTTCAAAAGGACTTGGACAATCCAAGAGGTCATACTCGCAAAAGAAGTCTTCATTCTTTTCAGAGATTCCCTTCTACCCTGGCCACTGATGCTCTCGAAAATCCTCAAACTTCACTTTGAATTGCACATAACCAGAGATCACCCATTGGCACATATTCCTATCGTGCAAGTTCAAAACCTGCTGGGTAATGATCGCAGCCCAGGGCTGTCGGATGTGCTGAGGGCCACTGAAGCATCAAAAGCCACAGATCCGCGGGACAAAATTTACGCCCTGCTTGGATTGATTAAAGAAGACCCGGAGCACTACCCGATTAAGTACGATCCGTGGACAGCAGCAATGGTTTTCGCTCATTACACTTTCCGGTTCTGCGAAGAGAGAAACTCGTTGGACGCACTGGAAAAATCTCGGCACATAGCTCCAAGATCCATAGAACTACCATGTATAGAAGGACTGCCATCCTGGGCGAATGACTTTACCGATACCCAAAAACAGAGACGCCACAATGCGATCAACAAAGGATGGTACTCGCACAGTTCTGAATGGTCTAAAACGAGATTTTGCGCACACTATCACCTTCCTCTCTCGATCAAATTTGAGCTGGGTCAAGATCTTGCTCTAGACAGCCAAGGTCGGAAGGTCGGGGAAATTCGATACATATCTCAAAGCAAGTTTGGTAGATACGGAAGCTCAACATACGAACTTGAACTTCTCTGGCGACATCTCGACGATCTCACAGATCCCGCAAGGCCTTTTGTTGAGTGGAGCAGCCTATCGGACTTCCTGGTCGCCTTCTTCTGTACCCACATTTGTGATCCGGGCGATTCAGAAAGCCAGATGGAGGAACTAGTCAGAGAGGAGGTGAAGGATATTAGCGTTGAGAATGGTAAAGACTGGAAGCGGCTGGTACGGCGTCTGATCAACTATTTCACAGAGCCCGAATCAATATTCATTCGTATGGCGGGACAGATGCCGGGATGTTGCACAGGGAACTCTCTCTTCACTACCGACAATCCCTTCATGGGACTAGGATCAGGCCTTGCTCTCCCTGGGGATATTGTTTGCGTCCTTAATGGTGGCAGAACGCCGTTCATTCTCCGAAGAACCAACACCATAAAGGACGAATATCAGCTTGTCTGCGAATGTTACATGTATGGTATCATGCAGGGGGAGTGGATGCGAGACGTCAAGAAAGAGGATCTGGAATGGTTTCGATTGGTGTAAAAGGTGTTCGACTCTGACTTCTCAGAACTTTCACGAAATATAAGCCCTCAAATATGTTTCATTAAGTTTGATTAATGTCCAGTTTCTCAAACAGTGCTGGAAATAGCAATCCGACTTCAACCGCGTGTTACCTTCGAGACAGCTACCAGTCCTGATACAAGATGCAGAAAAGCCCCAGCTACCTCAAATAGTCATGTAAAGCAAAGCATGCTTCATTTCACCATCCGATGTCAAATGAAAAGCTTCCCCGATCCACCCGGAATATCTGCAACACCGCAGGCACTTCCCGTCTGCTCTGTCGTAGCTTTCCTTACTTTTCCTTCTTGGGTGCTGGGCTCTGAGGCGAGTGCTCGCTGATGACGTAGGGCTCTAGTCCGCAAGGGTCGCTGTTCGAGAGCCGAACGCCGTACGTCTGGAGATTTACCGGCGAGACCTTGCGCGGCTAGCAAAACGACCAGCTGTTAGCAATTTCACAAAGGTATACAGGGAGAAAAAGCATGATTGCCTTACCAAGCCATCCTTCTTGCACTCTTTCTTGTGCTCAGTCCAATGCTCCCTCTGGCACTCCGAGCTGCAGTATTTGATCCTCAGGCACTTCGCGCACGTCTTCAGCTTCACCCCCTCCTTCTTCGAGCACTTGGCACAGATTTCTTCATCCTCAGCGGTCTCGTACTTGGCAGAGAATACGGGATTCGGGAAATTGACGCCGATCTGGTCGGGGTGGCGCTTAATGGGGATCAAGTTGTGCAGATGGATCGTATCGATCAGACCCATGCCCTCCATTTTGAGCGGCGTGCCGTCGGCGTACACAGCAAGGGCGCGGCGCATCTGCTCTTTGGCGCGATCGTACATGCCCAAGCGGCTCTTCAGCGCGTCGTAAACGGCCTGGCGGAGCGGCTCGGGCAACTTGGCGCCGCATTGCATGGCGGCAGCGGCAAGGATAACAATGACGAGCTTGCGGCCCCAGAAGGCTATGTGCTCGTTGTTGTCACGGGCGCCACTAGCAACCTCAGCGATCTTGTTGATGAGCTTGTTGTTGGCGTCAAGCTGCGGGCGCAGCTTCTCGGGTTCGTTGTGCATTTGTACGTAGATGGACTCGGTGCCAAGCTCCGCGTCGAAGAATTCGAGGATGTCCACGTCACGGTCGGACTGGAAGAAGCCGTCCCCCCAGAAGCCTTGGCTATGGGTTTGAGAGACATACGTTAGCTTTGCGGGTCGCGTGATTCTCGACTCTTGAACGCGATGAATGCCGAGTGAGGGCAGGGTGGAGAGAGGTGAGGTTGAAGTGAGATAAAACTGGAGTCCAACGGGGCTGTGTTGAGCTTACATCGCGATCTGATCGGGCCCCATGCTTGTGTGTAACTGAGACGGGAGGCTGAGTGAGGAAGGGTTGTGAAGAGGGTGAGAAGGAAAGGAAGAGCATTGTGAGTTGAGTAGCTCATACCTAAACGGTTTTCAGGGTCCACAGGTGGGCGTAGTTGCCCGAAGCAGTCAGCCGCGAAAACACCTGACCTCGCGGTTTCCCACTCGGCTGCGTTATCTCCCATTCGACCGAGCCCGGGCATCGCCTGAGGAGATCACGAGTCGCTCGTTCCAGTTCCACCGGAGAGTGGTCGCCAATTACTTTTTGAACACCTCCCTGCCCACCCTCTCAGATTTAGCTATTTTAGTTTCAGCCTTATCTATAAACATGATTATACGGAGACAGCAAACATTTTGGTAATTCACTGTGCATGTTCTCGCGGGAACAAACCACGTACTCCATCTACGTGGGTAGTTTGGTTCAACGTCCAGATGCTTTTTTACAATTCCAAATCTCACATTCATGTCCCCATAGCTACTTACAATCCCTTCGCTGGAAGACAATATTAATTGGTTACTAGACATAGTAGGCTGAGATGCAAAGACATAACCGGGGGTGTCTCTCTTTCTGAAGTTAATCTTCACCTATAGGCGGAGCACTTTCCCCCAGACATTCAAGCCTTGCGAGCCTTCATCGCAGCGCTGACCCAAAAGCCGCGGTTCTGGAAGACGAGATCCGGGGCTCCGCAGCTGATGGTCATGGCGAGGAATGCCATTGGATCGTTTTCGCAGGGGCAAGCAGTGATTCCAATTCGTCGAGTTTCACAATATTAGGCAGCTTAGAAGTCTACGTCACATGAAAGAAAACAGCGTATGAACGGCCACTCTCTTTACAACCCCACCTCAACCCCGCTTCGCAGTCCTGGAACAGAATATCTTCTCTATCCAGACGACATGAATTCAGACGAGCAGCAACACCAGAGTCTTAGTTCTCCTCTCTGCCAGAGATGCAAGAGCATCGATCTGCAAGACTTCTTTTCTGGGGCCTCAGCTGGTACGGACCAGATTTTCCACGTCTTCGAACCGCCACACCACCTTCGACCTTCCGAATGCCCCCTTTGCTGCGCAATAGCCTTCATTAGGCCCGACTTTTCAGAGAACCATGTGTACCATTTGGTTCAGATACAGACAAACCTTGAAAGTGCAGGAGATCGCCTCACGGTCCGGCAACCTGAGGATGCGAAGGATCCCTGGTCTGTGTTCTGGGATCCGTGTATCTGGACTCCACACACAGCAGAGAAAAGACGAAGTCTTCCTGGTGGCCTAGGCTTTAGTTCTGACCTGCATCCGTGCGAAAACTTGACCCTTAATCTTCCAGGAAAGATCGATTTCGACATAGTGAAAGGTTGGATGAACAAATGCAAGAAAGACCATGGCAAGGGATGCGAGCTGAAATCGGGAACGAGCAACACCCCAAACCTACGGTTGATCGACTGCGCTACCAGAGAAATTCGACCCCACGAAGAGGGAGATACCTACGTCGCCTTTTCTTACTGCTGGGGAACACCACAAGCAAGTCAGGCTGACGGAATGGGCACTCCTTTCCGATTGCCCCAACATCTCCCGGCAACAATCGAAGATGCGATCCTGGCTACCCAGAAGCTAGGCATCCAGTACATATGGATCGATCGATATTGTGTTCCACAGGGCGCTGGGGACCCCGGAAGAAATCAGCAGATCTCCTTGATGCATAAAATCTACATGGGCGCTGAAGTTACCATAATCGCAGCTGCAGGAGATTCACCCACCTATGGACTACCTGGAGTGACTAGGGAGAGGAGAAAGCTACCTCAGATCCACTTCGGCTCGCATACACTGATTGCAACTTTGCCAGACCCTCGTATTTTGATTGCTTCATCGAAATGGTCAACCCGGGGATGGACCTATCAGGAAGGCTTGCTGTCACGAAGGAGACTGGTCTTCACCGATCAGCAAGTGTATTTCCAGTGCAATAAATACGAACCAGGCCCCATGGGTATGCCAGACGATTACTATGGCTGCTCGGAAGCCATGTCGTTGTCTTCTGCAAGTATCGACCCTTGCAACATACTCGAGGATGATGATGGGTTCTTCGAATTTGAATTAGACCATTTTGAAATCTGGCCACGAATCAACGAATACACTCAGAGGTCCTTGAGTCGTCAAGAAGATATTATGAATGCAATGTTGGGGATCTTTGAGAAGTACGCTGAAAGGAAATCGATGTGTTTAACTTTCAGGCACATCTTTGGCATACCTATCAGCTACATGGACGGACTGGAGAACCATGAGGCCGATTCATGGCAGGGTTCTTTCCTGCTCAACTTGGCATGGGAGCTTCCAACTCCAAGCAAGAGGAGAAAAGGGTTTCCAAGCTGGTCTTGGGTTGGGTGGGAAGGAACAGGTTTTGTTGGGTCATTCCGCTGCCTCTACCACCTGTGTCTCAGTTGCGAACAGCACATTGCAGCTGTCCACGTGGAACAGGATGACAGAATGCCAGCGGCCAACATGGATCTGTTGCATTGGAAAATTCCCCACATCATCTTCGATTGTCTATCTGTGCCATTACATATCAAGAATATCAGCCAATGCCCTCCACCCTGGCACGACAGACAACGTCCTCCGTTGGAGAATGAGCTGGATTTGCGAGTGCTGATGCAAATTGGGAATTGTATTCATTCTTACAACTTTCAGTTACTGCCGCGAGACTTAGCGGAAAAGCCAGGCCTCGACAAAGGGATTCCTTGCGTCGGCTTACTTCTTGATCCTCCGGTGCGTAAATATGCGCCACACTCCCAGTACTGTACGGTTGTGGTTCTTCTCGTTATGGAAAGCCAACAGAGAACTGGGACTGAGAAGACGGGACAACTTTATGAAAGGATAGGGAAGGCCGTCATTCCCAACGAGCACCTAGAGGGGGTTTCTGATAAGAGGGGATACTTTACTGTTGGTTGAAACTGATCTGCTACGGAGAGCTGTGGGAGATCGTGTGGCTGGAGCTTTTTAGGTTTCTCTTGGCTTATGTAATTTGCCATTTATCTATGGAGCTTCATCTTCTCCACCTGCTTATCTTTTTCTTGACTCAAGAATCAAGCAATCAGTTGGCGATCCTAGCGAATATCGAAACATTTGAAAGCCGAATCCTTGTCAAGTATTGCAATGCGCGAGGACTCGAACACGAGATTCACGTCGAAGTCACGACCAAATGGAAACGCAGCTCAAGGCGATACGGACGTTTGCACAGAACAGTACAGGGGTAATTAGATTAATCTACCGGAATTCAGATGGCGAGCTTGCTGAATTCAAGTGATGGGCACGCTTCGGGGTCGATAAGCGAGCATTTACTTGGCGGTCCTTGCTACCCGCCTATTCAAGCAAAGGCGCCGCACTTGGCACTTTGGGTCTAGCTGATAAGCGGCAACATATAAGCTTGGCACCCCCCGTCAGCGGTGAGACACAAGAGCCTCCAAGAAGCTTGGCCGGCGGGTCCTCAACCGACATTCACCTTTGCACACACCTTCCGCCAAGCCAGAAAATGGGCAAACGAACCCGCCTCGTCTCTTGTGGTTTCGAACTACGAGGCGAGCAGGCCCCCAATGGCCGAAATGCCTTCGCTTCCCCACTTCATCGCGGCTGTTCGCCGGTCCCTTATACGAACCAACTTGCACGCAATGGGAAGGAAACAAGACTTGATCTCTCCACTACCTGGCGAACTCATGGACAATACGAGCTATTCCTCGGGGTAGTAGGCGACATCCGCAGCGAAGAAACATCTATAAAGACCAAGTGATCCAGCAAACAATCGAACTCCCCATCCGTCAATCGCCTTCTCGACGCCTCCTCCACACCCACAGCAGCCATGCAGTTCAAGATCTCGCTCATCGCCCTCATCGCCGGCACGGCCTTCGCCCAGCAGCGCCCCCGCTGCGGCACCGGCGAGCCCTCTGAGGCGCAGCTCGAGGTTGCCCACGAGATGGGCCTGCGCGAGGCCGCGCTGCGCCAGTCCGGTCTCTCGGCGCGCCAGTCCGGCACCATCACCGTCGACACCTGGTTTCACGTCGTGTCCGCGGGAAGCAGCGTCGCTCAGGGCAACGTGAGCGAGCAGCAGCTGGCGGACCAGCTGGAGGTGCTGAACGCCCAGTACGCGCCGTACGGCGTGTCGTTCAACCTCGTCGGCACCACCCGCACCGTCAACTCGGGCTGGGCCGGCGACAGCAACGAGCTCGCCATGAAGCGCAGCCTGCGCAAGGGCGACTACAAGACCATGAACGTCTACTTCCAGCGCGTGAGTTTTCCTCTATCAACCCCAGATCAGCTTCAGGGGAACCCAGGACTGACCAAATGTTATACAGTCCCTCCAGCAGAACGCGCTCGGCTACGCCTACTTCCCGGACAACGTGTCCGAGGGCACGCAGGACTTCTACCTCGACGGCGTGTCCGTCATGGCGTCGTCGGTGCCCGGCGGCAGCGAGGAGCCCTACAACCTCGGCGTGACGGCCACCCACGAGGCCGGCCACTGGCTCGGCCTGTACCACCCCTTCCAGGGCGGCTGCTCCGGCGTCGGCGACGAGATCGACGACACCCCCGCCCAGAGCGGCTACGAGTTCGGCTGCCCCGTCGGCCGCGACTCCTGCCCCAACGACCCCGGTGATGACCCGGTCCACAACTACATGGGCTACTCGGATGAGTAAGTTGACATTGCTTTTGTCCTTCTTTGTTTCTGATGCTAACGGTTCAACAGTGCTTGCTTGACCGAGTTCACTCCTAACCAGGAGACTCGCATTCACAACATGTGGGCCCGTTTCCGCGCATGAGTGATGCAATGAGACGGGGGTTGGTGAGGTAATGGAAGAACAAAAAAATTGAAGATGTATAGAAATGTACATATGATCAAGGAGCATCATGTAGATGATGATATGAGAAGTCACAAGCGTACAAACAATCTATCGGGAAACTAAGTGACAGTTGTTGTTCAAATAAAGAATGTACCTTGATGGTTGCTGTTTCTGCCCCCTAACCAAAAAAGGAGATCAAGATCGACCTGCAGCTGAAAGTGCTTGGCTTGCAGATTACAACAACCGCCAATGGGAATATGGGAAATCTGGCGGCCATGACTTTTAATGATTTACCTTTTGTGCAGTGCGCAACGCAGAGATTGAGCATGCATTGTTCGTTGAAGTGACGGCTGCATTTTTCTTTGTTGCTACGTTTGTAGCTGTTCTCCAATGGAGGCAAATGATCATCGATTAGTAATGTAGTAGGCGTGGGTTGTCTACCATCGCACAGCGGATTAAAGTACACTAATCCTGATCGGGAAACAAAGAGCAGGTATCAAGGATGGAATTTTTTACACATCCCAAGCGTAGAAGTCATGAGTATCCCAGCACAACATCGGGCGACCTTGGCTGACTTGTGCACCGTTGTTGGCAAACAATGTTGGCCGATGGTTTTACAACAACTCATGTATTACTCGTGGCAGCTGCAACTGTCACAAACATGAAAGATCAACAAGCAGCCCGTCAAGCTTTCTTTGCCAATGACTTTCAGATTGCTTGCTTGCCCTTGTTCCGTTTGCTTTGTTTGCTTCCTTTGTTATCGCCAAGCCACCACAGCCCCCGATGAGACTTTGCTTAGCTTCTTTAGCTGTGGTACATTACCACTATTCGCCGCAAATGCTGTACATGCCAAATCATCCCCTTATGCCGAGTTTGTGCCGGTACTCTTCAGCCTTAAGAAGCCTTTACCGGCTTTTCGTTCTGAATAATGGCATCCCGGTTCTTCCACCAGCCTGAGATTGTTTGCTGGGGTATTTTAAAGTATTCTGAGGCCTCATAATACGTAGGAGGCCGGTAATAATAGCCGTTTTCAGCAGGAATTGGCTCAGGGGCCCCCGGCCTGGAACGAGGTTTCGGGCTTGTATTATCCAGTATTTTGTGGTGATACAGGAACATCAGGACTTTGATCTTCTTTGCAGGCGAATGTGTTTCTTCTTTACGTAATACAGGCTTCCTGTGCTTGTGTATACGCTCCTCGAGCGGTTTCGGCTTAGGACTTGGCTTTTTTCTTGGCTTTACGGAGGTGGTATTGGAAGAAATTTCTTGCGGGGACATTTCGGAGAACTGCATTGAATTGAAACGCGTTTGTGTGAAAAGATTACACTCGAATTTGGTTGTATTGTGGGCTGTGTTGTCTCAGGGGCGAACGTGCTCGTTCGCCCCTGAGACGATATATACATACACTTGTGCACGGACCCTGACACCCGTCACCCTACCTATCTTCGGCCTCTCACTGGATGCCGAATGCAGCCTAGCGTCACCACTAGTAGTCTCTCTATTGTCTAAGGTCATACGGTAGGACAGCAGATGAAGGTATATTTTTACAACGGGCAATTTGGCCTTTTTTCTTTCTCATTTACATGCTTACCTGTTTGTTCTATTTGTGTTTACCTGTTCTACCTGCGTGAATACTAATAGTCGAGCCGAGGTGTCGAGTCATAACTGGAACGGGACTTATTCCTGGAACGGGATTCATACCTGGAACGGGATTCATAATTGGAACGGGAATCGTAACTGGAACGGTACGAATGTGCAGGGTAATGACTGTGAAGTGATCCGTAGCTAGGCGTCCTGCGCCCGCTTCTACCGCCATCCCTATAGTCATCACCAGCTACCTTGCTCCGCCGCGAGATATCGAACGACCCCATCCTGCCTGTAGGGCGCTTAGTAATACGCATGGCCCTGCCATGGTCGCGGTTTTGCTTTGATACAAGCGTAAGGACAGGGTCCCTCTTGCTCTCCTGTGGCGTGTCTTTCTTCCTCCTGTTAGAATTGGAATTCACACGATAAAGTTCAGGCCACAACTTGTCCGGGCGGTACGCAAGGGCTGTCTCGTCGGCCAACTCGTTTCCCTCTACGCCCTGATGACTAGGCACCCAGTGGAGTTCCAACTCTTTCTCGTAGACGTTGACAAGCAAGTCTGCGTAAGCCAAGACATCGCTCAAGAGGTTGTGATCCCAGTTCGGAAGCTCGGGGCTCTCTGGCGAGATTTTCGTAAGCCTTGAAAGCATCTTACCAGAGTCAGAGAAGACCATGATCTTCTTCACAGCGTGATCGTTGGCGAAGAGGTCGTGCGCAAGGGCAAGGCACTGGGCGAGTCCACCGAGTTCACTGTTGGTGCTTTCTCCGATGTGGAGCATCGTGTAGCCGTTTTTGACCCAGTCTTCGTCATCAGGGTGTTCTCTGTAGACCACAGCACATGCGCACCAGCGCTTGTTAGTTTTCTCACCTTGGGAGGCGGCCAGTTGAACGAGGCGAGGCTCCGATGCCGTTCCGTCAGTAAACATTGACTGAACACCATCTTCCGCTCGACGGTTGGAGTATTTGTTGGCGAAGTTGAGCGCTTCGCGGTGCTTCTTGAAGAACACTCGACCCGCAAACTTGCGGACAGGTATGGGATCGCCCATGAACTCGTCGAAGTCGAAGTCGAAGTCGAAGTTGAAAATGAAATCTTCATCATCTGCGTCTTTTGTCGTTCCTGTAGGGTTCAAGGAGATGTCCTTGAGGGCATCTTCGATGATGGCTGTTGAGTTTTCCATGGTATGCTGAAGTGTAGCTCTGTCTCAGAGGATTGATGCGGTTGCGAAGTGAAGGTTGGGAGTTGTTGCTTCATTTTTGCGGGCATGTCAGGTCGAAGTTATAGCTTGGAGAGACTGCGTAGTTCAAGAACTGTGCGGCTACAGTGATTGTACACCATCGGGGAAGAACAAGACAAAACAAAATGTGATAACGCTCTGTTTTAAACAATTATGCCTCCAATAACGTCTTGTTCAAGTTGTGTTGATCATCTTAGCAAGACGTCTTACCATGTAGGAGCTCCGCTTTCGATATACTAAGTTTGGCGTGTGAAATGAATGGCTTGATTTTGTTCCTCGGTCCTCCATTATGTCTATGAGTCTGAACATGACCGGGTATTTCTTCAGAATGGTATATTTAGAGAAATGAGTAGAATATATATTGATGAATGCGCAGAATTACCCATAAGCTATCTGTGGGGCAGAGTAGAATATATACGCGCCAGGAGATAACAAACAGTAAATAACAAACGAAGAGAGGCGAATATCATGGAATCCGCTTGACACTTCGTCATATTTACTACCAGGTAGTTGGGAAAAGCGGGAATAGAGACAAATGTCATGAAACTAATCTTATTTTTCATCACTACTACTCATTGTCGCACGGCATTTGTGATGCTCCGTCTCTACTTTGTTCAGTGACAAAGCCGGGCACCTTTCTTACTTTGCTCATCGGCTCCAAATAAATGTCACGGAACTCGTCTGCTTCCAATAAACTGACATGGTCATTTGATACTCAGTGTAAGCGAACATGTCTCCAGCGTAAGTTTAAAGCCTCTTCCTGGAATACATCCGTCCAGAAATTTTTGCTTGCCGTGAATGTAGCAAGGCCAACCCTCTTAGAGACATTGCAGTCATTCTTGACACAGATAGCAGCGTACGTCCCGTTATAGAACATCATGATAAGCTCGTCAATCCGATCTTCATCCGAATCAAACACGATAAAGGCACAGTACTCGTTTCGACCTCTGGCACTCAACTGCCATTTGCCATCCCGCGGTCTCTCCGTCATGCCTTCCAGCCATTCAAAAGAGAGACATGGTGCCACGAACTCAAGCAACCCAACTCTAGTTTCTATACTGTTTAATAACTCTTCGGTAGCCTGATCATGTGATCCTTCTTGTATGTTGTCGAAAAGCGCTCTCGGCTTGAGATAGTACTCATGGGACCAGTCACTCTTGTCTTGCTGCATTCCCGGGAATAGGGTAGTTGTAACGGTCGTCCCATTGTTCAAAGTAAGATACCACTTGCTCACCAGGCTATAGTTCGCATCGAAGATGAAATTTGAATAAGTCTCTCCTGGAAAGTTGGGCGCCGGGAAGCTCGAATCCCAAAGACAGAAGAAATCGATCGGTGCCATCCATGACACCCATGACCAACTTGGAGAGTTGAGGTTGGGCCTTCTGATGATTTTTTTTTCGCTCCGGCCACTTCTGGAAACGAACCACAAAAGAGACATTGGGAGGTAGGAAACAGGAACCCCTTGAGCTGCGACAATTCCAGATTCAGCCTCTACAAGCTGGTGATAAACTCCTGAAAATACATTCAACACATCTTGAGGATATGTCAACTCCCTCCTGGTATACACAGATACGCTGCTGAGATGAGGGAGAATTGTCGAACCATGCCGTCGCTCTTACGAGGTCTATGCCAACGAAGGCTATACTCAGGATCATTCTTGACATTTCTTCCCCACCAAGGGGATCCTTCTCTCACCGAAGCTTCCTCCTGATAACCTTCGCGTCGGATGCCACACGGGCAATCAAAAAACACCTCATGCGGAGTAAAGAATAGGTGCCGATTAGAAAGGACCTGTTCCTAGTAGGTCCATCCCCGAGTATCCCAAGGGCCTAGTATCCCATGGGGAAACACGCAGATCATCTTGAAGAATACATAAACGATCCACCCATAGATATCTTTTTCCAACAGCCCGACACAACTCCATGGCGTTGGCAATAGTGCGTGGAACTCTTTCGCTCGTAGCTTTTGTCGATGCCTTGACTGCTAAAGCTGAGCACTGCTTTAGTCTTCGGATATTACGCGTGGTCGTTTGTAGCCCAGAAGAATCCCGATTGCCCCAGACGTAAGACAACGCGAAATATTCGCAGGGTACCGTCACTTCGACCAATCGTTCTTCAAATACATCGATGAGCCGGAAACCTCCATGGAAAAGTGTTTTGTCGGGGTGTCGGACATTGCAAGTTTTATGATTTTGGCATGCGTTAAGCCAACGACGTAGCAGGCCAGGTTCAAAAGAAGGCCTAATTGGGCGGCGTAGTAAGGATATTCCAACAGTGTTATTGGCTTCTCCTGGCGCGAGTTCTAATTCGCCAATATGCCCTCAGCCTTGTATGTCTCATGCTGGGTCATATAATGATAAACTGTCACTTCACTATTTATCAATAAGAGCCGATGGTGTAATGGCTAGCATTAATGCTTCTACGATCACTTAGCCAAACATTCATTGTAAGCTAGTAGACACTCGTTAGCATTAGATTCAGGTTCGATTCTTGATCGGCTCAGCTTTCTTTTTGTTCAGAGGTATTTCTTCCTCTGACTGTTTATTTTTTTGCTGGGACCAACTATGGAGCCGAAGGGACGAACCGATGGAACCCGCCGCTCCAACCCCTTTCTTTCCCCACAAGGCGGCCCGTGGTTCACATTAGCCTTATCATATGTAGCCCCCAGTTCTGCTTATTGGTTAACAAAACTTTTCTCTTCAACTGAAAACCGGGGGGCTGTTGGTCGATGGCCAGCAGAATCCGGTAGGATCGGTTCCGTCTAGGTCTGTTAGAGGATTCACCCCACAACTTGCTCTGGATGAATTGTTTCAGTCGTGCATTTCCGCAGTTCAATGGATTCTCATCTCCCCAGTGCATTGAGATCATGCGCCAAATAGCCGTGCAAAATGGGCAAACAAGATCTTGGTAACTTTCCAGACACCCTGTATCTCGCACTCTTGTTTCTCTCGAGAACATGGCTTCCAAGTCCAGTTTTTCGCATCTTTGGCACAGGTCTGATTCATGGATCGCTGATGCGTCGAGACGCCCGTTTGATACTTCCTGGTCTACATGGTCAAGTGGCTGTGGATGTGATTTTTCATGATCGCGCCGCTGCTTTCTACTTTGTTCTTGAAGTTGATCTGATTTCCGTTTTGGCGGCATGGTTCTCGTTGCAGGATTTTGAATCAGTGGAATCAATCACAGAATTAAACCGTATATATAGAAAAACGAGTTTCAGCTCGGAACGATCTAGTCTAGGCTCTAAGATTTGCATCAGGCAATAGCCAAACTTGAGGCTATATGCACGCATTGTGCGAACCTGTGGCTGAATTCGACCGACCTCGTATATTGCACCCGACGGGACCAATAGTGAGATTTTGCCCCCGCTTAATCACATACTAGAGTCCCCTCTTGCAAGCGTTGGCTAGCGTGGATTTGCTTTTTGTTCATGTCATGGATAGCGGAAGCTATTATCCGGACACGAAGGTGTGCAATTATTCATTGAAAATTTACGTCTAGGCAAACACTTCAACTATCGATAACATAGGCTCAATAGGTATTCAATGAAAGCAAAAAGAGTTCCGTGCTATCTTTTAGCTGAAATTCCCCGCCGCATGTGATGTGTGTGACACGGGCTTTCGAACCATTTCTGTTCTCCACCCGAGTTTGCGGCCTCGAGCTTCACTCACCGCCCACAGAGCCAGACAGTGAGGAATTAACCTCGACTGCAATGATAAAAATCAATCTCCGCGACTGAGCCTTGTGATTCACATGCTCACCAATGTATCGTAGCTGGATTGCTTCTCAAGACCATGATTGTCGAAACTTACAGTGGTCATTAGCAACACACAGGACAACATACGTAGTGCTCAACGGACACAACCTCTCGCACATTGACATCATAGCTGCTGTTGAAATGTCTCGAAAAATGTCAAATACTTGTCAGCAGGACAGACAAACAGATGTACAGTCACCTGCGCGCATGCCTCAAGTCCGGCATGGCAGAAGTACTTAAGCCCCTTGAATGTTTTCAAAATTGAATCCCGAATCCTCGACATTTGGAAGTACCGTACTTGATATGGTACTCTCCAGGGCCGAGCCTTACAGAACACTGTTGGGGCCAGCTGTGGTCCTTGGCTCTTACTACCACTGCTGTTCTCATAGACGCCATGCGGAAGCATTGCTGCGGTTCATCATTACTTCCCGATGATGAGCCCCAGCGTCCTTACCAATCGCACTCCATCACCATCCCTCGACGCTGAAGCCAGCTTCCGCATCCAAACCGATCCACTGCAGAGGCAAGATGGCAGCGAAGTGAGATCAGTCCTGATCGGCAAGGCGGCGAAAAGCCCAAGCCCAAGCCCACGGACAGTTGCCTTAACCCATTTCATCGCTTCCACTCCCGCTATGAAGAGTCGAAAGCAGACACTCGATCAAAGAACAAACAGTCCCTCAGAGCCGCGCTCTTAAAAATACCCCAAGCGCCGTCATCCTCCCGCCCTGCAGCAGGAACAGTAGCAGCTCCACGCGCGTGCCCATTTCTTCTGTGCCTTGCGCAGGTGCCCCACACCTCATGACCCGCCGCGCCTCGGTTCCGTGCCCTGCCCTGCGCAGCAGCAGCAGATGAACCTCAGGCACGCGGCGGGCGGGGAGGAGGAGCACGTGTCACCGCTTGCACGAGGGCGGGGACGAGGACGATGGCGATGGCGATGCTGAGGCGAGGTGTATAAAAAGTCCGTCGAGTCTTTCTCTTCCTCAGATCGGTCAAGCTACAACCAAAGACTGCATTGGAAGGCATAAATAAGCAGATACTGGCTTCTGTAGGGCTTTTCAAGGATTGCGACTGTTTCCCTTCTTTTGGCGGCTGATGAGAATTTCGATCTCACCGAAAGATATGAAGAGGAGCCGATGATCAAGTGACGCTGATGATGTCCATCCAGCGCCAGCAATGATGTCCATCAAGAAGCCGTGATGATGAGGCGTACCATCGCCACTTGTTCAATTTGTCGCCTCCCTCTCTAGGGGTTCTGAATGAACGAAATGCCACGAAAGTGCATCAAGCAGTCTTCCGGTTTTCATCTTTGACGGATCTTGAAAACCGCCTTTGATGATACTAGAAAGAGAAGTTGTCTCTACCTGGTCGAACTTTTATAGTGCTGCCAGGGCCGGCTTGTAATCCAAAACAGACACGAGGGGGACATGATGACATCATTCAGAAGAATGGATACGCACCTGTACCACAAAAGTTCATGTGCCCGGCTTCAAAGTACGCACGTGTTGGAGGGGAGAGCCTTGTGATGTTGAACAAGCAATCCAAGCAGTCACTCATCGAAGCAAATCTCCGCACTCACACTTCCTTTCCAAACACGTAAGCCAAGAACACGAAGTCTCGTAAATAAGAGAGGGAAAGATACTGCTGTATGAATAAAGACCCATTTGCAAATAATCTAATTGCAGCACTCGTTAACAAAGGACAATGATTTCGCCTTTTCCTTCATCAGCAAAGCTCTTCGCCGCTGTTTGTCGTGAAAAGGAAAAACAAAAGAAGTCCTACTACTCCTGACCCTGGCACCAGCACATCCACCACCATTCGAACGATCCAAGCTTTGCCCCCCTTCCTCACTCCATCCCACTTCCGCTTCTCGGAGCAACGAAAAACCGCTTGAATCCACATTCTCCTTCTCACACACACTTCAACACCCCGAAAGCATGCCAGTCTTCCCATGCATTAATTGGCGCATCCCGCTTGATGAATTGACCATTCTCCGAAAGAAACAATTGTCTTCGAGTTCTTCTGGCAAGCCGAGTTGTGTATCCGAAGTTTCGTGCCGTAATCGTATCACTCATCGAATCCGACGGGAGGAAGTAACGACTTAGACGTACTGCGACCTACAAACCAGTCAGCACCATCACCCAGACACCAAAAAAGGTAATTCCAAAAGAAAAACGTACAGCCAACGGATACCCTCGCCGTAGCCCTGCCTCATGACGACCGAGCACATGAAGACCTCGATGGGGCGGATGCCCTCGAGCGGGACCTTGCCCTTGCCCGTGGTTTGGTACAGGCCGAGCTCGTGCCTCAGCTGGTCCTCGGACACGGCGTTGGGGTGGTCGATCTTGTTGCCGAGGATGAGGAACGGCGTCTTCTGCAGCTCCTCCATCGACAGCAGCGCGTCCAGCTCCGCCTTGGACTCGGCGAACCGCTCCGGGTCCTTGGCGTCCACCAGGAACACGATGCCCGACACCTCGGGGAAGTAGTCCTTCCACAGACGGCGCGCCTGCTGGTGACCTGTTGTGTGGATTATGTGATGCTTAGTAATGGCTCGAGTTATCGGAAGAAATGGCTGCGCCGCCCGTTCGCTTGCTGACGGTGGCGGCTGCGGCGGCGGAGAAGGGATGATGGGGTAAGGGTGGAGAGAGACATACCACCGAGATCGAAGGTAGTGAAGCGGCAGGAACCGATGCTCAGCTCCTCAGAGGCTATGCGCGTTGTTAGCTGATGTTCGAAAAGCGACTGCGATAATGAAGTCTGGGGTTGGGAAACGTACTAGGGTGGAGAGTGGGCTGGAGGATGGCACTGGGGGGCCACGGTCAGCAATCGGACTCGGAATAGTGCAGACCAGTCCGCAATGTGGTATACGTACACGCGATCGTTCTGTCCAGGCAAAAGACTGTCAGCTTTCTCTGTCCGGGCGGCGCCGGGTGAGGTGTTTGGAGATTATCGGTGTGAACGTACCTTCAACATGTGCAGGAGAGTGGTCTTGCCGGCATTGTCAAGACCGAGGAAGAGTAGCTTCTGTATTCACTCGATGCCGTCAGCGACCTGGTTTTCTCATCCGCATTCCATGCGCCCGTGGCCAAATGGCTCCAACAGGGTTTCGTGGCCACGCACCGCATGCTTGTTCAGCAGGCCCAAGCTTGAGAGGACATCCCAGACTGTTGCACACTCGAATCAGCAAATTGTTCCCCAGATATAACCCCAGCTACCGGCGTGATGCGCAGGCGCGACGGATGCGAACAGGGGTGGAGGGCATCGCGGCGACGGGCTGATGGGAGGAGAGGTTGGGCGTCGGGCGGACGTACACCAGTCGATAATCCACATGGCGGCGACGAGGACTGCTTGTTTGGCGCGAGAGAGTGCAGAGGACGGGTTTAAGAAGGCGGCGGAGGGTTGGCGGCGTTGGGAGCTGGACAGTCGGAGGTGGAATTCTGTGGCCAGACCATGATGAGAGAGAGCGGCCAACGTCAATCTGGCTCTTGGCACCCACTCCTCGGCTCCGCCCACGAGCCGCCCCGCCACTCACCCACGCCACGGCTGCTGCCACTCTCTCCACACAACCCCGGGGTTTGCACAGGCAACAACAATTCATCATGTTGAGGACACGTATTTCAAAATCAATGTGTCTCGATTCACCTGCGACACCATTGTCTGTAATAATAACCCCAACCCCAACAGCCCATCCACCAGACCAACCCCGTCCAATGCAAATGCTATGCTCTCCCTCCCGAAGCGATCGATATGAATAACTCCTCGCTGCCCAATGTGTGTTCCCGCAAAGAAAGAAACCGCCATTCGCAACGAAAGCAGAGATGATAGGAAAACGCCTGGGTGTAATGCTTGGTCATCAAGTCGTGGGGTATCCTGCCCTTTTGCGCGTCGAAAAGCCGCGTGCCTGGCTGCAGGCGCAGCGTCGTCAAAATAGGGTAATGTGCAGGAAGATTAAGACCTTGATATAAACAAATCGCTAAAGCACCTGCTGAAACGGGAAGCGTGGGTATTTACAGTAACGGAAATATGCAACGTGAAATATGTGCGAGAGCAGCGACCAGCAAGTCCGAAGACTCGTAAAGGTGCTGACAAGTCAGCGGCGCTCCTCTCAGTACGAGAGCACATGCACTGGTGTGGCCTTCTTGCCCCTGTACGCGGCAAGCCCCATGCCAACCTCGCGCATGCGCTCCGCGCCCTTGCCCGGCGCAGGGCGGCGCTCTTCTTTTTTGCACGCCTTGCGGCAGTGCTTTTGGTAGAGCTTTTCCTTGCGGCGCTGCCTCTTGAGGGCAGTGCCGGCTTTGATGTCCATCGGTCCACGCTTGAGCGTGTCATTAGTCGTCGTCTCACCGTCCTCGTCGTCGTCGTAGTACGATTCCTGGCGGAAGAGAGTAGGAGGGCGAGGGAGGGAGGCCACAATCGTCGGTGGAGGCCCCTGATCCATGCCTGCAAATTGAATCGCCGTCTGCTGTTTACATGTAACAGTTAAGGACGTGCGACGCGTATGCGGCGGCGAACGGAGGCGACCGGCAGGCGGCGGAGAACGGAGACGCTTCGGGGATTGTCCGAAAAGACGACGGGGAGGCGGGGAACGGTGGGCCTGTCCGCGCTTTACCGGCGGTGGTGGAGAACGAAGACGCTTGGGCGACGAGATCGGGGAGCGCTTTGACCCTGCACGGCGACGCCCACGGCCCTCGACTTCGTCGATTTGGTCGAGCTGACCGTGCATCAACATGTGCTGATCGCTGTCCTCGGCAGCTGCCTCGACCTCGTCATCCTCATCTTCCTCATCCATCTCGGGGTCCGAGGTGGGGAAGGTGGGATCGATGTCCTGAGGAGTTTGCTTGTGCTTGGCCGCCCTGCGTTGCTCGAGGGCTGAGTAGTAAGCATCCTCCAGAGGGCGGTCTTCGTCAAGGGTGCCACAGACGAAGTCCGTGCTGTCAGGGAGCTCGGGGCTGCGAGGGCGGATGTTGACAGGCTTCCTTTTCTTGGCAGGAGAAGGCTTGGTGAACATCCTAGATTCAGACGCGATCGAGCAGTTGGAAGAATCAGAAAGGCTGCGGTGGCCTGATGGCCTGATGTGCTCGCGCTGTTCACTAGAGCTGGGAACGACTACGCGACTGGGTGCCCACCACTGGTAGTCAGACCCAGCGTCGCTTTCGTCATCAGAACCAGCAAAGCCTTGCTCGTCGTCGGTCTGGAAGCCACCGTCGGACACACTGCCATCAGAGATGACAGATTCGTTGTCGTCCTCGTCGGCCTCCTCTTCTTCCTCTTCCTCTTCCTCGTCATCCAGGTCGTCGTCCAGGTCCAGATCCTCGTCGTCTTCGTCGAGTAGTTCCTCGTCCTCCTCGTCGTCTTCCAATGCTTCCTCCTCAACCTCTTCGCCGAGCTTCCTCAATCCATTCTCAATTCTCAAGGTATCGGTAACCGTCAGACGCGTCATGTGACAGGTCTGCTCCTGGGTCCACTCCTCGACTTCCTCTTCGGAGCTCGCAAATTCGTGAAAGCGCGTAGCCTCACGGCGGCCAATGTCCGAGTTCTCGCTGAACTTCCTCGAGTGGCGAATGACAGATGCACTCTTGCGGACGCTCTTGGGGGAGTCGTTCCGCACAGTCGAATCCGAACCACGGTGCGAGCGTGGCGTGCCCTTGCCTGGAACAGCAAGTCGGTTGGTAGGCGGAGGAGGGCTGGCCATGCGGGTCTTCTTGGGAGATGCCGTGGCCTTCGCATCGCAGGCGAACTTGATGGTGCACCGGCGAGGAGCGGGTCCCGCGGGCTTTTCCTCTGGTGGGGACTGAAGCTTCTTGGGAGTAGCACTGGTGCTGGACTCCTTCCTTCCGCAGGCAAAGGTGATGCATCTTTTGCGGCCAAGTCCTGCCTCGACGGAGTTCTCGTCGGACGTCTTGACGGTTTTCTTCTCGATCCTCTCGGCGCTATTCTCGTCATGGCGAATGGTAAGAGAGACGTCGGATTCCTTCTTGATGGAGATGATGGGGAGAGCATGAAGAGTAGGAGGGAGCGGCGGGCTGGGAGAGCTGGTCCTGGTGCCTGGGCTCGTGAAGCCTCCGTCGCTGGTGAGGTCGGTCGACGCGATGCTGACATTGCTCCAGGTCGAGGCGGTGGACAGACCTCGCTTGAGCTCCACATGATGATCGTCGTCGTCCGACTGAGAATCGCTCTCCGAGTGAAGAGCCTGGGTCAACAAGGATTCCTTTTGGGGACACGAGCCGTAGCGGGTCTTTGCGAAATTAGTGGCCAGGTCCAATGGAGCAGGTTTGACGGGAGTGGGGCGAGGGGTCCGCTGCATTTCATCAGGCGGCTCGTCGGTGTCGGCAACGAGCTCTTCCCCGAGGCTCATGGGGCCGTCCTGTGCGGTGGGTTGGTTCTGGAGAGACCTGGTCTGCATGGTGGTGATTTTGTCGAAGTCGTTCTGATTTAAAGCCATGTTTGGAAAGCAATCAAGGCGATTTAGTGCTGGTGATGATCGAGATGCTGAGTGCTGAAGGAGATGATCCGGCGGTCCAGGGCCAGTGGCCGGCGGGTAGACAAGGCGAAGATTGGCGGATAGTAGTCCGGCGCTTCAGTTGCTGTTGGAGTTGTCCCTAAGGACCGCAGTGCTATAATATCAAAACCAACATTGTGGGAGTTTGACGCAGTGTTTCAAAGGACCAGGAGGCGGATCTGCAAGCTGACGGGTGAGCATTAGATTGGAAGCAGGCGGGGGACAGCCTGCGCATACCTTGCAAGTGTTGGAGCAAGATGCGCAGCAGCGGGTGTGGCGATGCGCAGGCTGGGTCGATGGGCGCGTCAAAAGGGCCGGATCCGACGCGGCCAAGAAATGGCAGGTCCTAATTTCCCAATTTCAGGCGGGTGAGACTCGGGCGCAGCCTCGATGAGGGGCGCGCGCAGGGAGCGGCGGCGCGGAAGGGCGCGCGGGCGGGCGGGTGGTGCGGTGGTGCGGAGAGAGCGTGAGAGGGAAGAGTGTGGGCGGCTCGCTCTCAAGAAGGCGCTGTGCGTTGCTAGCTTTTTCGCTGCGGGAATTGCGCCAGGTTTTGCCGGCAATTTGGCGGGCGCAGAAACTGACGGGCGCCGGCCAGTGCTAAATGAGCTGTTGGGCGGGTGGGTCCGCTCGCCGTGATGGCCGTGGATGCTGCATGCGACGCACAGCACAGAGCCAAGGTGGCATCGGCTTAGATCTGCTGCTGACCCGTCACCGCCGTCAATCGCCGCGCCGCCTCAGCCCTACTACTTGGGGCATTCCGTCAGCGGCCGCAACGTGGATGGCCCGCGGCCACCGCAACGCGCACCTCTCGCTCCTCTTCGAGTGCTGAGCTGAGCAAAACAGACCCTGATCGGCTGCCGTGCGACGCGGCGGCCTGCCTGCTCCCGGCGCCACCGCCCACTTCTGACAGGCTCGGCTTGCTGTTACCGTCTCGAGTGCGCGCTTTTTCCCCTCGCTGGAATGGGATGCCTTGCAGTCCATCACCGCGCTGGGCCTCGCCCTCCCCGCGCGCCCGGACGACCTGTCGCACGCCCGCTCAACACATTGCGGCCGCGCTACTGCGCGCAATTGCGCTGTGTCGGCTGCGTTCTTCACGCGGCTGGCCAGGCGCGCCGCTGCCTGCACCGCATGCCCGGCCGCTGCCTCACCAACCGAGTTTCGGCTGAGCAATAATTTCTCGCACGCTCCTACCACAGTCCTGCCGCGCCTCATTGAGCTGTTCCGCGCTCCTCCCTTCCCCTATCTCACCGCTCTTCTCTGCTGGAAACTTGGAGGCAGCAAGGTCATCTGCCACGCCGAGCCGCCCTGCCCTTGTGGGTGTAGCCCGACACGTACAGTCCTGCTCCTCATTCGTGCCGCTTGTCCGCATGCGCCGCCCTGCTTTTGCTGCAAGCGCAGCAGCCGCGTCGCGACAACGCGTGCGGTGCCATATCCGCCGGCTCCTCCGTGTTTCAACCTGCTCGTGCCCGCTCAACATGTGGCAGCAATCATCTCTGCATGCCGGGCGGCCTTATCCGCCCGCGCGACTGTACTCCGCACGCGATGCAAGGATGTCCCGCGCCGAACCATCAGCGTGGGGAACCTGCCGAGTGTTTTCCGCTGAGGTCACTGTTGCGACGACGTCATCCGTGCCACGGTCACGGTACCTTCGTCAAACAACACACATTCCTGATCCTCAATCCGGCTTATGCATTCGGCTTCCATCTCGTCAGCAGCGCCGTACCTTGCGTCACACTCAGCTGTGATGTGACTATCCACGCCGTTGTCCGACGCCCTGGTTGTCCCGTGGATAGTTCAGCGCCACAGTTTCCAAAACAAACCGGCGCCGCTCCAGGCGCTTCTGGAAGTCCCCGCCGCCCTCTGAATCGACGCAGAGGGGCATCGCAGCCGAAACCTAGCGCGAAGAATAGCAGAATCCGGGTGACTATGCTCCAGCTGTTCTTTTCTCTGAAATCAAAAGACATGTGGGCAGTTGACTGATGTAGACTCAACAATTGTACATCCATGTCCAGACGATAGCTTCACTTGCCCGTAGCGTGAGGGAAAAACGAATCCACGCTAGCCTTCGGTTACAACCCTCTGTACACAGCCTGCAGGGACGCTAACATTATTCTCTGCTGTGCGTTGATCAGGGAGATGGCCTAAGCAGCGCCAGATCGTCATCCTGTCGTGTAATCCTTGGCCTTTATGGCAAACCGCAGCGTTCGCCCGCCCATCCTTTCCTTCCGATGGGGCCGCACAGGCTTCAACACCAAAGCTTGCATCACGAAGTGTGCGCTGACGATAGGCTTCTGCTATGGATGGTTGTGGAATAGCCCAGCAGCACTGCGAGTCAGGACTGCCTCCTGGCAATCATTGGAGTCGTCCACGGCCAATGTCAGGATCTGGGTCCGGCTCGATTCGACCGTTGCCTCAGCTTTTCCGTCGGATTCCCCACGCCTGAATAATCTTCCGCTGGATGCTCCATTAAAGTGCAACCTCCGGCGTCATACTCAGTTCGGACCTTAGCAAGGGCGACGTTTTATCGGCCGGCCCAGCCGCCTCCCCCTTTCCACCCTCCTTTCCGCACACCAAGCTTTGTCGGCCGACTTCGCTGCATCTATCCCCGCAGGAGCGGGGTTGCCGTCTGCTGTGCTTTGGAGCTACTGCAGTCACACCAGGCCGCGTATCTTGCATATGCGGTACGACCCCGCGATAGCCTGGCAGTGGCACATAGCACAGCCCAGACGGCTTTCGTTTCCGGGATTTCGACAATTAATGTTGACTCGCAATATTATTCCCTGAATCTCGGGCGAGGCTCGCTCGGCATTGAAGGCCTTGAACGGCCTCGAAGATGTTTGTGTATCACACCTGTTTGCGCGAGTATCCGGAGAACAAGCCGACAAACATATCGTATGATCGTTGCTGGTCGCTAGTAATGTCCACAACTTGATGCATGGCCTCCCACTAATGCGAACGGGTTGGGTCATCTGCACAGTGGGCAGTTGCATGTGCGCACGATCTCTCCACTGTGCAGCAACGGCATCTTGCCATTGGCACGTTTCCGAAGGAACTTCTCCCGGATTCTCCGGCTCATCTAACCAAAGGATAGACATTCAATGGTGGACATGACAGCCAACCACCGTTCAGAGCCGCATGTTTGTGGTTATAATGGCCACCGTTTGGACTGACTTCCATCGCGCAGTGAACTAGCAGTTCACTTCAAGATTGCCTTCGGTGAGGTGGCCGAGTTGGTTATGGCGCCAGGTTAAGGTGTTAGCTTAACAAGTTTCCTGGTGGGGCAACCCGCGCGAGTTCGAGTCTCGTCCTCATCATTATCTTTTTGCTCTTTTGTCGTCCGTCAAGTCAGCTGGGTGGCAAGTGGTGATCGCCATCCTAATTTTGGGTATCGATCGGGTGTGGCCGGCTTCCGGCCGTTCTTTTTCGCCGCCTTCATGTCATCTCCAACATGACAACCCAAAGCCACCGCCCACGACGTCACAGTGAAAGATCGGAGCCGTCAACGTGGACGCTGACGCACCAATCCGACCGCATGGCGATTCACGTTCTGCTCCGCCACCGTGCGCTGCGCACCACGCGATCATCTTTACCGACTTCTTCAAGATTGACACTCCGGCACTCGTGATGGGACTTCGGTTGATGTCCCCGCCGATCTGCTGGCGGCTAACGAAACGCATGATCGACTGGCTGTCACCAAAAGACGACAGCCTCGCGCAGTCGCCTTACAACCGACTGGCCTTGGCCTTGGCTATATTGCCACTTTAGGCGCCAGACACGTCTTATCGGCCGGCTACGCCCACGCTCCCGCTGATAACGTTTACGATGAGTTGTGGGGGCCGTTTATACCGCTGTGGCTGGCGTCGAGGTCACGCTCCGCGCCTCCCTCGTCCACTCACGAAGGTGGCTCAAGCCATTCGCTCTTACAGCTGCCCGGAAGGGGCTCGTAACCGCGGTCGAAGTAATCTGGCCCTCCATCGGAGGATTCTCACTCAGCCGCATAGGCAGTGATTTTGCACTCTAGATGTAGGTCACCGGCTATTTTGAAATGGCTGTGAATCGACTTCACTTTACGCGATCGCCCTTCCATCACTGAACTTGAACTCTGTTTTCTCCTGTTCACCTTCGCCTCGGTTTCTTTTGCAACCGCCATGCATTTTCCGTAACCTTGCGCACCCCGGCTCATGCATTCACTTCACCCGTCCGGCGTCTCCAATCGTCTGGATCGTCACCATGCGGCAACCTGATTTTGAGCAATGCAAACAGAATTACATGAGCAACAGGACAGCGCAACAGTACTATGGTTGGACCGGAAAAGTCATCGGCATCCAGCCGAACAACTATAGCCAGATCAGCACTGCGGGCTGCCGCGATCTCTGCGGAACGGGCAGCGACTACTACCCGTGGAGCCTCGCGTCGAGCACCATCACGACGTGGATCTTGCCCATTATCGGCATCCTGCTACAAGCTCCGTTCGAGAGCAACGCCTTCTGGCGCACAGTACTGGCCATCGCGAGATGGGTCGGCTCACCAATGGCGAGCCTGGCCTACATCTTGTGGAACATCAAGGTCTCCGCCAAGTGCGCGCTTATGGGTACGTGACACCGCTTCGTGCATATTAGCCGTGTACCCTAAATGTGCAGATCATGCAACTCTAACTGACCCCTACCCGGACCAATAGTCGACATGGCCACGCGTTGTGACGAGGACATCACCAATCAGGACAGCCATTTCGCCAGCATCCGCGACTCGTTCTACATCCTGACGACTATGAATCAGTACACGATGAGGCGCAGCGAGGCCCTAAACAAGGAAGCCGAAGGCTTGCTGCGCATTGTGCTTTTCAGCAAAGACATCCAGCTCCGTGGCAAAGACGGCAAGGAGAAGCGTCTCAACGAGGTGCGGCAGAACCTGGCACGCAGATTCCGCGCGGCTCGCAGGCGCGGCGTTGTACCGGTGTTCGTGTCGACGGGATGGTTTCTGTTCTCCATCGGCATCTCCATCCAGGCCTCTTTCGGGCAGCTGGGCCAAAACGCCACCGCGCACGACCTCGCTCTCGGCCTCCTGCTCGCCTGGCTCCCCGTGCTCATCCTCTGCAGCATCGTCGACCGCAATCCCGTGGCGGCAGAGGATATCCGGCGGAAGCTGAATAAGCTTGTCGACACCGTGTGCCGATCCCTGCAGGATGATGAAATCAGGGAAGAGTTTATCGACACGTTTGAAGGCCAGCCCGAGAGCGAACGGAAGCGCATGGAGGCGTGGGTCCGGCAGATCAGCCGTCAGAGCGAGTACATGCAGGACTTCTTCGTCTATTTCGCTGGCCAGGGCCGTGTCCGTTGGCATTACGGAGCGGCCCATCCCATCCTCTCTGATATCGAGAAGAGCTACGTCACAGCCCACGGGCGCGGATGGCTTGCCAATGAGGCTGAGGCACGTACCCATCTTGTGCTCGGTACTGTAGACGAAGGCTTGCTTTGGTTCGATTTTCGCGAGCTGTGGCAGATTTGCAGTGCTGTACTGATTGTAGGGGGCACATGTTTCGGCGCATTCATTCTGTCATACTACACGCCGACGGTGGGCCTCGGTTGCAGAAGCGGCGGATACGTCATATTCTGCATTATATCCTTCTCGCAGCTAGTGTTTGAGCTTTTGGTATGGTGGTTCGCATCTCCAGTCCGGCCAGAGCAGCCTCACTGGGTAAGGCGGAGCATCACGCACGTCCAACAGAAGCACATGGTCATCAAGATGGAGGAAAGAGCGCACGACATGCTCCAACGCTTCGCCCGCGCAGGCAAAAACTTACTTTCCAGATCATTCTCCCGGCTCCTCGACGTCCTCCCATTCCCTCCTCGCTTCAAAGCAAACGTCAAGTCCTCCCTAAAGCACCAAGCGCAAACCCGTCGCGACTGGACCTTCCAACAATGGACCGAGCACTGCTTCTTCCGCCCCATGGAGATCCTAAACTCGACCTGGCTCCTCTACATCGTCCTCGCGCAGACATTCGGCTCGTACCGCACATGCGACTGCATGACCAGCACGTGGGGCTCGTCGGGCGGCTACATGGACTTCCTACAGAGCGACCTCACCACCAGCCCGTGGGTGCGCTGGTACTGGTCCGCCGGCACCGCCGCCGGCACGTTAATCATGGCGCTCGGCATGGCCTACGTCGTCGGCGAGTGGTGCCAGCAGTCGCACCTCAGCACCGACGACTATGCCGCCGCTTGTCGCGGGCTGCGCCGCACGCGGGCCTATCGCCGCTGGACGTACCGCCCTTTTCGCGTGGTGGCCCGCGCGGTGCTGTTCCTTGGCCGTGGAGGCAGGGGGAGTAGCAGTTTGCATTGGTTGCCGGATGGGCGCGGGTATCGGCAAGCACGGCGGGGAGAAGGAAGAGGAGGAGCGGTGATGGGCGCGCCAGGCGAGATTGCGATGGCTCCCACGACGCCGCCGCGTGTGGGGCCGCTGGGGGTTACGCCGAGTATTCAGTTGCAGGAGTGGGTGGATGCGGGGCCGTATGGTGAGCGTCGTGGTGGTGGTGGTGGCGGTCGGCAGCGCTACCGCTCGGTGTCGCTGGATACGTTTGATGAGGATGGGTTTTATTACGACCAGCATCGTCATCATCGCGGCGTGTCTATCGCGTCCTCGTCGACACCGACCAACACCACTGTGGAGTTCAGCCCGCCGTATTTCCCGGGTAGCAGGGGCGTGAGGAGCAGGAGCAGGAGTAGGGGGGAGAGTGATGCGAGTACGAAAGGGCTATTGGCTGGCGGAGCGGGGCAGCGTCCGGATGACGTCGTTGTGGGGGTGAGAGATGATGAGGTTGCACGTGGTAGTTGGGGAGATGAGATGAGGAGTGCCCTGGAGTCGGCGAGTCAAGTGGGGAGCGCGTTGGGGGCGGAGGAAAGGGGGGAGGGGAGGGAGGAGGCGGTGCTGCCGCCGCCACCCCCGGCGGCAAGGAGGAGTGTGGAGTTGTTGGGTGTGGGGGAGGGAGTGGCTGGAGGGTTGGGACTGCGGCCGGCGTATGTGAGGATGGGCACGGATGAAGCTGGACGGGAGGCGAAATGAGGGGTTCAGGAGAAGAAGGTGTTAAGGGGGTTTGGTGGAGAAGGTGGAGTGGAGGGAGTATAAAGCCAAGAGGATCTGATGATGACGAAGTTCATGAGTGTACGATCACGGGTATCTGAGCGCATCAGCGAAGGCGTTAAAATAGGAGTGGGTCTGATAGAGATTCATTGTAGATCTTTAGGGAAGCATAATTATCGATGTTTCCAGACGCATTGAATCATTTGCTCTACTCCTGTGACTTTAAACTACACGATCGTGCATCCTCCATCAACAAATGTTGACTTATTGCGCTGTGATGGTAGTAGTCTGTTGCGATCCTGACGTTCACTTCACTGACAAACACTACAGCTCGTGACATATCCCACTTAACACGCGAGTCAAGGCGCTGCCCAAGATCTCGCATGCATCATCTCAAGTACAGGCTGTCACTGGGCAACGGAGAAGAAGTAGGGGCCGGCTTGGCTGGAGATGCTAAACCACTAAATAGCCATGAAAAAGAGTCTACAGGGGGGTAATACAGCCGAAGGCTAACGTAAATTCGTTTCCCACTTATATGGGTAGTTGAAGCTATCGTCCGGATGTAAATGTGGAATTAATAATTAAACATTCACGTCCGGACGATAGCTTCAACGACCCATATTTGTTCATCTTCCTTTTTTTTAAAAAAAAAAAAAGGACAGAGGCATACTTATGCTATGTTGCAGGGCCCTGCTATTCTTCGCGCTAGCAATCGGCTGCAGCGCCCCTCTATAGTCACGCCATGTTCTGGGGCTTTGCTGTTCTTCGCGCTGGCCGTCGGCTGCAGTACCCCTCTGTAAGTGTTGATGCTTACCGGAGTGAGACGGAACCGACGATCTGTGGGGTAAGGTGGAGCTAGAGCTGCTTTATTGGGACAAGGAAAAGCGCTTTTCGACTGTTGCCTGTTGTTTGTACACGCACAAGGGGTGCTGCACCCGATGATCGGCACGAAGAGCGTGGGGGCCAGCAATGAAAGTTCGTTGCCTCTCTTTCCGGACTTTATATTCATCCTCAAACATAAAATCATTTTAGCATAATAAACTTGAAAGATCCCCTCAAATGTACCAATACGTCCTACAGATAACCTCATGCACCAGCCCCGGCGTCTTTTACTTCAAACGTTCGAAGCACTGCTGTTATTTGCAATGCTCCAAAGTTCTACAATAGAGTAAGTGGGGCAGGCTTTAGTTCTTAACTACTGCTTCCTCTTTCTTTAGGGCCGTGGGCCAAGATATCTCAGAATGGCACTGTCCACTAAGTTCGACTGTTGCAAGTCTCGCTGCTGCTGCGCATTATTTACATCTGCTGATCATCAGGCATTGACGTTTGTGATGAAACAAAACATTATGCTAAATTGCTCTTGCGCAAGAGATAACTGCGCATGACAAGTAGCACCGGTTGATTAGGTGCGGGCAGGGTGATGATGCCGTTGCTACGGATCATCAGCATGTCTTAATGATGATGTAAAATATCCTCGAAAGCTGCCTTCATTGTTTCATGGTGCAATAACCGGGTAATTTCACTTACAAACCGGCCAGAGTGATGAGCTCTCAGTTGGTTTCTGGCTACCTCGACCAAAAATCAGGCTCATAAACAAGTGCACATACAGAGGCTTCAGATAGCAGAGGTTTCGGGTTTTAATACCCCACAAACGTCTCCAGAACACCTAACAAAGCTGCTCCCACACTCACTCCTGCAAATGACGAAAGAAAGTATCTGAAGCCTTACTATCACGCGCTAGTCTGCCTGGTCAGTTGAGAAATCCAAAAACATGCATTTGCAGGTTGACGTTACAGATCACAAGACAACATTAATGTTTAGAGATCAAAAAAAAAAAGTGGGAAATAAACAGACGCAGCAATCCTGCTGTTGACAATGGCCCAGGCAGAAGATTCGTTTCTGCAGAAAAGACCAGAGAACCTCATAACTCGTTCTTGGAGCGGAGATGAGGTCAACGCAGTCCATTGCCGGTCAAACGTAACAGCAACAAAACAATCAGATATTCTCGACGCTACTAATCTCCATTCTGTATTCTCAGAGGTACTCATCATTGACGGATGGTGCTTAGGTTCATTTTAGTACTCAGCGCTGTCCGGCTGACAAGGTGAAACACAGCGAAACTCCAAAAGCAGTCAAGAACTCATCACGGGTTTTAAAAGCCGTACACGCCCTCTGGTGTGCCGGGCCTGGACCCCATCATATCGTACTGTTCTGTGATTTAAATATCAAAGATTGTGGTGGACCTAATGCACCTTTCAAATCACTGCAGATGATGGCATGTGTTACTGGCCGCTCAGCTGAACAAGAAACAGCATTTGCATGCTTAGCAATCATCGGCTTTCTTTGAAAATGTCATCTTGTGCCAGTTTTCGCAGCTGAACGTCACGGATGATCGGACCGTGGCATTGTTCCTCGCATAGACTCCATATGAATTCAACCCCACAGTCAAAAGCCTTCTTTCCCTTGATGACTACCTAGTGGGAGCCGATACGTCGAGATTGACAATCGCAAAAGGAAATAACACTTGTGGGGTGTTCCGGAGATGTATTTCCCACTCAGCAGTGAAGGCTTTCCCGCGCTCCCCGGTAGCCAGTCCAATCTAATGAAGATAAGCAGCATTAAATGTCGATGATGTTCGTCAGCGTTATTACACAATGCAGACTATCAGTATCTTTAGGAGAGAAGAACGGCGCCCGTGACTACTCGAACTCAGTACCTCAACACAATTCTTTCTGGAGTGACCAAAATTGAACAAAGGAGCTCCAGACAAAGCTGTGGCATTGTTAGCGTTGTTTTATTGCCGAGGTATGCGCTTGGATCACGTGAATCCTCCCCGCGGGCGCAAAAAAACGAACTGTCAGCCCGCAAGGCCACCCCCGTCCCCCCAACAACAAAAAGACAAAAAAGATGTGGGAATTGAGCCCAACGCGGGGGTCGAACCCGCAGCCTTGAGATTAAGAGTCTCACGCTCTACCGATTGAGCTAGCCGGGCGGCTGTTGCATTGCTGCTGGTTGATGAAAGGGAGTTTGTGGTATGTAAATATATACGTAAAACTGCCGGTACAACCCTTGCTACCGATACATGCTACACAGACAAACGAAAACGAAGGAAACGAAGGTATCAGACTGCTGCAGTAGGCCGTGTCGTCTTGTTGACATGACTCCGAAAATTTTCTCCTCCCGTTTCCGATTACCGGATTCAGCTTAGTGCACTCGTAAGGAAAGACTACTGACTTCTTGATGGCTTCACGAATGATGCAGAAAGCTCTCCTGCTAGAAAACACTACAAGATCGGGTTGATTGTGAGCAAACCCCATGGTCGGGCCCCTGAAAATTTCTTCCCGGACTCATTGTTCCTTGCCGAATTAAACGTAAATCATAAGAAGACGCTATGAAGTCGGACCTGTGCAATGGTTTAACGTCAAGCCTCATCAATTGTCATTATTGTTGCCGAATATATTTGCTGTGTTTCGTTAATTTTTCTTCAACACCAACGCAAACCCCTTATTCATCTCACCACTATAACGATATCTACTCATTAAGCTGTATGACATCATTTCAGTTACTCGGTGTAGATAAGCACATACTTTGCTGCTATATTACACGAAGCAGCAATTTTCAACCCGTACATTTGCACTGTTCAAATTTAATTTTAGCCACCAATTACGCACCGCTGCGCTCCCAAATTTCTACTCAATCCATCGCCCTCTTGAGCCTCACCCACACTGCACCCCTGCCATTCTCCACTAATGGCCCAAAGAAATCTCTCGCATATGCGACTCCAACATCCTTTTCGCATACCCCCTCATCCAATTCCACATCAAAAGTTCTGAAGAAATTTCCCAGCACAAGCGCAATCTCCCGCTTTGCCAACTCGTGACCAATGCACATCTTCGCACCCTTGCTGAACGGCACAAACGCCTTCTCCATGCGTTTCCTCTGTTCGGGAGAAACAGTAAAATTAGCATCAGCCCCATCATCCAACCACCGCTCCGGCCGGAAGACGTGCGGATCCGGCGCGAAGGCAGAGGGGCAAAAGAGCGAATCCGCGAGGCTCATACTGATCACGGTGCCAGGAGGGAGGACGTATGTCTTCTGTTCCTGCAACTGTTGCTGCCCTGGTGATAAAGAAGACGGTGTTGTATACGTCATGCTTTCAGCGGGATTGATGCGAGGCATGCGGGAAAGCACGGCCGGATTGTGGCGGAGGGACTCCTTGATGCAGGCCTGGAGATAAGGGAGGTCGAAGAGGGTACGAGACGGAACGAGAGTGGTGGTGCGTTCTGACGTGACTGATGAGCCGATTTCGTGAAAGCTGTCTTTCCTGCTGCTACTGGTAGGAGGCGGTTGTAGGCTCTTGAGCTCGGCACGTAACTTTTGAAGTATTGACGGGTTTCTCAGCGCGCGGTAGACAATTTCGGTCATGGTATTGGCGGGAGCGTCAACGCCAGCACCGAGAAGCGCGCTTGCTTCGGCGAGAACGCGAGATGGGGCACGTTCGTGCTCCGGCAAAAGAGGAGAGACGTGGAGAGCCTCAAGGATGGTGAGATTGATGATTTCATGAGTTTTGGTAGGAGTGTGCTGTGTCAGTTTTGCAGCTTCGGTAGCAAGGCGCTATTAAAATTCAAAGACAGATGGGAGTTAGTCTACTGTGAAGAAGAAATGGGCGGTACTTACACGGTAATGCTCTTGAATATCTTCATTATGCAACCTTGCCGAATCCCAAGCGGGGTTGAGTAAAACAGGTAGTCGTCGGAGGATCGAATGGATCCACGCTGCGTGTCTTTTCCAGTGCATGAGCGTTGTTCCTGCCGTGTGAGATTTCTGCATGCCCTCTCCGATGTCCGGCTTATCAAGATAACCTTGAAAATTTGGAAAAGCGTATGCTCCCGAGATATCCATGGCCACAGCTCGAAAGGCTACGGCCAGGTCCACTTTTTCTCCCGTCTTGCATGAAGTATCAAGGCGATCTAGTAGCTTCCTTACTTTGTCCTGAATAAGGGGCTCGACTTTGTCCATAGAACTTGTAGAGAAGAGCTTGCTTAGGGCGCTTCGTCGGACCCGGTACAGGTCGCTTGGAATGGTGCGCAATACGGAATTACCAGGCAAGAAGCCGTAGAACCATGGATCTCGTTCTATTTTTTGGTTGTTGGAGTAAAGAACCTCGTAGTAGGCAGGATCACGGATATGCACCTCATTCGGCTTGATACGAACGATCGGACCTGGCACAGGAAAATCAGCTTGCATGAAACCCTATCTGGAGAAGAATTTCCTACCATATTTGTCGTGCATCTCGCTGACCTTGTTGAAAAATCGACCGACCATCACACAGTCCCACCAGAACTCGTAAAACCCAGTCAGCGCGCACACTGCAGGACCGGGCACATGAGCCAAAGGATGGAAGAATAGCCGATAGAAAACCAGCGATGCAATGTACAGAACTATGAGAAGCAAAGTTTCCTGGGCCCAAAGATCTGCGATATTTATTGGAAATGCCATGTTGCAATAACGTTTTGGAGCTGCCACTTTGGTTGTGAGTTCAAGAACATAGGGTTGCTTTCATGAAAATATAAGAAAAGGATGCATTCCAAAGCTACGTTTAGGCTCACGGCTACAAATCACTCCGATGCGGGAGCGGGAAGTTAAAATATGGAGCTGGGATGAGAACAACTGCTCCGTAGAAAAACATTGGATCTCCAGTGATGGTACCGGAAACTTCCGCGTTAACGAGAGTCAGCTTAGTCTTCATGCAAGGTGAAACTGTAGTAAGAATAAGGTTTAGAGATGCATACCCTGGATCTGGATCGGCAAAGCTCGGAGACCATGAATCAAAGTTCTTCTCGAGTCTGCAACTGGGTAGTCGAGGCAATTGTCCAGATGTAAATGTCAATTTAATAATTATATATTTACACTTGGATTATAACTTCAGCTACCTGCATATATAAATTGCGGATTGTATCTCGCGAAGTAAACTACGAAGAATTCATCACCAATTTTGGTTCAGGCCTTCTTCTCCCCAAGTTCAGCAGAAAGCCTTTCACTTGCATACAACTTATAGATATATCGCGAGCACTCCAAAACTGGGAGAAGGAGATATTCGACAAGTATGGTGATTAAATAAATTGAGGCGCAGCAGATCTCTCCACTTATAAAGCCTCATAGTTACGACAGCAAGCACTTAGCTCCGCATTCCCGTGGAAATCAGGCTGAAGAACTGAAACGGTACTTAACCAATCATGGCAGAGCTTTAAAAAAAATGTCGTGCAGATCGCTTGCAATCATTGGCTTGCATATCACACCAGAATAGCAGCGTGGCTGGGTGTTACAGCCCCCTCTCCCAGCCGATGGCTTGCGCGAAGAATAGCAGGGCTCCCCAATTCTACCTTAGAAGAATAACATACGTGGGTAGTTGAAGCTATCGTCCGGACGTGAATGTCGAATTTTTAATTCTACATTCACGTCCGGACGATAGCTTCAACTACCCACGACATGAGCAAAAAACAAATCCACGCTAGCCATCGGCTGCAAGAGGACTGTACGGTAGAAACTGGGTCCAGGTGGGCTTTGGGTATATTTCTAGGCTCCTATTGGCTGCATCAAAGGGCATGTCATGTGAGTTCGCGCTGCTGCCTGCTGTGCGGACGCGTCTCCGCAGAAGTACGCGACACGTCACTTCTGCCGTGACACGCACAACTACCCCTACTATCACACATTGCTGCCTATCGCTCGCCGTCGCTCGTCGCTCCCATGAAACCCCCCGGCTGGCCCCTCTCAACGCTTCGCTGTGGTTCCCTGTGTGAATACCCCATCCCTCAATCCACCGGACGATTATATCTCTATCTTCATCAAAACAATTCCTCGTTTCGTCCTCGACCTAAGCGTTTTTACGAGTTTCGGATACACAACTTTCTGCGACATGTCGGCCGAGGAGGAAGAGCGGATCTGCAAGGTCTATATCGCCATCTTCAGCAAAGCCCCCAATAACGATATGCCGTTGTACAAGCATTGGGCTTTGGCTGTTATCGACACATGGAGAGACGAGAAGGGAGAGGAATATGACGAAAGCTTCAAGATCCAGGCGATGGGTTTCTCGGGTCATTACAGGCTGGACATGCAGCTCTCAAACGCAAAGGAAGACGAGAGTATGATCAAGATGGTACCGATATGTCGCATCTACGAATCCATGCGTGTATCGCTTATGGCGGCTGCCGAGCAAGTCGCCATCAGAGACTACGACCTCACGTGGAATTGTCAGAATTTTGTTCTGGATTTGCTTGAGCATTCGCGCAATGAAGGATTGCTCACATTCTCGGACGCGAAGATGGATGAATTTCGCGCAATGGAAGAGGGGTTCGTTGCGAAAGAATGAAAGCTTCCTTAGCTGTGGGATTCAATAGCGGTATGGCGGGGGAGGGGGTTTGTAAGTAGTCATGTGGCTCCCGTCCACTATCACCAACATTTGCTCGCCATAAATCATCAGTGAATATAATTTCCTTAGAGCTTCTATCGAGCTATCACGTTGTTCCTTATCAAGAAAATTGCCGAGAAACAATTGCACCAAGTTCAAGTGAGAGGTATTTTACGGTGGCAACGAGTCTGACTTGAAATCCTGAAACTTTCAATAATATCCAAGCTTTACTGACGGTTGTGGTCGAATCCAATGTCTGGGTGCTTTTCGAATATTTTTAGATCCCACATGTACGTCCGAATATTTGCTTCAGCTGCCCATGTCCGTCAAATACTCTCCGAGCCGCGATGTCCCAATGCTGCACCGGCAATGCTTCAATTGTATGTGAAGACGTCGGCCTCCGGAATAATGACGTGTGGAATCTGGAGTAGCTGCCCAAGTAACTACCCAACTATAAGCATTCAGACGCCTAATTTTCGAGAGCCATGCTGACCTTTTTTAGTGCAGCCAGAATGTTAGATATCTCTTGCAAAAGAGTGATGACGTCGGATACTTTGTTGTACATGTACCAGGCTCTGGGTGAAAGGACGTGGACGATTTTGCTATCCGTCATCCGCTGGCGGAAGTGGAGCCAAGGGTGTAGTTCCGCGGCGATATCTTCTTGGACCGTTGGGAGCGTCCGACACTTGACTCTAAGCGCTGCACGCTCGGCGCGCGTGAGCATAAAGATGTTCATGCTTGTTGATGGAGGTTTGAGGATGTGTTCTGTCTTAGAGTGTACAAGGGTGAGGAGAGGACATTATATACCTGAGCCGGGTGGGTCACATGTGCCAATAGAACATCACATTTGACAAAAGGGAAGGAATGTGTTAGTGAAGGTGAGCTTGAAGTACGCGGTTGAGACACTCAGTCGGGTGACTGAGGAAAGCACGGGCCCGTCCGCTTTGTTGGCAGTGTAGAGATACAAACAGCGCTGTGCTCAAAGAGTCAAGTGGAAAACAGCCAAACGAGTACAGCTGAAGCGTTTGTCTGCCCGCAAATGTAGAATTAGTAATTCAACAAACGCGCCTGGACAGAAGCTTCAACTACCCACGGAAGTTCATCACCCTTTATATCATTCACAATCAGTGCTTCAAATAGAAACTTGAGTCTCGTCGACAATGATTTTGATCTTTCCTGATGGAAATAGTCTCTCCTATCTGCTTCTCCGGCCGAGTGGGTCTTGACACGGTTCTCTCTGGAGTTGCGTTGTTTGATCTTTTCCGACCATGAGCAGTTTTCGAAGGGACAGATGATCCTCTGGCTCTTGTCCTCCGCTTTCATTAATCTCTCCATGTTTTCCATTGGGTCTTGTCCGGCCAAATTCCAGCGAAATTGCGGCGTATGCTTGCATTTGCTCTTGTGAATAGTCCTACAGGCTTTGCATTGCTGATTGGCAGCCCCGTTTGTGGGACGATGCGCAAGGGATTGTAGCAATTGCCATTGTGACAGCTCCATCTCGTTCAATTGTGTGCTTGTGGATCAGATCGGACGGAAGAGATCAAGGCGGGGTTGGATTCAGAGCTTCGGACAGCGGAGCATTTGATGAAGGGCTCGATTTAAGAGGCAGAGAGGGGTGCGTGAGATCCGGGATCAACCGCGGAGCACAATTCACAGTCGACCTCGAGGAGAGCGATTTTGATTGCTTGAAAGAGATTGAGGCCGAGAACGTGGTCAAGGACGAAGTGGGAGGTGCGCGGGCTTTAGTCGCTGCCTCCGCTCCTGCCTTCCCGGCTACTTTGGCTAGGGGCGCCGCGTTTCCGCCCAAGACTGCCTCGAGGCAGCCACTACTGCAGCGTCACTGCAGCAGCCGGCTGTGCAAACGCTTCTTCCCAACGAAGTTCCTATCCTCTCCTCTCCGTACACTGCTATCCTCGAAAATACGCACTCTCTCCCCCGCGGCCCTGTTGGCAAAGTGGCAGTGGGAAAGATACTTCTGGTCATCATCACCGGTTCCGATCAAGCAGGCCCTGGCCCGCCCTGGCGCCGTTTCCGCCCATCAGTCCGCGACCTCCTCCACTTTCGTTCAACGAACGCCTGAGTGCACACGGCCGCAAAAGAAGTCGTTCAGGATCCGTCTCGCAACGACAGTCCGGCGCCGGCTGGGATCTTCAATGAAGGCCTGAGGATGCACAGAGCCATATAAGAACTTGGACTCGATCAGTGTCCGGAGCCAAGCTCAAGCAGGAGAACAACGATGACTTAGATGACGACTTACCCAACGCCTTAGTACCACCGGAGGATCAGTCCGATGACGGCTGGTCAGACGTTGATGACTCAGACGACGATGACTTGCCTAACGTCTTCGTACCGCCGGAGGATCAGTCCGACGATGGCTGGACCGACGTTGATAATAATGAAGATGAGGAAGAACTTGACTCTTTCGACCAGGGAACTCCCGAAATACCAGAACCCTCGCGCTCAAAATGACTCAGACTTTTCCGAATTCCAGCCCGAGACTGAGTCTGCGTCTGAGCGTGGTGTTGCGAAACGTAGGACCTGCGTTACCAAAGCTGCATCACGCCCTGGGCCCGTCCACGATTCCCATGTCAGTGTGCCATCGCACACTGGCTCCACTCACGACGCTCATGACGATTTGCGTTGGCTCGATGGAAAATCAAATAAATGTATCTCGAGCATGGTAGCACAAGTTTATGGCGCGCTGGCTGGATCTCTCTCTCTCTCTCTCTCTCTCTCTCTGTGTGTGTGTGTGTACGTTTGGACCACCCGGGGAGTTGCAGATTTCTGGATGTAGATGTAGGTTCTAATGCATGGTTACTTGAGCTAAATATGGACGGAGGTGTGGTCTTTTGAATTACTCTTTACATGGGCACTTGAAGCTATCGTCCGGACGCAAATGTCTAATTGTTAATTATACATTTAGGTCCGGATGATAGCTTCACCTACCCCCTTTTTGGCCGGCGAACTTCACCCAGAAGGCCAGCCCATGCGAGGCCATTATGCCTATGGGAAGACCGGCCATCATCGACACGGCCGACAACAACCGGGAATACGGGTCTTATAAGGGCTACGTCTACTGCGGGGCGCACGGATTCCAGAAGCTCGTTGAGGACGCGGCGACCATGGAAAACGCGCTGACCTTGAAGAAGTGGTTCCGACGCGACAAGGCGACGGAAAACCTATCTAGGCAGATCTCGGAGCTTACTGCTCTATATGCGGAAAGCTCTGGCGATCTGCACATCCGTCGGCACCGTACAATGTTCGTTCAGGTATGACGCATGGATGGAAAGGAGTTGTTCCGGTTTCCTAAACGAACCATAAGCATGAGATGCAGGCATCGCTGGTCCGGAATCACACGGATGCCGTAATAGCCATGGCTGAGCCTTTCCATGCAATTCGAAACTTTCGGCATTCGGCTTTGACCGTCGACGAGGCGTCTGGCGAGCAAATGAGCGAGCTCCATTAGGAGAGACGTCATCAACGCCCCTCCCGCGGGTCGCATATGCAGGAAGCAACAGGGATCGGAACAAATGAGGGCTTGTGGATTTGAAAAATGCGGGGAAAGCTTCGCGACCACTTCAACGAGGGGAACCTCTCGCTCTCCGCACGTTCTGTAAGCATCAGCTCATTCTCTTTGCCAACAGAATCTTGAGAGGCCAGAGAGGATTGGTCGTGAACTCGGACGTTGCCCATTCGGCTCCGCGCATTGAACCCCACCTGCTCGCATCCAATCCTACACCATCGCACCTCAGGTGAGTTTCTCCTCCCTTTCTCAACATCGTCTTTAGCGCGAAGTTCTCACAATGACGGCAAGACAAATTGAGAGACAGCAGCTACAATCCGCCGCGATTGGCTTTTCGAGCGTCGCGCTAGCCACCGCCGCCATGTTCTCGTGGACTTACAATAAGATGCCGGACTTCTTCGCGCAGCGGGTCCGGGTCGAGAAGGAGCCGGTATACACAGTCGAAGAGATACCGGAGAAGCGCGCGCGGACGGTGAAGCACTTGCTGCAAGCGAACCACAGCATTTTCAGCGTCATTTACCATAACCTGGAGTTCCACAACCACCTTCCACATGTAAGTCTCGATGGAATCACTTGAGGGAACTGCCTCGTCTTCCTCAATTGAGTCTCCAGGACAGAGAATGAGAGCAAGGCAAATGCGCTTCTGATTGTCGCATGTAGATCCTCGGTTCAGCCTATATCCTCGGTTCGGCCGACGAGCACCTGAACGAAGTGTACGAAGTCGAAACGGAGACACTGGAGAAATGGAGAGACTCGCCCGGTGAAATCACCGAGTCAAACTGGCGAGACTTCTTCGGACAGAGGGAGTAAGTAGAGGAAGAGCATGGGCAGAGCCTACCTTCCCGTACAAGGGAGCCTCACAGCTCACTCACTTTCCCCAGATACCAGCGCGCATACATGGACTTCTTCGAGGATGAGATCCCCAAGCACGGCCACGACTGGAAAGCCATGGTCGAGCAATACCTCTTCGAAGGACCCAACCCGCTCATCAACAACATCATCTGCGGCCGTCAGTCTTCCCCCCATCCCCACCCCTCCCCTCCCCACCACTAACCCCCACCCCCACACACAGTCGGCCACGCCCTCATCCACCTCGGCTACGCCTACGAGCTGAACTCCCGCACGCTCGGCTCCGAAGCGCTCGTGCTGGCAACCTGCTTCTACAACGCGCAGCACAAGTACCTCGACGACCCATCCTACACGCGACCCCCGCCGCCGACCAACCCCGCCAGCACGTCCCCGCTCACGCTCCTCACGCGGCTGCAGCACGACGAGCGCTTCGACGGGCTCTACCCGGCCAACGACAAGGGCGACGAGAACATCGCCATCCTCCTCGCGTCGCCGGCGCACGAGGCGGCGGTGCTGGAGTACTGGAACGCGCTGGATGTGCCGAGCGACCCGACGAGGATCTTTGAGAGCGTGCAGCGGGCGGCGGTGGAGGTGCTGGTTGGGACGAAGAAGGGGGAAGAGGAAGAAGCGGTAGAAGGGGAGGAGGAGGATGAGAAATATGACTTCTTCCTCGTGCACACGCTGACGACGAGCCACGCGCTGCGCCACCTGCTGCCGAGCATGCCTGCGCGCTGGCACGTCCCGCTCGTGCGGCAGTGGTGGCTGCTCGTGCTGACCGTGTACGTGGCGCAGCACCGGCCGGGGATCGAGCGGGAGCGGATTGACGGCGTCGATTTGGCTGGGAGGGGGTGGGCGTTTGTGGTTGAGCAGGCGTTGCGGGGGAGGTGGCGGAATGATGCGCACTACGTGAAGGGTGAGTCGTCCTCCTCCTGCTGTGGCGTTCTGAGATGATGTTTTTTGCACTTCGTTTGCTTCGCTAGCAAGCTGGGCGGTTGTGAGAGTGCGAGTGGAAGAGCATTGACCCGCGAGGGGGAGTCGTCGGGTCGGGTCGGACAACGCGACTTGCTCCCTTCCTCCGCCTTTTTCGGTCTCCGCGCGTAAGGTTGCTGGCCTTCGGAGAACGGACCGCCGGCGCGCGTCGCGATGCATTCTTCCCTTCCACTTCCCTGACTCGAACGCATTGCTTTCGTCGGAATTGCTGACCCGGTGTCTAACAACAACGCAGGTCTCCGCGCCATGAAGAACGCAGCCGAGACGTGGGGCGACCCGGAGCAGTTCCTCCTCAAGGCGGCGGTCCGGTTCGCGACCGACTTCAACGGGTGGGGAGGCTTTGGAAGGGCCGAGATCGAGCGGACGGACGTGAGGAAGCAGGCCAAGTTGGGTATCTTGGCGGACGATGAGGTCGAGCTGGTGCAGGCGCAGGCGCAGACGGAAGGTTGAAAGCAGGGGCGGTCTTGCGAGCTATCGTTCTGTGATCGTTTGCTTCTCCGGCCTCCTTCTCATCTCGTCCCAAATTCCTGTCATTGGTTGGTATTGTGGGTGATTTGAGTTTCTTTCCTTCTCGCATGAAGGCAACCAGAAGCACTGTTGTCGGCTGTGGTGAGTGAAACAGGCAACAAATCTATCTTTGGCACAGACTGTGTCCAATCGCCCTATGACCTTCCTATACCTTACCCCAGTTCCCCGCTGTCCCTGCTCATTCGGGCATTGCATGGCCCATCAGACTCGCTTTTGTAACAATGCAGGATCTCGACTCGCGGGCTCGGATTTACCGACAGCAGATTGGAAATGTCGCCATTTGCGGACTTAGAGATTCTGAGTAATGGGTTTGCGATCTCCGTCAGCAGCACGCATTCGGCAACCGAAGTGCGTTAGCGATGGGGAAAAGTCCGACAGCGGAAGGTGGTAAAGAGAGGGTTATAGTCGTAGGTATACAATAGCGGAAAGGTGCCGCGAGCACCTTTAGTCAGGATGATAGCGCCAACACCGACAAGTCTGGGACCGTTCCACAGCACCACAGTAGCGCACGAAAAAAACGAGCCCGCCGAGTCGAAATCCGATCAGCTACATCCGACAAATCCGATTCCTTTCCGAGGCCTGCAACAGCGGTGTCGCATCGCCATCCCGTACCATTATCGCCAGCAAGACCAGTTAGGCGATGCAGCAGGTAGATGGGCGCTTAAAAATTAGAGTGAGGTGCTGCAGGGCCCTGCCATTCGATGTTTCCGGGGATCGTCGGCGTTTGAAAGCCGCGGCGGATGCAAGGGCTTTGAAACGTCGCCTACTTTATCCGTCTCGGAACTATCTTATCAAGATGAGGTAAGGTGGGCTCGCCTCCCCATGACGTACAAACCACAGCGACGAATTCTCATAACGCGAGCATGCAATTCCGCTCAGGCGAGTTTTGCTTCCGATGGAGCGTTTTTCTCGGATTCAATCTTCCTCCCATATGACTCTGCCTCGCCCTTCTTTTCTTTTCAATTGTAGCGTAACCCCCATCATCTTGCTGCTGCATCGGACGAAACAGATACGCGAGGCGTGAAACTAGGACGCAAAATCCGACCCGCAGCAACCACCCGGACGCGGCAGCGTGCTCCACCCTACCCAAGACCGCCCCTAATACCGGGTTACACCACTTCGGATTCGAAACGCTCCCCCGGATTTCAGGGCCGACAAGGGAATTGACGGACGAAACGGAATAAAGCGAGGGCTCTCCCTCATCCTCTCCATTGTAGGACCACACCAGGACACCTATCCCTCCCATTGGAAGAGCTCTCTCCCCAATTAGGAAAAAATGGCGTTCTCCGACGACGTCGAGAAGGCCTCGATACCTGCCGGCCAGGTATCCCCAACATCACCCACCTCCCAAGGCGGCCTCTTCAGCGAAAAGAACTCGACCGACTTCTCGCGGCCACCCTCCGTCAGCGGCAGCGACACGGACGCCCCCAACCTCACCTCCGGCGACGATGTAGCATCCGCACGCCGCAAGTCGGCAGCGCCGAGCATCAAGCCGGCAATGCCTCTGCCCCAAGAAATCCTCTTCATCACCGTCGTCGCGTCCGCGCAACTCATGACGCAAGCCGGGCTATCCCAATCCATGGCACCCCTCCACATCATGGCCAAGGACTACGGCAACCCCAACGCCGGCCAACTATCCTGGTTCACAGCCGCGTACAGCCTGACGGTAGGCACCTTCATCCTGATCGCGGGCCGGCTGGGCGACATGTACGGGCACAAGCCTCTGTTCCTGATCGGGTGGTTCTGGTATTCGTTGTGGTCGCTCATCGCCGGCTTGACCGTCTACTCCGGGAACCAGATCTTTCTCGACGTGTGCCGCGCGCTGCAGGGCGTGGGCCCGGCCATCCTGCTGCCCAGCTCGCTCGCCATCCTCGGCAGCACATACCCGCCCGGCCGCAGGAAGGAGATGGTCTTCTCCATCTACGCTGCTACGGCGCCTAACGGGTTTATCATCGGCGCGACGTTTTCGGGCATCTTCGCCCAGTTCGCGTGGTGGCCGTGGACGTACTGGGTCGCGGCCATCGTGTGCTTCGCGTACGGCGTGCTGGGGTGGTTCGTCGTGCCGGCCGACGAAGTGGAGGAGCATGATGATGCGGCGCACGGGAAGCAGACGTTCGACTACCTGGGCGCGGTGACGGGCGTCGTCGGGCTGGTGCTGTTCAACGTGGCGTGGAACCAGGCGCCGGTGGTGGGGTGGGGCGAGCCGTACGTCATCGTGCTGCTGGTGCTGGGCGTGGTGTCGTTCGTCGCTTTCATCTTCGTCGAGAAGAAGGTGCAGCAGCCGCTGGTGCCCATCAACAGCCTGGACGCGCATGTCGGCTTCGTGCTGGCGTGCATGGCGTTCGGCTGGAGCAGCTTCGGCATCTGGATTTACTACTTCTGGCAGTTTACCATCGTGCTGCAGGGCGACTCGCCGCTGAGCGTCGTCGCGCAGAATGTGCCGTGTGGCATTTCTGGCGCGTGCGCGGCTATCACGGTCGGTTTCTTGTTGAGCCGGGTCAAGACTGCTTGGCTTATGTTGGGTGCTATGTGTGCTTTCTGCGTTGGCAACATCATCTTGGCTACTTTGCCGGTCGGTATCCTGTTCTGGAAGCAAGTCTTCTGGAGTGTGGTCATCACGCCGTAAGTTTCATCTCTGAGCGAACATGTTATATCGATACTAACGAGATTGTAGGTGGGGCATGGACATGAGCTTTCCGGCAGCGACCATCATTTTGAGCAACCACGTTCCCAAACGCCACCAGGGTATTGCCGCGTCGCTGGTTACGACGGTCGTCAATTACTCCATTTCGTGGGGGTTGGGAATTGCTGGTACCGTGGAAGTCCATGTCAACGACGGAGGCAAGAACGAACTTGCCGGGTACCGCGGTGCTTGGTACTCCGGAATTGGACTGGCCGGGTTAGGTATTATCATTAGCTTGCTGTTTGTCATGAGCAGCTATCGTGCCGCGGCGAAAAAGAACTAGGGTTATGAAAGCGAAAAAGCATGATGGGTACGTATAGACGGGCATTAATAGAGTTAGAACATAGAGGGGATACAATGACGACATTCATGAGTAGATCAATCACGCTAGAGTTTCTGTTAGTGTTCGAAACTGGTGACACGTTCAGAAATCGGCAGATCATGTCCAACGCACACTCTGCCAGCAACTGCACGAAAATGTTCCGTCCGATTGCCACATTTTGGTGGAATGGACTTGCGAGGGAACGTTGGGATATGCGTGAGCAGGGAGGTTCAAGCGAATACCTCCGAAGAACCTCCCACACGAACGGTCAGTCTCGTAAATGTGGAGCAGCTAACTTGATGATCTCCACAGGTAGACAACTCTTTGAGCGATAGCACAAAGCCGTAGTGGCAACAATCCCTGAAGAAAGCATAAGTTGTCACTCCTTAACAACTTCACCACCCTCAAGCCGTTGTCTACGTCGTATTTGTTGCGTAACGAGCGCGCAGGACTGATGCATCGGACGGGATCATAAAACGACCGACGATATACTGCGATGAGAATAGTGGGTGTTCCTCGGCTGGGAATGAAAGGTATCTCAACCAACTTACAGATGGTGTCGTAGCCGAAGGCTAGCATGATTTTTTTTTTCCCGCTCATGTCATGGGTAGCTGAAGCTATTGTCCGGACGTGTATGGACATTCTCCTCCGGACGATGGCTTCAACTATATGTTATTTTCTCAAGGAAAAGAAAGGGCGGGGGTATAGTTGCGCCCGGGGCCTGACTATTCTCCAGACTAGCCTTCGGCTGCAGTATCCTTCTGTAAGCTGGCTCGCTCTTTAGAGTGTCCCATAATCCCATCAATCGCATGATTCCATCCGACACGTTACCATGCACGCCAAGTGGACTTCACACGTCCCTTTCCAGAAGTTTGGGCGCGGGATGAGCTGGCGCTGGAGAGGAAGAAGAAGCGACCGCCAGTCTTGGACCCACCCGCCGAAATCGAGGTCGTATCGAGAGTTGCGTTCAAGTCAGTACCGATGTCCGAAGTTACAGTAGTGTTCGTTTCTGAGAGTTGCGTTTGGAAGGTCCTTGTCGCAAGGCTGAATGACGTTCTGCTGATCGCGCTGAACGCCGTACCAAACCTGCTATTTCCGGCAACAACCGACCCGAAGAGACATTTGGTAAACGAAGTCGACGACGGCGATGCAGCCTCCCACAGCCAGCACATGGTCAGCTCATCTGCGGAGTCTGGAGGCTTGATCAGGGGCTACCAGCACGACGTCGTGGGCGAGCGGGGAGATGAGTCCCACCAGGTCGACCAGTCTGTTGTGGCATTTGACCGCGCGTCCTCGGCGACGTCGACGCGCCCAAGCTTCGAAGCAACCGCTGGCCACCGGTCTCCCCGACAAAGAGTCAGGAAGATCATTGGTAGGGCTGAGGCGGCCTTTGCGACTGACTCAGGACCCGTGTCCGAGCGTGAGGTCATCAGGGGCCCGTACCACGCAAACCAGGTGCCATTTGGGATAATGGTTCGTCACGGGAGCACGCCGCGGTGTCGGAAGTCAAGCCGGTCCATTTCCCTCTCATCTCGATGGAGCAGTCTTCTCGAAGCGCCCTGGCTAGTGGCTGTGCCTAACAGTTGCGGTAAGCGTCCGCGGCGGGCTCGTATAGAGCGGGTCCTCCCCGGACACTGGCAGCGCCACTGAAATGCTTGGTTATGCAACCGAGACGCCACTGCCGCGACCGTGGTTGGCTGGGAGAGGGCTGTCCATGAAGTGGCATCCGGATTGAGCAGCGCAAGTGGAGTGGCGGAGGCGGATTGCTCTGCAAAAGCGTGGCCGGTCAGGCGTGGCACTAGGTACCGCTTTCGTTCGGAGCTCAAGCCGCGACAATGCCGGTGAGGGGAGGGGTTGATCAGGGGCCTGAGGTGAACTGAGCGCAGTGGACGCGTAGGGCTGAGGAAGGCGGCGCGGACAAGTTACACCGCCAGCGATCTCGTTGAGGGAGCCAGTGCGTGCGGACGCGGAAGGGGTGCGGAGCGAGAAAGAGCGAGAGGTCAACCGCGGCGCCCAGCGCTCGTACCTGCTCCCGCAGCCGAACGGCGCCAGCCCTCTGCGCTGGCCGGGCGCCTTCAAACCACCCTCATCATCGCTGCTCGCATTCCCGCATGACAATTCTCTTTACTGTCCAGCCTCTTTCAATTCGACCAGAGCCCGAGATGCTGTGCCGAATGACGACGATCGGAATTTGATCGCGCGACCGGCGCTTCTCGTCCGGCTTCAGCCCAGTGCCGCACTCACCACCATCCACTTGCATCTGAGCCGCGTCCCCCGTGCCGGCCGCATTACGGCCACACCGACGCTCGTCTCTCGGGCGGAGCACTGAGATCGGCGGCGTCATCAGGCCAGCACCCGTCGTCGGCTTCACAAAATACGAGGGCCGTTTGGAGAGCCCCACAATATCGCGGCCGTTCTCTCAGCCTCTGTTCCTATTTTCAGGTTTCCCACGAAGCTTGGCTCTGGCGGCAGTGATCTCTTCATGAACTGCGCAGCTACTCCTACCACAATGCGGCTCACTTGCGTCGCGCGGCTCGTCCAGTGCTCAACTGTCCTGGACGCTGCTTCGCCTCTCAGTAGGGCTGAGTGCTGGTAGTCGCGAATGTAGCACTCCATTACCTGATGGAATTCACTCACCCTCAGGCTGTGGAAACGGCAGAAAAGGAGAGATGACCATGAACGCATGCCTTGTAAGCATTGAGCTCCTCCCGCCCCCGTTTCACGTTAATCGTGTTAGCGGCTTTCTAACTGGCCGACTCCGCAGTCAAGCTCACGTCCAGGATCCACATTCCGCCTCACCGAGAACTAGGAAGTGATATGACGATCAGTATTCTCCTGCGTCTCCAAACACGAGCCACACGAGCCACCATCGTGCGCTGCGATGGCCCACGTCGAAGCTCGGGAATACCGCCACACACCTCATCCCTCTGTCCGTAGGGCAGAGAAATACGAACCTCATTCTGTGTATATATTCTGCTGTCAACCGTCGCTGTTCCAGTCTTCATCCACCAACACTCGCTCTTCACTCAGACTCGACGCTTCAACTTCCAACAGTCTCTACTACCCACTCTTTAATCCTTAATCACCATGCATTTCACCAAGGCCACCATCATCGCCGTTGCGGCTCTCCTCGCCCAGGGCTTTGCCATGCCCCTCGACGCCCGCAGCGAGAGCTGCACCGATGTCATGACCCAGTGCAAGGCTCAGCCCGACCCGAACATGGTAGGCAAAATCGCGACATTACCGGTACTGTGAGCAGAACTAACTCACTTGATAGTCTTACTGCGCCTCCCAGGCCGCCGGCTGCTGCGACAAGAAGGACAGCGCCTGCCGTACTGCTCCTAACGCCAACATGGTTCGTGATATCACCGGTGACTGCGAGCAGAACAACACAACTAACTCAAGTTCAGTCTTTCTGCTCCTCCGAAAAATCGAAGTGCTACACCGACGCCAACCTCCCCGACCCCTACGGCTCCCAGAAGCGCGCCGAGAAGTGCTCCACCAAGGACTGCTGCGACCAGCAGGACTCCGCGTGCCGCGTCGGCCCTGGCGCCAACATGTCTTTCTGCAGCTCGCAAAAGAGTTCGTGCTATGCGGACGCTGGCCTTCCCAACCCCTACCCCAAGCGTGCCGCCTGCACCGACAAGGCTTGCTGCGATGACGCCGACAACAAGTGCCGCACCGCTCCCGGCGCCAACATGAGCAAGTGCTCGAGCGACAAGGCCGCTTGCTATACCGGCGCTGGCCTTCCTAACCCCTACCCCAAGCGTGCCGCCTGCACCGACAAGGCCTGCTGCGATGACGCCGACAACAAGTGCCGCACCGCTCCTGGTGCTAACATGAGCAAATGTTCGAGCGACAAGAGTGCTTGCTATGTCGGCGCTGGCCTTCCCAACCCCTACCCCAAGCGCCAGGACAAGTGCACCACCAAGGACTGCTGCGACCAGAAGGACTCCGCGTGCCGTGTCGGTCCCGGTGCGAACATGGTACGAGACATCACTACTGATCTTTCTATGGGCAACGCTGACCAAAGAAAAGTCTTACTGCAGCTCGCAAAAAAGTTCGTGCTATGCTGATGCCGGTCTTCCTGACCCCTACGGCCTGAACAAGCGCTCCGACCAGTGCACCAAGGTCATGACCGACTGCAAGGCCAAGCCTGACCCGAACATGTCCTACTGTGCCTCCCAGGCCGCCGGCTGCTGTGACGAGGCCGACAGCGCCTGCCGCAGTGCCCCTGACGCGAACATGGTTAGTGAAATCACCCTTGACTGCAAGAATCACCAACTCACCCCGTTTTTAGTCATTCTGTAGCTCCCAAAAGGCGGCTTGCTATACCGACGCCAACCTGCCCAACCCCTACGGCAACTAAGCGGATTTCTACGAATCATGAACAGAACAAATATGTGGAGAAGTGGTTGAGATAAGCAGGAGATGCCGGGAGATGGTTGGATTTGATATGCCTTGTAAAATTTGATGTCACTCGTTTATGTAAGTACTTAGAAATGAAGCGTCCTGAAGGAACACCAACATCTTTCTCTCGTGCATTGTGAAATCTACTTTGAATCTGCTCGAAAAAGTTGCCGGGGCATCTAGTACAAAGGAATTAATGGGAATTCCCTTATGCAAGTGCATCTGGACAAGGGCTTAAATTCTCTATGACTTGCTTTCTGGGTTTGGTATTTCGCAGGCCCACCCAATTCCGCGCCACCCACACTTAATCAAACCTCCGCTCTACGCCCCCGCACGTAGAACCATCTCAAACCCCGCCCTTTCACCACTCGATAGATAGACAGTAGATTCAAGCCCGTCTAGCCCTAGGAGTGAGGTTCAAAAAAGCGCTGGACTGTGGGGGGCACGTCAAGGCCCGAGCCGGATCAGCCTTTCCGCATCGGGGTCGATCCTGGCGATGGCGTGATGGAGGATCCATCTTGCGAGCACGATATACGAATGACACGCCGCAAGAGGTCGATGCGCTGAGAATTGCGCAAGAGTGGCGGAGAGTTGGAGTTTCTGTCGTGCAGACGGGGTTTTTCTACAGAGATGTTGTGCATGAACGATCCGCATGGATGCTCCGGCTGCCCCGGCTGCGGTTGATGTCCACCACGCTGCTGCCAGCGGACTCAGCCTTCAAAATGGGTAAATTTCATAGTATAAGGCGAGTTCTGGGGCTTTACAGGCGATCGATCCTATCATGAGGGGCTGGGTTGACGTTGGAGTGCGGTTTTCTTGGTCTTTCCATTTTCGGCAATCGCCCACCACGGTTTCTTTCCCGCTCTGCACTCCAACTCAAATCCTCCACGTCACCACGTTCCACGCCACAAGACTGCGTCAGCGCTCTCCGCCGCGCATTCCAAGACTATTTCGTCACAAAGACGCGATACCAAGCGAAGGGCGCCAAGACGAAGACGCTGGAGAACCGCGTGCCGAACAAGAGGAACCCATCCACGTCATCAGAAAGCACACTATCCAGCGTGCATCCAAAAAAGGGTCGCTCATGTGGAGGTCAAGATAGAGAAAGTGCGGGGGCAGACGTCGAGGTACACCATGAATCAGGCAGACGGAACGGCACGTTCAAGAAAGCTAATGCACAGACATTCAAAAGCGACTGAGCCACACGCAGCTTGTATAGTTTTAAGCTTATTGCGCTCCCGCCCGGAACGCTGTGCAGATCTTATCACCGTCAAGCCTCACGTTTGAGCGCTCGCCAGAACGCTCCCCGATCACGTCATAGCCAGATGTGGAAAAGCGGAAGAACCGTCATCCCCACGCTCCAACGTGACACGACAGAGGCAAAAGCTCGCCGCCCCACTCGTCCAACTTGCCGTTCCGTTTAAGCGGGGTAGATAGCGCTCGTCAGCACCGCTCAGGCCGCGCATTGGAACAATCCTTTCGCAAGAAGTGATGAGATTGCGTGCGCGAGGCGCGGGATGGCAAGATGCATGGCGGGCCCGCTTCGTTGATTCCGGCCCGCCATTCTCTGAATCTACCTACAGGTTATTCGGCGATAAGATGTAAGCATGCCGAGCGATTCTGATGTGCTCGCATGCGAACTGTTTTTTTTATCCGGCGTCGCACCGCACGTCATCGGGACATTGTCTCACTGAGCCCTCGAGTCAACACTTGCTGCCAGCGCGTCAACCCAACCGCAACATTGTTGTCGCATCAGTTGCCAGCGCTCCAATTACCATCCAAAATGGCAGACGACAAAGAACCGGCAGTCAAAGACACCCCGACTCCTTCGCAGAGCGTCATTGCGGAGTTCCACGATGGGACAGAAGAGGGAAAGAAAGCCTTCCTCGCAACCTTCTCTGCCGCTGAGGACAAAGCTATCATGCGAAAGGTGGACCGGAGATTTTTGGTCCTTATTGGGCTGATATATGTCATTAAAAATGTCCGTGGGTTCCATTGATCCCCGAGAACAATCACTGACGGATTCAGATCGACTACATGAACGCAGCAAACGTGAAGGTGTTGCAGGTCGGGCAGCCCTCGAACGTCTTGAACGAGTTGAAAATGTCTGCCAATCAATACAATTGGGTTCAATCTATCTACTTTGTGAGTTGGTCATAGTCAAGTAGCTGCACCGGCTAAACTGACCATCTCAACAGATCAGTTACATCATCTTCGAAGTACCGAGCAATCTGGTCATGAAGAAAGCCCTTCCACGCAACTGGCAGACGCGGATCATCCTTTCGTGGGGCATAGTCTTAGCATGCCACGCAGCTGTCAAGAATAAAGAGGGGCTATATGCCGCACGCTGGTTCCTTGGGATGATGGAGGCAGGCATGTTCCCCGGTCTCGCCGTTCAGCTTGCCTCATGGTATAGAACAGACGAATATGGCAAGCCCATCATGTGGATGTTTGGCTTTCAGAATACTTCTGGGATTGTTGGTTCACTGCTGGCATACGGTATCAGCTACATGAACGGTCTCGGTGGTCTGTCCGCTTGGCGATGGTATGTCAAACAAATTAATCACCTCCCCCTTGAAAGACCAGCCCTCACTCACACATGCCATCCAACAGGGTCTACCTCCTCGAAGGCCTCTTCACCATCCTCTTCGCCGGCGTCGTCTACCTCGTCCTCCCAGACTACCCCAAATCCCCTCGCTCCCGCAGCTGGCTCACGCCCCGCGAGCAAGAATACCTCGAAACGCGCCTCGCCACCAACGCTCCCAAAACGGCGGACCCGGCCTTCTCCTCGCACGAGATCGCCGCCGCCCTCCGCGACCCGCGCACCTACGCCTTCATGCTCGCGCAGTTCCTGACAAACTTCGCCGGCTACGCTCTGCAGTGGCAGCTGCCGACCATCACGACGGACCTCGGCTTCGCGGGCCTGCCGCGCAACCAGCTGCTCAACATGCCGCCCGCGCTCGGGTCGGTGCTGGCGATCATTGTCGCGGGATGGCTGCTCAAGCATGCGTGGCTCAGCCGCCCGCTGCTCATCGCGCTCATCGGCGCGTGCGAGCTCGTGTTTTTCGTGTTGCTGGCGGCGTTGGAGGATAAGGCTGCCGTCTACGCGTCTTGTGTGTTAGGAACGCTCTTCTATAGCGTTTGGTTCATCCCGTTTTGGGCGTGGCGCAGCGCGACGCTCGATCAGGGCGCGACGGGCAGCGCGTTCAGCCTCGCTTTCCAGAATTGCGTCGGCCAGGTTGGCGGCGTCATCGGGCCGCAGCTTTTTCAGAGCAGGTACGCGGCGGATGGGTATAAGATCCCGTTTGCGATTTGTGCGGGGGCGGTGGGGGGAGCGTGGTTGGCGGGCCTTTGGGGGTGGTGGTTGACGAGGGATTTGGAGGGGAGGGTTAGGAGGGTGAGGAGGTTGAGAATTAAGGCGGAGAAGGAGGGGGTGGTTTATGCGGATGGTGATGGTGATGAGGAGGTGGGGAGTGGGAGTGGGAGTGAGGGAAGGGCCGCTGGTGGGAGGGGGGAGAAGGAGGGGGTTTGACGGGGGAGGTGGTGTATGTGTGGGAGGGACGCCGCGGGAACGACCTTGTCTTCGATGTCTCAGGAGGTCGCGGACTGATGGACAGAAACGGCGCCAATTTGCGGCGGGTGAGGACCGGAACCGGTACCGGTGATGATGACCACCAGAACCTTCCTGCCCGGGTTGGGGTGCGAGGGGAAGCTTTGAAACGGTGAACAGGAGGACTTGGTGGGATTGGAACAGATTATGGAGCGGTCGATGGAGCGGTTGATTGAGTGATCGATGGAGCGCTCTGCTTCAAAGGCGACGAGGTTTGTGTGAGGTCAACGAACATTGGCTCCGCCATTGGTACAGGTGTGCCAGCTTCATCTCGTTCCCGTTTAATTGTCTGTTTGGGTCGGGCTCGGAATCTCGGATAGCGAAGCTCTTGACGAAGGGCTCGACTTGATGGGTGGAGAGGACTGAGCGAGGTTCAACCGCTGAGGGGTAGCAGGATCAGGGTCTGTTTTGAACGAAGCCATGACACTGCGAAGATATTCTCTGTTGGCATTTGTGTAAAGTTCCGGGAAATACAGGATGAAGACGCTGTGCGGCTGGGCTGATGCGCGAATGCTGTGGAGGTGAATGGGTGATGTATTGAGCTACCCGAGAGAAAGCACTAAATCCCCCCCTTGACGATCGCACCTGCCAACAACGCGTCAAGGGCTCTCTGGTATAACGTCACAACCCCGACCTTTCGGTTCTCAGCACCATCCTCAATAGCCATCGCGGCCCGGACTTGCCTGGAAATTCAAGAAAGCTCTGCTGTGCAAGTACCCACCCTGGTTCCGGTCTGATATCCCTGTTGATCCATGATAGTACTCAGGGATTGTTCGCCAACCCCATACCACGTGGTCCTCGATGCCTCGACACCGAGTGGAATTAAAGAATATGAATCGAACTGCCTCAACCCTCACATCGACCGTTGTCGTTGCGGCAACCCACCGAATTCTCTTTCAAAAGCCTGCTCGAGATGACGGGCGTCGCCATCCTGAGTCCCGACAGCCTAAGCCAGCAAATTTTCTGCCCTTGAAGTCTGCGCACAGCGAAGGCGGTCAAACACGTCTTATCTATGCGAAGAACACATGACGAGGGCAGTGCCGTCCAGTGGGAAATGTCGGGGCTTGAAGCTTGAGGCTCAGGCAATTTCTTCATTCAGATCTCATCTCAATTTGACTTCAAGGCCCTCTGTAAGTCTAACGTGGAGGTGAAACATTCCACTTGATGTTCCTTCTCGTGTTCTTCATCTGTATCCGGCACCTCGACCTTGGGAACTCTCTCTAGAAGTGTCGTCATCGGGAGTTTTCTCTCGGAAGAGGTGGTTGCAGTGACCCAAGCTCGTGTCCTTTCCGCACATGTAGCAGGTGGGCCCCGTCACTCACCGAGGCGTGCAGACGGCGCATTGGATGGTGACCATGGAGCCTTCGTCGTTTAGTGCATCATGTCCTCCACTCCGAGAAGAGCCAAGGGGGCCGGTGGAGTGAGGCGAGCGGGCGCCTTATTCCGAAACGTGGTCGGGCGCTGGCTTGCTTGTGGGCGGCCATTGTTGTTTAGACGGATTTGACTACGCGCGGTGCTGCTTGGGTGCCTGCCTGTCCGTGCCTTCCATTTTTGGGGAGAGGTCGCGTCGCGTTGCGTCGCATCTATATTTTGCGTCCACACTTCTCCTCCACACCATCCACCCTCCATCCTCCTCCACCCGCCGCTGCCGCTCGCCGCCGCCGCCAACCTCGTAAGCTCAACACTTGAGTTGTGCTTCACTATTCATTCTGACTCTGTCTTCAGGCTCGCCCGCCGCCCGCCGCCCGCCGCCGCCCCCTCGCTCACCCGCCCGCCCGCACCCGTTCTTCATGTAAGTTTTGCATGACTCCGCTCTCAGAACAACGCTGACTTTGTTACAGTCGAGAGTCAGCGCAATTCATTTTCGCTCATATCATGGGTAGTTGAAGCTAACGTCCGGATGCAAATGTCGAATTAATAATCGTACATTCATATCCGGACGTTGGCTTCATATCCCCTCATATGTTGTAAATCTGGGGGCTTTTTTATTCGGTTCACACCATGGGTAGTTGAAGTTATCGTCTGGACGCAAATTTGTAATTCATAATTGTACGTTTACGTCCGGATGATAGCTTCATCAGCCCTCATATGTTGTAATAGTGCCTGGGAGGCTGTTTTCCAGTGTCGTTCGAGCTTGGCACTATACCTGCCTCGGATGCCACAGTAGGGGTTTCTTCAGCCGCCGCGGACATGGTTGTTGCTGATTTTCCTTGTGCATAGAATGCCTATTATAGCTGATGTCATGGGGACTTGAAGCTATCGTCCGGACGTGAATGTGCAATTAATTCTACATTTACGTCCGGACGATAGCTTCATCTCCTCACATATGTCGAATATAGAATTGTCTGGCACATTTCAGTCATGGAAATCACTTTTTACATTTCCTTCTATCATCTATTTTAAACTTTTTTTTCCCCCTCTTCGCCTCAATTCCATGCTCATATGCGTAATAAAGTCAAAACAACTGGGTATTTTTCTTCAACAAACACAGAAGACGCTCAAGCGTTGACGTCGGGAGCGTAGGGCAGAATGTTGCCGGTGGTGACGTCGGGCCAGCCGTAGTGGATGAGCTCGGTGTTGGTGGCCATCTTCTCGCCCCAGGCGCCAAGGTCCTTGCAGAAGTTCTGGAAGTTCTCCTCCTGGCTGAGGTCGGTGGGCTTGTGGTCCTTGCCGATCTGGAGCATGTGGGAGCCTGTGTAGATTGAATTCATTAGTGATCTTGTTGGAAATCTGCTTCCTTTTGGAGAGATAAACTTACCAGCAGCAATGGTGTTGAAGAGGAAGTCAGTGGGGTCACCCTTCTGGATGATAGCGCCCTTGACCTTTCCGGACAGGAGGTCCCTGCAGAGCCACGGCTCCTGGCACAGCGGGCGGCCGAGGGCAACAGCATCAACGGTGTCGAGGACCTGGACCATGGCGCCGACGGTGCGCAGACCACCGACGAGGTACGACTTGGTCTTGGTGAGGTTAGGCGCCATCATTTGGGCGAACTCGAGGAAGTAGGCCTCGCGGCGCTTGGTCGAGTCGCGCTTGTTGTGCAGGAAGCCGAGGTCCTCGTAGGAGCCGCCGGAAATCTCGACGAAATCAAAGGTGGCGTCCTCGAGGATCTTGCACAGCTTCTTGGCCTCCTCGGCCTGGAAGTCCTTGTCCTGGAACTCGGTCGAGTTGAGCTTGATGCCCATGACGAAGTCCGGACGGGTGCGTGCGCGCACGGCGGCCGCGATCTCGGTGATGATGCGAGCGCGGTTCTCGATGGGGCCACCGTAGGCGTCGGTGCGCTTGTTGGTGTCGGGGGAGAGGAATTGGGCCAGCAGGTAGCCGTGGGCGGCGTGGACTTGGATGCCGTCGCCGCCGGCCTTCTCCATGTACTCGGCCGTGTGGGCGAAGCCCTCGATGATGCCGTTGATGTCCTCCTGCGTGGCTGGACGCGGCTTGGCAAAGTGCATGCCCATGACCTCCTTCTCGAGCTTCACGTCCGAGGCGGAGATGGGGTTGGGCTGGATGGCGTCCCTGTGCGAGTTTAGCAGTTGCACCGCGGGGAGTCTTCATTGATTCTACTCACCAAACCTGTCTGCCGGCGTGGCTGACCTGGGTGAGGAAGATGGAGCCGTTCTTGTTGCAGGCGGTGGCCATCTCCTTGAAGCGCTCGAAGCGCTCGCCCTCGAAGGGAGCATCCTTAGGGATGATGGGGTTACCCATGGCCTCGAGGTGCTCGGGCTCGAAGAAGGTGTTGCCGGTGACGACGACACCAATCTCACCCTCGCCCCATCTCCGGTAGAGGTTGACGAGCTCCTTGGAGGGGATACCGCGGTTCTGGACGTTCTTGAAGTCCCACGAGGACATGCGCTCGGTGAGAGGAGCCTTGAGGAAGCGGTTCTTGGCCACACGGCCCGAGAACTCGAACTTGAGCGGCTTGCCCAGAGGAGCCGGGTCGACGTCTGCGGATTCGAAGCGAGGAGAAGACATGTTGATTGGTATGCTTTAGTTGGAGTACAAAGCTGGAGATCTGACTTTGGCGGCGGGGGAGGCTATCTATTAAATCTCCAGGCGGGCTGCCCCTCGGTGGGGTGATTAGTTTAAGGGACCAAACTATTATCAATCCCGACGACGCTTCTCTATCGAAAGATTGATGAAGCAACACCACGGATGAACGCCCGATTGCAGTTAGCTGACGTTCATCCACCCGTCGCAGGCTCCCACAAGAGTGGAGATCTCGACCATTCGGCCAATCAGCCTTGCGCCGAGCGTGGACCGGTGTCCTCGCGTGCGTCGGCCCGCACGTGGCGCAGGTACCCACATAACGGCCGAATTCGCGTGGAAAAGGAGATCGTTCGAAATGCCACACGTCTGCCACCAGGGGCACCTGAAGAATCCTTCCACCGATATCCGGATCTTCACGACAATTCCAATAGTGGCGCTGGAAAATCCTCCGTAGTACGTGGCTCTAGAAGGGTTCCCTTGCTCGGATGTACCCCCGGATTGCGGCGTGAACTGCGCGTTCACCGCACGTCTTTGCCGCATCCTGATCTTTTGGATCGTACGACTTCACGTGAGCTGCGGCAAAGATGCATGGCATATCCATGGATTGCCGTTTCCATGAAGCCGTAATTCGTCAGCAGGATAATACCGCGGTTGCTGAACCATCCATCCCAACCTAAAACAGTTGGTCCCACAGAAGCGACCCCAGACACGGAGGTCCTTCCGTGTGTATAGCTGTTTAAGGATCAGTAATCGCGCGCTGTAACGGAAAAGCATCATCCGCCTCCTTGCCACCCACAAGTCCACTTGCTGAGCGCGCATGATGGTCCAAAGCATTCACCGTGAATGCCTATCCTCCAGGAGGCGGAACCGCAAAGGACCGAAAAGTCCGAACAAAGCGTTTCAAACTTCGCAAGCCACGGGCTTCGGAGGAGACGCAAATCCGTAGAACATCTCTCCACTAGCCTTATCCCACGACGGCATCGAATTACGGCAGAGGCGTCTGTTGGGCGTTTTGGGTTGTGAAGACACCATCCGCGGGGTGTCAGGTCGTCATTTTGGGGTGCAAGATTCGCGGGCGTGGCCGCATGCGGTAAGCCTGGGCGGGAACCGTGCTGTGAAGAGCGACCTCCAAGCGTGCGGGAGATAAGCGTTTGACAGCTGTTGCTCCGTGCTAGCTGAACAACTAAGGACTAGATCCGCCTCGAAGTTGCCGCGCATACGGGGGTTTTCGGACATTGATACGTGGCGCATACCTTCTCAAATCTTCATGGACTCCCCTCCGTCCACATTTTGAACCTCTTGAACCTTCACTCCCTTCCTCTCACTCTTTTCGCCCGAGTCATTTACCTATTGCGTCAACGCCAAGAACTTCGATCCGTGAGGACCTCCTCATCAAGGGATACATTATCGCAGACCATCTTTCACGCCGCCGGATCAAGGTACCGAACATCTGCAAGCCACTCAGCTTGGCCTAGACCCTGGCGGTAGGGATGAACGCCAAAAATAGGAAAACCAAGTGCCGGCGAATACCTGCATCAACCGTCAGCCTAACCATTTTGAATCACTAACAAGATCTACGACCACAGTATGGGGTCAAAGTCACGAGCCAACTGCCGTATTGGAGTTCGCAGAAAGCTTGAATAGAAGAGTCATGACTCTGCAGTTGAAGCTTTGACAGCCCCTGTATGAACTCTGTCGTAAGGCTGTGTGTGGACTATCCTCGAAAACAACAGCGATTTGTAGGTATAGGGTGGGAGCGAAGCGCTCTAGAACGCATGGCTGTCGATATGGTTGTAGTCGGTGTAGTCTCCTTGTCTTCATGCAAAGTTCGTGCTCAAATTGTACCGATGGCCGCACGTCGTCATTGCCAACCCCGCTTATCTGGCGAATAAACTCAACACCAAAGCAAAGAAGTCTCGGCAAATAGCGGCAAACTCACCTGCAAGTGAGGGCATTCGCAATCATATCACACCACCCGCGCCCTCCACTCTTGCGATTTCGCTGCCGAATGCTACTGGACAGCCGTGCTGCTGGTGTTCCTCGCACGCCATTCACGTGACGATTGACGAGTGCTTGCTTTGTCACCGCGGCGCGGAACTTCAGCGCGAATCCCCGAGTACATAATGAATGCCTTGATGCCATAGCGGGTTCAGCCTCCTTGAACCCTTGATCGATTTTGCGAAATGACTATTGACGTTTCCACACGGCATTTGAGGATAGCCATTGTCGGAGGTGGGCCTGGCGGGCTGGCCACGGCGATAGCGCTGTCCAAGATTCCGAACGTGGACGTGACGATATACGAGCAGGCGAGCGTGTTGCGTGAGGTTGGTGCTGGGATAAGCATCGGGCAGAATTCTTGGAATGTCTTGGAGTTGCTTGGTGTGGCTGATACTCTGACCAGTGGCCATCAGACGTGGACGGTGTTGAATCTGTAAGCTTGAATCATTACGCCTTCAGATACGTCCTTCTGATGCTGAATGCTCATGCAGTAACGGCCGGTCTGGTGAAGAACTCCATCGCCGTGAAAAACAGCCCACTGATTCTAAGAGGCCGCCGGTTCGGACGCAACGGACGAAGCTGCAGTCGGCACTTCTGGCTCATGTCAAGCCGGGAACTATTCAGCTCTCCAAGAAGCTGACTCGAATGGCGGACAAGGGTTCAGAAGGTGTCGAGTTGCATTTCAAAGATGGGAGCTCCGCAACGGTTGATTTGGTTGTTGGCGCTGATGGTATTCGCTCCGTATGTGAGCTCCTAAGATATGACTCTTGTTCAATACTGATGAACCTGCAGGTTGTGAGGGATACGGCATGGCCCAATTATGAGATCAAATTCACAGGGACGACAATTTGGCGCACGTTGCTTCCCTGGGATAATGTCAAAGATTTGGATCCGCGATTCGGAATTACTGGGTGGTGGCATTCACCAACCACTCATGTGTACTTCTCGCCGGTTGGAGAGGGCCTTTGGGAAATTGCCGCGAGAGCGTGGCATGATCCGGCTATTCATAGCGCTAGCAAAGTCAGTTGGGGTGTCCCGGTCGAAAATAAGCATGTCGAATCACACTTCACGGTAGGTTAGCCGCCCGACCGCCAAGTTTCACTGATCTCATGACAGCTTAGGAATACTTGCCAGAGATCAGGGAGGCGTTGGAGCGAGTGCCAGATGGCGGATGGCGAGAATTTGCCGCATTTGCTGGTCCAGAGCTCGACAAATTGACGGCATGGGACAACAAAATAGTCCTCGTTGGAGATTCTTCTCACGCCCTTTCTGGGGCCTTTGGATCTGGAGCAGGTTTTGCGATGGAAGACGGCTGGATCCTTGCACAGGCTCTGGCCTACTTCGGAAACGATACTGAGAAGGCACTGCCCCTGTTTGATGCGATACGGCTTCCGTACTACTCGCGGATGTACTCTCATCTGGCATCGGAGGCATCCAAACGCAAGGCAAAGCTACAGGATCTTGGGAATCCTTCGTTCGATGAGCGGGTTGCGAACAAGATCATCGTGGATGGGGGGACGGATATGTCTTGGATATATGCGAACGATATCGGATTCGTTTGGGACCAAGCAGTGGAATCGTCACACGGAGGGCGCTGAAATCCCATACTTTAGCTGGCCGGGAATAACTGGAGTGGAGACGGATTAAATGCTGGTGGGCCGATTCGTTCCAGGGTTGTACAATATTGGCCAAGAAAAGCTTCTTTATTCTTGTTTGACCCTAAGGTTAATGTATAAGCCCCGCACTTAAAGGTGACGTGGACCATCCGTTCACCCGCCATTTCGACATCACTCAAACGTCGAATTTACCGCTGTAATGCCAGAGATGGGACGAGCTTGTCGTGTATGGCTACTGTTTCAAGACGTAGGCAAATTGTGAACCGAGGTGAAAATAAAGTCCTGAAGACCGTGCTCTTGATCTATCTAAATGATAGTCGAGAGGCTGCTTTCAGCGCAAGCACAAGACATGCACAAGGTCGTAGCTGGCTTGATGTTAGTCCCAGGGTGGATATGTTATTCTGTCGTCGATGGGGGAAGAGACGCGAACGTATTGGTGGGAAGGATCTTCAGAGAGTGACATCTGGGCGCAGTACTGTGCACACTCAACGAAAGAGAATATCACACTGACGTAATACCACAAATCTTCAGAACATGTCGCTCCGGGTGCAAGAATTTCCTTATTGCTTTGCTCGTGGTAGCATGCCGTTCGCAATTGAAGATGAAACAAAGAAGGATGAAACATCGACCTTGGCTGAGTAGATCAACACTGGTGGTGACTAATCGCACAGGCAAAATGCGAGATGAAGTTTGCATCGAGTGTTGACAAAGCTCTTGACGCGTCGCTTCTTGAGACGCAGGTCTAGCCGACGCCAACCAAGAGCCACAGAACGCATCCGTGCGAAGCTTTGGTGAAATAGATCAACGCCACTGGAGGCGAACTAGTCGAGCAGGAATGAAATTGTTTGTTCCGGAGAGGTCTGGATCTTGGTAAAAGCACCACGCGTCTCAACCGTGTGCTGGTACTGCTGCGCGATCACCAGAAGGTGCAGAAGTGGGCAGATGGCGGAACGCGCGGACTGAGGATAAGTAGATGGAGCAGCCGAGACTCTTCCACTACTATCCGTAGTGCGCGGCTCGTCCGGACAAGCCTCGTATCGGCTGATAGGGAACATGTGAACTCATTGGCCGGCAGAGCGGTTTGTCTCCTGCTCGCGACGGGAAAGAGATGCAGAATAAGGCCGCAGAATCGACGCCAAGTCTCGTACAGCACGCGCTCGTATTAAGGGCGCTTTGTGGAGCGTTCGTCTGGGTGTGCATCAAGCGACAAGGCGGTTTCAGGTGACCGGGTCCACGGCGACGGAAAGCCGGTCGAGTGCGGCTGGCGCCGGCGGCTGGGGGCGATGCTGGGGGCTCATGGGGGCGAGCGATGGGCGAACAGCGTGTCGCAGGCGCTGCAAAGTAGGCGGTGGGGAGGATTGAGGCACGGCTGGCGTCAGCCGCGGGCGAATAAGCGCCTGTGGGTGTCGCGGAGCAGGGCAGAGCAGGCTGTCTTGTCTGTGCCACAGCCGATCAGCAAACCTGCCTCAGCCCCGTCCCACTCCGTCCAGGAATAACTCGCAGCCGCGGGCCCTCTGCCTCTTGCTCTTGTCGCTCGTTTTGTTTTGTTTCTCTTATACCTATCCAGCGCGCTTCCAAATCCCCCGCCCAGCCCCCTCGCTCGACTGCACAGCCGCCGCGGGCTGACGTTGATGCTCGACTGATCGCTCCCGCCGGAAGCTACTACTTCCCGCGCATTCCGCCTCCAGCCTCGAGCTCCCCCAAACCCGTCGCATTGGTCCTCGACATGTGGATTCCGACCGCGAAAGAATGGCCCTCTGCGTTGATCGCGCGCCAGGACCCGCCGAATAACAACGACGACAAGGACGATGACGGGGACAAGGGTCCAGACTGGCGCGTCTTCACCGTCGTAAGTCTCCCTTGCAGCTCCGCACGCGCGCATTCTGACCCCAACGCTAGGTCGCAATCATGGTAGTACTTTTCGTCATTATCATCGTCGGAATTTACGCAAAACTTCGCAAACTGCGCACAAAGTCGCCCCGTCCGCCGAAGCTCCTGCCCGGCAACTTCCTCAAGCGCAAATGGCAGCAATGGAACCCTCGCACCAAGGGCAAATACTCCGCCCAGCTTCAGGAGAACGACGGCCCCACACGCCGCCACCGCGCAAACTCATCCATCGCTCGTGAGATGGAAGGAATAGACTCATCGACCACGCCTGCGAATGACACCGCCGCAAATGCCGCCGTCAACAGGAATACTTCGGTCAGAAGCGTAATGACCCTGCCTGCTTACTCGCCTGCTGCGCGAGAAAATGAGAGGATTCTGGGCCGAGAGGGAGAACGCGCCGGAATCGACGTCGTTATCGAGTTCCCCGAGACTATGGAGGAAGAGGAGGAGGAAAGGGACCGCGAGATGGAATCGCTCTACCAGATCCGTGTTGCGAGACGGCAGGAGCAAGCGGAGCGGGAGGACCGGAGACGCCGCCGGAGAGAAGCTCGGCAAAGAGGTGATCTGGAGACCCTGGCACAACTGCGTAGAGAAAGTCGTCAGCGCCAAGAGATGGGAGGGGGCCTGTCCGCAGCACTCATTGCGGAGCACCAGTATGCACAGGCAAATCGCAACCAGCGCGTATCCTCCGTTCAGTATGCCGAACTGGGCGTTGCCCGCCATGACGGCACCCGTGTCAGAGCAAACTCGGCTGAGTCAGATCACCGCCCTTTGCTGGACTCCGCAGCATCGATTGGCGCCAGCCAGATCAGTGGCGCCGCCGAGAACCGCGTGATGCATCACCGCGACTACTCGGCCACCTCGGTTTTGTCAGGTGCTTCTGACGACTTTGGCAACGCAGCGAGGAATGCTAGCACCGTTAGCTTCGAGACGGTCCCGCTTGGACACGATCGTTCCGCTTCCGGCTCGAGGTTGACCCTGGCTACTACCAACGGAAGCGACCTTGGAGAAGCAAGAATACCGCCGCCAGAGCCCCCGAATTATGAAGAACTGGGATGGGAAGATGCTCCGCCGTACAGCAGCCCTGTAGACCCTCGAACCACTCCACAACTCCCCAACATACAAAGACTCCCGAGCATCCACATCACACAAAGCGTCACGCCGGTCGAGGAGCACCCGCCTCAGAGGGTAGGGGAGGAGCACCCGCCCCAGAAGGTGGGTGAGAATGATAATGATAATCATCAGAGCGAAGTCAGGGGGTCCACATAGGCACAAGACGTGGGAGACATTCTCGGCTACTAATTGGCGCAAAATTCGGCATACAACGGGCTACGGTTATGAGTTCTACGATCCTCGTTTGGGAGCGATTCTAGCGTTGTAAGATGATACCAGGTTGGGAACATTCCCTTTTGTTGACTTTTGAATACTACATAGCGTCATCGATGGATTGGATGGTTGTACAGGGCAAGGAAATAACAATATCAGACATAAGAAGGTGGCAAAACGTCCATCTGGAATATCAACCTTACTTTCAAGCTGTTCCCATGCAAAAGTGATGACCTGGCATAATCTCTACACGACGCTACGTGTTCCCAATTGCTTCTGCCTGATCAAGGTTGCGCGGGGCACGTCGTCTTCCGGCTGAGCTCCAGGCGACGTGCCAAGAAATCACACCCGTCTTCAAGCTCTCGCGGAAGCTCGCGCCCCACCACCCCGCGTTCGAAACGCGACTCAGCCTCCAACCACGCAAACCCCCTCCCCTTCGCGCGCGCGAAAATGTCCTCCACCGAATCAAAGCCCACAGATCCCGAGGCCACCGCCGAGGCCACGAGTGAAGCCGTCGAGGAGACCTCGAAGCCCCAAGCTGCGGAGGAGCACGACGAATCCTCCGGCGACGAGGAAACCCCTGCTGCCGCCGAAGGCGCTGGCCCCGCGGCGGCTAAGAAAAAGAAGAAGAAGAGCAAGAAGAAGAAGATCAAGGATGCTCTGGTCGGCACAAGCAATGCTGAGGCAAGCTCCAGCTCGGCGCCGCCGAAGCAGCAGCTGAGCAGGGAGCAGCTCGATGCGCTCATGGCCGCGAATCCTGCCCTCAAGTCTGAGTTCGACAAGATGAGCGAGCAGCAGGTGCAGGAGCTACTCAAGAACCTGAGCGTCTCGGATCTGTTGACTGGCCTCACCATCGGCAGCAAGAATGCGAAGGACATGGCCAGCTATAAGTTTTGGCAGACGCAGCCCGTTCCTTCCTTTGACGACCCCAAGCTCAAGGTCGAGGATGGCCCGATCAAGGTAATCGACAAGGAGAGGGTCCCCAAGGAGCCGTCGCCGTTGGTTGAGGGGTTCGAGTGGGTCACAATGAACTTGGAGGACGAGAAGGAGTTGGAGGAGGTCTACGATTTGCTCACCCACCACTACGTCGAGGATGACGAGGCCATGTTCCGATTCAACTACTCGGCTTCGTTCCTGAACTGGGCACTCAAGGCTCCCGGTTGGCGCGACATCTGGCACGTCGGTGTCCGCGCGACGCAGTCCCGCAAGCTGGTCGCCTTCATCTCCGGTATTCCGGTTAAGCTTCGCGTGCGTCAGAACCTTATCAACTCTGTGGAGATCAACTTCCTCTGCGTCCACAAGAAACTCCGCTCCAAGCGTCTTGCCCCGACCCTCATCAAGGAAATCACTCGCCGCTGCTACCTGAACGACATCTTCCAGGCCATTTACACGGCCGGTGTTATCCTTCCTACTCCGGTTGCCACCTGCCGCTACTTCCACCGCAGCATTGACTGGGAGAAGCTGTACGATGTCGGTTTCTCGCCGCTGCCGCACGGCTCGACTAGGCAGAGACAGGTTCTGAAGTACAAGCTCCCTGAAAGGACGTCCACCAACGGTCTTAGACCCATGGAGGCAAAGGATGCGGATCAAGTCAAGGATCTCTTGACGAGGTACCTTGCGCGCACGCACCTGGCCCAAGAGTTCTCGAAAGAAGAAGTGGAGCACTGGTTCATCAACAAGGAAAAGGACGCAGATAAGCAGGTTGTCTGGGCTTATGTGGTCGAAGACGCTTCGAGCGGCAAGATCACTGACTTCTTTTCGTTCTACTGTCTCGAGTCTACCGTCATCAGGGACCAGGGTAAGGGCAACCGTGTCGTCAGAGCTGCGTACCTGTACTACTATGCTACCGAGGTGGCCTTTACTGGAGACCAGAAGGAGCTGAAGGTCAGATTGAACGCACTGATGAAGGATGCCTTGACCCTTGCGAAGAAGGTAAGCTTTGTATTTTCCCCTGTTATGAAAACTACCTCGCTAACAAATATCGCAGGCCAAATTCGATGTCCTGAATGCTCTTACCCTTCTCGACAACCCTCTGTTCCTCGAGGAGCAGAAGTTTGGTGCAGGAGACGGTCAGCTGCACTACTACCTTTACAACTACCGCACGGCACTTATCCCTGGTGGAGTCAACGACAAGAACCTGCCTTCGGATAAGCACATGGGCGGTGTCGGTGTTGTCATGCTCTAAGCTTCTTTCAAAGAGCAGTGTAACAATTTTGAGGCCAACGAGAGAATCATGCATTGTCTGGGCGGCATAGCTTTGGAAATATGAGCAACAAAATGTAGTCATATATCAGCCAATGACAGCTACTGAAATGCGCATGACACGTGATGACCTCGGATGCGTTCCTTTTCTGGTAAAGTCTTGGCGGGCTTAGGGCAAAAAAAGTTCCCCGGGCTGTGGTCTGAGCTTGCGCGCTCTCGGTGGTTTGGCCGCATCTCCGCAGGCAAGACAATCTACCACCGCGTCCTTTCGTTTCCTTGTGCAGTTTTCGTTTCTCCATCATCGGAAAAGATGAGGGCAACGGGGCTGATCAGAGCGCAAGCCGCAGCGCTACGCTCCGTGACCAATGGTGCCAGATTGAGCTGCCGCCAATCGTCGCTGCTCCAGGCCAGATGCGCGTCCACCGCCGTGCTGCGCCCGGCTTCCGCAGCCATTGTTCAGACTCCCGGTGCGAGGCTCTGGTCTGCGAGAAGATGGCAGTCCGGTACCGCTGCTGCAGTGTCAGTACCACCCAATCAAGCATTGGACAATGGCGCGTCCTCCATAGACTAACGCGACTCTCAGGCTTGACGCCGCTCAGCAAGACCCGTCCCAGCTCTCCCAAGAGACGATCGTCGAGAACCTCGATCCCGCGGAGTGGAACCGTCTGCAGAAAGTTCGGAACATTGGTATCGCTGTACGACACCCTGACGGCTGCGGATAATTGGAGCATGGACGCGTGGATGGCGAATTGATGGCTGACGGCACCAGGCCCACATTGACAGCGGCAAGACCACGGCGACCGAGCGCGTTCTGTTTTACACCGGCCGTATCAAGGAGATCCACGAGGTGCGCGGCAAGGATGCCGTCGGTGCGAAGATGGACTCCATGGATCTCGAGCGTGAAAAGGGTATCACCATCCAGTCCGCTGCCACCTTCTGCGACTGGGTGAAGAAGAACGACAAGGGCGAGGAGGAGAAGTACCACCTCAACCTGATTGACACGCCTGGCCACATTGACTTCACCATTGAGGTCGAGCGTGCGCTGAGAGTGCTGGACGGAGCCGTCATGATCCTGTGCGCCGTCTCCGGCGTGCAGTCGCAGACGATGACGGTCGACAGGCAGATGAAGCGCTACAACGTTCCTCGCATTTCCTTCATCAACAAGATGGATCGCATGGGTGCCAATCCGTTCAAGGCTGTCGACCAGATCAACCAGAAGCTGAAGATTCCTGCCGCCGCTATCCAGGTCCCCATTGGTTCCGAGGACAACTTCCAGGGCGTCATCGACTTGATTCGCATGAAGGCCATCTACAACGACGGACCTAGGGGTGAAATCATCAGGGAGACGGACGAGATTCCTGCGAACCTGGTGGAGGTGTGCAAGGAGCGCCGCGGCATGCTCATCGAGACTCTTGCGGACGTCGATGAGGAGATTGCAGACCTCTTCCTCGAGGGCCAGGAGCCTACACAGGACCAGATGAAGGCTGCCATCCGCCGCGCTACTATCGGCCTCAAGTTCACTCCGGTTCTTATGGGTTCTGCTCTGGCGGACAAGTCTGTTCAACCCATGCTGGATGCCGTCATCGACTACCTGCCTAACCCCGCCGAGGTCGAGAACATGGCTCTGGACAAGAAGCGCAACGAGGCTCCCGTCAAGCTCGTGTCGTACAACTCTCTGCCGTTCACTGGTCTTGCCTTCAAGCTCGAGGAGAGCAACTTTGGTCAGCTGACTTATATCCGTGTGTACCAAGGTACTCTTAAGAAGGGTATGACTGTCTACAACGCCAGGACGGACAAGAAGATCAAGATCCCTAGGATCGTACGCATGCACTCGAACGAGATGGAGGAAGTTCCGGAAATCGGTGCCGGTGAAATCTGTGCAGTGTTCGGTGTGGATTGCGCTTCCGGTGATACCTTCACGGATGGAAAGCTTGAGTACACCATGGTAAGTGTCATCGTCAGTTCCGAGTGACATCCGACTAATTGTTCCAGTCTTCCATGTTCGTTCCCGAAGCCGTCATCTCCTTGTCGATTCAACCCAAGCACTCCAAGGACGGTAACAACTTCTCCAAGGCCATGAACCGCTTTCAGCGTGAGGATCCGACTTTCCGTGTCCACGTCGACCCGGAATCGCAGCAGACCATCATCTCCGGCATGGGTGAGCTGCATCTGGACATCTACGTCGAGCGGATGCGCCGTGAATACAAGGTCGAAGTCATCACTGGTCAGCCTCAGGTCGCGTACAGAGAAACCATGACCCAGAAGGTCAAGTTCGACCACACTCTCAAGAAGCAGACGGGTGGTGCGGGAGACTACGCCCGCGTCATCGGTTTCATGGAGCCCACTGGCTCCTTCGGCGACAACAACTTCGAGCAGCACGTCGTGGGTGGCAACATCTCGGAAAAGTACCTGTTCGCCTGCGAGAAGGGATTCATGGACTCGTGCGCCAAGGGCCCGCTCCTCGGCCACAAGATCCTCGGCACGAGCATGCAGCTGCTGGACGGCGCGACGCACATGACGGATTCGTCCGAACACGCGTTCCGCATGGCGACGCAGCAGGCGTTCCGCAAGACGTTCATCCAGGGCGCGCCGCAGGTGCTGGAGCCCGTCATGAAGACGACCATTACGGCGCCCAACGAGTTCCAGGGCAACATCGTCGGTCTCCTCAACAAGCGCAACAGCACCATCAACGACACGGAGATCGGCCCGGACGACTTCACCATCTACGCCGACTGCTCGCTGCAGAGCATGTTCGGCTTCTCGACGCAGCTCCGTGCGGCGACGCAGGGTAAGGGCGAATTTAGCATGGAGTTTAGCCACTACGCTGCTGCGCCGCCGCAGCTGCAGAGGGAGTTGATTGCCAAGTATGAGAAGCTGCAGGCGGAGAAGCAGAAGAAATAGATGGGATGAGGAGGGAGTGTTTTTGGAGGAAGTGTAGAGGAGAGGAAGGTGTGAAGAAAACTTCTGCTGTTTGATGTATGATACGAATGGCGGGAGGATGGGATATGGATGGATTAAAAAAAGTGATGGGATGGAATAGGGTGATTTGTGAGTGATCTCGCATTTAGATAGGAGCAGGTTGGGCCTTTTTCTTTTTTAACTCTTCACGATTCTATTCTTGTATTCTACATGATCTGCGTGTCTAGGGATTGTTGCTTTCTAGAACAAAGTGGGATTCCAGGCATGCATGGCGTACAGAAATAGAGATACCAAACTCCACTCAAGAAAGAAAAACAGCTTTCTACTACCTCCTCTTTGTCCCCGTCTCTCCTGTCTTAACACCTGCAGCCTTTGCACTAATATACAGCTTCCTTCCTTTTCAGAACTCAGGGGGTGAAAACCACCATACACGCGCAAGGTCTTTCACTCCTCCATCCTCTTCCCCCCTTCTCCCATTCAAGCTTTACGAGCCGCAGCAGCGTCAAACGCCCTCCTCACAGCCAACGTCACGGGAGCGAAGGTGACGACGCGGTTGTGCCCGCCAAACGGCAGCAGATCCATGCGCACCTCGACGCCGCCATCGCCCGTCGCCGTGCGCCGCACGCGGCCGGTCAACTTGTTGTTCTTGCCGTCCGCCTGCACCGCTACATCTTCGACCTTCACGTCGCCACCATCGCCGACCCGCTCGACGACGGCCGCGCTCGCGCCGTCGTACAGGCTCTGGCCGTGCGCCCACGGGATGTCGAAGTCGTCCTTGGCGTGGATGACGTGGAGGCGGAGGTACCTCTTGGCTGCTGTGGTAGCGTCGACAAGTGCGTTGATGCGCGTCGCCGTCGGCCACGTGTCGACGATGCGGCTGCGCAGGTAGTTGACGAAGCGCGGGTAGCCGCGGATGGGGGAGAGGACGGGGATCAGGCCGAAGATGCGGTAGGTTTCGAGGAGGGTGGGGAGCGAGGTGAAGGGGGCGACGAGGACGATGGCGGCGAAGTCGATGGGGGTGTTTTTGTCCTTGTGCTGGGCGAGGGCTGCGTGTGGAGGACTACTGGTGCTGCTGTTCGGGAGGAGAGAGAGGGAAGTCGATGGGTCCGCGAAGTGCAGGCCCACGGCGCTCGCGACGGCCGTGCCGAGCGACTGCCCGACGATGACGATGCGTGAGGAGGGGATGCGGAGGGTTTCGAGGGCGTAGGTCGCCAGAGCGACGCCGTCGGCGATCAGGCCGGCTTCGGTGGGCGCGCCGGTGGAGCGCCCGAAGCCGCGGTAGTCGATGGTGAGGAGGTGCGTGTTGGGTTGGGAGGTGAGGGCGCGGTAGGTGTCGGTGCGCCAGCCTTGGGCGACGTGGCCGGCGTTGCCGTGGACTGAGGGTTGGTGTTAGTTCTGGATGAGGTCTGGTGGTGGTTGGGAAATGGGAGAATGAGGAAGGGCTGGAGATTTGTGGCACGCACAGTTGAGGATGAGACGGGCATCGGGATCGTTGGCTAGCAGCTCAAAAGCCTTGGTCTTGGTGAAGTCGCCATCGGGAGAGCCAGAGGGCTCCTGTGAGAGCTCGGATTCGTGCTCCTCATACACGTTGAGAGGGAGAACGTGCCAGGCGTAGAGAACCTCATTGTCTTGAGTGCTGACGTTGAAGGCGGTCACTTGGTTCTCTAGGGCGGTGTCAGCGAGCGAACAGACTAAAGGATGGTACGTCTGGTGATACTAACTTGCAAAACCGTATGCTTGCGGCTTGTCCAGGTCAGCCCACCAGGCGCCGACTATCTTGTTCGCATAGAGTGCGCTAGTGCAGACGGAGAATAAATCAGTACATGCCGCACATCTATGCGTAGGGGGAATTGACTTACTGGCGCTGAACGGTGACATTGGTCAAGCAGAGCATCAAGGCGGCGTACAGCGCCCCGGCCCCTGCTAGGCCAAAGTAGGCCTTCCTTAGGATGGGATTGAATGGCGGCATCTTCTCAGTCTTTATCACACGTCAGAACAGGGGCACAAATTAAGATAAACAGACAGACTGAAAGTTGAGATGATGAGATGAAAACAAAGTGGATGCCTAGATTAGACAAGATAGGGTGAGGACCATGAATGAAATGCGTGAAAGGCGAAGTCAAACTGAGTGTAGAACTGTAAATATGAACTTGGCTGATGCCTGCACTTACCTACCTGGCTTCTACCAACCCTTGTAGATGAAGCGGACAGGTGGTCGGCGATGGCCGGACATCGTTGGTTGTTCGGCCGTGGCGGCCTCGTTTAGTCATGGCCGGCATGTGATAAGAACGCCACGGCTCAACAGACGGTGAAAAAAACATGGCCTAGATCATAAAAGTCCTCGGCAGTAAACGAGTTTCAAGGAGTTACACTGTCTATTTCGTGATTCTTCAAGCACGCTGTGAAAGGTTTATGTGTGGCGGAATGGACATGGTCTTGGCAGCAATCTAGCGGCGCGTCACCCTGTCAAAGCTCGCGTGAGGCCGTCGCGACTTTCTTCCATCATGACGCGTGCCTCCCCACAATCTTACGCTGCCGACCTCTGCGCATCCTGCGCCAACGGGCCTTGAGACACCGAGGTCTCATCATCAATCCCCGCCGGACCCCTCGCTCATCCCGTCTATCTCCGGAATCTCGTCGCAACGATGCAGCGGCGCAAATCCGCGCGAAACCAGAAGCCCGAGCCGACACCTGGGCAAGAATCCCCCGCGCCAGTCAAGGAAGCTGTCAAGGGCAGGAGAAAGGACACACCCGTCAAGGAGAAACAAGCAGAGTCTTCACCTGCGCCCGCACCACCTCCGCCGCTGCCCACCAAACTTACGGCCGGCCAACCAATTCCCACCGTCAAAGAACCACAGCCCGCGGACCTGCCAGAGTCGGATTGGCAATCGGTAGTAGAAAGGTATGGCACTGGAAGCTGCTCCATGTGTAGGGCTGGGCTGACATATGATTTGTAGTGGCGTCTTAAAAGCAGCACTCGAGAGATCGCGACAAAAATGGATGACCCCCGGCATCTTCGAGCTCTACTACAGCAAGGCGGGGAAAAAGAAGCTACCGAATAAGGGCAAGAATAAAGAGGAAGATAAGGACAAGGCAAAAGACAAGGACGGCAAGGACAAGCCGAAGGACGGCGGCGCAGATGCTGCTAAGGAAAAGGAACCGTCCGAGACTCTGAAGGCGAAGCAGATGAAGCGCGAGGGCAATTGCAAGCTCTACATCGATCCACACCAATGGGACATCACGATATGGACCATGAGGGAACATACTGCTCCACCTCCGCCAAAGCCGAAGCCTGCTCCACCTCCGCCATCGTACAACCACCAACAAGGCTACTACTACGGCGGCGGGTACGGCGCTACACACCCATACCAACATTACCACCCATATCCTCCACAGCACCCGCCGCATCCTCCGCCAGTTCGCAAGCCGCCTCCGCCTGCAGCACCGAATCCACCTCCGCCGAGTCGACCTTCCCAGACACCCGAGTCAAGCGCTGCGGCATCTAAGCCAGCACCCGATCCAGTCATCCACATGCTCGCTGAGCGTGCAAATACAAATTTCAAGCTGAGGGATATCATGAAGATTGTAGCAAGAGGAGACGCTACAAAGGAACAGCTGGAATATTTCCAGTCGCACATCAACGAGCTCACCGAGAGGCTCGAGGCGCAGAAGAAGGCACAACAAGCGCAAAAACCACCGGCACCACGGCCCGCCCCTCCCTCAGCCCATGCTGGCCCGGCCCCGGCCCCTTCGCCCGCTCAAGCCAGTCCCAGCCCTGCACCGGCTCATGGCAGTCAAGCTTCTCCAACCGCCCAGGCCACCCCAGCTCCACAGCCCGTGCAGCCCACTCCGGCGCAGCAACAACAACCAGCAGCCTCTTCCCCGCAGGCAACGTCGTCACGGCCTCCTTCTTCTCATTCTCATCCAGCACCACCACCAGCATCCGCACCAGCCACCGTCGGTGCCAACCTACCACCTCCCAGCCCCGCAACGCCGACACCAGCAAAGATGCCCCAACAACCGCCGATGACATACTACACACCACCGCCCCAACCCGGACCGTACGGCCACTTTCCGCCTCCCCCACCACCACCACATCATCCCCCGCATCAGGCTCATCCTGCTCCTCCTCCCCACCACCAACCCGTCCAACCCGCCGCCGCCCATCACAACCACCCACCACCACCTCCCACGCCCCACCAACAACCACCGCATCATCAACCACCGCCACAACCCACCTACCGCGCCCTCTGCATCGACTTCAACACCAACGGCGACCGCCTCCTCTTCCCGCGCGAAACCATCCTCGAGGCGCTGCCGGGCAACCAGGTGCTAGCCTCGTTCCTGAAGGTCGTCAAGGTTGGCGACGATGCTGCCTCGGCGGCCAACAACAAGACGCAGACGACGACGACGCAGAGTCCGTCGCCGTACTACAAGCCCGGCAAGGAATACTATCAACCTATTACTGTGCGGTTTCGTGCGTCGGGGTCGGGGTCGACGGGGGCGGCGGGGGGAGGAGTGGGAGGAGCAGCAGCAGGGGTTGGGGATGGTCACAGCGTCCTGCAGTGCCTTTTTCGTTGGGTCAAGCCGCAGGAGGAGGTGAGGAAGTACATGGAAGAAATCATGGATCGCGCGGAGCCGGCGGAGGAGGTGGAGTTGGCGGCGCGGTTGCCGAGGGAGGGGGTGGTTGTGCAGGTGCAGGGGCAGGAGGGGACGGTGGCTGGGGCTGAGGGGGGAGGTGGGAAGGCAGCGGCGGCGGCGGTGGGGGCAGTGAAGGAGAGCGTGGAGAGGGTGGGGACGCCGGTGGGGGAGAGGGATAGGAAGAGGAAGAGAGTGCGTTGAGTGGTTGGTTGGTTTTTTGATATGATACCCTGTGAGTAGACAGACTGGAATGGACTGATTGTAGGTTGGTTGCTCGTGGCTGATTGTTCGGTGGCTTTGTTTCGATTCGTTCACAAAAGAACTCACATATATGCACGACGTAACTGATGTAACTTTTAGAAGTAAGAAAAAGAAATGTTAATGACTAGTCTAGAGTCGTTTGTCCATGGAACGAGTTAAGACAGACAGAAGAAGGCTATGTTTGAAAAAAAAAAAAGTACGTGGAACCGATACTTATCGTTTCCGTGTTGATACGACAGAGGAGGTAGAACAGGAGAAAAAAAAAAAAGTGAAGTGAGTGTTCACGAATAGGTCTTTCCCCTCCGGCTCATGCTCCCCATTACCCCTTTTCACCCTGGTAATATTACAAGATTCTACCCAAACCCTAACTTTTATTCATATCCCGATTCATATATCCCATTACCAGCGTCACGTAAATACCCCGAATACCCGAAGAAAAAATTACTCAAAGAGTGCGTGTGCGTGTGCGTGCAAAATAGAGAAAAGAGAGAGTGCGAGATGGTACATAGTACCCACGACCTATGATATAGCCGGTCACGCAAGGCTTAAAAAAAAACGTCAAGAATCAGATGCAGGAAAAAGAACGGAGCGCGCCATCATCATCATCGTCGTCATCGTCATCTCCTCAGCCCCCGAAAAGAGGGCCCAAGTTCAAGCCCAGCAAGCCGTTATTTGCAGGCGCTCTCGCCGACGACGTCGTTGGTAATGGCGACGCAGAACTCGCCGTAGGCGGCCGCGTCTGCGTTAGCAGCGTCGTTGGTTGTTGTTGTTGCGGCTGCCCTCCTAAGCTCAGACCGACCGCTCCTGACGCCGAAACGGACACAGCAGGAGAAGCAGCAGCGGCGGTAGATGAAGTAGGAGAAGAGACGGTGGCTCTGGACGATACCGGCGAGGCGGATGACTGGCTTGCTGCGGGAGATGCTTGAGATGATACTGGCGAGGAGGCGGATGCCTGGCTACCTGCAGGGGATTGAGATGACGGTGGAGATGCGGCTGGAGGAGAGGCTGCTGACTGGGACGCAGATGGTCGCGAAGCAGATGGTGGCAATGCGGACGGTGGTGAGGCCGCTGGCTGCGAAGCAGATGGCGCGGAGGCCGCTGGCGCAGAGCCTGCTGGCACAGAGCCTGCTGGCGGGGAAGCTCCTGCCGGCGGTGCTCCAATATTTAGTGCGCCGGACGCGGATGCCGATAGAGCGATGGCCGGGGGTGGAGGTTGAGCTGGAGCGCCGGCGGCGGGCGAAGAGACTGAGGCAGCAGGCGAGCTCACGGCAGAGGCTGGCGGGCTCGCAGCGGAGGCGGGGGCAGAGGGAGCAGCAGCGGATGAGGGCAGCGGTGATGATGCTGGCGGCTGTGATGCTGGCGGCGGCTGTGGGGCTGCCAGTGATTGCTGCGATGATCCCTGTGAGGGCTGCGACTGTGCCGACGGGCTGTTCGGTGGCGCTGATGCCGCTGGTGCGCTCGCGCTGGGTGCGGCAGGGCTCGATGGTCCTGGCCCCGCTGCGCTGGGTGCTGGTGATGATGATGCTGCAGAGGGAGCGCTGGCGGATGCTCCGGTAGTAGAGTGAGGTGATTGCGAGGCGGATGGTGGCGATGCTGCTCCTGATGACGGCGGCGCCGATGCTCCTCCTGATGATGGTGGCGATGCTGCTCCCGATGACGGCGGTGCTGATGCCGCTGCAGGCGGTACGCTCGGCGGCACCGCAGCAGCAGTAGCAGGCGATGGCAGTGACGCTCCTCCTCCTGGTCCCGTCGAGACCGGCGCAGATGAAGCGACTGCAGGCGGCGTGGGAGGAACGGGACCAGAGGCACCAGAAGCGCCGGATGGCAGTGGTGACGGTCCTCCTGGTGCCAGCGGTGCGCTCACCGTGTTGGCGGTGGCAGCGGGGTTAGATGCTGCAACTGGGGGAAGGCCGGCAGGAGGGGCGGATGGTGGGCTTGCCGCGGCAGAAGGTGCGGCAGCACTCGGCGCGCTCTGCTGAACTGCTGATGATGCCACAGCGGACGACGGGTTTCCAGCGCTAGAGGGTGATAGTGGTGCGACTGGCGCTGTGTTCGCGCTCGGCACGGGGTTGTTGGCGGCGGCGGCGGATGGTTGTACTGCCGCTGCTGTTGGTGCTCCGCCGGCAGATACTTGGAGTTGGCCGGACACGTTGATGCTGTTTACCTGCGCCTGATTGACGGGAGCAGCAGGGGGAGCAGCGGGTGCAGCAGGCGCAGGGTTGCCGAAGAGACCACCGAGCAGATTGTTTACGGGGTTGTTGTTGTTGGCAGGGCTGCTCGGAGCAACGGCGGCTGGTGCAGTGCTCGAACGTATGGCGGTGGTTGAAGCGCCGTTGCTACTGGCAGGCGTGGCGACAGGTGAGCTGCTGGGAGGAACGGCAGAAGCAGCTGGAGCACTGCTGGGTGGTGGAGCCGCCGGGTTTGGCTGGGCAACGTTATTGGGGTTGCCGAAGAGACCGCCGAGCAGATTGTTCACAGGGTTGTTGTTGGCAGGGCTGCTCGAAGCAACGGCGGCTGGAGTAGGGCTAGAAGGTATGGCAGAGGAGATGGCTGGAGCGCTACTTGCGGGAACAGCAGCAACAGGGTTTGATGAGGGGGCATTGAGACTCCCTAGGGGGCTGTTATTGCTGACCGCTGAAGCAGGGTTGCTTGCCAGAGCAGCGGGCGGCGCTGGAACGATCGAGGACGGAACAGCAGCCGGAGACGCGTTGCTACTTGGAAGGCTCGCTGAGGAGGTATGGATGATGCTGCTTGGAGAGGCTGCCGTAACCGGAGGATTGCTCGAGGGTTGTGGCGGGACTGACGAGCCGCCTGGGGCTACACTGGGAGAACCACTGGGCTGAACGGCGGGAGAATTGCTACCAGGCTGCCCCGGGGCACTTGACTGAGCGGCTTGCGGGTTACTGCTGGGCTGAACGGCGGCGGTTGGGCTGTTGGTGCTTGGGAGAGCAGCGGGAGCGTTACTGCTTTGGACCGGGGCACTGCTGCTAGGTCGAACGGCCGCGACGTTGCTGCTCGGCTGTACAGCAGGTGCAGGTGCAGGAGCGGGACCAAACAGGCCGCCCAGGAGATTATTAACAGGATTACTGTTAACTGGAGCTGCGTTTTGAGCTGCCGGCGCAGAGGTCTGAGCTACTGGTGCAGAGGTTTGAGCTACTGGTGCAGATGTCTGAGCTACTGGCGCAGAGGACGGAGCCGCTACGACATTGCTGCTCGGCTGTACAGCAGGTGCGGGAGCAGGAGCGGGATTAAGCAGCGGGTTCAGGAGACCACCGAGAGGATTGTTGTTAACTGGGGCTGCGTTTTGGGCTACGGGCGCAGAGCTCTGAGCTACTGGGGAAGAGGCCGGGGCCGCTACGACATTGCTGCTCGGCTGCACAGGAGCTGCAGGAGCAGCAGGAGCGGGACCAAGTAGACCGCCCAGGAGCCCACCAACAGGATTACTGCTAACTGGGGCCTGAGGTGCCAGAGCACTCGGCAACAAGCCTCCAATACCGAGAGACACGCCCAAGCCAGGCACAGAGACCTGGGCTAGACCAGGCGCAAGTGAGATACCCAGGCCGGGTGTACCTGTCGTGACGGGGCCACCAACGATATCCAGTCCGATGCTGAGAGCGTTCGCCGCAGCACTCGGGAGAGCCGCCGCAGGTTGGCTGATACCCAAGAGACTTCCCGGCCCTTGGCCGAGCAGTGACGAGATGCCACCAGCACTGGGGGAGGCTGCTCCAAGCAGGTTGCTGACGACGGGTTGGACAGCGCTGGGTGCCTGAGGAACAAGGTTCGAGACTGGCAGAGGAGGCAGAATCGAAGCGGCTGGGAGTGAAGCACCAGGCAGGAGGGATGACAACGCCGCGCTCGGCGCCAGATTCGATACTGGGAGAGGTAGCTCTGGAAGTGGAGCACTCGGACCGAGGGATGGCAACAGTGCACTTGGGGCCAGGTTTGACACTGGCAGAGGCAAGCCCGAAAGTGCCGGGAGCGAAGGGCCGAGGGACGGAACGACGGCACTCGGTGCTTGAGGAAGGAGGTTCGAGACTGGAAGTGGCAAGACTCCGCTCGGGCCGAGGAGACCACCAAGTGGGCCGCCTGTCAGGATTTCGCCAAGGTCGGATTGCAAGTCATCGATGGCTGAGGGGAGAGCAGCGGCTGGTTCCGTAAGGAGATCTCCTAGTTCTGAAATGATTGGATTGAGGAGGCTCGGCGGGATCAGGTTAGATGGAAGTGCAGCGAGATGGGACTCAAGTGCAGCAACGGCAGAAGTTAGTGCGGCTGGTTGCGTGAGCACATCATCCAGGTCATCCAGTTCGTCAACGAGCGAGTTAATCGCGTTGACCTGAGATGGGAGAGCGGCTGAAGGAAGGCCTGCCGTTGGAAGTATTGCTGAAGGAAGAGCAGCAGATGGAAGGCCTGCCGTTGGAAGGCCTACAGATGGGAGTGCTCGTGTAGGCAATTCGATCGATGGAAGACCAGTCGACGGCAGACCTACAGAAGGCAGAACCTCGGATGGCAGTACTCTGGAAGGAATAGGAGCCGAGGGGAGGCCTACGGACGGAACACCAAGAGATGGCACGCCTACCGAAGGCAGACCCGCAGACGGCAGAACACCCGACGGCACCACGCCCGAAGGCAAACCCGGCGAAGGCAAGCCACCAGGCAACCCCGGCAGACCGCCAGCCGTAATCGGCCTTAACAAACCATCCAACTCCGACCCAACATTAACCCCCAACGCCGACGGCAGCGCAGCCGGGTTCGACAGCACCTGGCCAACCTCTGAGAGCAGCGGCGTCACCACATTCGACGGCAGGCCGGCGAGGTTGGACGCTAGGTTGGACAGAAGGGATGGCACCGCGCTCGGGCCGTGCGTCAGCACTTCGCCGACGTCAGAGCCGATGTGCGAGAGCAGCGAGGGTACGGCGTTGGCGCTGGTGAGCAGTTCGCCGACTTGCGAGACGATGGTGGCGAGGGGGTGGATGGCGGAGGCGAGGTTGGTCGGGACGGCGGAGGCGATGTTGCTTGGGAGGGCGGAGGCGATGTTGCTGACTGGGAGGGTGGAAGCGAGGTTGCTGATTGGTGGGAGAGCGGAGGCAATGTTGCTCGGCAGGGCAGAGGCAATATTGCTCGGTAGCGCAGAGGCTACATTACTAACTGGAAGAGCGGAAGCAATGTTGCTAACTGGAAGAGCGGAAGCAACGTTGCTGATCGGCGGCAGGGCAGAGGCGAGGTTGCTCACTGGAAGAGCGGAGGCGAGGTTGCTAACTGGCAGGGCGGAAGCAACGTTGCTTGGGAGAACGGAGGCAATGTTGCTCGGCAGGGCAGAGGCAATGTTACTCGGTAGGGCGGAGGCGACATTGCTGACCGGGAGCGCAGAGGCAAGGTTGCTTGGTAGAGCGGAGGCGACATTGCTAACTGGAAGAGCGGAAGCAACGTTGCTAACCGGAAGAGCAGAGGCGAGATTGCTAACTGGAAGGGCAGAGGCAACGTTGCTTACTGGAAGAGCAGAAGCGAGGTTGCTGATCGGGAGAGCAGAGCCGACGTTGCTCGGGAGCGCTGAAGCAAGATTGCTAACTGGGAGCGCTGAGGCAAGGTTGCTGACCGGAAGGACAGAGGCAATGTTACTCGGTAGGGCGGAGGCAACGTTACTTGGGAGAGCGGAGGCGAGGTTGCTAACCGGGAGGGCAGACGCAATATTACTCGGCAGGGCAGAAGCAACGTTGCTTGGGAGGGCGGAACGAATGTTGCTAACTGGAAGAGCAGAAGCGACGTTGCTTGGGAGAGCAGAGGCGAGATTGCTGACCGGGAGAGCGGAGGCAACATTGCTTGGCAGGGCGTTGCTCAGGGCGGGGACAGCGCTGTTGAGGTTGGAGGCGGCGTTGGATAATGGAACTGGTGGTTGCAATGGTGCGAGTGCTGAGAGGACTGGGGGGACGAGACCGCCGAGTGAAGACGGGCCAAGGACTGGGTTGAGCAGGCTAGCAACTGGATTTAGAGCACTGAGGCCTTGAGAAGGTAAGCCCGCAGGGAGTGAGGGAACTGCTGAGGCGATGGATCCAAGAGGATTTGAAGGCAAGGCAGATCCAAGGCCCGGCACCACTGGATTGAGAGCAGAAGCAATGTTTGACGGCAGAGCTGCGCTTGGCGGGCTGACGATTGTCAGGAGGGTAGTCGGCAGGATGTTGGACGGTAGGATGTTTGATGCCAGATTCGAAACCGGGTTGGGTGGCAAAACACCAGAAGGTACTACACCTGAAGGCAAGACACCCGAAGGTACAATACCCGAAGGAACAACACCCGAAGGCACAATACCCGAAGGCAGCACATTCGACGGCAACGCAGAAAGAACATTCGACGGCAGCACACCCACAGACGAAGCAGCCAGCACACTCGGCAGAACCCTCGTAAGCGACGCCGGCAACCCCAGCGACGGCGCCGCCACATTCACCAGACTCGACAACGCCGACACCAACCTCGGCGGATCGCTCGCAAACGCGCTCACAATACTCGGCAGCGCCGAGCTCAGTATCGGCGGCGCAAACTCTGGCGGCAGCGCGCCGAAGAAGTCGGAGAGCGCCGACTGCAGCGGGATGGGCGCCGTGACGGTTGCATCGGGCGGGAAGACGGTCGGCAGCCCGAACGGGCTGTTGAAGAGCTGCGAGTAGAAGGCTTCCAGATCGGGTATCGACGTCATGATGGCTGTCGGCTCGTCTGGGAACTCGGTGGGCAGGAAGCCGATGCCTAGTGGCGCCGAGGCGGGGTTGGATGGCGCGGCGGAGGCTGGTGCCTGTGCTGATGTCGGGATGTTGAGGCTGGTCAGCCGGGTGGGGAGCGGGTAGAGGCTTTGGGAGCTGGGGGCGGTGGGGTTGTTGTTGTTGAGGAGGGATGATGCGGCTGGAGGGGCGCTGGGGGCGAGGGCGCTGAGGGGCGCTGGTGGGAGGACGCCTGGTAGGAGGCCTCCGAGACTTGGTGCTTGGATGCTGGGTACGGCGAGAGATGGGAGGCCGACGCTGGGCACGGAGATTCCTGGTAATGAGGCGGACAGCGCGGCGCTCAATGACAGACCGGCAGTGGGAATAGCGACACTTGGAACCGCAGCTGAGGGTATGCTGACGCGGAGGCTTGATGGCAGCGCAGCAAGGCTTGACAGTGCTGCCGACGGGAGACCTGAGCTCGGGATACCGAGACTTGGAGCAGCGATGCTAGGAAGGCCACCAGAAGGTAGACTTACCCCTGGCAAGCTCACTCCCGGAATACCTGTGCTTGGAAGAGCAATGCTTGGAAGCCCAGATGAAGGTAGGCCCAAGCTTGGTGCACTCGGCAAAGCAATGCTTGGGGCGCCGACGCTCGGGAGGCTGATTCCAGGCAGACTGGCACTAGGTAGAGCAGCACTCGGAATAATAGCGCTTGGGAGACCGGTACTCGGGAGACCAACGCTAGGGAGCCCGGAGCTGGGGAGTCCAACTGGAAGACTGACGCCGGGGAGGCTACTTGGAAGGCCACTTGGAAGACCGCTGGGAAGAACGCTTTGAAGACCAGCACTGGGAAGACCGACACTCGGCACAGCAGCGCTCGGAAGCACACCGCTGGGTAGACCTGCGCCTAGGGAACTAAGTCCAGGAAGACCAACCGAAGAAACAAGCGGAAGAGCAGCACTCAGGAGGCTACCACTCGGAAGGACACCACTTGGGATGACACCACTCGGAAGAACACCACCGCTGGAAAGACCCGGCAAACTGACTTGCGGCAGCGCACTGCTCACGATCCCGAGGTTCGAAACAACGGGTGCGATGAGACTTGAGCCGACGCTGGGTAGTACGGAAACGGGGAGCGAAGGGACGCTGGAACCGATGTTGGACAGCAGCGCAGAACTGGGCAGTAGACTGGCGACGCTCGGCGCAGATACACCAGGTATAGGGGCGACACTGGATAACCGGACGCTGGATACAAAAGTGCTGAGTTGTTGAGGGGCACTCGGCAGGGGCTGGCCGAGGCCGGGGAGGCCGAGGCCGGGTAGGCCTATGCTGGGGAGAGCGGCTGTGGGTAGGCCCAGTAGGCCGCCAGAGCTCGGTAGACTCAGACCAAGACTGAGAGGCAAGCTGGCGCTGAGGAGGCCGATGCTCGAGAGCGGCAGGCCTGCGCTTGGAAGAATGCTGGGTAGGCCGGCATTGGAAAGGATGCTGGGCAACACAGCACTGGGTGCAACATTGCTGGGCAGAGCGATGTTGGACAGCCCACTGGGCAGGGCAGCGCTTGGTAAGCCCAGACTTGGAATGGCAGCACTGGGTACGCCGATGCTCGGGCCAATGGGGTTGGACAGGTTAATGCTTGGAAGAGCTGCGCTTGGGAGGCCAGTGCTTGGGAGAACAACGCTTGGGAGAGCAGCACTTGGTACACCTAGAGACGGTACACCTACGGAAGGCAGACCGGTGGAAGGAAGGCCAACAGAAGGTACACCAGAAGGCAGGCCTGCCGAAGGAAGACCAATAGACGGTACTCCAACAGAAGGCACTCCAACAGAGGGCAGACCTGTACTTGGAAGTGCTACCGGTATACTCGGTGAACCCACGTTAGGTGACGACGGGCCGCCTGGTAAACCAATGCCGGGCAAACCGATACTCGGCAAAGCTCCAAGCGATAGAGCGATGCTCGAGGGCACACCGCTCGGAAGCTGAATGCCTGACAAACCAGGCAAGCTGACGCCAGGAAGTCCATTGCTCGGTAAAGAAAGGGCTGGAAGGCCGGAGCCAAGGCTGGGAAGGGCAAGCGATCCCACTGGCGGAACACCAAGGCTCGAAATACCACCAACACTTGGAAGAACTCCGCTCGCTAGAGGGACACCGATGCTCGATAGTGCACCCGTCGGCAGACCTCCGCTTGGCAGAGCATTCGGAAGTGAAACGCCCGGGACGTTTGGAAGAGAGACTCCTGGCACGCTTGGAAGAGAGACCCCTGGAACGCTTGGGACAGAGACTCCCGGAACGCTTGGGAGAGGAACACTCGGCAAGACAGCGCTCTGCGAGGGAAGACCAATGCTCGAAATGCCAATACTTGGCAGGGAAGCAGCACTGGGAAGAACTCCGCTAGGAAGGCCGGCGCTGAGGCTCCGCAACGCACCACTCGACAGACCGATATTCGACAACGCACTCGGGAGCGCAACGCTCGGTTGAGAAACACCCGGAACGCCGGGGAGAGCGACACTCGGCAGAACACCGCCTTGCGAGCTTCCAATGGGTGGTAGGATATTGATGCTCGGAAGAATTCCACTCGGCAGGACGCTTTGCAAGCCTCCGCTCGGCAAGCCCAGAAGATTGCTCGGAACACCCAAGCTCGGGAGGGCAGAACTCGGAAGACCGATGCTCAGTGCGGGAACGCTCGGAACCCCAGCACTCGGTAGAAGTCCACTGGGCAGATTCAAAGGATTACTCGGAAGAATCCCTCCGCTTGGAAGATTCAGGGGATTGCTTGGAAGAATCCCTCCACTGGGCAGACTCAAAGGATTACTGGGAACGATACCTCCACTGGGCAGACCAAGAGGATTGCTTGGCAACAAGCTCCCCAACACGGATCCCACCTGCGACGCCAGCGGCAAGTTCGATGCCAGCTGGCTCGCCACGAGTGATGGCCCACCAGGAACCCCCAGCTGGCTGATAGCCGACGCGAGCGGCGCATTGGACGACGCGATGGCCGAGACAATCGGCGCGAGGTTACTAAGGGCCGGGGGAGGCAGCGCCGGTAGTATGCTGGAGAGCGGGAGTGCGGTGGCGGGGTCGAAGTCGAAGGGTAGGCCGGTGCCGAGGGGAGGAAGGCCTCCAGATGGGAGCAATGACGACACTGGGGGCAGGACGCGCGAAAGAGAGGCGGCGGATGGGAGTACCGGGGGGAGGAGGCTGGATAGTGGGAGTGACGTGGCGAGAGCAGGGTCGAAGTCGAAGGGTAGGCCGCCGCCGAGAGGGTTGCTTGCGGATGAGAGGAGAGCGGGGATTGGGACTGATGAGCGGAGGAGAGAGGCGCCGGAGGGCAGCAGGCTGAAGAGCGGGAGGGAGGCTCCGAGTGGTGGAAGGCCTGTGGATGGCAGTATTGATGATACTGGGACTGAGGCGCGCGAGAGAGAAGCGGCGATGCCGCTTGTGGGGAGCTGCGGGATGGCGCTGGATGGGGCGGGTTGGCCGACGCCGGGGAGGCCGGGGAGGCCGGGGAGGCCGAGTGATGGCAAGCCAAGTGAAGGTACACCAAGAGAAGGCACACCGAGTGAGAGGCCGAGTGATGATATGCCCAAAGAGAGGGAGAGTGCTGAGGGGATGGCGGCGGAAGGAAGGCCAATCGAGGATAGGCCAAGTGATGGCAGACTCAGAGCGGGAACGCCGGTAGACGGAAGGCCAAGCGTCGGCAGGTTGGGTGAAGAGAGACCGATGGAAGGCAGAATTGGAGGTGCAAGGTTCGAAACTGGAGGTAGTACGAGACCAAGAGAAGATAGAGCCGCAGATGGAATCCCCACGGAACTCAGGCCCAGAGACGGAAGGCCAGAGATTGATGGCAGCGCCGCCGAAGGAAGCCCGGACGGGAGACCCAGAGAAGGCAAACCTGTAGATGGCAAAAGGAGCGACGATAGGACTTGAGAAAGCGCAGAAGGAAGACCGGGAGAGGACAGCCCCAATGATGATACTCCAAGAGATGGTACTGCCAAAGACGGTACTCCCGAAGGCAACCCGACTGATGGCACACTTAGTGGTAGAGAAGCCGAAAGTACCCGAGAAAGTAGGTTTGACGAGGGCAGGACTGACGGTACACCAGACAATGGCTGACCTAACGAGGACAAGGCGACAGAAGGCAATCCAGCCGAAGGCACTCCCAAGGACGGCACGCCAGAAGGTAAGACAGGCGAAGGCAAGCCGATTGATGGTAAAGCTGGAGAAAGAAGTGACGCCAAAGGTAGTCCTGTGGATGGCAGGATAGAGCTCAGTGGTAAGCCCTGAGATGGAACACCCACTGGAGGCACACCCAATGACGGCACCCCTAACGATGGCACCGCAAGTGACAGTGTGGGAATTCCCAGTGATAGTGAGGGCACTCCTAGTGACGGTAAGCCCAATGAAGGCACGGCAGACGGCAGACCGGGTGATGGTAAACTCAATGACGGCACACCCAGTGAAGGCACGGCCGACGGCAAGCCCACTGATGGAACAGAAGCCGAAAGAGGCAACGCAGAGGGCAACCCAATAGACGACAAGCCCCTCGAGGACACAACAGATCCGCCCAGCGCAGTAGGCAGCAGCGGCGGGATGATCTGAGACAGCTGCGACGGCAAGCCCAACGACGGCACGGCAGCCGACGGCAGCCCAACCGAAAGCGACACGCCCAAAGACGACAACCCGGCCAAGACCGAGGACAACTGCGACGGCTGCAGATTCAACGAAGACAGCTGGCTTGGAAGCTGGCTGAGTAGTGAATTGATGTTGCTCGCAACCGAAGGAAGCGCAGCGCCGCTGAGGAGACTGCTGACGGGTAAGCCGGACGACGGCAGGCCGAAAGACGACGGTAGAGCGCTCGGCACGCCTGGAAGAATTGATGAGGGTAGGCCGAGTTGGCTTGGGAGTCCGAGGGATGATGGCAGCAGGCCGGTTGATGGAAGAATGCCTGGGAGTGAGAGTGACGGCAGACCAATGCTCGGAAGCCCGGTCGACGGCAGCACGGCGCTGGGGAGGCCGAGGCCGCTTGGGAGCGCGACGGAGGGTAAGCCGCCGCTGCTGAGAGGGTTGAGGGCGCTGGGGATGCCGACTGGCGGCAATCCGCTCGGGAGTCCAAGTGACGATAGTACGCCCGGGAGCCCAACAGACGGCAGCCCACTGCTCGGTAAGCTGAGTATGCTAGGGAGTCCGAGTGATGACAATGCACCACTGGGCAGGTTCAGTCCGCTTGGAAGCCCAAGTGATGATATCCCACCGCTGGGCAGGTTGAGCGCGCTCGGCAGCGAGAGTGGTGGCAGAGAGCCAAGTCCACTTGGGAGGCCGACAGACGGCAGACCCGTGCTCGGCAAAGAAACGGCGATCGACGGGAGACCGCTGCTTGGAAGTGCCACCGACGGTAATCCTATGGAAGATAATCCAGCGCTAGGAAGCCCCAAGGAGGAAAGTCCAACGCTCGGAAGGCCGAGCGAAGAAAGCACGGCAGTGGGGAGACCAACTGATGGCAATCCGGTACTGGGAAGGCCAAGTGATGGGAGCGCATTGCTCGGAAGACCAACAGACGGGAGCCCGACGGATGACAGCCCAATGCTGGGAAGGCCGGGCACACCTGGAACGCCGGGTGATGGCAGACCTATGCTTGGGAGAGCAATGGACGGTACGCCGATTGAGGGTACGCCTAAGCTGATAGATGGTACTCCCAAGCTGAGCGACGGTATTCCTAAGCTGACAGATGGTAATCCCAAGCTGAGGGACGGTACCCCTAAACTGAGAGAGGGAACTCCTAGACTAAGAGATGGTACTCCAAGGCTAATAGAGGGTACTCCGAGGCTGAGCGATGGCAATGCTGCGCTGAGAGCCGGTACCCCTAAGCTAGACGGTAATCCTTGACTGGGTATACCAAGATTACTCGGAAGGCTGAGAGGCGCTAGGACGCTGGAGAGAGGAATGCCAGCTGATGAAAGAACACCGCTTGGAAGCACACCACTTGGAAGCACAGCACTTGGAACCGAAACGCCAGGAACTCCAATGGACGGCAGTCCCACGCTAGGCAGGCTCAGAGATAGCTGGCCGCCCGGAAGCCCACCAGACGGTAGGCCAAGCGACGGCAGCACGGCAGTGGGCAGGCCAGCTGACGGCAAGCCCACGCTGGGCAAAGACAACCCGAGCGAGAGCGAAGGGAGCCCTGCACTCGGCAGACCCAAGCTGATCGAAGGGAGCTGGACGCTCGGCAGCCCACCCGACGGCAAGCCGATAGACGGCAATCCCGCACTGGGCAGGCCGAGCGAAGGCAGACTCAGCGACAATTCCCCAAGCGGACCGCTCGGCAGCGCCAGCGACGGCAAGCCCGCGGACGGTAGGCTGATACCCGGCACTCCCAGAGAAAGCGACGGGAGCCCGCCGCCGCCCGGCAGTCCTCCGCTCGGCAAAGGCAGGCCTACGCTCGGGAGAGACAGTCCGACACTAGGCAGTGAGAGGCTGAGCCCTCCAACGCCCGGCAGGCCTCCACTCGGCAATGGTAGACCGACACTAGGCAGCGAAAGGCCTACGCTCGGCAGAGACACACCAACACTCGGCAGCGAAAGGCTGAGCCCACCCACGCCCGGCAGCCCTCCTCCACTCGGCAACGGCAACGGCAACCCTCCATTCGTCGGCAATCCGCCCAGGCTGATTGACGGCAGGCTCAGCAGCTGGCTGCCGAGGCCGGACAGGACGGAGCTCAGCACCGGTGGGTTGCTGAAGATGGACTCGAGCGGGCCGGGTGGGAGGAGCGATGATAGCGCCGGTATCTGGGAGACCAGCGATGCGAGGTCGGCGGGGCTGGAGGGAAGCAGCGACGGGAGGATGATGCTGGGGGTGATGATGGGTGGAAGCAGTGACGATACTGCGGGGAGGCCGAGGGAGAGGCTGAGTGGGAGGTTGATGTCTAGGCTGAGGGGGATGGATGGCAATGGAAGGCCGGCGGTCGGAAGGGACGGGAGGCCGAGGGATAGAGACGGGAGCCCGGCAGTTGGGAGACCGAGAGACAGG